GTTAGGGCCCAAAAAAGTCATTTTTTTAGTCCTTTGGTTACTCACGGTTTAATTATCGGTTCCCTGGCTTTCCCTTGGTTCGTTTTCATTTTTTTTTTTTCAATTATTATTATTATTTCCTTAGTCTGCTGCGCGCTGTCCGTTCCCGCTTTCTGGTTTGTCCCTCTTTCGTTGCGTTTTTTCTACCCGGCGATTTCTTTTTTATTCTTCTACCCGCTTCTTTTTTATTTAACTCGTATTTTCTTAATTGGCTGATGGGCTGGAATTGTGTTGATCGTGTCAGATTTTTCTTTTAGACTTTCCTCGATGCTTGGGTCAATTGGTCACTAGAGTTTCTATCTTATCGCCTTACCCGTTGCTCTCTCTATCTACATAGAAATAGAATCTACCCAGGGTGAGTAGGCAATGTGTCGGCGTATGTAGAGTATGTACCTACCTATGCGTGTCTCCGTATACCGACTCATACGAGGTCCATACCTACATAAGTACCAGCATATATGTAGTTAGCCGGGGCCCCTCTTTCATCTTCTCCCCGGAATCAAACGAAGGCCTCCCCCCGGCGACGAGAACCGCCCCGTCTAGATCCATCCGTGAGCTACTACTATATACCGTACATATTAATACCTACCTACCTACCTACCTATGGAATAAGTACTGTACAGCTAGCTAGCTATCCAACCCCGCCCTGGAAAAACAACACAAAGGGACCCAGGTGGTGGCTTTGTCGCTAACCATGACAAACCGTGGCTAGTTTACATGCATACAGATTCGGGCGAAGGAATTAATTCCGGAATGGAGTCGATTCGACGCTAACGAGTCAAGAACAGGAGCTAAGTCGCTAGAGTGGGTGGTAACTGGTGATGGTATCATGGTATAAGTGGACATTGGTCCGCCGAATCGGCGAAACGGGGAGAGAAGCCAGGCTGAGAGCGTGAGAGGGTGTGTACTCCGTATGATGGATTTGACCGTTTGATGAGAGGGGAGGATGGGATGGGAAAGGGAGGGGGGGACGGCCCCACTCCGTTTCCGAGTGGAGATCGAGTTTGGGTATTTTTTAATTGGGTTTTCTTTCCTTTATTATTTTTTTTATTATTCTTTATTGGTTTATTCTTTTCTCTGTCTCTGTCTCTGTCTCTCTCTTCCCGCGGAGCGGAGTATGCGCTAAATAATCAACATTTATGTTCCGACAGGAGGATATTCCGCATAAAACATATAAAGAACAAGAAATCGAATGTTTGCCTTCTATCTTATCAGGTTTTTTGTATTAGATTTCGAATCTTCCTTGCTCGTCACCCACCCTGCAACCGAAAACCTTGCCAAATGCCGTGCGAATTCTTATTGCTCGAAGAGTGATCATCTTGATACCCTTGTGCTACAAATTAGAAGTCATCAGGTTTCTGGATAAGGCAACTTTGTCGATCTTCACTATTACTTGTCTCCCTTTCTTCTGTTTTTTGATCCTGTTATTTTTCCTTGCTTCCTGTTTATCTGGTCCCACCCACTCTCGGGCCGAATCTGCATGTCTGGGCTGCAGGACAGGAGTTTAATATCGTCTGTCGGTCCACTATGCTGCCCGCTGCTCGCTTCCTAGGTGGGTAGTAGGTCCAGTCCCTTGGACTTGTATTCAACGTCCAGTTACATGTCACCATCTCACACGGAGAACCCGTACTCCGTTGTATGGAGTGATCAGTGACCGTTAATGACCCACCTTACCTAGTAGTGTTCCCCATACAACTATACGGTAAACGTAGGTGGTATACGGTGTAGTTGGAATTACCCTTTAGTGAACATATTGATCCCACCATCGCGTAGGAATATCCACAGAGAAACGTACGATGTAAAGGGAGAATATATTGAAAAAAAAAATCGTTAATGTCAAGAAGGACATGTTCGACGGTGGCGGGAGGATTTGGGGGGTATTATCTCCATTCCCCCTGGTTGGTTCAACGTCCTGAACATACGCAACGGTTTTTCCTCTCAATTGTCTCGTTTTCTTGCATTTTCGCAAGTCGCGAAAGGGGTTAATTCACTCAGGGTACAAACTTACTCTAGTCTATCGTATCCGCTAGATAGCATCTGTACCATGGGTCGAGTCTGGAGAAGGGAACCAAAACTCACGAACCCATGGTTTGACGATGGACACGTCAAGGGGCGGGAATGGCGTTTTTCGCCCTCTCCTTCTACCACCTACAGAGTAGGTTTTTCTTTGTCCCTGTTTTTGGTGGGGGTGGTTTCATGATTATCTCCGTTGCCCTATGCTTGTTTATAATTCTATATGATATGCGTCCATGCTTTCTTGATTCCCTGAATTGGTACAAGGAATGAATGAACCGTTGATTACTGGCTACTATCTCTGTCTGTTGTCAATCCCTTTTCCCTTTCTCTCTCTCGCCTCCGTAATCCCTGTTGGGTTCGTAGCCCTGGGTTTATGACTGCAGAGATTGCCCTGCTTGCATCGGGTTGCGTGATACGATGGGTTGTCGATCCGGGTCAGCATCCTAGGTTGGATGTGCAAGGCAATCAAACAATGCATTCAGCCACAGTGATGTGGGTGAGGTGTGATGCAAGAATGATGGCATTGTTGATCGGCGGGTAGACATCGGTGATCCATAGCCTTGCGATACTTTGGGCACGCGTTTACCTACCTCTACACCTAGTGTATACAGCCTATGAGAATGGTGATGGCTATACCGAGGCCTGGTTCTCACATAGGGAAGTAGTCCATTATCCAAAGTGGGCGTCTATTCTGGCCGGCCGGAACTACCGCCCAGCGTACTCGCTCGTCCGTCGGTTAACTAGATGAAACGTATGGTCTATCCCGGCGGTGCGTACGTAGCTCTCGGCCGGGGGATGGAGGCAAAGGCCAGTTCTTTGTTCCTTGTGCAGATATCTCGGCATTAGTGGATAATAGAATGGGGTTTCCTGGAAGGTGCAAACTGCCTAATCGGTCGTAGTCCTGATATTGTTGGCCAGGATCTGGACGTGATGTGGTCTAATTGGAGGGGAAATAATAGGCAGGTAGCGAAGTTGGGACTGATGGGGCTTGCGAAGACCAGGTTTTCTACCTACCTTACTAGGTAGTAGGTACATACTTTAGGCTTCTTCTGGCTTGCAGGGTAGGAGGGACTAGGTAAAGAGATAGTAACTCATCTCCGGGGACCATACTAGATCGGATTATGCCGAAGCGGACTAATCCCGTTCTTGGTCTAATTTTACTCCTTACTTTTCTAATCCTTTTTTTTTCGAATCTTACATTGTGTGCTTTTATCTGTCGGTTATCGACCTGTTCGAACCCTAATTGAAGGCCCTACTGCATCTCACATAAGCAGAGCAGTTCACGATGCAAGTACCCAAGCTTGATACATACGGAATGAAGATCAACAAAATCAAGCTATGTAAGCGTGTACTTAGTACGTACAAAACGTACCTCGGTAGACTCAACCCACCACTTAATCAAATAAAAACCAAATTAATTAAACCAAACCATGGTACTCTCGAGCAAGGATCTCACGGCATCACCGATTACACGTACAGTACAATAACTAGTAGGTAGTAGGTAGAAGCGCAGCACACAAAAATAAAACAAAGCAATATCAAATAATATAAATCGAACAACCAATCGAGTGACGAAGAAATAAACGAACAACCCCTCCAGACCGAATAATAATATAAATGCAAATGAAATGCAACTGCAACGAGTTTCCCCCCGCCAACTCCCGACCTGTCAAAATGCAAGATAGATTAAAGGAGCCACCCGCAACTTCGGCCCGCCCAATCGTGGCCCCTGCAACCCCCCCCCTTCGAACGCACGGACCAAGCGGGCTAAGGTGGTTTCTCCCTATCTAGACTGGGCATTTCGTTCATTTTAATCGACCCTCTCACGCCGTTACTAGTTAGTAGGGTCTCTTCCTGCCTGGCTGCCTGGCTGCCTGGTAGGGATGGTGAGTAATATACTGTACAGTAGATACTCCCGCCGGTATATGGCACGTGCCGCACGGTCACACCAAAGCGCTGCTAATGCTGCTCGCCACGCTTAGTGTACATGTCTCGTCTAGCCTGCATTGTGCAAGTCCCGACTTACTTATTTTAGTACCCCGTGCATGAGTATGCATACTTTGTACTCCAGTCCGTACAGACTGGACCTTCCGCTAGTACTAGGCAATCTAGACCTAGGGACATGCACGTGCAGGGACATGACCTACACTCAAGAAGGGCAATGCATGTATGTACGGTACTTTGGGCGAAGATCTGGACTCCGACTCCCCTTCCCCTCCCCCTCTTTCGTTGACTTTACTCCGTATGGACATCCATGCCTGCCTGCCTGCCTACCCGGGGTATGGCACGTACCGAGTCCCGAGAGAGGGAACCGTGGTGACGGCAGACGGCCTAAGCAAGGATTTTTTTGATCGGCGTCTGACGGCCGAACGAGGGTCACAGTGCTCCGTCGGCTCGAAGTAGGACTAGGATAGGGTGTGATGGGGTGGAGTGATGGATAACAGGTGTTTGGGATGAGATGGTTGGTTTGGACGGTTGATGGGTGGGTGGATGTCATTGGTAGGATTAGACGATCGGTTGTTTGCTTTGTTTGGGTGGTAATTGGTTCCAATCTTTGCTTTTTTATCTGAGTTCCGTATTCCTTGCCAGTTTAGTTCATTCTTGTCTATTTGGAAGTCTTGGGATATTGGGGATGTGACACTGGTCTTGGTGAGATTCACTTCGGATATATTCCTTGCAGGGTCTCTGGCGGATACTTTTCCGCTTTCGTACTGTCTAATATTCAATGCCCGTGTGTTCTGCCTGAGGCTTCTGCTCTATCCCCGCATTTGGAATTCTTCCCATTCTAATATACAATGATATAACGATTAACGGCAACTTTATCCAGTCCCCACGTACTAAATACATACCAGGATAGTTTTGTATACCCTGCCACTCCACATGAACATCTGCAAATCCCCAACTCCAACAGAACTAAAGTACGAAGCCAACCCAGAGTAAGAACATCACCCCTCCTCACTCTTCCGCATCCCAGGCATGAACCTCGCCGACGGCAGCGCCGCCGAAGACGCCGTGCTCGTCGTCAAGCGACTAAACGCCGGGCTGGGCGGCACGCGCGGGCTAGCCATGACAGGATGTGGAGGCACGCGAACAGGGTCCCTCATGCGCTCATGCGGCAGGGCATACGCAGACACCGGCATCGTCACCGTCACATTGTGATTCAACCCGCGGCTGGTGTTCAGCGGGTTCGTGGGCGTTGGTCCATGCGGATCGGCGTGGAAGTCGCGCGTCGTGACGTTCACCCAGCCGCGGTCGCTGTTGCTGCTGCCGCCTCCGCCCGCGCTCTTCTTCTTCTTGAGCCCTAACTCCTTGTCCAGCGAGGAGATATGGGGGTGGTGGTGGCCTGCTACTACCTTGCGATGGGATTGCGAATGAGAATGGGCAGGCGAGCTGGTCTGTCCTCGACCTCCTCCTCCACCTCTGCCGCTGGTGGTGTCTTTCTCCGTCGTTCGAGCCGTTCGCGACGTCCGGGTCGTTGTGGCCCGTGAGGCGCTTCGATCCGTCGCTCTGGAGCGAAGTCCGCGTTCGATATCGTCAGACGGGAGATTTCGGAGAGACGCGGCCTTCCTACTTGGATGAGGAAGAAACGAACTGAGCGTGATGACGGGCCCGCGTTTCAGGCGCAACACGGTGAAAATGACGAGGAGGACGATCAATGTGACCCCTGCTGTTTGCGTTGGAATTGGTGTTGGACGTGAGCAAGTATCATTGGCTTAGACATTGGACCCAGAATCGGGATTTGACTCGGTTGGATCATTTGATTGATTTGACTTGATGGAGGGATGGGATGGGATGGAATGAATGGAATTGGCGATTTCTTGTGGAGACCCTCTTTGCCTTTCCCAGCGCGGAGGGGACGGGAGGTCTGCTGGAGGAAGAGCAAGAGAAAGAAAGGATCATCTTACCAATTAAACCAAGGATAAGACCGACTTTACCCGCTGAGGAGAGAGAGTTGGATTGCGAGGCGTCGGAGCGGAAATGAAGGTTGGAGAGTTGTTGGATCGGTTGGGTCATGATCGTTCTAGGCTAAGGCATGGTTTCGTCACGATCTTCCTCTTTGTTTAAATTAAGTCGCGTATAATCGGGTGGGAATAATAAATGAAGGTCGGCAATTAAACAGTAAACACTAGGATTAAGGCAATATAATGAGTGTAGAAAGGAGGGTGTTGTTAAATTAGTTCTGAGGGTATTTCCAAGGAACGTGTATAAAGTTAGGTATATGCCATATGGCAATAAAAGAAGGATTTTTTAGGAGAACAGACCCGCCGCCAGGTTCTCCCAGGCATTTTCCCTGCTATTATACTATTATAGCCCCGAAGCACTGACAGACTGCGGACTTCCTACTCAGGCAACCGGTAGAAAGGAGCGACGAGAAGAACCAATGCCAGGCCTTTCGATTCCACCTGTCATGTCAGAAACTTCTAAATTCAGCATGTCAGGAGGTCCCCTGAAACATCGAAAAGCATGGAAAAGCTCCGTGCCTTCCGTTTAACCTTATCCGCGACAATCTACCATAAACGCCGGGTCTGCCGCTTTTTTGATCCATCGCATTGCTAAGGCCCACGCATTACCCGACTAGTGCTGGATGTTGACCTTGTGAAACGACGACGCCGAACTGGTTGACTGGCACCGTTGGTCGCCCGTTCGCGCTAAGCAGAATTTTTCGCCGTGGTGCTTGACACATATCTTGTCATATCATCAATCCATTACGTGTTAGAGTTGCGCTATCGTTCGCGTACATACTCACGCGATTCATGGGAGGGATTGTGTCCGGTTAGGTGAAACCTTCGTGATGATCGGCCGTTCCCCTCCTATAACGAACAGAGTTATTATAATGTAATATCATATGGAGCACGTCGGTCTGTTGACGTCCTTGGCGTGATAGTGAATTTGAAACTGCAAAAATTTGGTCAAATGGCAGGTCCTGGCGGTGGACCCCTCGGTGGATCCAATCCCTTACCCCGGGTTTCAATTAGATATTTCTGACTTCGACGGTGACTGGTCAGTGATAGACCGGACATGAATATGCCACCGGCTGACTGCAGTTCCTTCTTTTTGCGAGGAACGCCTTCTGAAACGTTGTTGGGGCCGTTATGCAAACGGGGAGCTTGGAAGCGACGGCTTTCGGAGGGGACTCTGGCCCGGCTTCAGGGATCATTCTGCATCTGCTATATCATTTGGCGGTCGACTCCCTTTCCTGACTAGGCGTTAAATTATGTTGAATAATTTGATCCGCTCGGAGAAGGCCATCCGGTGTTATCTATCATAGCGCGTCTATATCCTGACTAGTCATAGTTCGTGATCAAGCATCGATCGGGAAAAAAAGAAACATGATCCAGCAAAATGTCAATTCGCTCCCAAAGACTTCAAATGGCAGTCATAAAGAAATCTACGTCCACTCACAACCATTATTCATTCAGAGTTCGTGGCTCGCGGACCATACAGTATAGCTGCAAGGTGGATTAGCCGACAGCTTTGTAAAAGAGTCAGGTATCGTTCTCCACTTACCATGCAAGCATCATCCCCATCTCGGCATTCCATTACCCGCTTCATTTCAAATCCCATCTTCTCATAGATTTGCACGTTAGGTTCGTTACGAGAACTTTCCAGATACGACTTCACGCCCTCACGATCAGCCTGCTCGGTCACTTTCTCAAACAACTTCCTCCCAATCCCGCCGCCCTGGGCATCGGGCTTGACCGCCACGATGTTGCAGAAATAATATCCTTTGGGGTCGTCCCAGATCGCGCCCTGAGCCTCCGCCTGACGTTCCTTCCAGATCCAGTATCGCTTCGAGATTAGACCACCGCGGCCCCAGTGCACCAAGTTGTTCAAGAGCTGGCGGAAAGAGAGCACCCACCCTTGGTACCAGCTGTACCAGCTTTCCGGCTCGGTAGACGCATGGGGCGGCAACCAACACGAGACACCCACAATACGCGAGGAACTCGTGTTCGCACTATTTTGATCAGTGGGATCCACTGCCTCTTCCTTCACACCGGCATCAGTCTCCTTAGCGACATAAAACAGGGCATTGTTGATGCCCCACAGGCAGCGGACGGCGAGAGAGTCGTGATTTCTTTGTTTATTGAACTAGATTCGCCTCAGCCACATGGCATTCATAAGCGTAGATCGAGTTACATTCGATCGACGCCATGAGATGGCCGATCATGTTAGCATGGTGCTTGTAAGCGATCGCTTATCGAGTCATGGTCTCGCTTAGAGACTAGATCCCGCCCACGCGGAGAGCATTCTGCATCAAAACGGAAAGTCGAGTCGAGTCCGTCGACGGTTCTTGGATGGTGATGGAAGTGACTTACGTTGGGGGCATCAAAAACCCACTCAAAATAGGGGTCTTCGGCAAATGCTTGCTGAATGACTTCGATCGCACCGGGAATATCTGCTTCCGTGAGGGGAACCACTTCGATGGCCATTTTGTTGGGGCTCGGATTCAGAGTGAGGCAAGAGGATTCAACAGCGTGGTTTAGCCCAAACACTTCGGAGATTGAATACGAAGAGGAAGATGGAGTTGAGATTCTCCGGAGAGGTCGAGATGATGGATGTATGAGAGAATGCTTCGTCTGGCGATGCTGCCGCTTTAACCCGCCTCAACCCGTGACCGCCACGTGATGCCTGGTGTTTTATTAGGCAACAGGAACCCCTGTGCTACTTTCATCTCTTCAATTTGACACATCTTCCTGAATAACGCAAAACCTCCGTTCCTCTATTTTCCTCCTCAGTAGGACGGGTATCAGAGCGGAGAATACTCCGTACTGCTCTCTGTTCTCTGGTTCACTCAAAGCTTATATGCAAAGCTCTCGGAGGCAAATCGAATCCGACGAGCGAGGGCGGAATTTACTAAATTGCGTGCAGGGCTAGTCTACATAGATGAATCCTGTGCGTTTGACTTGGGGTTTGGGCATTTGATGGACTAATTTAGGTATTCTAGTTCATCCAACTGTCACACATTTCCTTCCAACTTCGCGCGAATTCAAATCATCAATCTGACTGCCATGTTCAAACTGGAAATTAAAATCCGTTAAACGGATCAGACTCAGCTTATTGGCTCTGAGCCTAGTTGCCAGAGCATGTCTCATTAGCATTGCTCAGAGTCGTGAGGAATGCATCAAAGTCGGAGAAAGTCTGCGGGAAGGCCTCAAGAGCCGTTTGGACGTCATCAGCATCGGCACCGCAGTCCCTCTTGAGGGTTACCTCCGCGACCTGGGATCATGATGGATTAGTCTACTGCTTGATACGCAAGTTTGAGATAAATGGATAATATAAAGGGATAGTCACCTCGAGGATATGAGGATGGAGTGCGATAGTGCTCCCGGACTCCTCGATCTTGCTCTGAAAGCTGGCTTCACATAGGACACTGGGTTCCTCGATATTGTGGAACAGAACCGAGAGCCGGTTAGCGAGCTTGAGATTATTATCGTTCGTGTCAGCTTTCGGTCATGCATTTGGGTCAGGTTGAGAACAAAGGACTCACGCCTTCCGAAGCCTCAGCAAGTGCAGAGCATTCTCCTGCCTGAATACGATTAGTTTATTAGCTTTCACACAGATTATCGGTGTTCAGGTGACATAGGGTGCTTCATACCTCGTTCTGAGACTCGATCTTAAGGGCATCCTCGATTTCCACGGGATCCTCCAACTTCGCCGCTTGTGCGATCATAGCTTCGCCCAGGTTGTCCGAGTCAAGAGTACCCGACTGCAGGCGGGAATTCCATTCTCCGAGGACTTCATAGTCCTTGTTGATGCTTTCAGTGGCCGATGTATCAAAGGCCAAGCAGGCGGTTGCAAATGCAGACGTAGAGAGGATTTGAGTGAACTTCATGATGGCAGCTCTGATGGTCGTATCACAATGAGATATTGAAATGAGATGGATGGGATATTGTCTCGAAGACCGACGCAAGACCTCATTTATAGAGGTCTCATGAGGCTTTATCCAGAGATCTACAAATACTTTCTACCTGAAATGTGATATGCAAGGGAACAAGAAACTATTGAATGTGATGGCCGGCTGCTCAGCTTTCAGACTGCCTTTCTCGCTCTCTTTCATTCGTCCAACTAATCTCCACAGCGCACACGATCAATAGTTGACTCCAGGAACACTGCATACCCAAGCATACGCACATCAGCTGGAAACCAGCTGCATACACACTCTGCAATCCCAAAAGGCCTCGATTGGCTGACTGCATGGCGTAACAGCATAAGGATACTACACCTGAGGTCTATGAGAACGTGCTCGCCGAGAAAAATCCCCCCACAATATGTCAGACTCGAATATAAGGCCTTTCTAAAGTTGTTCATGAAGGCTAGTTGATCGCCGAGGCGTGATATGGTCAATGTTGCTGTAGAGATCACTTCGTGTCTAGAGCTGAAACTACAGGGATCATCGAGCTGATCAGCCAGTCTTTTAGGTGTTCATGAGACTCGTAGATCGACTGTAGTTGGTGGCATTTAGTATGATTAGAAAGAATAAGGAATAAGGCTTTACTGATCTACAGCCTGCAGATCACTTGGTTCAGCTCGGATCAATAGTTCGATTTAATAACTGCATGTCCTTCTACACCGGCTGAACTACCCTATTCAACCTGCTCAGAAGACAATCTACCCCATCCTTGAAGCGGCCATGCAGCTTCTAGCTCAGCGTCATATTATTGGGAATATGTTTTTGGCGCTTGACAGATGATGCAATCGTATTTAGACAACTAAATTCGGGTGAAACTACTCAGTACCCTACAGTATACTCGATTATTAGTAGTCCATACCCAGTTGTTGAGTATGTAATCAAATTATAGACATGTGAAGGGGTCACACTTCTTTTATATCACATTAAATCTACCTTGTTTGCTTAAAGGACAGTACTTTAATCGCGAAACTATCTCCTGTTCTCAGGAAGTAAACCCTTGCCACCAAGCTCTCTACCGTCTACATATCTTGAATATCTTCAATATCCATAGCTCAATACTTTAGACATAAAAGCGAATATAGTTCCACTGACGAAAAGCGGGAAAGGATGATGTTGATATCTGATGAGGTGATCGCCAATGAAGTAATCATTAAAGCCAGTAGTTATATCCTCGGCATCTTCGGCTCCACAGCATCGAACTTCAACTCTTACCGAGAAGCTGTCATCATCGCACACTTATCTATCAATCAATCTCATAGACTACTTCCCGTACTCTAAAGCAATTCTACTCCTTCTTCATCAAGTTCCCGACCGTGGTTTGACAGCCTGAACACATACTTACCCTCAGACTAGCACCGCCCCTGAAAATGCCCGCCGCCATCTACAACATCGTGAAGCTGGTTCCTCAGCCCGATAAATTCGATCAGGTGTGTACACACTTTCTGATACCATTCATCTTTGCTCTATTCTCTCAGGCAAGAAGTTAACTGTCCCATGCAGGTCGTCGAAGCCTTCAAGACCCTGGTCCAGTACATCGAGACTCAGGAGTCGGGCACTCAGATCTACTTTGCCGTGCAGCCTAACGGATCTAAGGAGTTGGTTTTCGTTGAGAAGTGAGTGTTCTGGTTCTTTTATCTTTATGTCTTCATGTAGTGGATATGGCTGATCATATGAGAAATAGATATAAGGATGAAGAGAGCCTGAAGGCTCACGCTTCGTCACCTGCGTTCAAGCAATTCTCCAAGGCGATTGGGGGTCTTTTGGCGCAGAAACCGGATATCAGGACTGCTGGGCTGGTTGGTGGGTTTGAGGGACGGACGAAGTTGTAGGTTTTCTTGGGTTACCTGAGGGATGCGAGAAGAAGATGGTATGAACTCGATGATGCTGTGTATATTGAACTTGATTTGGATCTAGGTATGGTATAATATCGATATTATATATGCTCCGTTCTATAGCTTCCTCCAAACCCAATGATATGTCTCATAGTTTCGTCTGGGACTCCGGCCTCGTCAGCCTCAACAAACTGTCCTGATAACTCGTCGCCAGCAACTTCCCATCCGGACTCCACAGCCAACTCTCATGAATGGCCCGATTCTCACCAGAACGCGGCGTCCAGCCCTCCTGCACAAACCATTTCTTCGGCACTTCCCCATCCCCCTGGTCCTCTGCCGCCTCCCAATCCAACATCCGCAGCGCATCTCCATGTTCGTGGAAAACAACCATAATAGTCAAGCTCGCCATAGCCACCCAGTTGGTATGGCCGAGGGCGCGCGGAATCAGCAGCAGCGAGTTCCGGTCACTCGCATACATATGCGCACAGGCGTAAAGATTATCATATTCCGCTGACTGTTCTCGGCTCCGCATTTCCTCCCTGCTGATGACCACACCCTGCTCCTCGGGCAGGCCTTTCAGCGAGTAGAGATGCAGCTGGCGATACTTCTCGGGATTTTGTTTCACCTCCAACGAGTCATTGTACCCCTGCATATCGACCTTGCGGACGTCCAGCCCCGGGAATTCAGACTCCGTGATGTTCCCGTTCTTCACGAGCTCGATCCACCAGTCCACGTCGACGCTGGGGCTGACGGTTTGCTCTTCCGGCCGTTTGGCGGCAAGGATGTGCCGGTATCGCTCCTGCGCGGATGAGGGCTGGTGGTTGACCGTCGTCGGGCCTTTCTCGTCTCGCTTGAACGAGCAGAGACAGGAGAAGCAGATTACGCCGCCTTGTCGCACATCGATGGCTCGCGAGCAGTACATCTTGCCGTCGCGGAGATGGCGCACTGTGTATATGTACGGAACGTCCAGTCGGCCGGGGAGGATGAATGTCCCCGTTACATCCTGAGTATGGGGTTAGTCAACTGACGGAATTCCTCCGGGATATGGTGTAGCATACATGAATCAGGAACCCCTTGTCCACTGTCTTGGAGGCGGCAAAGGCCGACTGCGCGAAGACGTGTCCTCCGAATGCTGAATCGCGCTCACCCGGAGGGTAGGGGATAGATAGCGACTGGAATCGCTCGACCTTTTCGGGGTGCTCTGCGGTGGGCTCGGGGCTGTCGAGCTGTCGCAGGGCCATTAACCCGGCGAAATCGCGTGAAGTGCGCAGTTTTGGCTCGTCTTTCTTAGGCGACATGGTGGATCAAGTGCTATTGTTGCCAACAGGGCCGTCGTTCGATGTACTATAGGTAATGGTACCTTGATAGTGTTTACGGGGGTTTTGCCGAGGAGCGGAGAATGCGGAGATACTGGGTGAGTGAGATATTGTAATCGAATGTGTGGTAACAAGGACTTTGTTATCCCGTGGGCAGACGACTCGCGGACGGGTCAGATTGAAATGCAGAGATGCTTGTGTAGATTCGGGTGATGTTCCTTAGTTGTAGCCGACATGAGGGGGAGATCGACCTCGGTTCATTGATCGGATGTGTGGCAAGCCCCCGGTTGGCGGTCTAGGTGTCTTGTGTCAATCCCATTGAAAGGGTACGCTATGACTGATCTACACTGATCTAGCAGTGACTTGCGTTTCACCGTCCACGAGCATCCCAATGTCCCAGGTGTGCCAGAAGATCGAGATCACGTGCCCGGAAGGGATGCCTCGAGTGCAGCTGCAAAACCCGGAGATCGAAAACAATTCCCGAAAAGAAAAAGAACAGTATATATGTGCGCCTGCGATGCTGGTATGATAGTACAAAATGACGGCTCCTGTGCCCAAAGAATACAATGAATAATACATCATCCATGTCCCAACCAAAAGGGACCCTTAGCGAGATCTCTCATGACTCTCCCACGATTCAACACATCTCATAATCATCGCTTTTATTCCCCTAGATCGATTCGGAGATTTTGCGGGAATTGTTCCACTTGATATGGCCCTCCACATCCTTGATTTCCTCGAGTTTGTCGCCCAACTTCACCACCGAGAATCGAATCATTCGGGGATCGAGGCCGAGGGTTCTTCGGACAGCGGTCTGGACGGGGCCCGAGGCGTCGAAGCGCATGACGAAGTGGTGGCCTTCGGTGTATCTGGCCTGATGTTTCGTGGTAGGCCTGGGTAGTCGGAAAGTGCCCCAGTTGTTGTAGCCGCGGATCACGCCGCCAGATCGGAGGACCTGAACACCGGCATTACGGGCGATGCTATACATTTTGTCAGTTTCCATCAGTTTCCGCATTCATTTTGTCAATGATGATGACTGTTAAAATCCGCGCAACGCAGGAAATCGCTCGATCGATCGGGGGTAGAGGGCAAGAATAACACGTACTCTCGGACCTCATTGAGACTGCCCGGACGGACCTAATCGAGGAATATTAGTATGGCGCATCAGGCCATCAGACACGAAGGGCAAAATCACATACAATAGCAATCAATTCGTACAGCATCGGGGGCGAGAGAAAGTGGGGATAGGGACAAGGCGTCGGAGAAGAAGAACGGAGGATGGGGAAACCGACGAGATTTTCCCGACGTTGCGAGTTCGACGGCTCCTTATCGGCCGGTCTTGGCAACCCGCTATCAGTCGCTCTTTTAGCGTCTTCCGTCATGCCTGCTTTCCCTTCCTTCCGACAACTACTTAATCTCTCGCTTTTCTCTCTCCGCTCCTCATTCCTTTCCCAATTCCTTGATCCAGTCTCTTCCTTCGCATCTCCCATCCATCGCAATGTCTGCTGTCGCCCGCTCCATCCGTCCCTTCGCCTCGCGCGCCCTCTCCCAGAAGCTCCCGCTGGCCGCTGCCCGTAGGGTTTCGCCCGCCATGGGTTTCCCGCGGGGAAGTATCAGGAGCTTCTCGCAGAGCCCGTTCAGTGCGATCCCCTCCCAATTCGCCCTTCAGAAGGCCATTGAGGCCTGTCGCTATGACCTGGAAAGCTAATTGTTTCTTCCCCTTGCTGCAGTGGAGGTGAAGAAGTACACCGAGTCTCACGAATGGATCGAGCTGGCCGAGAACGGCAAGACGGGTGAGTGTACCCTCTCTCGCACTCTCTCTCACCTCCCCTCCCTTTCAACGCGATCGACTAACTCAATTGTTTCCTTCTGTTATCAATAGCCAAGATCGGTATCACGGAATACGCCGCCAAGTCTCTGGGTGACGTTGTTTACGTCGAGCTGCCCCAGGAGGAGCTGGAGGTTAGCGCCGGGGAGCCCGTCGGCGCCGTCGAGTCCGTCAAGTCTGCCTCCGACGTCCTGTCCCCTGTCTCGGGCACCGTCGTGCAGGGTAACGCCATCCTCGAGGACAAGGCCAAGTTCATCAACGAGGACCCCGAGGGCGATGCCTGGATCGCCGAGATCCAGGTCACCGACGCCGCTGAGCTGGACGGCCTGCTGGATGCTGCGGCCTACAAGGAGTCTCTGGATGAGGAGTAAACGGTGTTTCTCGATCTGAGCGGTGCGTTGTGAAAGATCTTTGGCTTTTCTTTTCTTTTCTTCTCGTCTTGGTTATGATGGGGTTGTCTCAACTTTTTGCGCGGTTCGTTCTATGAGGAATGGGTTTATTGTTTCAATTTTTTCTTTTATCTATATTCATATCTGTCTGAGGAAAATGTTAGACTTGCGCTAGGCCGTCACTGGCTTTGGGGCTTTCTGTTCAACAGGGAAGGCCTTGAACAATATACAATGATATCGATGATTATCTTACTGTATGGGTGTTCTGAATTCGATGATGTAATGTGGGGATATTTGCGGTGCGGCTCGAGAGCCCCCGAATGATCGGTTTACTACCGACGTTTTGAACACAGGTTATTTGAAGCAATTAGCCTTTCATAACCATTGAGTTTGGAATTTGGCATGCACATCATGCTGCAAGTCGTATGTGATGAGAAATTCCCTCGATACGAACGATCTACCCTTTGGCGCCGGGATATGCTAGCTAGATTCTATCTATACAGGTGGAATTGACTCTCGACAAATCGGACACTGTAGTCGAAGTCGCATCCAGCTCTCCAGACACGTGCTATGGAAGATGTGTCGACACGGCGTCACCATGTACGCGCGACGACTGAGAATGCTGGTCGCCCCGTCCGTCACACTGCTGCCGCCCGAAGTCCCCGCCAGCACGGGGACATCGATATCCTGCATGCAAATTGCGCAATCAAAGATGGCCTTCTTCTTATCCTTGGATCGGTGCTTGTCGTCATCCTTGCTGTCGCTGATATCCCTCTCGTCGGCCCGCAGGGCTCCGATGGATAAGACTCCGCCGGACTCCAGCTCACCCGTGGGATCGACCGCATCCCGCACGATGGGGTGGTAATCATAGGCCGGGGGCGCCCAGCCTCGAGGGACAAAAAAGCGCGGGCCCAGGATGTCCTGACTAGCCAAGATCCAAACCTGTATCCATACCCAGCCAGCTAGCGCAAGGGCTGAGGTTGTGTCGGGGCGAACAAACAGCACGTTGCCGGGAACGGTGAGAAAGTACAGAAACGGGAACAGCCGGAGAAAGCTCTGTCCGACCACAAAGTCCCATCGGAGAGCCTTGCGGCAGTTACGCATGACGTTGCGATAGATCTGGGGAGTCCAAAATGACAGGTAAATGAATGCAAGAGTCCGCGAGTATAACTTTCCGAGTCGATTTGGCCAAAGGAAGGACCAAATAGAGATAATGAGCATGACGAACAACACGAAGTAGAACCGGGCGTACATAGCGCCGACATCGCTGCGAGTTTCCCGAGCGGTGGGAGTTGCACCGCGTGTTGGAGGCGGCTCGTCTTCTTCCTCGGGCGGGTCTTGGTCGGGGGTCAAGATAACCGGAGTTGCGCCGGTGTCTCTGATGCGTGCTGCCGTCGCAGGAAGTGGTAGACTCCCAGGCCGAGCACTGGTCGGAGGGCTCGAGCGGCGTTCTTGCTCTCTTCTTTCCGGGGCCTGGACAGCCCAGATCTCCATCATGAACTTCATTCCGATATAGCTGACCGAGAGGAAGGTGAGGAACGACGCAGTAGTCATGATCAAGAATGAAACCGCGGGGTAGAGTTCCAGGAGGATGAACACGAGTACAAAGGCGTCGCCAAATGCCATCAGAGCGATGGTAAAGAAGCTGATCCGACTGCGAGTGGAAGGCGTGGAAGCATCCTTCACCTGGCGTAAGAGTAACGTGATCTGTGCAATGGAAACGCCGGCCAGCACAAAAATTATGCGAGCAGAGTATTTACCGAATTCCTCCAGTTTGGGCCCCGAGAGATACAGCGCCTCTGTCGGAGGGAAATCAGGAGCTCCCTTGGTCTCCAGGATGTAACCACAGTCAGGAGAGAACACTAGAGCCGACATGACCATGAGCGGCGGAGACGGTATTGGAGCCCCCATGGGAAACCTCAGCTCTTGCTCTATTTGCTCAATGAGTAATCGGTCGGCAAGATAATCGTTGACTGCAACGGGATGCTGCTGTAGATACACTATGTGTTCGCATTTCGGAGCTGGAAATTCGACCTGTTCGGTACCGACCAGCGATGACCAAGGGAAGAGCGTGCGAGGGCGGTTCTGCTTTTCGGATAGAGTGTCGGAAAGAGATTTAAGGAGTAGCTGGTGGGCGAGGTCGTAAGAGTCGGACGATAGCGTCAAGTGCGGCAGGGAGAACACACCCCCAAACTTCTCGCTGGTGGTGCTCAACAGGATGCCTCCTGTCTCCGGGAAATGCACCCCGAACAAGGAGAGGTACCATGTGTTGCCCCAGAAGTCACCGCTTTCTACCGCTAAGGTGGCTCGGATTTCTCGAATATGGCCGGAGCGGAGGCGGAGCTCTTCACCACCCCCCTCCCGGATATCTAGATAGAAGGTCCCACTCTGGCCGGTGACATTCTGACTAAATTCATGCGTAAAATACTCGTTTTCCAAGGCGATCGCAGTCGTATTGAGCGGGGGATGCGGTTTATCCTGTTTACGGCGCACCCATTCTCCCCGCAGCTTGCCCGTGCAATTGCGATAAACGGGAAGAAGCAACTGGGAGAGGTTGAGCGCGGGGGATGCGTTGGGATCTTGGAGTCCCTTGGGAGGCTCTAATCCGGCGTCGGAGATGGCATTATGAAGTTGGTAACGAGCTCTATCCTGCACATCTCCCAGGAGGTCCCAGGCGTAACTATCGTTCTTCCTTACTCCGGGGAAAGGAAGCCAGCGGTCCTCTTGCGGGTTAAAGTCCCCATAGTTGGACTCGTTCAGCAAGCGCAGCGCATGGCGTTCCCTGGCCACTTCCCGTTGATGTTCTCGGTCCTGAACAATCAACGGTGGATGCGACTGGGAGCTGAGAAGAAGATAGAATACGACCAGGAGGAAGAAGAAGGAACCGCGGTGATCCATCAAGAATGCCAAGACGATGTAGGCATCGGAATTTGGGGGCCTCCTCGAATGACAGAGCCTAGGTTGAAAGTCGCATGGCCGTTAAAGGGGCGCAAAGACGACGGCGGAAATATACAAGCGACTAGGAGGATAGGGGAGGAAGAGAAGTTTAAATCAGGGAAGAAGAGCGTGTCAGAGACTGGACTCAGTCCAAGTCGATAGATGGATGATCGGAAGACCGAGGGAAGAGCGCGAGCGAAAGGCGGAGTCGATGATGCGACGAGTGAGTCGAGGCCTCAGGCCAGCCCCCCGCCTTGGCCCTTTTTCCGCCTCTCCTTTTGTCGATCGGTCGAACTGTCAGCTTAACTTTCCTCCTTCTTTCCTCCATTCCTGACTTTGCCCTGTCACATACCGAGTTCCAAATCCCTCAAGCGGCGCAGGCGCCCATTACTGTCTCGTCAGGCGCCTCCAATGGCGTCAAATCTCCCCATTCCTCTCCCTCCGCGCACTCCCACTCCGCCTCTGGACGACCCTCCGAAGGCCCCCAACCATGGCTCCAATCCAGGGGCTGTCGACCACGACTCGCTGTCGCCCTTGGTAGACACGTTTGCTCAGTCGCGCAGTGGTTTGGATACGGATGATAGGAAGCATTTGAGTCCTACGCGAGCGAACTTCAATCTCAACCCGTCCGACTCGGTGCAGAATGGCCAGAGCGACCCTGATCCGGCCGGGCCCTTCAATTTCAAAACTGCAACGATGGCAAAAAGTCCGGTGATCAAATCTGTATGTATTTTGATCTGAAAGCGCTCGCTTCACCTCATACGCAGAGCTATGGAACCATTTCAAGGACATAATACTGATTATCTTTGAACATAGAACATTGGCCAGCGTCGCGGACACAAGTACAAGCACAGTAGTATTTCGCATCAGATCTTTTTGGAGCCGCCCCCAAGAGCGCCCCTAGCACTACCAAACTCGCTACCTATCCCCACCTTGAAAGAGTGCCGGGCCAGTATGTCCAAGGATCAGAAAACACGATTCTGGTGGAGTGTATGCCATATGTTTGTTGCCGCCTATACACTCTGGAGTGCGCATGGATCCTTGGCCATGACCGCCCTGTCCCATCTAATACTGTTTGATTCGCTTGGTGCAATGCTTTGCGTGGCTGTGGACGTCCTGAGCAACTTCGAAGTGTGGAAGCGCTCTAGCATTCGGCATCCCTTTGGCTTAGAAAGGGCGGAGGTACTGGCTGGTTTTGCCATGTGTGTACTCCTGCTCTTCATGGGGATGGACCTCATTTCGCATAACTTGCAACACTTCCTCGAATCATCCGGCCATGAACCTCACCATTCCCATCCCCACGATCGTGTGACCGTGGGCAGCGTGGACGTCACCGCTGTGCTTGCCATCTCGTCCACGTTGGTCTCCGCTATCGGCTTAAAGAACCATGGGCGGATAGGGAAAGCGATGCGATTTGGATACATTGAGTCCCTGCCCTCGGTGCTCAGTAACCCGTCCCATTTCCTGACACTCTCGTGCTCCACGCTTTTGTTGCTACTGCCTTTGGTATCCATTCGGTTGTACAACTGGCTCGACGTGCTGCTGTCCGTGACGATCTCCATTTCTATGTGCGTCATTGGTGTGCGCTTGGTCAAGACACTGGGTTCGATGCTTCTGATGTCTTACTCCGGTCAAGGTGTGACTGATGTCATCCGGGACATCGAGGCGGATCCCTGCGTTTTCGGGATCGACGACGCACGGTTCTGGCAAGTTCATTACGGCCTCTGCATGGCGAACTTGAAGCTCCGAGTTTCCGGCAGCGAAGAGAACCTCACGCGACTCCGAGAGCGCATCTCTAGCTTGATCAGAAACCGGCTAGGCGGAGGATATGGATCTGGTGGTCAGAGATGGGAAGTGTCCCTACAGTTTACGATAGAAAGGGCATGATTGACATGACGAGCAGCTAGAAGCGCTGACCTGACACGAGCAACATCTGTACATGAATTAGGCTACATATCTACTTTATATTGGTTCAATACATAGCATCTCATATGGGTCTTGGTCTTGTGAGACCGACCCTCATTAATTATCTGAAAGTTCATTCTCCTGCACATCTTTCTTCGTCCATTCACTGCTTGTCTACTCATCTCACTCATCCTCGGAAACACAAAACACCCAATCTCTTCCTCTCCTCATCCAAAACCTCTACGAAATACCACCAGATAACCAGTCCAACAGAATGACCACCTTCCTCGACCTCCCCCTCCCCATCCGAGAGCAAATCTACCGCCACGTCCTCGTAATGGTGCGCATATTCGTCCGCCCCTTCATCTCAATGGACTATCTCTTCGACGCCAATCGCGTCAAAAACTACGGCATCCCCACGCTCGCCCTGCTCTCCGTCTGCAAGCAAGTTCACCAAGAAGCCACCCCCATCTACCTCCGCGAAAACACCTTCTCAATCGTACACATCGACCTCCTCGCCGCGGCCTGCCGCCAGTCGCCACACATCGCCCAGAACTTGAAGTCCATTCGCCACGTCGAACTCGTCTTCGATAGTCGCGATTATATCTACCTCGCGCAGTTCGTGGCCGAGCAGCTTCCCATCGTCTCTCCGGCCATTGACGCCCTGTCCCCAAGCTATCAGAAAGTGACCGTCCTTCGCGCTCTGGACGCCATGCATCTCGACTTCCCTCCCTCGGAGGGGCTTCTCCAGCGTTCGTCGCGCGCGAGCAGTACTTCTGTGTTCGTCGAAACGGAAATGGAAGTGGGAATGGAAAGCGCCCCGTCGGCATTGCATGATCGTCACATCGAGAACATGAAAGAATATCTATGGGGCCGAACGCTAACGTTCGTGCGGAAGACGTTCCGACTAGCCACGCTGCAAGTCGATCTCCGGCATTGTACGTGCGTCGAGGGGTGCTGTCGTCTGGCGGACGAGGTGCTGCGTTGGGGATGGTTTCATGTCTGGGCGAATGGTATGCCGGCGCAGGTGCTGGTTCGGGGAGCTTCTCCCGGTGAGAAGGAGGTCATTGCGAAGATCTTTGACAGGCAGAGGTTTCAGTCTGGGTTGCGGAAGGAGGAGGTTTATGAAGAAGGGAGGGTGCTGGATGGGAGGGATCTGGATGGGTATGCGAGTGTGATGAGAGGAGTTTTGCATAGGGGGAAGGGGGAAGACGGGTTGTGAGAGCTACTTATGTAGTTACTTTGATGGGCTCTGAGGGAGGGAGTTGGAGGTTAAATCAATTGCAAGACATACTCATCTATGTAGATGTACTTGGGTCGGGTTGAACTGGGGTTCAAGGGAATCAATCAAGATGTCATTCATACGCAAAGCACCAAGATGAGCAAGATCTAAGCTTTATGCTCTCTAACATGAGCTTAAACTCATATCTCAGGCTTCTCTCCTCTCGTAGAGTCGAGCAAATAAAAATGAAGAAAAAAACAAGAACCCGTCGAATTTTAGTACAAGTAATTGGTATACTGGGCTCCATTTCCCCTCGTCTCCCCTCAAGTGTCTCCAGTATCACACACCCAGCACGCAATATAGAAACAATAGCATAAAAACTCTGAGAATCGATTCGCTCTTCAAGCTTCTCATGTACACAAGCACGCGCACACACAGACACACCCTTTTTCACCTTCACGACGTCGCGGCCAGAGCACCCGTCTCATCCACCTGCTGGTCTCTTCTCCGGCGCTTCTCGAGGATGGCCTCCCGGCGCTGTGCGAGGATCTTCAGTTGTCGGCTCTCGACGCCCTGAAGCCAGTATCCGAAGCTGCCGCCGACGCCGGCGAACAGGGGGTACACCCAGAGGGATTCCTTGGCGAGGATGGGACGCATTTCGATGCCGAGTTGCCAGAGACGGACGGCGATGCCTGCGGGTGAGGGACATAGATTAGTCTGAGAGGTTCAATTGGGCGGGTATGGCCTTGCTTGATCGGAGAAGGCATGGCGTGACGGAGCAAGAACTGGTGAACACATACCGAAGCCGCCCCAGAAGAGGACTTTGTGGACCATGGTGACAGCCGGGTGATAAGAAATCGGCAGGTAATAAAATTCTCGAGATCACCGGTCGGAGGATGCGGATCGCGGCTCAACCCAGCGACGTTGAAAAAAAGCAATTGGAGGGAGAGAAGTACCGGGGCTGATCGGTCAGTCGGCGGAACAAGTCTCGAGAATGAGGTCTCTCTCTCTATCCCGTCGAATCACGGGGCGGCAGTTCCCAATCGGTGCCCGCCTTCGGATCATCGTTCCGCCGACCGCAGGGTTTCTGCCGCTGCTTTGTCTTGCGGTTGCGACAAGCTCGCATCTTTTAGTTTCACTCTGTTTGTTGCTCCCGGTTACAACGGAACTCGCCACAGACTGGGTCTCTGGTCCGGTTTTGTTTTCGCCCATGGCGGAGCCAGAGGAAATGACGGATGTGCAGGTTGCCGGCTTCAAGCGGCCATCCGTGGATCTGGATGGTTTGCAGCGGAAGAAGTTCAAGACGGAGGAGCTTCCGCTGTCCGCGACGCAACATGCGGCCATTGATCACCTATTACACGCGTTCAAAAAGAAAGGAGGGTTCGATGCGGTCCGGAAGAAGATGTGGGCGGAATTCGACGAAGGGGTATGGTTCCCGATTTTTTATTTCTTTGTCCTTGTTTGCACGTCGCAATTTACGATCCTGGCGCTAATGCCCTTCGCTTCTAGGAGGGTAAAGCGGAATTTACTAAATTGCTGGTCGAATTAGCAGAATCGGAAATCGATCGCGAACCCGCGCTTCTGTCTCGTGAGCGGGGAAAAGCCGCGACCCTGATCGAGGGTGCCGTGGATCGCAGCGATGTCTACAAGTCCGTCGAGAGGTCCCTTGATGCGCTGGCCTCGAATCACCTCCCCACGATTCTCGACTCCGTGCGCGACATCCGGCGCCAGGAAATTGGCGAAGAAGCGGCCGCTCAAGAGGAGCGCGCCGGGAACAAGACGGACGAGGACTACGCCGCTCACGTGAAGACGAAACGAGACGAACGCGAGAAGGAGTGGCAGGAGTACTTGCGCCAGCAAAAGGAAATTGAGGAGCAGGAAGCCCAGCGCAAGGAGGAGGAAGAGCGGAAGCAACGTGAGATCAAACGCCAAAAGGAAGAGGAGGAGCGAGTCCGCCGAAGAGAGCGCGAGGAACAGCGCCGCGCCGAGCAACGGCTGCTGGATGAGCAGCGGGAAAAAGATCGCCAGGAACGATATGAGCGCCGCCGACGGGAAGAGCGCGATCGATACCGTGATTATGATCGATATCGCGATAGTGACCGCAGTCGCACTCGAGACCGAGACTCAGACCGCGACCGAGACCGTTACCGCCATCGCGATCGTTCCCCCGGGTACCGTTCTGACCGCGGCCTCTCCCCACGCTATCGCGACAGCCGCAAAGATACCTCCGCCACTCCCAAGGAACCCACGCCAGCACCGCCTGCTCCTGCTGCGGCCTCTGCGCCTGTCCCACCTGTTGATGAGAAATCTCTGGAGGAAGCAGCGCTGGAGCTCCTGCTAAAAGAGGGCGAGGAGCTTGCGGCCAAAGCCCGACAGAAACCCGAGTTCGACTTCGAGGAAGCCGAAGCGATCGAGAACGGACTCAAGCCGCCCTCGACACGACCGAAGAGTTCATCGGATACCAAGCATCTCATACCCACGTCGAAGGACGACAGCCCGGCGGGCGAGTCTAGCACACATCACAAACGCAGTTCGGTGGCAGAAGATCGCCCGCAATCTACCCGCAAACGAGACGAGAGTCGGAGCCGCTCGAGGCGGAGGCATACATCTCGGATTGAGGACCGACGGGACTCGCGGGACACCGCCGATCGACCGCGAGACCGCGACTCCGACGAGAGGCTCCCGATCCGTGACTTCCGAAGTGGATACGGCGATCGAAGCTATCGACCTAGTCGGCGGAGTCGGAGCAGATCTACCACACGGGGTCAGGATGATAAAAAGCGAGATTTAGATCGCAGTCGCGACGATCGGGACCAAAGGTTCGATGGCCGACGAGATCGTAGTCGAGACCGCGACAGGGACAGGGATCGGAGGGATAGAGACCGAGATAGGGACAGGGACAGGGACCGGGACCGATATCGTGACGATTACCGTCGCCGTCGCAGCGACTACGCTCGCTCCCGATCGCGCCCTCGATATAGATCACGTACCCGCTCCCGCTCTACTCACCGTGATCGCGAACGCGAACGCGAGCGCGACCGACCCAGAGAGAGGGACCGCGACAGGGAGAGGGATAGGGAGAGAGACCGGGATCGAGACCTTCGGGAACGAAATCGTGACCGTGACCGCGATCGTGATCGTGATCGTGATCAGGAGACCTCCTCACGGCCATCCCCTTCACCGCGACGGAGATCACGCTCACGCCGTCGGTCACGATCCCGGAGACGGTCCCCCAGACGAGAGCCCAGCACCCTCGACATCGACCGTTACGTGCCCCCAACGAGCAATCGCAGCCGGTCGCCCCGTCGTCGCGTACGATCTCCCGAGCGCGAGCAGCGAGAGCGCGAAGAACGGCCGCGCTTCGGGGAAGCCGATCGATACATCCCCAGCGGAGAACGAGATCGGGAGCAGGACACCAAGGAACCGGAGCGCAATCGCGATGCTGAGGATCGACGACCGCGCAGAAGTAGTCCCAGTCGACGAAGGAGTCGCAGCCGCTAAACAGCACGCTCTCTCAATGCAATACGGTTTCGTCGGCATGTCTGTACTTTATTTTACATATGGATGTACACTAGTTAGCGACATGGCATTCTTGGGATTGGGCTGGAAATTTTGTATTATAGGGAAGTACCGAATCTTAATTCTAGTGATGAATTATGTTCATCCTCGTCTGATGCTTATGGTTATATATGAGAGACAAGCTGAAGGAAATGCTTCCAGCGCGTATAACAATGAAAACGAAAGCCAGAGCGCTCAGACCAGCAACACGCAAGAACCTCTCAGAGAAGAAAAGCAAAGAAAAAAAAGATACATGAGAAGGGAAACAAATAACACAGCCAGCCCGTCAGCAACCCCAGTCAAAAGTGAACGAACCCAGACTCAAATCACACCTCTACGCATCTTTCAACGCCAGCCGCTCCACGGCTTCCTGGTACCCTTCGTTCTCGTCATGCCGCTTATAGAAGTAGGCATTAGAACCGGACCCCGTGGGCCGGAGGTCCGGCGATAAACGGTCGAGGATGGTGCGCTCTAGCACCTTGATGGACTTTTCGTTGGCTCCGAGCTTGTTCCAAACGGAGATTAGATGCGAGTTGAAGCGTACGGACGTGGAGACGCCGAGGACGTGGTCATGTTCTAGACATATGGTTAGTTTCGTGCTCTCTAGTGGTTCAGTCCTCCGGGGGACAACAATAAACCAGGGGGGAAAAGACACGGTGGACAGGAAACATACCCTTCTCCAACACGGCCTGAAACTCATTCGCCATGCACAGGATCGCAATCTCATGAAAGAACGCCTGCGCCTTGCTCTTCGGCACACGAAACCGCCAACACCCGCCCTTCTGATTCTCCGGATCCTCCCAGACGGGTCGCACGCCCTTTCGAAAGATATGCACGGTGTCGCGCAGCCGCACCTTGTCCCAGGGGTAGTTGTTGTAGACGCGGTAGAAGGTCGCGATGTCGGCGACGTCCTCGTGTAGCACGTATAGCCGGTTTGCGTAGTCGTCGGCCGGGTCGGAGTGTTTGTCGTACCAGACGGTCCAGTGGTATTGGAATGGGAGGGGACGTAGTTTGCCGAAGATGTTCTGGTGGAGGGATTTGCGGGTTTTGGGCGTCGTCGTGGTGGAGTCGTCCGGGCTGGTGAGCTCGTCGGTGATGGGGCTGGCGTCGTTGATGTGGAGTCTGGGGAGGGACATCTTGTATATTTCTTATGCTTCTCCGGGTATAGAGAACTGGGTGTAAGGAAGAGGAAAGTATAGTTTGGTTATAGGTCGTTTAGAGCTCGTAATGTAGGTTCGAGAGATCGGGTTCTGATGCTCATGCCAGTTGGCCCGACGGTTGGGAGTGGCTCAGGGCTTAGGAGGTGGAAGAGGGCCAAAAGTAGTATATACTTGTTGGGGGATGAGAATTCGAAAGAAATAAGAAAGAAACAATCAATCTGTAGTTCGAGTCAGCCTTGAGTCATTTTATACAAGATGCAAGATCGACGAGACAAAGAGGGCAATGAAGTATAAGACGGGATCAACAATCAGGCAATACAATCAATGACAATCCATCCAGGAGAGACAAAGGAACAATTACTCTGTGAATGAATGACCCCACTAACCTTGGAAGTCTGGAACCGAGTATCGATCGATCAAGGGACATCGACAGGAACAGGACGGAGTATGACTGTGGAGTGTTGAACCACCTGGACGAAGTAGACCAAGAAACGTGTATACTTCCTTCTTATATACTTCCCACTAACAGCCCAACATCCACTCAGCACAGACAACGAGACGATCAGCGTGATTCGGAAAAGTGAAATCCCTTTCCCATTCCTTCTCATTGCTTTTCCCCTGCGCCGTTCCACCTGCGACACAAGACCCCGAAATTCGAATCCACCGCGAAATCAATCCCCACTTCTTTTCTTTCCCCGTCAAACGCCGCCAAAAGTCAAAGAAAAGAAATCCTTCTGCACGACATTTCGCCCTCTCTCACTCCCCCCCCTCTCCTCCACCTCCCCCTCCTTGCCCCTCCCTCCTCTTCTTGTCTCTCTTTCGCTCTCTCTCGCTCTCTCCCTGTCCCTGTTCCACTGGGGATCTCCAACTTTCATTGGCGAACGCAGTCATGACCGACGCAACCCGTAAGCGCCCGCAATGCGACACGCAGCGCCAATCACCCACCACGACCTCGCTTGCCCACCGGACTCGCGCGCCCTCGAGTGCTCAGCACGCCCGGCGCGAAATCTCGCCCTCTATTGAGCCCCGCGACGGCTCCGCTCCCGCCGTCAGCGTCAGCGCCAAAGCCGCTATGAATCACGGCGCTAACCATGCCGCCAACACCGACGATGATGACGACGACGACGACTACACCTCCTCCTCGGGGAGTGATAGTGACAGCGACGAGGATGAGGAGGAGGCGAGTGACAACGACGAGCACGAAAATGCCGGGCGGCTAGATCGTGACAGGGACGGTGACGTCAAAAGCCACGACGGCATGCCGCATATCTCGGGGCGCGCGAAGCCGCGGATTCATCGCGTCGAGAGGGACTCCGGGCTCGCGGCGCGCTTGTCGGCGTTTCTGCCGCAGATGAAGACGGCGAATGAGGATTTGCAGCGCGAGATTGACGCCGGTCGGGGGATGGATTTGAGGCTGGATGAGGTGGACGAGCAGAGTGAGGGGCAGTATATTGAGATGGTATGTCTTATTTTCTTTCCTCTCTTAGGTTTGGGTTATTTTGGTTTACTTTCATGAACTAAACGTAATGCTAACGCTGGTTCTGATAGAATCTCGGGCTGGGTGTCCTGGAAGAGCAACACTCCGACGACGAGGACATGGGCGAAAAGTCTGAAAAGCCTCAGAAAGACCCAGAATCGCGCTCGAAATCGGAAACGGACTCGAACGTCATGGATACATTAATGGGCAACGACGAGTCGCCCTCGTCGAAGAAGCCGACAATTCAAGAATTATAATCTTTCGTTCGATCCGGTTAGTATAATAATTGCATAGAACGGCGCTTCGGTTTGGGTTTTAATTACATGGTGCACGATATGTGGAACCGAGTCTCATCTGTACATTATCGATTGGTTTGGGGTCGCCCTGGTGCCCTACAAAAGTTCTTTCTCTTTTCTATTATATCCTCATCTGCATCATTATCTCCGGCAGCAATCTCCCAAGACGTTGATCACATTGAACCCGTACCATACACAAAACGGACCGAACAAAAAAGTCTATTGCACAGCAGAAACAGAAAGAAGAAAGAGAAAAGATGCATACATGCGCTTGGTCTAGCCTTATTTGCATGAAAAGAAGGTCAGATGGGGGACCATCTGAATGTTGTAATTAAATAGCTATACATCACCATGCCGCCGTGTCTCGTTTCGAACTCCTTAAGAGATCTCCTTCACGCGGCAGGTCCAGCCAGATTCCTGGCTCAACAAGGGCAAACTGCGGCGACCTGTCAGTATCGCAGAAAATTGAGAGAAGTCAATAAAAGAGTCTTACCTGGCACCCAAACACCAACCCAGTTCGTTGTTCTTGATCTTCTTGGCGATCTTGACCTCACGCGACAAAGGCATCTCGTAACCCGTGTGGAGCAGGCCCAGCATGAAGTTCAGGTCCAAACACCACTCCGGCCGGTCATGCAGCTGGGGAAGGGCGTCTTCGATGCCTGAAAAGATGCCCCACTGGGCCTCGCCGCCGCAGACGGTGGAGGTGAGCTGGTGTAGCTCTTCCAGGGTGAACGAGTCGGGCATGCCCAGAGGCTTGGTGCGGTCAAAGAAGTAGGAGAAGATGTAAACATCCTCCCGAGCGAAGGTCTTCTCGAGCGACGGCTGATGAACACCGTTGAAGGAGCAAGGGGCCAGCTTACACTCGGCCTCCTTCTTCAGCAGCTTCTCGGCCAATCCGCGACACTGCGCGGCCGAGGACACTCCGGGCTTGGGACCCATCATCTTGACGGTGACCTCCTTTCCGAGAGGGTGCTCGCTGGAGAAGGTCAACTTCACTTCGCGTTCCATTCCAGGGCCGATACAGGGGTTAGCAATGGGCTGATGGAGCCATGCCAAATCATTGGGGCTAGCGGCCAGCATCGACTCGACAATGGACTTGTGAATCGACTCGCGAGCCGCCATGAGACCATATCCGAGGTGGGAGTGCTGGTAAAGTTCGAAGTGTCGCCCGCCGAACTGAAGGTCATACTTGTGATCACCCTCGGCCAGGTGCTCCGGCATTCCACCGGACTGGCTCTTCTCGAAAGTGGGCTGGAAGACGATCTGAGTGGATCCACCACCCAGATCGAAGATAGCAGCGGTGGGAGTCTCGTCGGGACCGCCGATCTTGCCAAGAAGGTAGTTGGTGGTGATCCAGGCGTAGACACCTTCGTCGGAGCCGTCCATGATTTCAACGCCTCCCTTCTCCCGAGAGACGACGGGGAAGGGGTAGGCGGTCTCCAGGCGGGTCCGGACTGCCTCCAGAATGTTCTGGCTCATCTCGGGTCCAAGCATGCGCAGTCCGGCAGTGGCCTTTACGGCGACCGGGGAGCAAGACTTGTACTCGTCGGGAACAGTCCTCATGGCCACCTGCATGAGAGGGTCAAGACTCTTGGCGGCTCCTTCAGCATCTTCCTTGTAAGAGCTCAAGCCCGAGCCTCCCGCCTTCTTCTCGGTCTGCTCGAATTCCTCGTGCTCGAGTTCGGGGGTAGGGCCGCAGTTGTTAAATCGGTAGACGTGGATGCGGGAGCCTTGACTTCCGGCATCAATCATAAGCGCATACTGAATCAAAGGCTTCGACGAATCGTAAGGCTTAGAGCATTTTTCCGTCGCCCCTGCGACTCCGTTCGATGGTTTTTCTGTCATCCCTCGTTCGTTAGCATGTAAAGAATTCGAGATCCAGGCAACAATGCACCACTCACCCTGGGGAAGACTAGTCGTTACTGGCCTCGAGGGGGAGAGCCATAGGATCATCAACAGCAAGGCGCCAATAATGGCCCCTGTCTTCAGGTACCGAGATCTCTGGGTTTGAGCCATGGTGGCTTTGATCGGACTTTGCGGCTGAGAGTTTGGCAAACCGTTTGCCGGCGAATTTGCAAGGTCGGGAGCCCGCGATGCAGGGCGCCTATTTGCGCTGGAACTTGGACGTGGATAAGAATGAGTGTCTTGAAGATGTTGTCCGTCAACGCCAGTCGACATACGAGCCAGACTAAGTAAAGGGCAATGTGGCGTTTCGACCGGAGAAACGCCCTTGTGGGGGTGAGAGTGTTAAACTTTTTTTCCTTTGGGTAAAGAATCTGGTCGAGGAAAACACAGGGAGAAAAAGAACAATTAACGACCGAAAACAAACGGAGTCATGGGTCCTTGAAGAGCCTCCGGACCAGGCCAACAAAGGAGCGGAAGGGAAAAGCGGCGAGGACAGCGAAGGGAGAAACAGTTGGTGGAGTGTCAGGAGAGAGAGGGAGAGAGGGAGAGGGAGAGGGCGAGTTGTTCTGCTGGAAGTCTGGATCCGCCGTGGCGCAGGCCTCCCCGTCTGTGGCTGACCCGCTTGCGTCCAGATTCTTGCCCGTTCCCCGTCATTGCTTCACTCCAGCTATCTATCGTCCGTCATTCCCTCCGCACTGGGCCTGTTATTCAGAACCCGGTTCTAGTCTATCTCAACCTTATCACTTCAACTCTCTTCAATCTTTTTTTTTACAAACCCCCTTTTCCTCTCTCCCTCCCTCCCTCGATAGACCCATAGGGCAGGTCCCTCCTCCGACGCCATCATGAAGCACATGCGCAACCTCATCTCGACAGCGCAGGTTCTTCGCCATGTCTTCGTTACTCCTCTCCAAGTCCCTCGATTCCAAATTCCCCGCCGGGCTTTGGCCCCTACGCTCAACCAATCTCGACTCTACGCAAGCCCCCGATCGCTACCAAACCAATCGGCGCAAGCCCAAAAGCCCGCCCAGTTGATGGATGAAGACATCGAGGCTAGATTTATTCAAGTTGTGAATGAGGAGGGCGGCTTGAATCCTCCCACAATGCTCCGCGATGTGCTCGGCTCAATCGATCGCAAACAGTATTTCGTCATGCAGGTGTCTCCCACGCTGTATGACCGGCCCACCGTCTGCAAGATAGTGAGTCGGATCGAACTGCGAGAGCAGGAACGAAAAAAGGCGAAAGCGGCACACGCACTCAAAGTGTCGACCAAGCAGATTGAGTTGAACTGGGCCATCAATGCGAACGATCTCGAGTATCGGCTGAAGCAGCTGAAGACGTTCTTGCTGAAGGGTCGGAAAGTGGAGGTCATTCTGACCCGGAAGAAAGGCAAGAGGGCACCCAACGTGGAGGAGATCAAGCATCTCATGGACAGCGTGATCGAGGCCATCAAGGGTGTGAAGGCCACGCAGGTTCAACCGATGGAGGGAGTTCCGGGCAAGCACGTTGTTTTTGTGGTGAAGAAAACCGAGGATTCGGACTGAACGTGCTTTTCTGGTGAACTGGTGTACATTATTTAGCAGAAACAAAAACAATATAAACTATACTGTAACTACCCCGTTGTAAGTGAGCTTTGTGAGGCGGCCCGGGCCATACGGGTTCCTCTAAGACACAGGCAGTACACCTTGGAATGTCGGGATATCATGGTCATGGTCACACATTTTGCAGCAAAGAGGGCAGTCTATACTCCACACTTCTGTACGATCATACAATGTTATCTATTATCGTCATAATTGTCTTCATAGATATCATATCAAACTGGTTCCTGAAGGTATCCGCAATTCCGCCCACCTGATTGGCAGCGATGATGACTAAGCGCCCCTAAATTTTCGACTTCTTCGTCTTTCCGATCAGTCCAGCTCCGTCTCTTCCTCCCCATCGCGTTCTCTTTGCTTGTTCCGTCGTCTGTCTATTCTTTTCAGGGCAGTCAATATGTCGAGCATCTCTCGGTCTGCTAACCTTCTGCTGCGCTCTAGCAGGGCCTCCCTGCTGCGCCCTCGCGCTGTCAACCCTGTTCAGCATGTTTTCCTGGGGGACAAGCTGGCTGCCCGTGGCATGGCTTCTGCTTTCGAGCGTTCCAAGCCTCACGTCAACATCGGTAGGCATCCATCACTCAATCACTGTTATATCGATCCAGCTTGCTGAACGGAAGCTCTATAGGTACCATTGGTCACGTCGATCACGGCAAGGTAAGAATAACACGTCCTGTTCCTGGCTGGAATTCCCCGAAACATCCGAATTCCTTCCTAACCCATCCCAATCCAGACTACCTTGACCGCTGCCATCACCAAGTACCAGGCCTCCAAGGGCCTTGCTACCTTCCTCGAGTACGGTGCCATTGATAAGGCTCCCGAGGAGCGTAAGCGTGGTATCACCATCTCGTCCGCCCACATCGAGTTCTCGACCCAGGACCGTCACTATGCCCACGTCGACTGCCCCGGTCACGCTGATTACATCAAGAACATGATTACTGGTGCTGCCAACATGGACGGTGCTATCGTTGTCGTTGCCGCCTCTGACGGTCAGATGTACGTTTTGAGATTCCCGAAATCCTACAGGCTCCTTGAAGCAAAATATGATACTTACAGTCGTGGCAAATAGGCCCCAGACCCGTGAGCACTTGCTGCTTGCCCGCCAGGTCGGTGTCCAGAAGATTGTCGTCTTCGTCAACAAGGTCGACGCAGTCGATGATCCCGAGATGTTGGAGCTCGTCGAGCTGGAAATGCGTGAGCTCCTCAACACCTACGGTTTCGAGGGTGAAGAGACCCCTATCGTTTTCGGATCTGCTCTGTGTGCCCTGGAGAACCGTCGCCCTGACATCGGTACCGAGCGTATCGACGCCCTTCTCGAGGCCGTCGACACCTGGATCCCTACCCCCGCGCGTGACCTTGACAAGCCCTTCCTCATGTCCGTCGAGGAGGTGTTCTCTATCCCCGGCCGTGGTACCGTCGTTTCGGGCCGTGTCGAGCGTGGTGTCCTGAAGAAGGATAGCGAAGTCGAGATTGTCGGAAACACCCTCGAATCCAAGAAGACCAAGGTCACCGACATTGAGACTTTCAAGAAGTCCTGCGACGAGTCCCGCGCCGGTGACAACTCCGGTCTTCTGCTCCGTGGTATCCGCCGTGAGGATGTCAAGCGCGGAATGGTTATCGCCGCCCCTGGCTCCACCAAGGCCCACGACAAGTTCCTCGTGTCCATGTATGTCCTGACCGAGGAAGAGGGTGGTCGTAAGCACGGATTCGGCGCCAACTACCGCCCCCAGGTTTACATCCGTACCTCCGGTAAGTTCTCTCATGCTCCCACCGAATTAGCTCAGTGAACCGTTGTCTAACTCTTCATCCAGACCAAGCTGCTGATCTCACCTTCCCCGACGGTGACGAGTCCCGCCGCGTGATGCCCGGTGACAACGTCGAGATGGTCCTCCACACCATCCGCCCCGTTGCCGCCGAGGCTGGCCAGCGTTTCAACATCCGTGAGGGTGGTCGCACCGTCGCCACTGGTCTGGTCACTCGTGTGATTTAAATCTTCAGTCCTCCTTTAGGCTGAACCGACTAATTGGCTGCTATGTAATATGGAACAAAAACAGGCTTTTTCTTTCTGGGTCTCTAATTTTGCAGCGCGGGAATGAGCGAAGGCATCCGGGCAATGTTGATACACCACGAACGTGGACTACTACCGGAGTTCTTTGAGTGATGTCGATCTATGTATTGTATTAAAAACATGTAGAATTCTCTTTTTTTTCTGTTATATCTCCCCTCTTCTATCTCAGTTTAGTCTTTGAATTTTGAATACGAGTCGAATGATCTTTTAATGTTGTTTATTTGGTAGTACTCCGTATGGTAGTATAGGTCAGCGGACCGGTAAGAATGGGGTGAACATAGGTGTATGTAACACGCAATTTCCGTCCGGTCAGGCGAGGTAGAAAAAACACAAGAAACGTAACAACAATCATTCCACAATACCAAAAAAATCTAACAAGCAAAGAACAAAAAAACAAAAAAGGAATTGGGATGGAGAGGCGGGGAATCGAACCCCGGACCTTTCCCATGCTAAGGGAACGTTATACCACTAAACCACATCCCCAATTGCTTGAAATACGCTGCTGGTTAAGGACTTAAGAAGCAAAACGCTCGCATAGTCAATTTTGTTGTTTTGGGTTTGGTTGCTCTATCTTTTGAACAAGTCTGGTTTATACGTGAAAGAAGTATATGAGAGGCTTTATGCTGGACACGTCTCTATACTTCATTGTATGTTTTAGTTATGGTAATGTGTGTGTGTTGTTTTGTTACGTCCTGAATAGTTATGGGGTTTATCCACGAGTGCTAACAATATGTTTTCGGCTGGGGATGACAGTATGCGAGCATCGTGTGGCTTAGAATACAAAGCATTTGACATTGACAAACCTAATAAACGACCCGAAAGAAGAAGAAAAAGAAGCAAACACAGAAAGAAAGGAATAAGCAACTTAAATCAAGTAAAATAAAATAGAAAAAAATAAATAGTCGAGCAGACCTGGAATGTACTTTCACCTGGATACGGTAGACAGTCCATTGCTGGCAATATCAGTCCAAGAACGACAACGACCAACTCTTCCCAGGATCGAACTCATCAGCACGGACTCCCACCTGCTTATTCGTAACAAGCTTTTTGCCATCAAGCGTCAAGTCACAATTAACCTGAATACAAGCAAAAGCCCACATCCGGACCGTCGGAGACGTCCAACAAACTTCCTTGCTCAAGTCAGTGGTCGAGACCTCGCTCCAATGAGGCAATGGGATCGTAGTAGCCCGCCGATCGACGGTGGGACTGTGATGCGTGAAGATAACAACCTTCCGGTGCGGTTCGTGCGCCGCCATGTGGGCGACCTGTTGATTCAGCCAGGCGACGTCGGAGTCATGCCCGGCATTGTGGTCATCGATCGATCGCTCCCTGTTGCCAACACTGAACTGCCAGAATTCCTCAATACTGGGCTTTGACTCGGCAGAAATGTGCGAGTGCAGAGTACATCCGAGGACGGTGGTATCTGGGGAGATGTCGTATCTGGTTTGATCGAGATAGACGAATTTGCCTAGCCCGGGCTGCTCGTTGATCCTTGTTTCGAATGCACGAATTGTTTCCTTTGCGGTGTTGTAGTCCATGTCCTGGGTCTCTCGGACGCCAAGGACAAAGAAGACAATCTCGTAGCGTCGGAGCTGGTTCTCAAAGAAAGTGAAGATATCGATCTCTCGATGTAGGAAAATCCTTCGTCGGTCGACTTGACCGACGTTGCCGAGGAATGCGAGGTATGGAGCCGTGACAGGGACATCGAGGTCGCTGTATTTTGGGTGCAGGTCTGACATGACTTGCACACTGAGGGTATTCATTGTGGCCAAGGTACACTGTATTGAGGGAGCACAAAGGCGAGCTTCTCTGTAAAATTGCAAAGGGGACTTGACCGATTGTTGTACCTGATGAATCTGGTAGCCGAGAAAGAGTACGGTTCAGAGCAATGCAATGTCCAAATACAAGTGAGCGAAAGGGTATTTATAGTTTCAATAACAGGAGAGTGGCGGAAACTGTTCGTAGCAGAGTGGAATGTTGCGTTGGCACCAGAGGATGTCCTTAAAGGACAAAAGAGCAAACGAACAATGGACGGGAGACTCCGCCAGTGCCAGACAATGCTGACTGTCTTTCACAAGTATAAATATGGATACTCACAAAACTACTAATCAAACCACCTCACCACAGGGGCCTGACATGCAGTTGCTAGAAGCTTCAAGACCAACCTGCAGAGACCCCAATCGCCAAAGACGAGTATTTTGATACCAAAGGCGCAACTCAAATCATCACCGCCATAAGCGTACAATCGCAATGCCGCGCTGTTTACAAGAGCTCCAGCCACTCTGGAAGTCCCTGAAGAACCTGGCAAAAAGCAACGAAAAGATCTGCGAGGTTGACGAGTCCTCCCCAAATCATCCCTACAAGGCATGCATTCTGCTCCGCCAGGCTGGTATACCCTGCAAGGTCTGGGGCAACGACACCCAGGCCTTCCCCGGGATCCTGACAGAAGTGGCGGATCTCTACATTCTGGTGCCTGATCCAGAGCGGGCTTCGCAGGTGTTGAAGGACAACGCGTACATCCCCGCTTCACCAGCCCCGGGTCTCGAGGGAATCACCCAGTTCAGAATTGCACCCCGATTCGTGTCACCCATCCCAGCCGTCGTGCCAGCTATGAGAGCCGTGCGTTTCCCTATAGGTCAATGGAGAATGCCAACTTACCAGGGGATGGTCTTCTTCAGTACAGTGCTTCTTCCCGCGGCAGACTGGGGCTACTCCCTCGCAGAAAACGTGTCCGGACTGCGACAGCTCTTTCCGCGTCTCCACGAGCATTTCGAATGCACGGTCGAGAAGTGGCTGGATTGCACCGAAGGGGACACCAAATTACGAAGGTATCTCGCAGGCATCATTGCCTGCGAATTCGAGAAAGCGGATGAATTTCGGACTGCATGTTTCAAGAACCAGGTTCGTAAAGAACATTGGCAACTTCTGTTCGATATCCAGGAGGATGTAGCTGATCTTCAAGACCTGTTGAGAAGAAGCACTCAACTGCAATATCGCGATGTCAAGAACCGCACGCTGCAAGGTGAATTTAAGCCAACTCGGCCTTATAAAATGGAAGGAAGAATAGTCAGAGTTGGGAGACTCTTGGAGGATATGCAGAATGCGCGGAACGCGCAGATTGAGGGTGCGCAGCCCTAATGAGTATCTGCCGCGAGATTATGCAGAGAATGTCGTATCTGCAAAGTGTAAACCTCGGATCAGCTTTGTTGCAAAAATTGATTGTTATAAGACCCGACTTGACTTGAAAATGAATACTATAAGCAAAGGGATGCTCGAAAGAACGCCATTTACAAACACCAATACGTAGTACCAATAGTATGTATAGACCTTATAGATCACGAGTACCTGCCGTGATACTTTAATTCCATATGAGAGTCCCTTTCCATGACGCCATCTTCAATAAATGACGGTGGCATAAACTATTTGACGATTCAAGTGAAACGGAAGCAAAGAAGATGAAGACATGCTCTATCTACACAGAAACTGTCGGGCCGCCTACATCAATCTATTTTGCAGGACTCGGAGACTGCGCCCTAGTGCCAATAGAATAAGCGCTGGCGTTGTGCTTATTCATTCTGGTAAGACGGAGTCATGGTTTTCGATGGAATAGATGCTGCCTGTGTGTAAGAGTGGCTTTAACCGCCGCTTCTAAATATAAAAGCTGACGATAGAAGGCATGCGCAAGTACCTCTCGAGTGATTATGGGGGGCGCCTGGAATCGTCACTTTCACTTGCTGGCTTAACCAGTAGTTAGGCGCCTGTTTTATACTTGCTGCATCTCATGTTTCTGTTAGCGCTAGGAGGCTCCAAGGTAGTACTATTCCAATCTATGTGTTCATTCATCACCAGTGACTTTGATTAACTATTAGTCAACCCATATTTCGGAAGCGCCTGAGCTAGGTAACCGCTATATCTCACCCCTCAGAGGGTCTAGGAGGCTCGAGGCCCACTCATTTCTACATGATCTCCACGGTACAAAACAATGTGCTCTATATTAGGCAACAGAACTGAAAAAATTCCTGTGGTTTCCTTCGATTTTCCAAGTGCGGCGCTTATAGAGACGATCGGTCCTGTTGAACACAGCATGCATGCTCACGATACTGTCTATAAAGGAGTAGGCATCCATCCCTTTGCCCAAGATTTTGTTCATTGTTAAACAAGACTCATCCAGCCAAACTTTCATTTCCATCGCTGCTCCAAACTTCTCTGGTTCATAGATCCCCAATTCTATCTTTCCTCTTTTCCATCCTCTGGTCAACAGCATGCCCTGGCCCTCCAAGTCTTCATCGAGGGATAGCTCCCGCTCCAGCAGCTCTAGCCAGAGTAGTGAGGACTATGCCTTGAGCCTCAACATCCACGGAGATGGAAGAAGCCCAGCCAGCCCTGCTCACTGGGAAGCCATGATCCACAAACGCGGCGCGAAGGAGGGTGATCACTACCGCGTCCGCAAGAACGAGGAGTTCTATTACGACTCCCCGAAGAACTCGCGCCCGATCGATGCCGCCTACGGTCGAACTGAAATCAGCCACTTCTCGAGCTCGCGCAAGAAGGACGCAGAGCGAATCCTGAACGACTACGGCAGTAACCACGCAAATCTACCTCGTGGAAGTGCCAATTCCCAAAGCTGGACTGTCGGAGCACTTGGAGCGCTGGAACGGGAGAAATTGGCTCCAGAAGGCACGAAGCGCTATTGGAGTGGCAACGTTGGCAGACAGTCGGCTGATGTTGCGGATCGACTTCGGCGCGATGGTACATCTTGGATTTCGAATTCGGGTGCTGCGGGACAGCACCGAGGACGTGCCGAGGGACAGGCATCTCGTCCTGTTGGACGCTTGGATATCAATGCACTTTCTGGTCGGAGTGGGCGCAGTAGATGAGCACAGGTCTGGGGTCAAGGTCGCTTTCTAAGTGACGCACCCGGCTCCAGGCTATATGTTATCTATACATGTTAAGCTGCTTGTTGGTTTCGTTGGCTGGTTTCTGTGCTTGCTGTGTCCTATGTTTCTGGTTGCTTCTCTGAGAACTTTCTGTCTTCTGCTTAGTTAAGTTGCTTTTTTAATTTTGCTGTATTGTACCTGCTTGTGAAGTCATGGACCATGGTATATGCGTTGTGAAACATGCGGATCAGTTTTGCTCTCTTAGTAAAGATGTATACGCTTTGGTGACTGAAAACGTAGATGTAGTCCACCAGTTTTCAGAAGGCTAACTAACTTCCATTTCTGAGTCGTCAATTATCCGCTATAGATATCATCTATTCAGCAGTCAAGTGAGGGGTTAGAGGGCGCTAATGCAAGTGGTGCCCCCTGGGCATTGCGGCGCAGGTACCCTTCCAAATTAATACTACTGCCTACTTACACTGCTACGTCTACCACTTCACTCACTTAGAACTCTCTTGGATCCAAAGAAATCACCCAATATCATACCAGAAACCCCGATAGCGCTCTAAAATATCGCTCATGGACTCTTCAAACCCAACAGCCACCCATGGCATGTCCATCAATGTCTATGGACATGGTGACGCCGCCCTCGGCGACTCCCCATCCCACATGGGAATTGCCGTGTATGAGATCGGCTCGACAACCTGCGAAATGCATCATATTCGCAACCCAAACGACACTGATTTCATCTATGACCCGCGCACACAGCATTTTGAAGATCCAGTACTAAGAGGCCGTTGTGAGATTGCCACCTTCTCCAAGGACCAAAAGGAGCGCGCAATCCGTCTGTTTTCTGCTTTTGGTCAGGATGAATCGAATATCCCAGAGTTCGGAATTGGCAACTGTCAAGACTGGGTGGCTGCGGCAGCGTTGATGCTGGAACAGGCTGGCATTCTCAAACAAGGGGAAGGGGCTTTCTGGAAAAGCATGATTAACTCGAGTGCCGACGAAATGCGAGATAGTTGTCTTCGAACCGGAAGAGGATGGATCGCGGGGCCCGAGTCGACATTCGAAGGCGAGCCCGATGCGCGGTTCAACGACAAGGCTACAGTGCAGGTTGGCAAGCTGGCGCAGAACCCTTTGTTTCAGGCACGAATGCAGTCGCTGCTGGGTGGTCAGCAGCAGAGCCAGAAGTCAAACTCCCAGGAACCCCCGGAGCGACCTTTTTATGTTTCGAGTCCGTTTTTTAGTCGCACGAACATGGAAGGTTGAGGTGGTGAATGGTCTGATGAGTGGTGTTCTTGAACAATGAGTTGTGGTATCTATCTAGACAAGCAAGTTTTTGTGGATGGACATGTCACATTGAGTTGAATGAACCAATTGTCTGGAATGGAAGATAGGGGGCGTCAAGTCTTGTAGTATCGGTTTTGCGCATTTCACAATTCAATAATGGTGTCTACTTGTAAGGCAAGGTATATAATGCCTGAGTAATATGGCAGTAACTTGCCTTGCCCGATCTGGTCACAGAGAAACGCTAGTCCTGAACAGGAAAGGCCTAGGGTCGGCGGCGGATCTGGACTGGGTGGCCTGGATGCTCAGGCGACGAGGCGTGCCCCGGACAACGATCTCCTTGTCTGTCCACAAGACGCCGACACAAGATCGCTGCCGACCTCGGGTTCAGTCACGGCTCAGTCTTGTGATTCTTGCATCTTTCCCCCTATCATTCGGCTCGCAGGGTACATCGCATCCTCTTTATTCCCCTTGCGTTTGCTTTTACCCTCGCTCCGTCTCGGCTTCGCCACCACTTCCGCACCCTGACGTTATTCCTAATCAACCCCCCCAAATCCGCCGCGGACAGTGCTCCCATCCTCGCAACCCACGAATTAGCACCACGAGTGTTGGAAACGGAGCTCCATTTCAGAACTAAGTTTTTCGCAACTGGGTAGGAGCCCGACGGCCACCCTGCCAACATGGCGACCAATGGCCACTTCGCCGCTATAGGCGTTGAGAGTAGCGATAAGACAGCTTACGAGCATGGCGTGCAAGTGATCGATGAGAACAAGGAATTCAAGTATGTCGCTTCTTTACCTTTACTTGTCTATCCTTGTGCCACTGGGATCGTTTGGATGCCCTTTAGTAGCATAGTCATGCGACTTTGGGACTTTGGTGTTTTGGACAATTTCCAGGGGTATTCTTACCCAGAGCTAACATGAGATTACGTCCAGTCCGAACTTGTCCCAGTACCTGGGCGCCGAAAATGTCACCCCCGCCGGTTTTAACTACCACCTTATCTCTGTTTTCGGCTCGCAGTCGACCGGTAAATCGACCTTGCTCAACCATCTCTTCGGTACCCATTTCTCGGTGATGTCCGAGCTGGAGAGACGACAGACCACCAAGGGTATCTGGATGTCCAAGAACAAGAATGGCGAATCTACAATGGCGGATAACATCCTGGTAATGGACGTCGAAGGTACAGATGGTCGCGAGAGAGGAGAGGACCAGGACTTTGAGCGCAAGTCTGCCCTCTTTGCGCTGGCGACCAGTGAAGTCCTCATCGTCAACATCTGGGAGCACCAGGTCGGCCTGTACCAAGGCGCAAACATGGGTCTACTCAAGACCGTGTTTGAAGTCAATATGCAGCTTTTCCTGAAGGACAGGAGGTGCGTGACCCCCTGACCTCGGAAAATAGGGTTCGTTGGCTGTACTGACTCTGTCCTTAGTACCACCCACCGATCCCTCCTATTCTTCGTCATCCGTGATTTCGTCGGCACCACGCCGCTTAAGAACCTGCAAAGAACCCTGATGGAGGATATGTCTCGTTTGTGGGATTCGATATCGAAGCCTGCCGGTCTGGAGAATGCGACCGTACACGACTACTTCGACTTCCAGTTCTATGGCCTACCGCACAAGAGCTACCAGCCGGAGCAGTTTGTGACCGAAACGAAAAATTTGAGTCTGCGCTTTCGGGATGGCCAAAAGGATATCAGCCTGGACCCCTTGAAGGGCGAATTCTCTGAAGGAGGCGTGTTTCTTCCCGAGTATCACAGACGGATCCCGGCGGATGGATTCTCCAGATATGCGGAGGGTATCTGGGACCAAATTGTTAACAACAAGGATTTAGATCTCCCCACCCAGCAAGAGCTGCTCGCGCAATTCCGTTGCGACGAGATCCTGAGGGAGGTCATGGTCGCGTTTGACGAAGCTATCATTCCCTTTGAAGACAAGCAGTCGAAAGCCGCTAGTCTCGGTGAGCCTGAGATCCTTGGCGGGCTAGGAGCTGCGATGCGATCGTCGCGATCCAAGGCCGTGAAGAACTTTGAGACTGCGGCCAGCCGGTACCACAAAGGCGTTTATCAGCGCAAACGGGCCGAACTCGAAGGCAAGGTCGATACTCGCCTGAAGGCACTGTTTCAAGGCCAGCTCAATGCAACCCACAAGTCCGGTATTAGCGAGTTCACCGACGCAGTCTCTTCGGCAGTTAAGTCAGGACAGAAGAAGGGTACTGGCTACGATTTTGCCGAGATTGTGAATGAGGAGACGCAGAAGGCAATGCAGAAGTTTGAAGAGGTCGCCCGTGCTACAGTGATGGAAGGTACCTCTTGGAGTGAATACAAGCAGGAGTTGGCCTTGTACGAGAAAGAGCTGGCCGAAGTTAGCGCCCGACTGAGACGCGACGAGATGCGACGCCTGGCTACCAGGGTTGAGCGATGGGTCCAGTCCCGTCTGGGCGAGTCTGTGGGCCTCGAGTTCAATGCGCTGGGCTCCGGCCGGGCTGGCGGCGGTGCTCCGGAAGCTGGCGACAAGCCGACTGAAAAGCAATTCTGGGATCGCGTGTGGAACGTATTCGTCGAAACGGTTCTTGACGCGGAGCGCAGGTTCACCGACCGCGCTAGCAGCTTTGATGCCAGCTTGGAGGAGGTCGACGTCGGACTTTGGAGACTCCGAAGAAAGTCGTGGGGTGTCCTGCGGGCAAAGATCGAGGAGGAGATGATCGAGGGTAACTTGCTGCTGAAGCTTCGGGAAAACTTCGAGGACAAGTTCCGTTATGACGAGGCCGGAGTCCCCAGAATTTGGCGTCCCACCGACGACATCGAAGGCATCTACACTCGCGCTCGCGAGTCGACACTCACCCTGATTCCGCTTCTTTCAAAATTCCGTCTGGCTGAGACGTCTGCCGCACCTCCGCTGGACCGCTGGATCGGACATACGCCTAGCTCTGCCACTCCGGCCGACGAGGAAGACCTACCGCCCATCGGAGGAGTGGACGAAGAGGAAGGCAAGAGTCTAGAGGAAGAGATGACAGTCCTTAGCGATGCCAAGCGACAGGAGCTCACGGTGCGGTTCAAGAAGGCCGCAGACGGTGTGTACGTCGAGGCGAAGCGCAGCGCCATCGGCGGCATGACCCAGGTTCCTCTGTACTTCTATGGTATTCTCCTTGCACTTGGCTGGAACGAGATCCTTACTGGTAAGTTCTTTCTCTCTAACTGGGTATCCCACCGAACAACACATGACTAATAGATGCCCAGTTCTCCGCAACCCGGCCTACTTCTTCCTGCTTTTTGTTTGCGCAATCGGAGCCTACGTGACCTATCAACTGAACCTGTGGGGGCCCATCATGAAGATGACCGAAGCCGCGTCAAACCAGGCAATGACCGAGGGCAAGAAGCGACTGCGGGAGTTCCTCGAATCGTCGGACACCGGACGACAGGCCATCGCCATGTCAACTCCGGGAGGCAGTTCCGGACGTGCAGGAGAGCAGCATGAGATGTCGAACCTCAATAAACAGGGGAAGGTGGCGGAAGAAGATGACTTGTGAGTTGAGGTAACAAAGTAGAACTGTATAAGGGTCGGAACCGTGTCTTTTCTGTGTATTGTTCACACTCTGGAATTTTAGCATCATAGTGAATAGAAGCGGTGCATTGTCTGTGCAGAGATCGAAATCGTAGATGAACCGGACAAGGCGTCGGACTTGCTCCGCTCTTCCCCACTTCACCATCCTCTTTACACATTTCGTACTCCGCATTTTCTCTCCATCTCTTTTCCTCTTCTCCCTCATTTCTGTTTCTACTCCCTATATCACCCTCTAAATATCCCACAATCATGTCCGGAATCAACGACTTCCCAGAAAAGTACGACGACCTGCCCGACAAGCGGCGATACTGGCCCGCACCGGCTGGGTCGCCTGAAGAGGGACTCGGCATGTTGCGCATTCTGACGCCCGAGATCGTGGCCAAAGCGGCGCAGACCCAGATCCAAACCGGGGAACGAGTATGTCTGAATTGGGATCTTCAGAACTTGAACCCGCCAGGTAGGTTGCCCTTGCTTGGAGGGATTCGGATCTTGTCTGTTCACCGGTTCCGCAGGTTTCGGCCGCAAACCCTTTGAGCATCGCATTAAATGGGTGATGCCGGGTGTTGCTTTCGACGACGAATACCACTTCAACCCGCAGCAGTCCTCTCAGTGGGATGGGCTTCGTCACCACAATGCTCCCGCCCCGACGGCCGAGGACCAGAGCCGACGGGTGTTCTACGGAGGGACTACGGCCGAGGAGATCCAGGACCCCAAGTCATCGCGCATTGGCATCGGGTACTGGGCTAAGAAGGGCATTGCTGGTCGAGGCGTGCTGATCGATTACCTCTCGTGGGCCGAGAAGAAGGGTATCTCTGTCAATGCGCTCAGCCAGCATGCGGTGCCGCTGGACGACGTGCTGGCGATCGCGCGCGAGTGCAACATCGAGTTCCAGCGCGGGGACATCTTTTTCCTCCGAGTAGGACTACCCAAGACTTGGGGCTCAATGGATGATGCGCAGAAGCTGGCGTACAGCCAGCAGTCGGCGCCCAAGCATGCCGGCATCGAGCAGAGCGAGCGCGTGCTGCGGTTCATGTGGGACAATCACTTCGCGGCGGTGGCCTCGGACGCGGTCAGCTTCGAGGTCTTTCCACCGTTGAACCCGGAGTTTGATCTGCATCACCACCTGCTGACCGGCTGGGGACTTCCGATTGGAGAGATGTTCGATCTCGATGGATTGGCGGAAGTGTGCAAGCAGTTGGGGCGGTGGACGTTTTTCGTGTCGAGTAGTCCGTTGAATCATGCGCAAGGGGTTTCCAGTCCTCCGAACTGCATGGCGCTGTTTTAGATATCTTTCTACGATGACAATGACGATGACGATGATGTTTGTTTGTTTGCATCCCTCGATAAGCTATCACTATCGGCACGTGAGGCGGCCTTGCAGCCTCGGCATTTTTGACTTTCCCCAACGCTTTTCTTCCTGTTTCCCTCCGCATTTCGGCATTTGCCCTCGTCGCTCTTTCTTGTCGCTCCTTTTTGTCGGCGCTCCATTTCGCGGTCCTCCGTAGTCGTGTCGCTCTCTTGGCCGTTCATTTCGGTGTCTATTTTGTGCCGACGAGAAGCTGATTGATTCCCTGCGGGGACAGATAAACATTGTCGCAATAAAAGCCGTCAGGGGCAGTCGCTGCATACCAATCTATAGAATATAGCAGGATCCCTTTTCCCCGAATTAACGCATCTGAAACGTCACCTACTTGACTCGCATGATGGGCTTCCTACAATCCCTTAGCATGCAGGAGCTGATTTCGAATCTACCGCCGGTCCTATCCTGGAAGACGCTGGCCCTGGTGCTAGCAATCATCAATCTCAAGAATCTCCCTTTTGTATGGCATGTAAGTTATGCCTGATTGCCTCATAACAATTGAACCATCCATTGCAAAGAAAAACCAAGAACCCGATGCTAAAACCTCAAACCCAGCTTCGCATCCTCCACCATCTGGTCTCCAACATCCGCTGGAAAGCCGACTACCCCCATTTCCCCAAAGGTAACCCCATCGCCAACCACAGCGGCAAACCCACGCACCCAGCCTTCGCAACCTACGGCATCACCTCCCGCGCCCCGATCCTCGAAACAGACTATAACTTCCACAAGTCCAACTGCACCTACTTCTCGGATCTCGATATCGCGCGCACCGCACTCGCCACCCGCCTATATACACCCGGTTCCACGATCGTGAGCAAGGAGCTCGACGAGGAGCTCCTCGCCGCTAGTCGGGAGGAAGGGAAACCCGCTCCCGCGCGCAAGGCGATCTACATCGCGCTGGGATCCGTGTTCTGTAGCTTCAAGCGCGAGATCAAGCCGTTTGAGCGGTACGATATCGAGTCGCGGCTCGTCGCCTGGGATCAGAAGTGGATGTATATCCTGACGTTCTTTCTGCGGCCGGCGAAGACGAAGGGCGGGAAGCGGACGCTGCTCGCCTCCGCGCTGAGCAGGTACGTTATCAAGAAGGGGCGGTTGACGGTTCCGCCGGAGCGGGTGATGCGCGCGAGTGGCTTCTTGCCGCCGAGGCCGGAAGGTGGCGAGGTGGCTGCTGGTACTGCGGCTGAGACGCCGGGGACGTCGTCTGGGGTGGGAACGCCGGCCGGGGATGGCCTTGGGGCTATGGCGTCGGGTGTGGACGGGTCGTTGGTGCGTGAGGTGCTGAAGTTGGAGGATGGTGCGTCGACGACGTCGCGGGAGACGCTTGAGGCGGAGCGGAAGGCAAATATCGAGTCGTGGGATGCGGATGAATGGCCGTGGGAGCGTATCGAGCAGGAGAGATTGCGCGGGTTGAAGCTCGTCGAGGGGTTTGCGAGCACGGATGCTCTGCTTCATGAGGAGTATGAACGGTAGATTGATCTGGTGCTGTATATTGGGATATTCATGTATATATTTGAACTAAACTTTTTGGGATCACTCTTGTGTTTAGACACTGGTCATGTTGAAGGTATCAGTCTTGCTCAACTAAGAAGAGGAACTATTGACATCGTCTAAGCCCTTCCTGAATGAGGGCGAGCGTATGTTGTAAAACCAAATTATCAGGTCAATTTCATCAGGCTGTCATATTACTTCCGTCTAACTACCTATACATATCGAATCTACCCACTATTTCCAGCAACTGGGAACTGTCAGGCAGGTATGTATCCCACGTGGCCTATTAGTGTCCCACGAGACGAAAAACTTCATATGTCTACCAATTGAGCTTCTCTGCATCAGACCACCAAAAGTGTATTGTGAAATCAGTTTGGCAGAGGCTGCTGCACCCACTCCTGAACCCACTTGTGAATCCACTCAGGCTTAATCGCATCCACAGCCTGCAGCTTCTCGCTCCGTTTCGCCGTCGTCTGAGTGTCCAGGACATTATCAGGCTCTGACGAGGAAGCCAAAGACTCAAAGAACTCCAGCAGTTTGGCCGCCGGGTTCTTTTCCAGGAGCGTCTGGAGGTCGCCGTCGCCGAGCGAGGTGTGGCTTCCACCGGCGGTTTCGATGTCCTGGCGGACGCGAGAGATCCAGGCCGGGAGGGAGATCACCTCGAGGGGCTTCCCGCCCGCGAATGTGGAGAGGGTATCGGAGACTGCAGGGCGAATTGTCTCCCAGGTTGTGGGCGAGAGGTTGAGTGGGTGGGCGACGTCGACGACGGATCCCGTGGAGGAGGGTTCCTGGAGAGCGAGATCGACGAGGACTTCAGCGAGGAGGTCGATGGGAACCCAGTCGATTCGGTTCAGGGCGGGCCCGAGGGTGTCGGGGATGGCTCCGACGTGAAGAGAGCTGAGGGCTAGACTGGGGAACCATTCGGACTTGTTCCAGAGACCCGGGGATCGCACCGCGCCAGCAATCTGGCCGACTCGGGCAATCGAGGCTCGGATACCGCGAGTTCGCGCAGCCTGGCCAAGTAGTTGCTCTGCGAGGTACTTGCTGTCGGCGTAGCTGTTGGGGCCCGGCTCTTGCGTTTGAATCACCTCCTCTGGCGTTACAGCAGATGCAGAGCGATGACCCATAACGGAACTGATTGAGGAAATGAAGAATAGACGGGGCGATTGGGTACCGGACGAGCTGAAGTTGGCTAGATTCACGACACCTGCGAGGTGGGGCTTGAAGGACGAGAGGGAAAGGTTGAAGTTGACAGCCCAAGCATTGTGGATCACGAGAGTCGTGGTCTCCTGCAGGGTTTCGAAGACATCGGGCTTCAGACATAGATCTTGTTGGGATAGATCCGCAGTCCAGAAGCTGACGCGGGAAGGATCGAGATGAGAATCCAAGTTGTAGAAGCTGTTCTTCTGCTTTTGGATTGCAAGGCTGTCGGCTTTTCGGTTCAGGCAGTGAACATGGGCAACCGAAGGATCTTTCAGCAGAGCATCTAAGATGTATGTACCTAGAGTGCCAGTCGAGCCCGTCAATACCACCGTCTGGGCCTGGGCCTGGGTAGTCTTGAGCATGTCTTGGAATTCCTCAAGTAGACTGCTCCTAACATGGAGGCGAGCTTCTTTCTGGGTTTCCTCAGAAGTTTCCTGATGTTGCTGGAGTTCAATGACTGCCTGAGTCAACTCCGAGATTGACGGGTGAAGATAAATCAGGTTCGGGGTAAATTTAGGGAAGTCGAGGCCGCGCTTGAGCCGTCGAGCTGCTGTAATGGCTTGCAATGAGTCCAAACCTAGATGAAAGAAGTTTTCCGTGTCACTCAGGCTATCCTTATTCCATCCAGTAATGGAGATGAGGGTCTCTCGAATGAAAGCAGACAGCACTTGGCCATCGTTGACCCGACCCGGACCGGTCGATTCGCCATCAGCGTCGGAGGTCAATCGATCGGCATCCGCGTACAAGGACTCGAGCTCCTGCGCGTACAGCTCTAAAGTTCCAGCCCGCTGGATGGTGCCCTTTCCGGCGCGCAGCATCGGTTTCTCAGACGTGGCGAACAATATATGAGTTTTCGCGATGCGAGCATGTGCCGGGCAGACCTCGTTGGCCTCCTCGATACTCGGCCAGATCTTTTCAATAAACGCTGCTCGCTCGCTGGGGGTGAGGTCTTTACCGCCCAATTCAATTATGAGCGAGGCCTGGAACCGCTGGGCACCAGCAACCAGAACCGCGGTCACCTCCGAATTGGAAGCAGTGATGTGTTGTTCCATCGAGATGGGGTTTGTCTTCTCTCCGTTTAGGAAGACTACCACGTCATCTGCTCGGGCACTATAGCGCCAGAGGTCGGCCTTGTTCTCATCCGGATGCCGGATGAAAAGGTCCCGTGTGTGATACTCTTGCAGCTCAGGGAACACAGCGAACATCATAAGATGGGGCTCCCGCTCCGGTGAGCGCACAAAAACCAACTCATACTCATCTCCGGTCACATGGCGAAACTCAGCGCCCAGGGCTGGGTGGAAATGCATGTATCTCCAATCCTTGAGCCGGTCTCGGTAGGTGTCGGAGTGAACCAGGTTCAGTAATCCCATTTCCGAGGCTCCATATCGGTTGATAAGTCTGACCTTGGATGCTACCGCATCGCCGATAGCCTGAGGTAAGTCACCCCCGGCATATGCTAGTAGTTCTAGATGCTGACTGCAGTATTCGAGGAGCTCCGGGTTCTGAGCCAGCTCCAAGACCATGAACGGAGCGACCAAGGCCGCCTCGACGGGGGTCTTTTTCATGGCCTCAACCATCCCTGCCGCGGAGGGAAGACCAGCAGATGTCGGACAAATGACCGTGCCCCCGGCGGGCATAACAAGAAACAGTAACATGGCCAAGCCCGCTGCCTGATTTTCCGTTAGATTTGCAGGCCTGGACTGGGTTGTGTGCCTGGAAAGGAAGTAAAAGAAGCCTCACTTACATGGAACGGTGGAAGTGCCGAGAAAACCCTCTTGTTCATCATCCAATGGTCCTGGATCTCAAATCCTTCCGGTGCACCTAAAGCGCCCATCTCCATGTTCTTGTTGGCAACAGCATGGGTCCAAAAGATTGGCTTGGGGATGCCGGTTGAGCCCGATGTGTGCCTAGAAGGAGTCGATTAGGATTTGCCTGGCTTCCGAATCATCAATGCTATCAGAGGGGAAAACTTACACTACCACCAGCCTTTCCCCGGCCGCCTCTGGATAAGTTCGTGAGAATTCAAAATGGGGATAAGGTGTGTCCAATAGCTCATCCACACTTGGCACATCGAGCACATCCATCTTGAAGGCATCAAGGATGGCGGTTACGGGAGGAGGGCGCGGAGTGGGTGCTAGGAACTTTGTGCAATCTAATTGCTTGAATAGGGTCTCATGGGCTACGACGCTGTTTCGGGGAGACGTATAGAACATCTAGGACAGTCAACTATTTATTGCAGCGTACTCCAGCTTCTCGGAGTTCCCATGAGAAAGAGAGCGACAGAGAGAGAAGATTCACATACGACATATCCGGCTTTGATGGCTCCTAAAACAAGGGCCGGGTATCTCACGTCGTTGGCACCGACGTATGACAAGATTTCGCCATTCCCCGGGCCCAATTTCTCAGTCAACCACGCGGCCAAGCCATTGACCGCATTGGCCAAGCCTTGGAAGGTAACCTGGCGATACCCATGTTCATAGGTCAAGGGAGACTTGGGATATTCCGCATACAGCGCGTCTGGTTTCACCTTGGCATAGTGGTCGACAATGTGGGGGAGTAGCTCCGTTCGAGGATTGAACGTAGCGTCTTCGGAGACAGCCATTATGTCTGGCCAAGCAAAATCAGACGCTTATATACGGCGAAACAGTGGCTAGCTGGTAAAAGATGCGAAGAAGAGACGAAGGAAGAAGCTTGATTTCCGATCCAAGAAACTGTCGGCTGCGAAGGAACTATATTTATAATGACCGTGCATCACAACGAGTATTCCTCGATGATCAGAGGCCGTACTTCCTGAGCGTCCTGCATAGCCGCTCCATAATGTGACCAGGATTACGGAGTATGAGATTTTTTGTGCTTATTGCCGACTGGGGGCCATCGTCTCTCTTTTCCGTTAGCACAAATTCTTGGTTTTGGTCCAGAATCGGAACTCATGTTTGCATTATGGCTCAGCCCTCTACTCCGTACTTTCCGAGCCACGACCAAAGTAGAGTAAGGATCGGCTGTCTGAAAAGAGCCACTTATTTTGGGGGCGAGAATCGAACTGCCAGCCTGCCAGCCTGCCAGCTGGCTAATTTCCGAGAACTGAGTGCACAGGTACGCAGTAGGCGGAGTAACAAGCTAAACAAGGCTTTGTTTTAGCGGCGTTGGAGAGTGGGTCTAGGGGCCATCCGATGGGCACTTGGCTCTATGGAGTAATGAGATGTCAGGGCCCAATTTCACCCCATAGGGCCTTGGCCAGATATAAGATACCACTAAGAAACGGCCTTATTCGGTTAGGCGAAGACGCGTCGTTGGAGGTTTGGGGGCCATTATCGTTGATATTCATCCGGGAGGAAATTTCCCTTTCCGAGGTCAAACGGCCGCCCAAAAGAAGGAAGGCGTAGTAAAGTGGAATCGAATCGGATTGCTCTCAACACCACCAGACCATTTTTCTTGCAAGCGAACGAACCAGAAGGCGAGATACACCAGAGCGTCACATCGTGCCAGCCACACGATGGCGGGGTAGAGATGTCATCAAATGATTTGCTGGATAGGCGTACTGGGAGTCTGAGATCAGCCTGCCGAAACTCGGTCATTGACAGAGAGAGCCGAGTGAGATGGAAGGAAATAAAGATTGACGTCTCTCCGAATCTCCATGGACGCCGGGTCCACGGGACTCAGGGGCCTGAGCGCTCAGGCCCGCCGTTCGATTGGTTAAGCCTGACACCTGAGGCTCCAACGGCCTACCTACAGGTACTGTAAAGTGTGTACGGTGTACTCTGGAGTATAATCTTTGTAATGCATTAATGCATAATAAGTCCCTAGTATAGGTAGTGCCTAGAACTAAGGGAAGCGATAAGAAGATAGACAAGAATGAAAGCGGGGAAGAATTGCTAATCAATCCTGCATTTGTTTGGATTATTTGAGTACTTCGCATTGGGGTATACTATACAACTATTCTGACCTGACCTAGACAAACAAGAACAGGTGCAGGAACGTAATGAAAACCAAAAAAGAACAAGAAAAGGAAAAAGAGGGGGAAAAAAAAAAGAAAGAGTGGAAAGACAAAATACATGTGCAGACCTGCATCATCTCCATTGGCATCGCCCTTATCGAACGTCGATGTGGTGATTGACCATGATCTGCCCCGGTTCAACTGCAGTGTCATGCTTTCCCTCCAACTCGCCCCCTTTGGTCACGCTGACCAATCCGATAGCATCTTCCTCGTCATCTGTGGTGTTGACCATGCGCTGGAATTTGCTAGTCTGTCGTCGGCTGCTGGAACTTGCGTTTTGCTGCGCGCTGGTGTCTCCGCTACTCCCGTCGCTCGTAAGATGCAACTTGCGCCCGACGAACCGGGCCAGAGGCCGGTACGTGGGCAGACATCCGGCAATCATGTAGCCGCCGCATTCGACCACCGTCCAGAGGACAAGATCGCCACCTGCCCAGGTAAGGTCCTTTTGTGCGTCGGTCACGTAGAATTTGACAAACCGAATGATCGAAGCGATGAGACCCCTGTGAGAGAAAGTCCATGTTAGGAAAGCCCTGGCAGTAGCGACCAAGGGAGTAATAACTTACAAACTACCAAGCAAGAAGGTGATCAAGATACCTAGCTTCAGGCGGGTAGAAGCATGAAGCTCCCAGACCACCGGCATCGGCAGGATCATCATGATCACATCCGTGACAATGTTGGAAAACCCACCCCAGCGAAAGAAACTGTTGATATCGAAGCATGTGCCCTCCTGCGTCCAGTAGTAGCTCAACGGCTGACAAGACAGAAATGACGCGACGGTAGTCCCAATCCAGTTTCCAACCATGATGCCGACCACAACGTAGCAGATGATGCGAAACGGCTTCTGTGTGAATACACTGAGGTAAAGGTATATAATCGCCATTTTCGGGGGGACGACGGCTGCGAAGTAAATGATTGGGAAGGCGAGCATGAACTTGCCCTGAACGGGGATCTTCTCGGGGCTCTCTTTGACAACGCGCTGGATGTGAAGGCCGACGCCCCCATAATGCACATCCGCTGGATAGGCATTAGCTTGCGTGCACCTTGATTTGACCAGCCAAGGAGTCAAACATACCTATGGCACAGCCATTGATAACCATACAAAGGATGAACCCAAGAACAATGAACCCGTCATCCCAACCCCAATTCAACCGGCCAATCAGTTTAGAGACGCCGCGAAATGCGACCGCTAGGGTCTCGAGAATGATGAAAAGTGTGGTGACACCAAGAATAGTTCCTTGTTGGGACTCATGCAGGTACCCTGGCGAGAGATTCGTGGCACTAGCCATCGTGATAGGTTTAGATCATTGAGCAGGGAAAAGCACGAGTCGATAAGGCGGGAAGAGGGAAGAGGTAGCACGCAGGAGGAAGAGGGGGAAAGAATACATGTTCCAGCGATTAAAAACATGCGCAACTTCAGACTTCGATTGACATGGCTCTGGTCAGGCTTTCTGCATGTCAGCTGCAGATGGGGCGAAAAGTTATGGGATCGATAGCACCCCTGCCTTCATGCGTATAGATGCCGAGAAATTGCGATTTTGGGGGCTAGTTGAATAAGTATGTGGAGGTCGTTCTGCACTTGCTTTCTTCCTTTTCCATTTGATTGCCTTGGGAAGACGTTCACAATGGAAACTAGTTGACACAGCCAGAAGTAAGTTCTGCGCATGGCCATTGGTCTCTAAAACTTATCGAGCGTATTCAGCGCCAGGTAAGGGGCCGAAATGACGGTCCACCATTGATGGTGGGGGTGAGTTCAAAATTCAATGCAAGGCAAGAGACAATCATTATCCTACTCCGCAAGTAAAGAAGCGGCTTAGGGGTATCCGTAACATACTCCATAATCCATATCCTCTGGCCTTTGCTCTGTAGACCGTACGGAGTACTCCGTAGTAGAAGCGTAGACCATAGCCTCGGACAATACCCACGGAGATGGCGGGGGCCAAAAAAAGGCCACTCCTACTAAGTCTGGTCGATGGGCGGGGGTTCTTCAGATTTCAGAATCATCACTACTAGTGACTAGTGTCTAGTCTAGTCTTTTGTGCAAAAGCCCCGGCTCCACCCGTGGGCGGACTGGATCATTAGGGTAGAAAGGCGGGCGGAGCTCGTTCTGAACGTGTTCATCAGTTGGAAACTTGAACGTCTCGATGAAATATGAATGCAGGGAAGACGTTCTCGTGGGCGCCTATTTTAGACTCCAAACGTTGACCTACCGAATCCGAGAATTTGGGAAAAGAAATTCTGTCAACCACAATGCGGTTTCTCTGTTTTCATGGTAGAGGTACCACCAGCCAGGTAAGCGATTGACCCTATACACTCCCTTCTCTTGGGAATTTGCACGCATATAAGGCTTGTGACTAAGTGAATGCCAACTGCCCAGATTCTTGAGTCCCAGATCGGTGAGTCTGCCCTGTTATTCCATGATGTATATCGCGGTCGATGACTAAGTGTTCTGGCAGCGGCTCTTAGGCATGAGCTCGATAACAGCGTGCACACTTATGATTTTGTCGAGGGAACCGTTTCTGCCCCCTTGGCCCCTGGTATGTTTGTCGGCCATTTTCCACATTAGTTTTACTTACGGTATATGGAATACTGACTTGGAAGCAAGAACTTCGAGCCTTTTTCCCCACCAGTCAAACATATTTCGACTATTTTTCTGTTGAATCGGCCGACAGCGTTCGCAAGGCCCTGGAAGACTTGTCGCGCTTTATCGAGGTAGAGGGTCCGTACGACGGAATCATGGCCTTTTCGATGGGTGGTAGTTTAGCGGCCACCTACCTCGTCCAGCAAGCCATACGCCACCCTGAGAGACCCCTGCCTTTCAAATGCGCCATATTTCTTTCTGGCGCAAACCCAATTGACCCCATCGGACTGGAGGACGGTCAGGTCAGGTTATTGAATCCGGAGCTTGACGGTGATCAACTCTTGGCGGGTTTCCCTACTGCACACATTTGGGGCCGCGCTGATAAGGAGTACTGCCAAGGAAGCGAGGCACTCTTTGCGTTGTGCGATCCAAAAGAACGCACGGTATTTCTCCATGAGGAAGGCCATACCGTTCCGGGCGCAAGGGCCAAGGAGGAACTATTGGCAAGCGTCAGGGTGATTCGCAGGACGATCGGGAGGGCGGTGATGGCGGCTTAGAGTCTAGTCTCAGTGTAAAATCGCCCCATTGATTAGCCCCTTCAGCCCACAGTGTGAAAGGGGAAAGGGGAAGATTGACATCGGTATTGTATATACGAGTTACCGACATGACTCCAGTGATGAGCGAAGTGAATCCAGTGACGGGTGAAATGCCGGTCCACTAAAGTCCCTAGCAGGTAGTTAATGCATTAGCGCACAACGCTAAACTTTAGCGCCTAACGGTCGAGCCAGCATATGCCGTGGTGGAGAAATGAGTGGATGGAAACAATTGTAAATGTTGATAATATTCTCCAAGGCCTATGAAGATCATTGAACATTGCATGTCGTTTATGCGAATGAATAACCGAATGAGAGACGGGCGAAAGACCCAATGATAGTCACCAAACGTGCCACCGTATTGTTACCGAGTAGGTATGGGGTGGAGGCGAGTGACCCGGCTGACTTCTTGGATGAACCGCACGGAGTACCTGCTGGCCCTATGCTATGGCGTGAAGGCTCAAGCTCTTTGGGTATCTTCCGTCCTTCTTAAAGCCACGTATTCCCTGGCTGAATCGGTGCTTTTTTCCCTCTGTAACCCAGGTAGACAGACGTGTCCACTAATCTCTTCATTAATTCACAATGGCTCCGATTATGCTAGATTCTGGCGACCTGCTAGGTCTACCACACAATGGTTTAGGTGGACAACCAGAGGTGGTCAGCCTGGATGGCCAGTCAAATCTTGGAGAACAAGATAGGCTGGAGCCCATCGCCATTGTTGGCTACTCCTTTCGATTTCCTGGCGATGCAACAGACTCGAAAGCATTCTGGAAGATGATGATGGAGCAAAGGTGCGCCACGTCCGATACGCCAGAGGACCGGATCAGCATTCCTCAATGGCAGCACCCCGATGGCAGACGACGAGGACAAGTGAGAAGCAGCTTTTCCTTCGAACCATTGATTTTTAACTGCTGACCACTCTGCAGTACTCCTCTCATGGAGGGCACTATCTGAAAGAGGATGTGTCCCTCTTTGATGCCCCTTTCTTTTCCCTCTCCGCAGATGAAGCCGCAGCACTGGACCCGCAGCACCGACATCTCATGGAGGTTACGTATAGAGCATTGGAAAATGGTATGGTAGCTCGTGGGAGAATCTGACGTTGTGCATCGAGTTGAGTGGCACTGACCATCCTATAGCTGGTATCCCGATGGAAAAGGCGGTGGGATCTCAGACATCGGTTCACGTCGGCTGCTTTAACGGTGATTACAGGCTGATGGCGTGTAAAGATGTAGAGATGACCGCAGACTATGACGTGGTTGGCATGCAGATGAGCATGAATGCGAACCGACTGAGTTGGTTCTTCGATTTTCGAGGAACAAGTATGAATATAGATACGGCATGCTCGAGCAGTCTGATCGCATTGGACCTGGCTTGTCAGGGTTTGCGAAGCGGAGAAACAAACATGGTAATGAACTCAAGCTGGTGTCCACGTCGTCGCTAACAGAACCTAGGGTGTGGTGGCCGGCACAAACCTCATATTATCGGCAGATATGAACCAGGCATTTTCTAATGTTAACATGCTTTCGCCGGACGCTCGCAGCTATAGTTTCGACCATCGGGCCAATGGGTACGGACGCGGTGAAGGTACCGGTACCTTGGTGATCAAGCGCCTTGCAGATGCGATTCGAGACGGTGACACTATTCGCGCTGTTATTCGTTCCGCCGGATCCAACCAAGACGGCCTCACGCCATCTGGTATTATGCAGCCAAGTGGTACCGCTCAGGCCGGTTTGATCCGTGATACATACGCCAGGGCTGGTCTGAGTATGGAACCTACTCGGTTCTTCGAAGCCCACGGCACTGGCACGCAAGTAGGAGATCCAATCGAATGCAATGCACTTGGAGATGCCTTCCGTGGAGTCCGCAGCATGCATGATCCCCTCTTCGTGTACGCATAAGCCAAACTGAGTATGGACTTGGATTCATGCTAACCTCGGACTGTTAGGGGCGCGGTGAAATCAAATATCGGCCATCTGGAGGGTGCTAGTGGGATTGCGGCCGTGATCAAGACGATCCTAATTCTAGAGAGTGGCTTGATTCCACCTAACACAAACTTTGAAAAGCTCAATCCCAAGATTGATCTGGAGTTTCTGGGTCTCCAGGTAAGTGAATCTGTGTTGTTGTCGACGAGGGGGCGAAGTGAGGTGAGATTACGCTGCTGACTCATCACCACCCCTGCAAGCTGCCTCTCGCACCAACGCCATGGCCCACTCTTGGCCTGCGTCGTGCATCGGTAAATTCCTTTGGCTTTGGGGGCTCGAATGCACACGTTGTCTTGGATGATGCTTATAACTACCTCCGAAGTCACGGTCTCGTCGGGAATCACGTCACAGTTGAATACCCTCCGGTCCTCGGGGCCGAGTCTATAAACGGTGCACTGAGTGAACCGCGCACACCCCCAGCGGAGGACTCTCCCTCGGCGGTTTGGCGTCTGCCAAAGCTCTTGGTGTTGTCCTCAGCCAGCAAGGCGGGCATCAAGCAAGTCGCTATAGCATACAAGTCATATTTTGAAACCCTTGATATCTCGCCAGACCGATTCGATCAGTATGCGACCGACTTGGCTCATACATTGAACACCCGCCGAAGCGTGCTACCCTACCGAAGCTTCTGGACAGCATCTACTCTGGAAGACCTTCGGGATGTGGTAAAAAAGACGACCGAGTCCTACCAATCAGTTGAGAAGCCTGTGTTGGGCTTCGTATTCACAGGACAGGGCTCGCAATGGGCTGGAATGGGGCGTGAGCTATTCAAGTATCCCGTCTACAGAAATACCATCTGGCAATGCGAGCATGACCTCCAAAGCTTCGGGTGCCCATGGTCCTTGCAAGGTTAGTTAACTCTTGGCTCAAACTGCGCAAAGTTGCAAACGAGACTGAACAACACTAGATGAACTCCTTCGAGAAGACGCGTCGTCGAGAATTAACGACCCCGAGATTGCACAAGCCGCGAACACCGCCCTGCAAATTGCAATGGTCGATCTGTTTCACAGCGTGGGAGTCAATCCAGCCGTAGCAATTGGGCACTCATCGGGTGAGATTGCAGCAGCATATGCGGCTGGTGCTCTTTCAACGACGGAATCTATGCGTATCGCGTATTTCAGAGGTGTCTGCGCCACGAAGCTATCGCAGACGCAACAGCCAGCCGGGGCAATGATTGCTGCTAGCCTATCGGAATCAGATGCTCGTGGTTATATTGACGAGGTTGCTAAGGTGCATGGCCGATGTGGACTTCAAGTAGCCTGCATCAACAGCCAGAGGAGTGTGACAATATCGGGAGATGAAGACCAGACAGACACGCTCAAAAGTCTCCTCGATTCTTACAAAATTTTCGCTAGGAAGCTAAAAGTACCGGTGGCCTATCATTCATCACATATGAAAAAAATTGCTTCTGTCTACAAAGAGCAGATGAATGGTCTGCAGCCGACACAAAATATGCCGACAAAGTCTGATGGTTGTGTCATGATCTCTTCGGTCACGGGTGAAAAGGTTGCTTCTGAGGAGCTGCGCATGCCTCAATACTGGGTCGACAATCTCACTTCTCCTGTACAATTTGCCCAGTCGCTCCTTCGCATCTGTACGGAATCAGGCCGAAAGACCAGGAAGAAGCTTGATGGCAGCCATCGCTCGCAACTCGGGGTAAATGTTCTACTAGAAGTTGGACCTCAAGCGACGTTGCAACGACCGATTCGTGATAAGCTCGAAACTCTCTCATGGGGCCAAGAAGTCAATTATTACTCAGCTATCCGACGAGGCCAAAATGCAGCCAGCAACCTTCTAGATGCGTTAGGCCACCTTCATTGCCTTGGTCTTCCGGTGGATCTTGGGAGGGTCAACCGGCTAGATAATCCTGGTTCAAAACACGCTCGTGTGCTGATTGACCTACCAGAGTACCCTTTCAACCACTCAACTGCTTACTGGCGAGAAAGTCGAGTTAGTAGACGTCTTCGCCTTGCGGCTCAAGGGAAATTGGATCTTCTGGGAAAGCCAGTAACTGACTGGAATCCGTTGGAAGCTCGATGGCGCCATCACATTCGAGTTTCAGATATGCCTTGGGTTGAAGACCATGTCGTCAATGGAACTCTGATTTATCCTGCAGCAGGGATGCTTGTCATGGCGATCGAGGCTGCCAACCAAATGGCCTGCCCTAACCAATTGGTTGACGCATTTCAGTTACGCAACGTGAAGTTCCAGCGTGCCTTGACGGTTCCCAGGACCGCTGATGGGGTTGAGACCAACCTGCATCTCCGTACGTCAATAGATAGCAGTAGCTCTGAATCTTCGTGGTTAGAATTCCGACTCTGCTCTTTGGACGATGATGATACTTGGCAAGACAACTGCCACGGGTTTATCAAAGTCAAATATCAAAACACAGGCGATCATTTGACAGAGCGAACCCGACAGTTTGAGGACTGTTTGCAACTTGACGACTGGCTCTCCAGCACGTGCACCATGGACTTCAGCGAGAATGAATTGTACAGGTGCCTGAACCAAAGTGGGTTCGAATTCGGACCAACTTTTCAGACTGTATTCGATGGCAAATGCAGCAAAGAACACCAGGCAAGATCTTCACTGAAAGTTTTCCCTTGGCCCGCCGACCAGTACCCACAGCCTCATATCGTTCATCCCACAACTCTAGATGGCATCCTGCATTTAACTGCTGCTGCGCTCTCAGAGGGTGGACAAACAAGGGTCCCTACAGCGGTCCCGACTGGAATTCAAAATCTCTGGATCTCTAAAGAGGGTCTCAGTCATCCTTCAACCGCTGTCATAAACGCCTCTACCTGGGTCAAATCCCTGCACAGCCGAGGACATGAATTTGATATTTGTGCTATGGATGAGCAAAGAACTCGCGTACTCGCAAAGGTTGATGGACTTCAGTCAACAATCGTGGCAGACAGCCCATGGGAGTCCTTCGACAACCCTGATGATAAATTAACCGTTCATCATCTTCATCATTTCCCAGCACTAGATTTACTTGACGCCGACCAACTTGCTGAATACTGTGCGCAAAGCCGACCCCAGGATCCCGAGCCATTGAAGTATTTCAGGGACGTAAACTTTGTCCTATTCAAGTTCCTCGGCGAAGCGCTAGACAAACTGGGCGACGTCAACTCCGAGAAGGTTTTACCTCACATACAACGTTATATCGATTGGGCAAAACTTCAGCGGTCGAAATTTGAGGCAGGCGAGCTTCCACTGAGTCGCCCTGAGTGGAATGACCTTTTGCATGATACAGAGTACTTCCAATCCGCCTGTGATCGGCTCTCTGTCGCAAACGCACAAGGCTACGCGTTTGTACACACAGGGTCCAATCTGCTTCCGATTCTGCGCGGGGAGCAGGATCCCATACAGTTCCTTTGGAAGGATGACATGATGAGCAATTTCTATCGTGAATCCAACGACCGAGATGGGTGCTTTGACACTTTAGGGTTCTACCTCAGGACCCAGGCACAGCAGAATCCAGCGCTACGAATTCTCGAATTCGGGGCCGGAACCGGAGGAACCACAGCCCATATCTTGAAGGCTTTGTCCCAAGGAAGCGGGATATCTCCTGGTAGTCCTTTATACGCCTCCTATGACTATACCGATATCTCTCCGGCCTTCTTCGACGCTGCCGCCAAGCGCTTTAAGGACTTCCCGCGTATGAACTTTAGGGTGCTTGATGTAATGGACGATTTGGCCGCCCAGGGGTTCGAGCTGGAATCCTACGACTTAGTGGTAGCAGCAAACGTTCTCCACGCCACTCCTGATATCCGTGCGACAATGAGAAACGTGCGGAAGCTTTTGAAACCCAATGGAAAAGTGACGCTGTTCGAGATCACCCGCCCAGAAATTATCCGGTCAGGATTCGTCGCCGGCTTGATGGAAGGCTGGTGGGCAGGAAAGGATGACAACAGGATATGGAGTCCGGCAATGACAGGTGCCCAATGGGACACCACTTTCAAGGACACAGGGTTTTCTGGTGTGGAAATGGAGATTCCAGAATTTATCAATACGGAATGCCAGGAGAACTCTATCCTAGTCACAACAGCATCCAGCACAACCCTACTAGCGCCGTTGAACTTCTACTTCGTGTTTGATGAGAGCTCTATAACACAGAAGGGATTATACGAGCAGGCTACAGAGAGGCTGAAGTCCGAGCAGCCGGCGTCGATCATCGCCGGCGGCTCCCTGAACGAGTGCATTGCACTTCAGTCCCTTGCGAATACGACATTGATCTTTATTCAAGAAACCGAGGCACCGCTGTTGGATGGAATGAGCCAGAAAACATTTTCCCAACTTCAATACGCGGTTACTCATTGCAATTCTATCCTATGGGTGACTGCAGGCGGTGGCAGGTTCTCCCGCAGACCTGAATACACTATGGTAGATGGATGGGCCCGTACCTTGCGGGCTGAGCATGTTCATCTGCGTATGGTTACACTTGCGCTAGATGTGGTTGGTCAATCTGGTAGCAATCCGGTATCGCATATCACCCGCGTACTTACACACGAACTTCTTGACTTGGAGCGGACACAGTACGAGCCCGAATTAGTGGAAATTGATGGACTTCTCCATGTCACACGCATCAAGTCAAGTAAATCCCTGACTGATGACCTTCATGCAGCATCTCTCCCGCGCCAATTTGCAACCAAGTCCTTGGGTGATGCTGGACCTGTTAAGCTGTCATATAAAATGCCCGGTCTTCTGGACACATTGCACTGGAGCGATGACAATGAGAACTTGGAGCACACAATTCAGCCGGGTGAGGTGGAAATGAATGTGAATGCCGTGGGGTTGAATTTCCGTGATTGTGAGATTGCTCTAGGAAAGGATCCCAAGACGGCATTTGGGCAGGAGTGTGCAGGAACCGTAACCTGCGTAGGTAAGCTGTCTGGATTCAAACCCGGTGACCGAGTGGTAGCTTTTGGTCCTGGCAAGTTCAAGACTACCGTGAGGACTGGGGTGAATTCCATATGCAAGGTTCCTGATGCTCTCTCTGTGACCGAGGCAGCCAGCATTCCATCTCAGTTTGGAACAGCTTGGCATGCTATTGTCGAAATTGCTCGCCTTCAAAGGGGCGAGAGCATTTTGATCCATGCCGGAGCCGGCGGCACCGGTCAGGCAGCTATTCAGATTGCTCAATATATTGGCGCCGAGGTTTACGCCACCACAAGCACCCAAGAGAAACAGAAAATCCTGATCGATGTTTACGGAATCCCTGCCGGTCGTATATTCTACAGCCGAGATACAAGTTTTGCCGAGCCTGTTATACAGCAAACCAAGGGACGCGGCGTTGATGTCGTGATTAATACATTGGCCGGTGATATTCTTCTTGCATCATGGGACTGCATTGCAAATTACGGAAGATTGGTGGATATCGGATGCAGGGGCTCTTTGTCTTCTATGAGTCTCCCCATGGCACAGCCTGGTCGGCAAGCATCTTTCACATACTTTGACGGTGTTAATTGGATGAATGAGAGACCCGAAGCCGCAAAAAGAGGAGTCGAGACAATATTCAATCTTTTCGCAGAAGGGAAGCTTCATTTACACAAACCACTTCGCATTGAAAGTGCCAGCAATCTCGAAGATGCCTTCCGCCTGATGCAGAGCGGCAGCGTGATAGGGAAACTGGTACTCGAGATTTCCCCGGAGGCGCATGTACCAACTATTCTCAAAACAAGGGCCCCTTTCAAGCTGGACACCAATGCTACATATGTGGTTGCTGGTGGTTTGGGAGGCCTTGGAAGAGCTGTTGCGCGGTGGATGGCTTCTCGGGGAGCCAAGCATCTGGTTCTCCTTGGACGATCCGGAGCCAAAACAAAAGCAGCGCTCGCTCTGGTTGAAGACCTTGAAGTGCAAGATGTAGAAGTCAAGACCCCACCGTGTGATGTGGCGGACCCGACGTCAGTCAATCGTGTCATTCAAGAAGTGATGCAGACAATGCCACCAATCAAGGGCTGCATTCAAGGGTCAATGGTGCTTCGAGACCAACCGTTCGAGCGAATGAGTTACGAGGAGTGGCAAACGGCGGTCGACTGCAAAGTTAGTGGCTCTTGGAATCTCGAGATGAGCCTTCCTAGAGACCTTGACTTCTTCATCATGTTTTCCTCTGCCAACGGCCTTCTTGGTATACCCAGTCAATCAAATTACGGAGCTGGCAATTCTTACTCGGATGGCTTCGTCAGATATCGCGTCTCCAATGGACAAAAGGCTGTTTCACTTGACCTAGGTGTCATGAGTGACGACGGTTTACTAGCGGAGACACCCGAGCTGCTGGAGAAAGTCATCGGCTACGGTAACGGCTCGCTGCTACCTGTGTCCCGTCCCAAATTCTTGGGCCTTTTGGACCACTACTGCAACCCGGACCGGCCTCTGCTGACCCCCGAGACTTCGCAAGTGGTTGTCGGTATCGCCCCTGGAGGTGACGGGTTTGTGGGCAACACTCTCCTGGAAAAGCCACTGTTTAACCACCTAAAAATGGATAACATCACCTCCGACGACACCTCAAAAGAAGTCGAAGTTCAGTTTCAGAAGCTCTTCTCCGAGGCAACTTCGCTCGAGGAAGGGCGGGGGATTGTGGCAAAGGCCTTGATCAGTAAATTAACGCATTCCTACAAGGTCATCCCCGAGGATGCGGAGGTGGACATGGACACACCTCTGCATACATTCCGAATTGACTCGCTCCTGGCAGTGGAATTGTGTAACTGGATTAGAAAAGAGTTCGCCGCCGACCTGGCTGTTTTAGAAGTGATGGGAGGTGCGACGTTGGCGATGGTAGATGTCTTGGTGGCGACGCGCAGCCAGCTCAGACATCCCGAGTGGGTTTGAATTGCTAATTGTGTCATGGCTGGGGTTACTATACTGTGGTATATTATTGAAGAAAATTGAAATTATATGGAAGAGAAATGCCGTCATGAACTATGTAGAATCTTAGACTTGCAGAGAACCGTAGAGCGCGTGGACGCGTCGAGGGAGTGAATGTGGATGGCCCCTGCCTAATCTGGAAGTTGAGGTCTGCCGCGTGTTAGGCAGGGGCTGGTCCCCGCCCTCATCGCTCTCTTCCATCCTCAAGTCCGACTTGAATCTTATCATGTTAGACGCCACCTCCTCTATCATTGTAACATCAAATCCGATTTTCCTTGAGTCTTTGAGTTTTCGATCCCATCCATCGGTCCACCTGTTTAGTGTTTGTCGGCGCGATCCCCCGGTCTTTGCGAGATCACTTACCTTGATGAATTTGAAAACAAGCCAGGTGATTACCGTCAGTAACAGAAGGGTCCCACCGACAAGAGGATACCAGCGCCACGACGGATTGTCGGCCAGTATGTCCACATTCATTCCGAATAGACTCTACACGGGTTAGACAAGCCACAAACAGGTCCAAGAACTTACCGAGGCAAAAGTCAGCGGGAGGAAAATGAACTAGAGATGGTTAGACACAGCCTTTATCTCGAAGCAGTGGCTGGGGTCGAACCGTTATCCAACTCAGCCTCTTCATACTGGCTGCTAGGCTCGTTGACCGGTGCGCTTCGTTGATCGTTGTCCAGGCAAATTCCTATTTCATCAGCCCTCCCTGTCTCTATCCATACCATATTACTTACGATTTGGAGTAGGTCGCGAAAGGTCTGTTCAAGCTTGTCAATCTGACTAGAAATATCGCGCTCGATAGAATCGATCGTTCGGTTTATTTGCTCGCTAAACTGACGGGTTTCGCTAAATCGTTGATATTGAGAGACGAACTCGCGGGCTTGACTGAGTTGTTCAGCCAATGTGCCTTGGATACGAGTCCATATGAGCATATTCTCGGCAACGGTGTCGATCAACAACTCGTCTTTGCCTCTTGCAGTCAGTTGATGCGAGCGCTGGGACATGGTTGTTAGTGAGACATATAAGGACCACGGCGGTCAACAAAACTCACCAGCTGTGCAAGATGACGCCGCGCATCCCGGCAGTAGGTCATCCAGTCTTTGCGCCATGTATGCAAGAAAAGCTCCACAATGTCCAGATCATTTTGCGGGATATATCCGTAAGGGAGATTGCTGAAATAGTGGATGGATTTCGGAGGTGCTTCCAAAACCGACCACTCCACCACTCGCATGCTGTAGTCGTCATCACCATCGGAGTCCTGTTCTTCGTGGTTGATTGTGTGCTCATTTGCAATCTTGAGGTTCATTTGGATGGAAAGAGTAAATGTCCTGCACGGACTCTTGGTGCCTAACGAGAACCGCAGCTCGTTGGGTAGATGGCTCTTTCGGTAAGGTGACTTCCATACATAGTTTTCCCGGAAGAGCCTAGGTAGCAGGGACATGGTCAGAATGAGAACCCAACGCCGCTGGGAATGAGATAGTGCAAGGATATACTCACATGAGGTGAGTTTCGTCTATTGTCTTTGGTATATTTCGCACTTCTTCATCCAAGTCGCCATCCAAGATCCAATGCGCCTTTCTCCTTCCGTCGCGCAGGGCCACGACGTTCACAGCTATACTGGGCTCACTGCCCTTATTGTATTGTGCAAAGTCATCTTCGTCCTCTTGGAGGTCCATTATCCGAGCCCGATGGTTCAACAACGCCGTTACTACGGGGCGATTATTGTCCGGAATGGCCAATCTCATCAGTGGAACATGGGTAGAGCTATTTTGGGCGCCTAGGCTGTTCAATGTGGCCGAAAGATCGGAGCGAGTGTTCATAAGATCGGTGTTCGGTCTTTGCGCACTGCAGGGTCCGAACCAGTCCCCATTTTCCAAATCCTGAATGCTGGCTTTATGTTCCAAGAGCACCGTGACTGTAGCTCGGTCACTTTGTTGCAAAGCAATGCGCATCAAGGGCACCGAGCTATAATCATCTTCCGTCTCTAGGTTGGGCTTATATCGTTCCAGGAATGGCTTTAACAAGCGAGCCCGGCCTTCCTGGATCATGATTCGCAAAGACACAATATCACGCCTCGGGCTGCCCTTGGTTCCTGATATCAACAATTCGACAATCTCGTAATGGCTCTGTTCGATGGCATAAATTAACGGGGTCTTTCTGTACCGGTCGACGGAATTGGGATCGGCCCAGGTAGTTTGCAGCAGTTGCTCGACCAGTTGGAGATCACCACGCTCGCAGGCCCAGGAAAGAAAAGTCCGTCGAGTCCTAGTCATAGGTTCAATGCCGTTTTTCGGACCCAAGATTTTGAACCATTGCTGGAAATCAATTTGTGGTATCCCTGGATTTGGATTCGTGCCAGACTTTTTGGACGTGCTAGTTATAAACCAGCCTAGGGGAGTTTGTCCCTCATCGTCGCGAAGGTCTACGCTGGAATCATTTCCAACCAATACAGTCACCGTCTTGAAGTGCCAGTGTTCGGCTGCCCACGATAGCGCCGTTCTCCCGCGCGCATCTTTACGGTCGGGGTCAACTCTGTCCGTCGCCAGCAACAGCTCTACCACCCGATGATAGCCTTCTCCAGCGGCGTGAGACAGGGGCGTGCGACCTCGATTATCCGGCAAGTCTGGATGAACGACGTCCTTTTGTAAGAACGCATCCACCATCTGGTAGTCACCGGCCTTGGCCGCCCAGTGTAAGGGCGACTCGCCGTGAAAGTCGGCGAGCGTTGGATCCGCGCCTTTATCCAGGAGAAACTGCAAGAATTGTTCGGTCTGGTCGTGCATGGCGGGCGAATGGGCCTGGGCGCGCGAAGCCACCCACGAGAGCGCGGTCCGGCCCGTGTTATCTCGCACGTTGGCCGAAACAACGTGGAGGAGCGATTCGGCTTGTTGGATGTCTCCCCGTTGCGCCGCTTGCATTAACCGCCGGATGGGAGCATCGAGCGCCAATGAAATGGATTCTATCTCCTTCATGACTTGATTTGATTCGCTTCGCACTGGCTGAGTGTGCAGGAGATCCGAGGACCAATTCTTCAAGCAGCGGTTTGAATCCTTTGGCCTGTCAGATTTCGCTCAGCCTCAGGGAAGCGGGCTGCTTATTGGTGGGCTGCAGTAAGGGGGCGGTCGTCTTCGTCTTCAAGGGGGAATGTCTAACTATGGTCTATCCTCTATCTTCTAACGACGATCTAGTATCGAGCATATGTTACATATGAACATCCAGCTTCCCAGCCAACCCCCTCTCATGTCACCGTATAGCTCACCCGCGATGTTCCCTTGCTCCTCGAGATCTTCTTCACCGTCGTAGGATCGCAGAGATCGGTGGTTTCGACATGCGTGCCCCCACAAGGATACACCTCGGCGCCCACGATGTTCACCACGCGCGACTTCTCCCCGGCCGGCACGAGACTGCGATCCGGGATCAGCCTTTCCAAGCCCCGCGCCCGGAAATCCTCCTCATTCCACCACTCAATTTCCACCGGCATCTTGGCCGCAACGTACTCGTCCAGCTTCTTCTGAATCGATTCCTTCCACTTGCCCTCGATAAGTCCCCGGAACTCACACGACGCGGAGTCGGGGAAATGCGACGCCTTCAGCTCGTCAAAGTTCTCGACTTCCTTCTCCAGAAGATGTCGGACCGCTGCACCGAGAACATGCCCCGCGGTGTGAAATCGCGAGTAGAGTATGCGTTTCTCGACGTCAATTGCTTGCTGAACGGTCCCCCCCTCGGAGAACGTAAGAGTGGAAGACGATGACGATGAGGAGTGATTATTAAACCGGCCAAAATGCAGCACCTGTCCGTCGTTGATGGCATCCATGCGGACCGACGCCACGATGAAGGTAACTCCGGAAGAATTCACCATCTCGCCAACATCCGAAGGCTGGCCGCCTCCTTGCGGATGAAAGATGGTCTGTTCGGTGACAACGACATGGTCCTCGTCGCCACCCTGTTTGAAAAGAAGACGGTTGGATTCCTCGAGCGAGGCGAACGATCGAACCCCCGTTACGACGGTCTGAAGATGGTGGAGCTTGGCATCGTGCTGGTAGGCGAGGAAGGTGCGAGTTGCTGCGGCCATGGCGATGGGATGATCCTGGATAATTTCTTTTGACGGTCGGCTGTGGGGAGCAGGTATTGAGGGGGTGTTCGGATGTGCAAGTGCCCGACGGGTCTTGGCTCGGGGTTCAGTTAGTTCCGCAGCATGAGGTTCATTGTGGTTTATAGAGCTATCTTGGTTACAGGAAGAAATCCAGGCCAACCTAATTAGCCGGCCATGCCTGTTCAACTGACTGGCTGAGATTTTAGGTAAGAGATATCAAGGAACAAGCGTTAGTATCCTGAGTTCTCAATGCTCACTTCTCCGATACGCTCAGAAGACTGAATGTCGTATTCCGTCGAGGGTATGAGATACTCCCCGGAGTTCGGAATTCTTATAAGAATCGATCCCGTGGACATTGGCATTTCTCTAGTTCTTATTTCTCACCCTGGATCCTAATCTAATAATACATTGCTGTTGATGCAAGCCAAGCCCTGAAAAGAAGGCTGAAGCCCTGCTTTTCCCCCCGTTTGGGTCGCTGCTGGCTGCTGCCTCAGGCACCAATCACGTTCGTTCCCAAAGGGGCATGGCGTCTTCTGGCTTCTTGAAGTACATCACTGTCATCACTTCATCACTCACAAGTCGCCACCCTTTCTTATGGTGTATAGTACATGATTCATGTCACCTGTCTTGGTTTCTTGATTTGCCACACCAGACATTTATCTCACGGAGTTGACATTTGAAAGAACAGCGAAACGCGGCAAACGCCCAGCGGCCAGCAGAGTTGGGGCCGGCTCGGCAGTGGAGCTTGTTCTCCCTGGTCCAAGGCTTCGCTTTATTGCTTCCATCCCCCCACTGTCTAAATTTCCTTGGACACCGGGGCTGTCATTGGCCCCTGATGTTTCGCGTTATCAGTGGACCCGATGGTGTCATCTATCTCGCTCCCAGCTCGATCCAATCTGTCGCAATTTCGATGTCTCATTGCCATAGACAATAATTCTCGTTATCGCCATCAACCGACGTTACATTTGCCCCGTCGATATCCGGTGAACAGTCGGACTCCTGACATGGGGCCGAACCTGTTTGGTAGAATCCTGAGCGCACTCCGTTATCGTATGCTTTCATGATGGTCTCGAGCGGCAGCATCGGACTTGGTGTTAGTACGGAGAGTAACGCCCACCAAAGTGACAGTATCCCCCATCTGAGGTGAAACGGTAGACGAGTCTCCTCCATGCGGAGATAGACAAGCTTGTCTCAATGAGTTAGGGATCATCCAGGCGCTGGGGAAGCGGACGGGAAATTTCTCTGATGGACCCATCCGCCGGGACAGCTGATAAGTCAACGACAAAAAATCCAAAAGACTGGTGCTGAGTGCTCTCACGCCTCAAGTCCCTTCCGCAAACGATATGGGGCCGTCCATTCGTTGTCCACATCACAATGCAGGGTCTTTGATCCTCGAAACAGGTCAGCGCGAACGAAAGCACGCGATCGTCTGTCCATGCCACCAATGGACGAACCAATAGAATCCTTCTCATTTGTTTCCCAAGCCGATAGATCCTGGTTATCGGACTCTCCGTTTGGTGGCAAGCGGATTGCCATGAGCTGGAAGTGGGACAGAGGTAGCGTCGGCTTAGACTTCTAGACAGACACTAGAAGAGGCGCACCCACTGTGCCCGCTACGCACCTGGCAAGATAGCTAAAATCGAGCCTGTGATATCCTCCCCCCAAACCCAGTCGGAGCATGGCCTCCGAGACTAAGGCTTTTGGCCCGGACTTATTTCTCTTATCAGGCAAAACGGTCGACTAAATAGCATATGGGAGGAGTTCCTGGCGCATGGACCTGGGAGGGGAATAAGAGCACGAGGGGATCGCCCTTTCTCTTGCCAAATTTTCTTCTCCTTCTCTCCAGACTTTCGTCCCTCTATTCCTGTCAAATTCTTCCCAACATCAACGGCGTACTTCTAGGGACCGTTTATCTTTCCTTCGAAGCCCTATACTCTCCTTTGTGCGGGTAGTGCCGCAGTGTTGCAGTCATGAGCGACCCCGTTGATCCAGTCGATCTGGTGACTGTAGCTCAAGCTCATGTTCCCCAAAAGTCACTCAACGGTCCGGTATCTGAAAAGGAGACTGCAGTGGTCGCCGCGGCACCTGCTGTGGACGATGATGGACGTGAACGTCCCACACCGGAAGAAGAGCGCACTCTTCGTCGCGTTGCCGGCAAAGTTCGTTGGACGGCTTATACAATTGCATTTGTGGAGCTGTGCGAGCGATTTTCGTACTACGGTACCACAGCTGTTTGTATGTATCTCCTGGCAGGATACACAAAGGATTATAATAACTTGAGAAGACGTGAATTTCATCCAGCAACCTCTGCCCGATGGCTCCACCACCGGCGCTGGTTTCTCGGGGCAGTCGGGTGCTCTGGGAATGGGACAAAGAGCATCGACCGGCCTCAGTACTTGTGAGTCTCCGAAGTCCATGTTTGCCTTCTATGTCTGACCACCTTTACCTTGCAGTCAATACATTCTGGTGCTATGTGACACCCATTGTGGGCGCCTGGATTGCCGATGAGTTCCTGGGCCGGTTAGCAACCATTCAGGGGGCGATTGCCTTCGCCATGGTGGGACATATCATTATCATCATCTCGGCCATCCCTCAAGTAATTGTTCATCCTAATGGTTCTATTGCATGCTTTGCAATCGGTCTTGTGATCTTCGGTATAGGTGTCGGAGGATTCAAGTGATTACTCCCCGTCTGATTTGTCTGATGAGGTGCCAGGTGCTAATGCTGCAACAGATCGAATATTTCACCTCTCATTGCCGAGCAGCACAAGGAAACGAAGTTTTACATTGAAACAATCCCGAAGACTGGGGAGCGTGTCATTGTAGACCCGTCACAGACCATCACTCGCATTTTCCTCTACTTTTATTTTATGATCAACGTTGGCTCCTTAATCGGTTCGGTTGCCATGGTTTATGCCGAGAAATATGTTGGATTCTGGCTAGCTTTCACGCTTCCCACAATCATGTTCGCATTCTGTCCTCTTGTTCTTTTCGTCTGCCGAAAATACTACGATGTCACTCCCCCGACTGGTTCCGTGGCAGCGAAAGCCTTCAAGCTTTGGAGCCTTGCCCTCCAGGGCCGCTGGTCCTGGAACCCGGTCAAATTGTGAGTGATAGACCCCAGCTTTGCGCCCATGCAGCCTCCATACCTCTGTCCCGTTTAGCTCCTATTGGACTCTGTTTGAATCTGACTGACATGAGAATAGCTACAAGAACTGCAGGGCGGACGATTTCTGGGAAAGGGTTAAGCCAAGCAAGCTGCAAAATCGGCCGGAGTGGATGACCTTCGATGACCAGTGGGTGGATGAAGTGAACCGAGCTGTTAAAGCATGTATCATCTTTCTCTGGTATCCCTTATACTGTAAGTTCACAGGGTCTGTTTGCATGAACACAGCTGACGCCATTCAGGGCTCGCCTACGGCCAGATGACGAACAACCTGACTTCGCAATCTGCCACTTTGGCACTGCATGGCGTACCAAACGATATTATCAACAACTTAGACCCCCTCGCCTTGATCATCTTCATCCCTATCATGGACAGCTTTGTTTACCCGGGTCTTCGGAAACTCGGGTTCAACTTCAGCCCGTTGAAGAGAATCTACCTCGGGTTTATTGTTGCCTCCATGTCCATGGTTTCTGCTGCTGTAATCCAGTACTATATCTACAAAACGAGTCCATGCGGCGACCACCCCAGCGAATGTGACACCTCTTCGCCCATCAATGTCTGGGTACAAGCCGTTCCATACGTGCTCATCGCGTTTTCCGAAATCTTCACCTCCATCACCGGCTATGAGTACGCCTATACCAAGGCCCCAAAGAACATGAAAAGTTTAGGTATGCTGCCCATCCCCAGTCTCTATGACATACCATCCGTGTTTATTCCAGAGCTCAGAGAAAACTAACACTCCGTTTACAGTCTCATCTCTCTTCCTCTTCATGAACGCCATCTCCTCGGCTATCCAGCAAGGACTTACCGCTCTCTCCACCGACCCTCTTCTCATCTGGAACTACGGCTTCGTCGCCGTCCTTGCCTTCATCGGCGGTAACCTCTTCTACCTCACCCACTATAAGCTGGATCAACAGGAAGACGAGCTGAACCAGATCGAGGAGTCGACGTACTTGGGCCGTGGACCCCAGGCACACAATGAGAAGACCGACCCGGAGGTCTAGAGTAAAAAAAAAAACCTGGAATACTTTTGGTGTGAAAGCAATATTGTATATGAACTGGGTATTGCAATGGGATGTTGAAAAGCGGGGTGTTTGTCCCAGATGAATCTTAAGTAATGTTTAGCTATGTTGTCCATGAATGGAATGGGTTCGATTCGCTCCATAAGGGCTCATATCCTTGTTCGGGTATGAAAGGTTACTGTGCGTTTCTGGTTATGGACGCTTGAGATGCCTGCTGCCATTCACGGCCGTTTTATGTATAGTTACGCCATCACGGTAGACAATGCTGTGCGGACATGAACCAGTATAGAAAGGAAGGTGGGACGTTGGGTAAAGATGAATGTCAATGAAATTAGCATTCGAAACAGAGTACACTAAATATCATTAGATCTCGACACCTGTACAGTTTCGGGATGGTAGATAAGAAGGGATATTAAATTGTACATGATCAATGTTGAGTCTCTTGCTCGGCCTGCTTGATTGCGGCCTCCGCGACGGAGCGGTACCGAGCGCAGTACTGAACTAACCGCTTTACTCCTTCATTAGGGGTGCTTAGAATGAGAGACGAGAGGAACGTTTCCACCTGGGCTATTAATTTCACGTCATAGACTCGAGAAGCTTCGTTGGGGTTGCGCAGGATGCCGAAGGAGAGGGTCTTCGACGCGACCATCGTGTAATGGATGAGGATTCTGCAGTCGCCTTTGATTAGCTTGATAAACCTGTTCGAAAAGTTGGTTATTGCTTTACCCGATGATAGAGATGTTTCCCTCCGGCATGTACTTCATCAGATGGATCGAGTCTCTCGCGGCTCGGGCGCAGAGTGACGCCGACATGAATACGTTTTGATTTGACGGTGGAGTTGGTAACGTGGAGAGGCCGATTTTCTGTGTCAGGTCCATCCCCTTGATGAGCTCCCGGGTGACGATAAGGTGATGCATTGAAATGATGCAATTGAAGTATGAGTAGTGCGCTAGGAGAAGGAGCCCAAGCTCCGGTGATTGGGGTAATAGCAAAGGGAGCCGAGAGTCCGGTTGATACTCAGACGGGATGGCTGCTTTCCATCTTTGGAGTTCCTCATCCAGCGAGGCAACCGCAGCTACTGTCTGGGCGAGAGGTCGGTCCGTCGCTGCAGCCGAGTAGAGGCGCTTGTAAACGTGACCCTTGATCACGGCAAGTTCGCAACAGGATCGGAATACGTTAAAACTTTCTCGGTCATCTCTCGTGGGCACTAGGCCAACTTTATCGGCAGGGAATTCAGTCGGTAGATTTACCGTGATGTCTTCGTCCCTCTGTGAAGGAACGCACCCAAATCGAAGAGAGATCCTAGAATACGAATTAACATGGAGTTTAAGTGTAGAATGAAGGGAACCTGGTCATGGCATACTCTCGATCAATACAGTATGAAATCCAGAATATTCTCCGCCGTTGCTCCAATTCTTCAGGATCTAATGCCGAACTGTATGCATCGGTCCTCTCAAGTCCAATTTGATGACCAATATTGATGGCAGTGGAGATCAAGAAGCTGCAAGGTTGAGCGCTTTGAGTGCCTAGGAGGAAGAATGTCTAAACACAAAACACAACTTAGAGAGTGGCTCTTTCAAATCAGCAGTAATGTTGAATGAACTGTACCATTCCAATCAGTGCCTGGACGGCCCACAGATCAGGTGCACCGAGGCAAATCTCGGTCAAAGCTCCCAAGGCATTCTTGATAAAATGCCAGCTTTTCTGGTGGTCTGGCTGTGCCACAGATTTATCTTTGATGCGCAGGATGTACCCCATGGCGAGAACAACGTTAATGCAAGCCCAGCGGCTGGGAAATTGAAACATATCGTTTAAACCATCATTTTCGAACATTTTTAGAAGCACGGAGGGCCGAAACAGCGGGCAAAGAACATTTACGGTTTGCAAATAGTCATGAAGTAAAGACATGGCTTCCTCTTTTCGAGGTAGCGGATGGAAAGATTGCCTGGGACACGTCTCGGCGAGCGGGCTGCTTAAGACGCTGTGGCAACGGTGATCTAACAGTTCCAGGGATTCCAGCATCTCAGGATTTTCTTGGACATGGCTGGCTTCATCTCGTGAGAGTATTGTCTGCAGATCTGTCTGGGATCTTAGTCGGTCGTTCTCGCCCAGATTAGTGATTCACCCACCTACAAGGGTTGGCTTACGAGTGAGATATTGCGGAACAAAGTAAGATGCCAGAGAGTCCAATAGGGAATTTTCTATCTCGGGCGAGCTCGTAACGTTTGATTCAGTATACTCAGCTGAAACGGCAGGGGAGCGCTGTCGATGCATTCCTTCTGCAGGCCCTTCAAGGTTCGAGGGATGCGTTGTGCGATTCACATAATCTCCGCCATCGGAATACGAAGAACACGGCCTATTTTCCATAACAGAGGGATCAAGCCCGAGGTGTTGTAGACATGCTTCCATTCGTTGCAGATTTGATTCGAGACGGTTGATCAAAGACAGACTGCATGGCAAAAGCGAAACACGTTAGCAATTCCTCGGAATAAAAGCAATTGGATCGGCGATCGTATTTCAATAGATACTTTTGCCTGGTTTGTCTGACCCTCCTACTCTTTCCGACAGAGCTGGGTTTCACATCTCTCTCGTAATGAGAGCATCTTGGTCTGCTGCCGACGTCGCATCTTGGTTTCCTACGTCGACACACATCACAGGTCTCAAAATGTCTACTGTTAGAGATGGGAGGTAGAGTATAATCTGCCCAAGGAAGGAAATAGCTCACAGTTGGCTTTCCGGGGCTCATCTTGCAGCATCAATGGGATAGATGAAGTGGAAGTGGGTTGTTGCATGCAAGAGGGGGGCATTTGACAGCTGATCTCCCGTATGGCCTTTACCTCTTTGGGAGGAGTGCTGGTGGATCCGAGGTAACCATACAGGTATCGGATACCGGATGTATTCTGAAATATGAATTGAGACGGTAAGATACATGCCTACAGAGTGTATTGAAGGGTGCTAGTTATACGATTGTGACAATACTTGCTGACGGTACGCTGTGGATACCGTACCGGGCAGCCTAAGGCACTTCAACCTTAAGCTGGCACTAGGCCCGATCGGGTACCATTCATCGAAGTATGAATGAATGGATGAATGCCTCATGAGGGTCGTCTGTCACGACACCAGTCCTCATTCCTCGTCTTCCCATGCTTCGGGTGTAACCATCCCATCCCAGGATGCACTTCCTATTCATTTCCAGTTCACCCGAGTTTCTTGGCCAGGACAACCCTGTTTTCTCTCATTCGGGAAACCGGAGCCATGCATATCTTGTGTACGGAAGGAAAAGCTATCCAAGCCAAGCAAGCCTTCATTAGGAAGTCCCAGCCCCGACCCGAGTCTGGAGTTCTTCTTCTTCTTTGTTGAATCTCCTACATACTCTACCTTTCGTCCTTTCCTGCTGTCAAGAGTTACCCTCACTTTACATTTCGGTCTAGGATCTAGAGATCTCGATACGAAGATCTCGAGTTGCATCTTCTTCCGTTCGTTCAGAAACTTCTATGTGAGATAAATAACCCAATATACAGTCATTCAGTCATTCAGTCATTCTAGGCCCTTGCCTGGTCCCCTCCAACTCTTCATTTACATATAAAAAGACCACGCCCCACGTACCACCATGTCGCTACTGGGCACGATCAACCCCAATCCTCGTCGGTCTCAATCGGTGGTTAGCCATAATTCCCTGCCAGCGTCTCACGATGACAGTCCAACCCATGCCTTACCGGGAGATGAAAGTCAGCAAAAGGGTGGTATCGAGACTCTACAAGCGGAGGAGGTCAGGAGAGTGTCTACGGTCAGCTACCTAGCAGGGCAGCTCACGCGCCACTCCAATCGACTCTCGGAAAAAATCATCGTCGATAACCCATTCACCTTTGAGGACTCCGGGTCTACCACCAACCCACACAGTCCAAGTTTCAAAGTTAAGGACTGGCTGAGAATGTTGTTGGCAGTCAAAAATCATGAACCAGAGAAGTATCCGGAGCGGACGGCCGGGGTTGCGTTCAAAAACCTTAGCGTTCATGGATTTGGCTCTCCGACGGAGTACCAAAAAAATGTTCTGAACATCCTGTTCGAGATTGGAACCGTTTTCCGTCGGCTAGTTGGACTCAAAATGCCAAAGATCCAGATCATTCATGACTTTGAGGGGTTAGTCAGAAGTGGTGAAATGCTAGTTGTCTTGGGAAGGCCCGGTAGCGGTTGCTCAACTCTGCTCAAGACGATTGCTGGGGAAATGAATGGGATCCAAATGTCAGATACATCGGTGCTGAACTACCAAGGTACATAGTCCCTTGTTTCCTAACCTTCTATCTCGCGTAATGCCATTCCAGAGAACTAGCTGACTATGTACAAAAGGCATATCCTCGAAGCAAATGCAGAAACATTTCAAAGGCGAAGCGATCTACTCTGCCGAGACAGAAATCCACTTCCCCCAGCTCTCTGTTGGCGACACCTTAACCTTTGCCGCCCTTGCAAGAGCCCCTAAGAATCGGCCTGGTGGCGTGAGCGTCGAAAAGTACGCAGAGCACATGAGAGATGTTGTTATGACCATGCTTGGGCTGAACCACACTATCAACACCCGTGTTGGCAATGACTTTGTTCGTGGAATCAGTGGTGGCGAGAGAAAACGCGTTAGCATTGCAGAGGCCACTCTAAGCCAAAGCCCAATTCAATGTTGGGATAATAGCACGAGGGGTCTTGATAGCGCCAACGCATTGGAGTTCTGCAGAAACCTTGCTCGGATCAGCTGGTACTCAGGCACAACCGTCTGTCTCGCTATATACCAAGCATCGCAAAGTGCCTATGACGTTTTCGACAAGGTGACTGTGCTCTATGAGGGACGCCAAATATATTTTGGGCTGGCATCCGAGGCTAAGATGTTCTTTTTTGAGATGGGTTTTGACTGTCCAGAGCGCCAGACCACGGCAGACTTTCTCACGTCGCTAACTAGTCCTGCGGAGCGTTTAGTTCGACCAGGATTCGAGGGATGCGTGCCTCGTACCCCGGAAGAATTTGCTGCAGTGTGGAAGAAAAGCAATTCTCGCGCTCGACTTCTTAGAGAAATTGAGCACTTCGAGGCGCAGTATCCCATCGGAGGTTCTTCTTACGATGCATTTGTGAAAGCTCGTCAAGCGGTGCAAGCGAACTCACAACGAGCCAAGTCCCCATACACTATATCAATCTGGAATCAGATCAATCTCTGCATCAGCCGTGGTTTCCAGCGTCTTCGCGGAGATTTCAGCTTGACCGCAAGCACTCTAATCGGAAACCTTGTCATGGCACTAATTCTTGGTTCGATATTCTTTGATCTTCCAGATAACACCCTCAGCTTCTACTCTCGCTCAGCTCTGCTTTTCTTTGCAGTGCTTTTGAACGCGTTCTCCACCTCCCTTGAAATTCTCACCCTGTATGAGCAGCGGCCAATTGTGGAGAAGCATGCGAGGTACGCTTATTATCATCCGTGCGCGGAAGCTATCTCGTCTATAATCTGCGATATGCCCTACAAATTGGTCAACTCGATTACTTTCAATGTACCACTCTACTTTATGACAAACCTGCGGCGCGATGCCGCAGCTTTCTTCACCTTCTGGATTTTTTCTGTTGTCACATGTTTCACTATGTCAATGGTTTTCCGCACCATCGCCGCCTCGTCGCGCTCACTCTCGTCGGCCCTCGTCCCCGCCGCTATACTAATACTAGGCTTGGTGCTGTACACAGGATTCACTATACCCACAAGAAATATGCTTGGCTGGGCCCGCTGGATGAACTATGTCAATCCAATTGCTTATTCGTTCGAGAGTTTTATGGTCAACGAATTTGCTGGCAGACAGTTCCCGTGCACAACCGTCATTCCATCAGGAGGGCAATATGATGGAATCTCATTGGACCATCGCATATGTTCTACCGTTGGTGCCGAGCCTGGATCCATGATGGTGGATGGGACACGGTATCTCGAGCTAAGCTATCATTATAGCCCGGTGCACCTATGGAGAAACATGGGAATTATTCTGGGGTTCATGGTCTTCTTCTTCATCACATATGTCCTGGCGACTGAGCTCATCTCAGAGCAGAAGTCAAAAGGAGAGGTCCTTCTATTCCGCCGTGGCCACCAGTTGAAGCATCCTGATAGCGAGGACTTGGAGATCTCCTCCCAGACTTTGAGGGCGGCGAAATCTGATCCGTCCACTCCTTCTGAGTCTGCAGACATTCAAAAACAAACCTCCATCTTCCAGTGGGAAGACGTCTGCTATGACATCAAAATCAAAGGAGCTCCGAGAAGGATCCTGGACAACGTGGACGGTTGGGTTAAACCTGGCACCTGCACCGCCTTGATGGGTGTCTCAGGGGCTGGTAAAACTACATTGCTCGATGTCCTTGCAACTAGGGTCACTATGGGAGTAGTCACTGGCCAAATGCTAGTTGATGGGCGCCCTCGTGATAATTCGTTTCAGCGGAAGACGGGCTATGTACAGCAGCAGGATCTTCATCTAGCAACGTCTACTGTTCGCGAAGCCCTTGAATTCAGCGCCTTGCTGCGCCAGCCAGCCTACCTCAGCCGCAAACAGAAAATCGACTACGTTGAGGAAGTAATAAAGCTTCTGGGCATGGAGGCTTATGCGGATGCAGTTGTAGGTGTTCCTGGGGAAGGGCTGAATGTTGAACAGCGCAAGCGATTGACCATCGGTGTCGAGCTTGCTGCGAAGCCACAGCTTCTACTTTTTCTGGATGAACCTACCTCGGGTTTGGATAGTCAGACGTCCTGGTCTATCTTGGACCTGATCGATACGTTGGCAAAACACGGTCAAGCAATCCTCTGCACCATCCATCAGCCCTCCGCAATGCTGTTCCAGCGCTTTGACCGTCTTCTTTTTCTTGATACAGGAGGCAAGACCATTTATTTTGGTGAGATAGGCGAGAATTCGTCCATTTTATCAAGCTACTTTGAACGCAACAGTGCCAGAGCACTCCAACCCGAGGAAAATCCGGCCGAGTGGATGTTGGAGGCCATTGGGGCGGCTCCTGGATCTCACAGTGATATTGACTGGTTCAAGGTGTGGCGAGGGAGCCCTGAATACGTTCAGATGAAGAAGCATCTTGCGGAAATGAAATTATCTCTGTCCATCAAGCCACGAGAGAAACATGGTTCAGAAGAATTCCGTGAATTTGCTGCACCATTCTACGCTCAACTGTGGGAATGCTTGGTCCGCATCTTTGCTCAATATTATCGCACGCCCACTTATATTTGGTCCAAGGCCGCTTTGTGCATATTCACTGCCCTTTACATCGGATTCTCGTTTTATCGAGCACAGGCATCTATGCAAGGTCTACAGAACCAAATGCTCTGCATGTTCATGCTATTAACGATATTTGGGAATTTGTCACAACAAATAATGCCGAACTTTGTAACTCAACGATCTTTATATGAGGCTCGCGAGCGTCCATCGAAGGCGTATTCTTGGAAAGCCTTCATGGCTGCCAACATTATTGTTGAACTACCTTGGAACAGCCTCATGGCGCTTCTCATTTTTGTCTGCTGGTATTATCCAATTGGGCTGTATAACAATGCGAAGCCAACCGATGCCGTCTCGGAACGGGGAGCCTTGATGTTCATGCTGATTTTGACCTTCCTTCTTTTCACCTCTACCTTTGCCCATATGGTGATAGCAGGGATTGAACTTGCTGAAACTGGCAGCAACGTCGCCTCTCTGTTGTTCTCCCTTTGTCTTCTCTTCTGCGGTGTCCTCGCCACGAAAGACGCATTACCAGGGTTCTGGGTATTTATGTACCGCGTTTCGCCGTTTACCTACCTCGTCTCTGGGATGCTTTCAACAGGTCTATCCGGGACAAAGGTCACTTGCGAAGAAATTGAGTATTTGAGATTCAGCCCGCCAGCGAACCAAACCTGTCAGGAATATATGGGTCCTTTTCTCGAGATGACTCAAAATGGGTATTTGAAGGATCCGCAAGCCACGTCCGAATGTGCTTTTTGCCCGATCAGCGAGACTGATGCTTTTCTACGGAGTATATCGAGTGAGTACTCCGATGCGTGGCGCAACTTCGGCCTGATGTGGGCATATATTATATTCAACGTTGTTGGGGCAGTCTTTATCTATTGGTTGGCTCGCATGCCCAAAAAGCAGAAGGTATCGGATCCGCATAAGCGTTAAAAGACCTTCATTCAGATCTCCCTCACCACACCCCTCCACAGAGTCCTAATAACATGCGAGTGACCGCATGGCACGTGTCCTTTCTTATTAATCTTTGCTGAAATTCTATCTGCTTATATTTCGGTCATCTATCTTTGTTTACATTTGCGTTGTCTCTGTCATTTAAAGGTGTCTCATCGATTGGTTGTCGGCAAAGTGCTCCTGCGCAGACGTAGCAGGTAAATGGATCTAGAAAGGCTGTTCCAAACATGGAAAGCATAAGCTCTATGCTTTGGAATTACACCTGGCTAACTGTTCTTCTGATTACGAATAACATCTTCATATTTTTCTCCTTCTCTGGAATTGCACACTTAACATATCCTCGATATCAATCAACTCTTTGGAAGAGGAAACGCCGAAAAATATATTGAACAACCATACAAGGCAGCCACTGATGTTCCATCCCAGACAACGTAACAACCATCTCCACTATCTATCCCTACTTCTTTTTCACCTCTCCCTCCTTCCTAGGTGTGTTTCATCCTTAGCTTCCATATGATAGACGATAGCATTCTCAGACGCGAGTTGCAGTCATCTCCAAGCCTCGAGATAACAAACCAGAAACAAAAATTCAGTGTTGCACCCGATCAGTCTTCAAAGTCACCGGCAATTTTGTTGGTGCTGATTTTACTATCCAGGTTGTGAGTTCTTAACTTCTTTATACACCACGAGTTCCGGGTCTACTGTTCAGGTCCTTTACAAGTGCTTGTACTGCCCCAGATAGCGTAAGTCAAACTCTACGACGGCTCGTAGATGAAAGAATGCATTTGACATGTTTGAATTGGGGCAGCTTTGTCAGGTATGGCTTGCAGCCCTGTGGCATCTTGGTCTGGGATAAAAGACATTTCTCGTAGGTGGGAGGTGAAAGGAAATAGAGAAAAAACATTAGAAGTTAGCTCGGTGAACATATAGTGCTTACTGTGAATATGTGTAGGTAGAGGTAGGCAAAGGATTGATTAAATTGGTGATTGCGATGGTGAAGCTACTCCGTATGTTGATTGTTGAGCAAAATACACCGCTTGGCTGGCCGGAAGCCCACGGTGGGTCGCATGTGCACTAAACCATATCGGGACTAACAGACGCCTACCGCATCGATCCTAAGCTTTCACCCAAGGATCTTTGCCATCAACCACGTCCTGGTCCAGGCATCCTGTCTGTCGATCTCGGTAGATCTTTGAACCTATGTTTATTATTAGATTTGGCTACTCGATGCATCTGAATATGTAAAACGTGACGCACGTGCCGCTCAATGTGGAGTGAAACTCTTTCCTGCTCGAAGTTTTATCGTGCCGTGGATCGAGCTCCGGCATTGCGTTCTATCTCTATCGTAACTATGATGTCAATATACGCAAGTTTGAGGAATATGTCGTAGTATGGAAGCTTCAAACCAATTGAATAAAGATGGAATGTGTGAATTGGACATAATGCACTGAGTGAATCATCAACGAGCCATTCTATCGCGGAGAAAAGAGAAAGAGAGAGAAGGAGAAGAGAGAAAGTAGATATAAGGCACAGGCATATACAGAAATTGTATGAAATGTACACCACACCGTACATCCAGTGTACGTATACAAGACCAACTGTACATGCAAAGAAGTCCAAGAGAAAACGCCATTTCGCCACGCAACAGATGAGACGCGAAAGTGAAAAAGGAAAGGAAACAAGACATGATGTCACGATGTATATCCCAAGTGGAAAGCGAGCACTTTTCCCTGAAAATTGAACATTAATCATCAACATAAGGAGAATTGGGGATGGTCATTCTCCGTTGGTGACGGACATGCAGAATAGAAGGAATTAGCAGAATAGGAAAAGCTCAAAAAGCACAATTAAAGCAGAACTCTAGTTCTCCTTCTTCTCCTCGGTTGCCGGCGCCGGCGATTGGGCTTCCTCCTTGGCAGGAGCAGGAGCAGGAGCCGGAGCGGACTCCTTAGCGTCGGCATGGCCATTTCCGTGGTGGCCGTGCTCACCGTGCTTCTCATACAACGACACATGCTTCTTCTTCAATCGCTCCTCCTCGGCGGCAACCATATCCTTCCATAGGTCGCCACTCTCGGCGGACTCCTCCTGCTGAACCTTCTCCACAGCCGCTTGCTTCTTCTTTTGCTCCTTCGACGCCTCCAAGAGACCCTTGCCCCTGCGCTGGTCAGAGATCTCAAAACCGGCAGACGCGACCAGCACGGCCAGGGTCAAGCCCTGGGCGTAGACACGCGCCTGGACGATCTTCTGCTGCCCCGAAAGGTAGGGGTTGCGGCCGACAAGCGCAAAAGATCCAATCATGGAGGCGATCCAGGTCACACCGACGATCTTGTACTTCTCACGGCGGGCCCAGAGCAGCGCGCGGTCGACCATGGTCAGCTGGGAGAGCTCCTCGGAGCGCAGCCGCTGCTCGCGATTCTCGTACCATTGCATCTGCTGGTTGCGCTCAGCCTCGAAGGACCGCGAGGCGTGATCGGCGGCGATGATACCCACGAAGGTACCTGACGAGGTCACCAGGAAGGCCTTCATAGGGAGGGTGAGGTTGCGGATGGTGTGGTAACGGCGCGAGGCGAGCATGACACCCGCGGCACCCGCGGCGAGACCGCAGACGGTACCGAGACTACCGCCTTTGACGACGGAGCTGTGAAGTGATTGTTATGTTAGATTTGAGGGGTAAAAAGAGCGCGGAAGAGGCGAGAATTAAGGCGAGGAGGGGCGACAAACCTGTAGTGGGCATTCTCTTCTTCCTTAGTGAGAAGCTTCATGGTGGGCTGAGGGTGGTGGAGTTAATGAAATTGCACGGTGACGATGAGTCGAATGAAAATTAGACAGTGACAGTTCGAAGGAACGCCGACGATAATATATCCAGAGAGGATGCGGTAAAAGATGAGAATGGTAAGAAGAAAAAATCTCGAAGGCAGGAGATATTCGGAACTTAAGGCGAGCAAAGCCCGGTGACGTACGATGCACGGGATTCCCGACCTCGGGGACTCGCGGCAATAACTCGGAGTGGCTGCTGACAAACATCTCGCACGAGAAGCGCTGACTCAGACGACAACATTTCTCCGCGGTGTTCTGAACGATGTCTGATTACTCTCGATCGCAAGTCTAGATCGACTGGAATATTGTCGGAAATCAGGTCCGAACTACTACCGAAAAAAATGATACACTTATCGATGATGACATAATTTCACAACCAATTCACCCGGAGCGCCTTCACTTTCATAACATGACAAAGGAACAGAAGTACAGTGCAGATTTGGAGATCAGAAGGGGAAAAATAGGATGGGAAATTGAAAAAGGAAAAGAAAAGCATGAAGTAAGGAGCGAATGCAATGCCCAGTCTAACCAAATCACCGCCGCGATCCTGATCCCTTGGATGCAGCAATCTGGCGCGCCCGCATCTTTCGGAATCGGTCCTCTCCGCTGGCTCCCAACGGACGAGCGAATTTGCTTTCCTGCACCACCGTAGGACGGGGCACCACGGTGTAACTGGTATGTGTGATATCGGCGCGGGCACGGTTGGCCAATCGAGGAGGAAGCAATTCTCGAGCTCGTGCTTCGGCCGCGGTGGCCTGTGCCGACGGGGCACGAGAGGTAAGTTTCCTGGGATCGTGAGTCAGTATTGGGTTGAAGTCTCCGTCTTCGGGGAACGTAGACATACCTGGGGTCGAAGGCAGCTTCCTGGTATACTCGCTTAGAGTAATCGTCACTGCGTTGGAGAATAGGACGGGTCCATTCCGCAAGAAGACGCTCCGCCATGCGTTTGATACCAGGCTCGGCGCGTTTGCTCTTGGTGTAGAAAACAATCACTTTTCCGATCCCACTGGCAATCAGTGCTTCCTTGTTGATGGGAAGTTTGGCTAGCGAGTTCATCAAATCACGCTGGATGTTGTAGGCAGGCAGAGAGCCGTCGTCGAGCGGTTCCAGGAAGAACTTGACAGCCTCCAACAAGTTGATTTCGGGGTCGACCAGACTGTTGACGTATTGATTGCGGTTCAGAAGCGACACCACCTCTGGTAGCATCTTTAGCTTGTGCATGGCCGGATTGCCTTCACGTCGGCTCATCGCATCCATCTGTGCAGCGTGGGTCATGCGTTTGCGCATGTCCTCGATCTCCGCATCGGCCATTTGCTCCAGGTCCTAGACGATCATTAGTACCAAGTATGCACTTTCAGAAAAGAGATGGGACAACATACGATGCCATCTTGCTTGCGGAACCGTCTCTTGGTGGGCTTCTTCAGCGCTTCATCCATAGCACGATCAAGGGCCCGTCGACGACCTATTACCGTTAGACATCATACCAGATAATCTTCCAAGACAAAACCTACGGGTCGCCGGGTCCAAAAGTTCTTCATCTTCCACCGCCGCCTCCTTCTTCTTCCGTTCTCTTCTTCTCGAGGATGACCCCTCTCCATCACTGCCCTCCTCCAGCTCCTTCATCCGTCGAGTCTTCTTCTCTCGCCGACCTTCCCTCTTCCGCCGAGATCTCTCGCCATCGCCTTCCCCATCACGCTTGCGCTTATGCCGACCGATCAGTTTCAGGTTATCTTCGTCGATCGCTAACTGAGGACGGTCTTCGATATCGACATTCTCGGGGTCAAAGTCTTCGAACTGCGCCTCGTCGACTTCGGAGAGAATCGACTCGTCATCGGAGCCGCCGCCCGCTTTCTCGTCCGCATCGTCATCAACTAGGGCATCGTCCGCGTCGGGGCTAGCTGGCGCGGCGGGCTTGTCTTCGTCCTCGTCACCGGCGTCAGGAGTAGGCGCCTTAGTATCCTCGGCGTGATCGTCTGCGCGCCCGGGACTGGGAGCCGCGGTCGGAGAGTCGGGTTTGACTTCAGGACTGGCCGACATGTTTGTCTAGGTGTGTATGGTTGAACCGTTGAATTGGAATTGATGTGTCGGCGCTGAAAGGCGCTCCGTATGTGCTTTGCGCTAACACGGAGCAGAGATGATTGAGTAGAAAGAACGAAGTGAATCGATCGAGCTAGAGTTTCTGGTTGAGTAGACTTTCTATAACATGCAAGGATGGGTATGAAATGAAGAGAAAGGCGAAGAAAAAAAACAAAGTGAAAGGTGAGAGAAAACAGAGAAGAAAGTCGAAGAGCAAGCAGGCAAGTCGCAGCAGCAACGACGACAAAGGCAGAGAGGCCGCCGCAGAAATTCCGCCTCCGCGGTGGTCCGTGCTCGGCAGAATCTCAGCCGCTGAAAGTTCGCAAAGGCAAGACAACAACGTCCGCTTTCATCCTCAACCTTCCTCTGTCACATTTCCGTGTCTTTTTTATCCTCCTCTACACCTCCTCATACACAATGTTCGCTCCGGGTAAGTTCTCTCGCTGATCTACTTGGGCCTCGGGAATAAATCCGAGCCTGTTTGTCATGATGTACAGTACTAATGCTTCGTTTCTAGGACAAGAACAGCTCTCCAAGGAGCAGATCAAGGTAATTGGACCTCTTCGCTTGCCTTTCCTACTACAGTTCAACCATGGCTCTCAAGTTTCATAACATTCTACGGCTTGTACTGATGGTTTCTAGGCCGGTGAGGCTGAGGCGTGCCAGACGGTCAACATGGCCATTACCGGCGCCGTCTTGCTGTATCTCTGTAAGTCACACTTTCATGGGAGTCACTACCTTCACCTTTCTTCCGCAACAAACTGACAAATAAATTCAATAGCTCCCTTCGCCGTTGACTTCGTCAAGAAGTTCCTTTAAACGCTCTACAAACGGGTAGACAACATGATGACGCAGGCTAGATGGTTTTACTTTGTCTTTTCTCTTGCCTAGATCGTGGCAGGTGTATTAATATTGTACATTCGGAATTTTTTTATGATCGGTTATTAAGTGGGACAATGACAAAATGCCACTTATGGTCTTGCTTTTCTACTCTAGTAATGAGGTCTCCAACGCGGGTGAATTTGCAAATCCCAGCTCCAATAACTCCTTGCTCCGGACATCAACCATAAGCCAAAGACCACCTCGCCAAAGTTCGAAAGGTTATCACGTATTTGCAAGAGCGACCGGCACTAGGAACCGACCCGACCCTGGAGCTTCTGTGCTTCCTCGAGGTCCTTCTTGACCGACTCCATTTCCTTGTGCAGGTGCTGGATCTGGGTATGATAATCGTCCAATATCTATAAGGTCAGTTAGCAAGGCGCACAATCCTAAGACACTAAGAGGTGGGATCAATGCGTACCTTCTTTGCGGCCTTCATCGTATTCTCGTCTAGTTCGTCCTCCGCCTGAGATGCGGCACTCGGGCCGGCCCTCTCGATCTCTGCCTGTAAACGCTTCGACTGTTCCCGAATGGCGAGCATTCTGGCCCAGATTTCCTCGGCACGTCCGTTCAACGAGGGGTCGAAAACTGAGCGTTCCAACTGAGCAAGCTTCTTCTTCAATTCCTCCTCCGCGTCATCCATCGCGTAGCCTCTGTTTCGTAGGACTTGGGTCTTGGCCGCAAGGGCGAGGCAGCGCTTGCTCAGCACAAGATGTTTGCGACGGCAATCGGCAATTTTCACGGAGATCTTCAGGTCATGTCGGGAGAGTAAATCGGTGAGGCAATTGTTGATTTCATGGAGACGGGTCTGCATCATGGTGAGGAAGTCCTTCTGTCTCTGGGCTCGCTTGCCCAGTTCAAAGAAACCCTTCACCAGCACAGGTACGTAGCCCGACCCGGGTCTCTGTCGCAAGGCATCCTCCCACTTCGTATCGTCGTCATCTGCGCTTGGCTGGTAGAAGGGCGCCGCCTCCTCGCCGACATTGTTATACAAGTAAGTTCGGAAGGGGGAAGAGCGAGTGTTGGCGTCCCATTTTTCCCTGACAATTTGCATCTGCATCGGAACGGTTCGGTGTACTACTTTGAGTCAGCATGCCATATCTCCAAGAGCGAAAGTTGAACGAGACCGAGTTGCTTACCTCCGGTAACCGCACGACCCGGGGACCAGAGACTGGACCCTTGCTGCTGCTGCCCTATCGTCTGTCCTAACTGAGGCTGTTGCTGTTGCTGTTGTGCTTGGGGTTGCTGCTGTTGTTGCTGTGGCTGACCGGCTTGTTGCTGACCTCCAAGCAACGAACCCCCGAACAAACTCGGTTGCGGGGGCTGCTGTTGCGTGGAACTTCCGCCCAATGTTCCGAATGGACTCGAATTCTGTTGTTGCTGACCTCCTAGACCACCGAACAAGGACCCCGCAGGTTTCGCCGGCTGGGTCACCGCCGACCCGAAAATGGTGCCAGTGTTCTGCTGTTGCTGAGGCTGTTGCTGGGTTGTGGTAGAACCGAAAAGTCCACCTCCTGTCGAGCCCTGCTGGTTCTGCGACTGTCCTCCCAGAAGGCCCCCGCCCTGTTGATTCCCTGTGGTGTTCGAGCCGAAGAGGCCGGTTCCAGAAGTGCCAGTGCTGCCGAAGGGGCTAGGTTTGGCGACGGCAGCTCCAAATGGGCTGGGGTTGGCGCCCGCCTGAGGCTGAGCTGCTGCACCTCCAAAGAGCGACATTGGCGCAGATGTTGTGAAGACCTGAGAATACTTCGGCTCTTCGAGGTATCGTGGTTGACGAAAACTTCTCGTACAGTTAGTCGCTCGAGCAACAAACGTCGAGAACTTAGAGGCTGATGTCGGCGACGGGCTGTGAGGAAATATGGCCTAAGGCGGTCACTCAAGTCGGGCTATCGGCTCTGCACCAAGCTCAAGTTCGGGATAATTCAATTGCTCAAATCGGCATCGTGGGGCAGCAAGGCCGTTTGATTTGTAGGAGGGAGCAATTGCGCTGTCGCACCGGGACTGTTGTGATGGACGGCCGCTGCTTTGTTTTTCGCAGTCACGTGAGAGCTGTCCAGGTGCTTACCAGAAGGGCTTAGCGCGGGTTCTCTTCTGCTCCATGCTCGATGACTATTTCAGCAACCATCGCTTCCTTCCCCAATTTACTTGAGGGAGAAGGCTTTGGGCGTCAATACGGACTGGAGAACCAACTAGGGTCCATCCATACTCGCTGATGTGTATCCCGATCTAGTACTAGCTGGGTTAACTAGCTAAGGCCTATAGACCTGGCCGCAGCCACATCCCTCACTACGATCACTCATTTGGCGGAGCCAAAGCCCAGACCTTCACTATCGTATAGTCGTTTCTGCAATATCACATCTTAGGCTCACCCCTTACACAAACTCGTATCATAGTTCATAGACTCCCGTATACTTCGGACTGACATTGTGCACCAGTATAATTACATAATCCCGCACAATAGTCTTTCCGCCTCAGGCATAAACCCGTACATAAACCCGAATCTTACCTAATCCCCTGGCCATCAGCCAATCATAAGCAAGCAAAAACCGACCACGGCCGACCACTCAATTCCCATCCGTCACTCCTCCTCACGACCTCGTCCACCCCCAATTCCTCCAACGCAACCCTTCCTCCTCAATTGGCCCTAACCAGCAATCATGGCGACCCGGGAGCCCCAGTACGTTCATCCTCTGCCCCCCCTCTTGCACCACCCTCCCCCAGCCGCTTCCCCGGGCGGGAAGGGGCCCTAAGGAAACAAACCTCGGTGTCGGAAGTTCAAGGAAGAGATAGACAAAGCTGGAATTGCAGCTGCAGCTCATAAGAATACCTCCCCAATGGCTTGAACCCGACACCGAAACGAATCGAGCAGAAAAGAAGCGAAGCGGAATGGGGAAACAGAAACCAGCTGGCTAACGCATCCCGGACAATGAAAACAGGTTCAACCAGCAAGTCCTCGTGGACACCACGCCCATGCCGGCGCATATCCCCAAGGTGGACGAGATCGGGGCCACGAGTGCGCCGCTGACCAGCGCGGCTTATTTCATTGGGGACCGGTGCAAGGCGTACAACGATGACTTTATGAAGTGTAAGATGGAGGCCAACGGGAAGGGCGAGACGGAGTGCTTGAAGGAGGGGAGGAAGGTGACGAGGTGTGCGGCTAGTGTGTATGTTTCTCTCTTCATTTCCTATCTTGGCCTGTGGCTAGTTTTTACTCTTCCATCGTTGGGAGATGTAGTTACTTGACCTAGGAGGCTGGAGCAGATCGGAAAGCTAACCGTACAGACAGGATCAAGGATATCAACACCCACTGCTTGAAGCAGTTCACGGCCCACTGGGAGTGTCTGGAGAACCACAACCACCACCTGTGGGACTGCCGAAAGGCCGAGCAGGATCTGAATTCGTGTGTTTTCGAGAAATTGGTACGTACCTCCGCTTGGCTTGCTTTCCTCAGTTACTCCTTTCGATATCATAGCAGAACGGGGAATGAGCGTCAATTTCCCCACAAATCCACCCACATCGCAACAATTGACTAACCCACCTTCCTCTCACACACAGGGCCTCAAGAAAACCATCCCCGGCGCCCCCGAGAACCAAGTCCCCGTGCACCTGCGCCCCAAGCAGATCTTCTCCAAATACCCTGGTCCTCAGTTCTAAGCTCGCAATGTGATTGTGTAATTTGCAAATTATTGAATGGAAGGGGAACCGCAAAATGAGAAAGAGAGTCACCGAGGCCTCTATGTAACTTTTTCCTTTTTTTTTTATAAACTATGTTTTTGATGTTCATCTGCTCTCGGCTTGCTTATCGGGTTAGATCTGGTATGACATGGTGCCTAGCTGATGATGTTGGGATGTACCTGTCTGTACCTGTACCGGTCTTTACTCTTGTCTTATCTTACCTTGATGGTATTGAATTCAATGGAATCTGGATTGAAAGGACTGGGCTGGGCTGGGTTCGATGAACTCGTCAGATTTGCTGTTGTTGTTGTTGCTGCTGCTGTTTGTGTATATATGATTAGCATTTGTCTAGGTAGGTTTAGTTGGCTTAGTAGGATGGAATCTCTAGAGATTGTTCTCTTCTTTCCTTGTGCTTAAAGTTGTCTTTGCCAAAAGGTCACTCAATCCATGATAGGACGTTTCATTGATCTAGGTACTCGAACAGGATGGTCTATTCCTTGAATATAGTGTCTAGTAGGTAGTTAACAAAGGAAATGAACTTTATCATGCATGCACAGTTGAATGATACAGGCGGTGTATCGGACCAAGAAAGAGAGCAGGAACCAAGCGAATGCCAAAGGATATTAAGGGGGCCAATAATGGAGATGGAAGTGAAATGAGAAAACATATATACTTGAAAAATAAAGAAATGTGGAAGATATCCCAAAAGAATGAATCGCCCCGAACAGACCAAGAAGAAGAAAAGGAAGAAGAGGTAAGGAAGTCTAAAGCTAAACCAATGTATGTACCGGTACTCGTCGGAAGAATTTGAGCTTTGCCAATCGACTCTTCACCTCGGTCCAACCTACCCGGAGCTTCTGTTCTAATCGTCGATCGCCGCGCAGTCGCATCCAGATCAGAGCCATCCCCAGGATGGCCAGATCCCAGATGATCTGGCGGAAGCTCACCCAGACCAGCCACTTCAGCCACGCCCAGGCGCTGGTGCGCCGGCGATGCGCCAGCGCCCGCGTCTCCATCTGTTCGCGCACGGCGGCGATCTCGGCCGTCATCTTAGTCAAGGCCTGCTCGACTCGACGGCGCCATCGGCGGTCGTTGTCCGGCGGGCCGCGTGGTCGTTGCGGGTGCCGCTGGTCGGGCTCACTGGTTTGGTCGGAGATGGCGCGGTGATCGTATGATTGATTCCCGTCGGGGTCGTGGTCGTGGTCATTGTCATGGTCGTCGTCATTGTCATCATCGTGATCGTCGGCATATATATTATCCTGCGCCTCCGCATACTCTTCCTCCTCATCCTCGTCGTCGTCCAGGTCATCGTCCACCTCCCGCGTCTGCGAATGTGTTCCGGACCCGGGATCCAGATTAGACCCTCGTCGCCGATATACATCATCTGGCTGGCTGACCGGGCTCAACACGCGGAGTCTCGAGTCACCGCGAGCCGTCGCGGTAATTAGATTCTCGTACTCTGACCGTGCCAACCGCCCTCCAATACTGGTATAACTGGGCTGCATCAGGGGCGGCACACCCACCGCATTGACGGGCGACGACGTAGAGGAAATCGAGGAGGTGTTGGATTTGATCTGGTCCCAGACGAACTCGAGCTCGGAGACGAGTTCGCGCGCCTCGGGAGTCTGCGATGCGTAGCGGTGCATGGTGTCGATTAACGTGGAGATGTAGCGTCGTTTAGCCTCAGTTCGGGAGAGGCCTCGTTGGGCGAACCATGCGTCCCTGTAGATTTGTTTTTGCTTATCAGATTTTCGGAATTTTCGTTTGCGAAGAGGAATGGAGGTGCAAGTACCATTTCTCGCACTCGGCGTATACATCGGCAGTGTTTCCGATCGGTCGGTCCATGACCCCCTCGACGTCGCCCTCTAGGTGAGTGAAAACTATGTCAGCGACCATGCCCAGACAGAGAGCGATGTCGAAAATAAATAAAGTACAGAGTGGAGGAACGTACCCATGCTCTGTTTATACAATCCATAGAGCTTCAGTCGTTCCGAAGCAGGGGGTCGAGCGGTACCGGTGCGCGGAATGCGTTTGACGGTATTCAGGGCGTGCACGAAAACTCGATCTAATCGCGGGTTGAGTTAGAGCTGTACGCACTGCAAAATAAAAATAGTGGAAGAGCACACACCCACAGAGTCCGACATGTTGATCGAAAGATTTGGCTGAGCGCGTGCCTCATTAGAGCAGGATCGGGATCGGGCGACATGCGCGGGGCTCCTTCATCGAGACCGCCGGCGCGACGGAATCCAGAGAGCGATAAGGGGGAAGAAGGAGGAGAAAGGGATCGATGGAATCGGCGCATGCAATGTAGGGAGAGGATAAATGGGTGCCCTAGATCGGTGGACTGGAATCTGGGAAATCCGAATGGAGCAACTTCCCCGGATTTCTGCGAGCTGAGACACGCGATGCCGACGAAGGATTGACGGGTTGGGAGTGGGGGAGGATATTAAGATGGACTATTGAGGATCCAGGGAAAATGGATGAAGTCAGAGACAAAGGTAGACCAGACAGCGAGGAATTGAGGGGACGGAAGGGAGGATGGCAAGCAGTCGGAGATGATGTGGAGAGGGAGGGAGATTTGGTTGATGGATTGATTGATGATTGATGGAGAGTGACAGATGGACCGCGGCTGTCGGACTTGTCGCGTTGACCCTGTGATTGTCGGGTATTCCCCTTCCTCTTCCACTTGCCCTTGCATGCCCCCTATGATCTATCGTATGATAGATTCTAGCGGAGTATAATAATTTACCATGGATCCACCATCTCCACCGTTTGATTTCTTTTTCCTTTCCGATGGATTTTTCGAAACGCACCGCCGAACGAGCAGTATATAACAACGTTCTATGCTCGTTCCCCGTCTCAACATGCTCTTCCACCCTGCATCTTCAATGCAATCTTCTGGAGGAGACGTGAAAAGGAACACCTCTATTTTCGAAAAGTGACGATCAGCTCAGACTGGATCAATGTTATATCCACCCAGATAGCTGTCTGACGATAGACATTTAAGTCCTGCTCGACGCCCCCAATAGACATGGGCCGTCGTTGACCTGGCCCTAGAGCTCGTGGAACTGACTATCGACGAGACCAAAAGAGGACGGTATTAAAGCACCTCTTGACGCGGTAGACATTTGCTTCTCTCACCAAATCCGGCATTCTCAGACGCACCACCCAGGACATTGATCTATGGGACCATATTGGAGTGGTCAATGAAAACTTTCTCTGTAAAAGCTCGTGGCTCCCCATTTCTCTTCTCGGAGAGGACTTCAGCGAGACTAGCTCAGTTGATATCGTCAAGAAACTTTGTGCTCACTTATAAGACTCGCTATCAACTTTGTAGGTTGTCATCGGCGCCCACCCACGCTGCACTTCCAACTTGCATGACTGGTTCATTTTGCGATAACAGGAGATTGTTGCTCTCGCGCTTGCTAATTTCTCGGGGAAAGAGAGAAGGGGAAGGGGCATAAAAAACAAACCATTTCAAGATGAATTGGAAGAAACGAGGAACGAAGCAGACATGAATCCCCATTGTTTGTCCGTGACAAATTGCGGAGGCGAAACCAGGAAGCTGCTCTAACCCGTGTTACAGGCCTATTTGCTGCTCGACATACCCAAGATTTAGAATAGAAGGGAAGGAGGCAAATAGGGCATTACGCAAGGTAAACGTTATACCCAAGAAGGTACATATATAGACGTACATATTATATCCCCCCTACTACTCTGACATCTCTCTCCGCTACCATATCTGCGTATCTTTCCCGGTCCGCTCTTGGCATACCAACAAATAAGCAATCAATCCAAGCCAAAACCCGAACACGAAAAGGTAAATCCTTCGGTCAAAAGAACACAAGGATGACCCACGGAAGCGCCGTTCGTGTCCCTGAAGGACTGGAATCGGTTGCCGCCAATCAACCGGCGCAAACTGACGGGGTGAAGCCATGCGGTGTGAATGACGTAAATCCAACCGGGCAGAGAACAAAGGCGGAGATTTCCAGAAGATCATTCGGTAGGGAGGTATATATATAACTGCGTAACTACAGTGGAGTGCGGTCAATTGATTCTGTCTTCTCTTTATGATCTCGTGAATTTTATGATTTATGAGTTTATGACTTTGTGATTTTATCTACCGTGAGGATCCGCAATTAGGTTTTCGAGGTTTCCGAAAGTATGTCTTATCTCCCGCTATCTACAATCTATATCTTCATCTATACTATACTATACTAACCATCTCCTTTGACATCTTCAAGTTCACCTCCACCTCCCACTCCCAACGTCACGATATAACGAAAACAAAAATGTCAACAATCCAACCACCCCCTCGCATCAACTCCATCCGCTCCCCCCTCTCCTCCACACAAATCCCGACCCTCAACTCCAACCACACGCACCCCCATCCGCACCGCCACCCACCCTCAACCCTCCTCCACCAACCTTCGGACTCCCCAAAACGCTCAATTTCATACACCGCTACGCCAACTGATACACACCCTGGTACCCCTGTCCCCTCTTCATCTGCCATCGCCACCGCCGCCACCCCTGCCCCGGCAGGTAGCAGCAGTAGCAGCAGCAGCAGCATCACCGGCACTGGGAGCACAGCAACAGGCCACCAGAAGGAAAAACACGACGACCTGACCTGCGACCATAAAGTGAAAGGAGCGCTCACGGAGCTGCTAAACGACGGATCCGTGAAGGCAGATGAGCGGGGACGGCGATCGGTGCAGCGGCTTTTGATGGAGACGGAGCGGGAATTGAGGACGCAGCGGAGGGAGAGCTTGAGTTTGAGTGGGAAGACACAGGGGAAGCGGAAGGGGAGGACGAGAGGGGAGGAGTCGGGGATGAGGCCGATGGGATCTGGTGATGCATCTGGGTCTGGGAATGGGTCTATTGTCAAGAGAGGTGTTGATGGGGATGGAGAAGGTTGATTGAGATTTATGGTGGGGAGATGGAATGATGATTGGAATGATTTTTCGAGGGTTGACGTTTTCTTGTTCTTCTCTTTTTTTCTTTAAGCTCAAGCTGTATACCTATCGATGGCGATCATCGCGACATTCATGCGCATGACAGCCGATAATTGGCCATGGGATGGCGCGGCCCTGCGGTTCAGGCACAAGTTGCATAGGGGTTTATGTAGAACGAAGATCCATACCTGCCAACTAAATAAATAGCCCGTGAATTCGTAACTTAACTTACGGAGAGAAAAGTATATTCTGATATCAGATATCCGCTATTTATGTACTTTGAAGACCTCAGTCAAATGCGACACGTCAAGTGCAATAACATACTCTATGTCACTTCTTCATCTTCATTTCCATCTCGTTTTCATCACCATTCTCTACGTCCACCACCACCTTCCCGCTCATCACCTGTGACAGCTCCGCCATCTGCTCGCCGCTGACTGGCGGCCCCGTGAAGTGCTTCCGCGCATACACCACGTACCAGCCAATGCTGATGGCCGCGAACCCCGCGAACACCACGCTGGCGTAGTTCATCGACTCGGCGTCCACCGGCAGCGAGACCGGCATGCAGAAGAGGACCACGGCCAGCAGGATCCAGCAGATCGTCAGGATGTTGATGGCGTACCCGAACCGGCCTAGTGAGAAGGTCGATTCCTTGATGGCCTCGCGCCCGCGAAGCACCGAGATGAAGATGGGCAGGCCGTACGAGGTCGACAGACAGATGGTCGCTACGCCCGTGAACGAGTTGAAGGCGGCGGTTGAACCAAAGTAGATCAATCCGAGCAGGCAGTCGACCGCCGCCGAGAGAATGATGGCCCAAATCGGTACGTCCAGACGCTTGTTCACCCTTCGCCAGAGGCGGAATCCGGGAATGGCCCCATCGCGAGCAAAGGCGTAGGTGCACCGGCTGGCGGCTGTCAAGGCGCCGATGCCGGCAAATATCATAATTCCCAGAACGAGAAACAGCAGACCGAAGCCTCCGCCGGTGGACCCCGTCGCTATCTTGAATATCATTCCGACCGGCTGGCCGCTAGCGACATTGAGGAGCATCTTGACATCGGGCAGGACAAACAGGATGGGAATCAAGTAGATGACACCGGTAACGCCGGCGGCAAACACGGACAGCACAATGGCTTTAGGGACCTCGCGATGGGGATTCTGCACCTCCTCGCACATGGCCGCCACCATACCGTACCCGGTCAGAGTATAGGCAGCCTGTAACAAGCCGACGAAGAAGGCCCATCCGGACGGCCTAAGAGACGCCAGTCAGTCAGCATCCAGCTCCTCACGAATCCCGAAGATGTGAAAATCAACGTACCACCCACTGGCCGAAGCATCGTAATGACCAAACACGAACGCGGCGTCTCGGCGATCGCCGGCCATGACCAGCAGCGTCACCAGAATGATGATGACGCTAGCCGCCGTCCAGAAAATACAAACCTTATTGATCAAATCCAGCCACTTGGAAAAGAAGATATTGACCAGCGCGCAGAAGAGAATCACCGCCCAGAACATCAACACGGTCTGCCAAGCATTGGCCACAAACGTCTCGTCCCACAGGGAGATGGCGCTGAGGATCAGTTGGGCGCCGCCAAACGTGATACTCAGCGTGACGGTCCAATTACCAACGAGCGTCAACCAGCCATCGATAAAGGACATCATGGGCGCCCATTCCTTGGACGAGAGCATGGCGCTCCAGTAGTAAACGCCGCCGGCCGTCGGATACACGGCGCAGATCTCAGCCAGAGAGGCGGCGATCGCGAGGGAGATCAGAGTGACCAGCACCCAGCCCCAGATAACGCTGACGGACTGGCCGTCGGTGAGGGTAATGTACAGCGTGGTGCTTAGACCATACGGGGCGGCCATGATTGCGAAAGAACTGTATCGGGTGGAGCAGAGAGATAAGAAATTAGCGGGTGTCCAATGGGAGAGAGGGCGAAGGCGGGTCAGGGGAGACATGGGAGATACTGGAAGAGGCCAAAGGCAAATGGGATGGGATGCATACAGTCCGAGGACACTCAACATGCTCAGATTTCGAGGCAGTTCACTCTTGTAACCCATTCTCGCCAACGCCTCGTTGGCGTTGGCATCGACGGAGGATTGCCGCATGGTGGGCGATCAAAAGAAGCGATCAAATGGATAGGGAGAGCAACGATGGGAAGCAATGAGAGGAGAAGAAGTGTCGCGAGACATGTCGCAGTCGACAGGAGGAAGAAGAGAAAGAGAAGAGAGGAAAAGGATGGGATGGAGAGGGAGGACGATCAAGAAGAGAGAGTAGAAAGGAAAGGATACGAAACCTTAATCTCCCCGCAATAATTCCTGGTCAAGTGATAAGCCCCAGCCAAAGATGCAACCAGCCCGCGGACCGAGACCGCGCTGGTCGATCTGATATGATAACATACCCTTTATGATAAGGTGCAGTGACTAATTCCATCTGGGCGATGAAGTCATCGGGCGTTGATAGTCCATCCTGGGCTGGTCCACTGTCGGACAGCCTGTGGACTGTTGGTGACACAGGTAGGACCAGGCTGCTCTGTAGATGGTAGATCCCTCGTCGTCCGAGTCATCATGACAAGGTCACCTTGACTCTTCACTTCGTCTTCTGAGTCTGCAGTCGGAGATTCCCCATGGAGGCGCCCCGACCCGTGTCTTGCGGGGAAATAAGAATAGGCAAAGGCACCACTCGGCGCCCCAGTTCTTTCATTTCTCTTACTTAACCGATATTCTTCCGATGCCACTTGATTGACCTCTTCCGACTTATTAGTCTGGCGAAGGAACCTACGGAAGAACAATAACTAGTTAATCTACAGCTTCTACAGTCAAAGCCCCAAAGTGCAGTTCAATTCTTGCATTCACAACTAATGATGCGACTATGGATTCGCCAACATACATCGCAGGTCACTCGGCGAGTGACGGCTGCCACATCGATGCTCGGTCGCGTAGATGGACCTCGATGAGCGCCAAGATCAACGTCAGGTTCATGTTCAAAAGAAAGTATGCCCGGTCAGAGGAAGGTGGGTGTTGGCACAGGGAACAGGGGGGTATCAAACGTCAAATCGGGAAGGGTACATATGCACATAGAGAGCCAGGACAAGCCGCAGATTGATTCGATGGAGGAAAGTGAATTTCATTCGGTATAATGTTTTTTCTCTTTTGTCTTTCGGGATTTTTTTCTTTTTCTTGCTGGCTGTGCTGGATGATGGGAACATCTCTAATGTACGGGCGAGGGCGGAAGTAGGCCCTAATGGTGGTTTGGTGTCGAGGATAGAAACAAGGTGCAAGGGAAGTGGGGGAGGAAGCTGAGGAAGGGGACGGGGAAGAGAAAGGGAGTAACAGGAAACAAGGAAATCCAAGATAGGATCTCGAAGGACGGCGGGACCCAAGACAACAAGACGGCACAAGGGAGGAGACGTTGGGTCACAGTGGGCCAGTCCCGGGCATCAACCATGGCTGCCACCTGGTCCTTTCCCACCGCCATTTGCGGGCTATTCTCCCCCCAATGCCCCAGAGTCAGGCCGTGGTCTTTTCCATATCTTTGAGACCTCCTCGCCAATAGGAGAGGGAATGGGGGAAGACAATAATTGTATCAACGAGAGAACAAGGCCGAGAGCAGATTGCAACACACCAAGTCTCGGTCCGAGTCGTAACCAGCCAGCTAGCATCAACTCCGTCGTGGAATAAGGGAAAAAACACCGGCGGGAAGAAAGAGAATGATGAGAGAACAGTGATCGGTGATCACCATCAAGCAAAAAGGCACAAGAAGAACAGAAAACGCCCAGTCATGCAGTCGTCAATCCAGTTAAATCGTTACATGGGTAAGAAAAGATGAAGCAGCTTTTTTCGGTCGCCGGCATGCAAATACAGAAGCAAGTTTCGTTATTTTCTTTTTGAAACAGTGACCAGAGGTGTCAAGGGCTGAGAACGTTACAGAGGTCGTCCGTACCGTCCAGTCCGAACCCGGCCATGTCGACGGAATGCAGAGAACCCGGGCCGCCACGCCCCAGTGAGATATCTGACGAGGCATAGTCATGCTTCAGGCGTTCGTGAGGACCGAAGAACGGTCGGGTCTCTTCGTTGGGAGTGTTCCCGTCGCCGGCCGCCCATGGCCCATGTTGCCAAAACCGTGTGTTCGCTTGTTGGTCGCCAAACAGGTCGTGGTGATCGTGATGCACTTCGGTCCCGTGGTTGGTGAAGTCGTTGGGAGACTGGAACCGCAGATGCGACCGACTGAAACTTGAACAGGGCGAGTCCGCATGCAAGGGGAAGTCCAAGCCCGACAGGGGCATGTCCTCAACCGTCGTGATGTCGATGGTCGGATTCTCGGTCTGCTGGGCCAGTGCCGATGCCAATCGGAAATTGGAGGCGGAGCTTTGCCGGCTATGACTGGTGGACCGCTCGATGGCCCGTTGCACGAAACTGCCACATGTCTTCAGGATTTTCTCTTGGTCCTCGGGCGACAGACCGGCGAAATAGTCGTTGGCGAGCGACGGTTTCGGCAGCTCGGGCTGGCAGGGAGTCAGTCCGAACGTCTTTTGGGCATGCTCGGTGAACCCGGACGGCATGTCGTACGGCGACAGGTACACCGCCGGAACCTGCTCCTGTTGTTGCTCGAGGTATGCATATTTGCGGGGCAACTTGGCAGCACCGTTCCCGTTGACCGCCGGGAGTTTGCTATTTTCCGACTCCTTTTTCTGCAGCACGTCCAGACGTTCCAGATAGCTGACGAGCGAGAACCGGAGCATTTGCAACAACCGGTTCACCTCCTCCGAACGCATGTTCAACGGCTGTACCGGTTGTAATGTCCCGTCCGAGGCTCGAGACTGCACCCGCTGTTGGGCCATGGCGAGCTCCAACTTTTCCAGACCATTGGGCGGCGGCACGGAGCCCATGGGTCCCATCAATGACTCAACGACCACCTCGGGGCTGACGATGGTATACCCGGCGAAGATATTGGCATGGTCGGTAATCTGGGTCAGCCGGCGGCGAGCCACGAGTTCACGAACGTTGGCGAAGGTATTGGCGGGGAGGTGTTGAGGTTTCTGCTGCTGCTGCTGCTGAGGTGGCGGATGATGAGGGTGATGGCCGTTAGTTTGCTGCTGAGAAAGGTGGGGGGAGGACTGATGAGACTTGGCAAATTGAGGATACGGTGCATGGCGGGCAGTTTTAGTTGGCAGGGATCGATAGGCCGACGGCATCGCAGTAAGAGAAGCAGCAGCAGAGGTAGCGGGAGCACGAGGAGGAGGAGGGGCAAGAGAGCGCTGCAACAGGGAAGGGCGGGAAGAAGTGGCAGCAGCAGCAGCAGCAGCGGCGGCGGCGGAGACGGTAGTGGTGGACGTGGCGGTGGCAGGTGAGAGGTGGTTATTGCGGTGGTATTGGTGAGAAGGAGGGGCAGCCTTAGCAGCAGCAGCAGCAGCAGAAGCCACTGCATAAGGAGGCACCACCGGCAGATGGTGGGGGTAGGCAGAGGAGGGGAGTCGGGCCATCACGGCGCCAAGGGACTTAACGCTGTCCAGGAAATTCGACCGCGGGTTGTGGACGGACACGCTAGGGTTGTGCGTATACTGAGCCCTACATTCGGTGGACGAGGGACCCAGATAATACCAGATCTGTTCGTTCTTGTCCAAATCAACCTTGCCCGATGGTGGGGCTCGTGGATTAGCGTTGTCGACCGTCTCGAACTCGGCCCACTGATACGGAGATCGCTCATCGCCAAATGGATTGCCTGCCACCGGCACCGCCGATTCCAACTCCTTCCGGCCTTCGGGCTTCCGAGCCAGGTGGGCAGGCAGCGGCTGGGTACCTGGTACTAGCACTGCAAAATTGCTCCGTCGGACGACAAGCATCCACCGGTACGGTAACTCGATTACATCCCTGCAGAAGAGAAAAAATAAGCGTCAGCATCGTGATTCCCGATTAGGCAATCCCCAAACAAATTCCCACACTGGGACGGTGGAAGCATCAAGAAGGGCGGAAAAAGAAAAAAGGATAAAAGACTCACCCTCGTGGCAGCACTTTAACCATCAATGTCCGCTCACTCGGTCGGTTCTCCAGGACCACCGCCCCGTTGATTTCCTTGTCGGCTTGGAATTGCACCAGCTCGCCGGCCACCAGCCGTTGCGCCGATTCGATCAGCTTACGGTCCTGATCGGGCGTTTCGCAGCCGGTCATCCACGTGGGTTTCTTCTGCCGATGATACTTGCACTTAAGATCGACGCTAGGGATAGAGTACTGATTGCCGTCATCTGCGATCACGCCGACCAGACCCTGTTCCACTTGGACGCCGGCAAGGAGAGCGCAGGTGGGGTGGTAGGACCGCGTGCATTTACCAAAGTTGCACTGGAAGCAAGCCCCGCGAACTTCGCGACAGAACAGGCACTTGAGGCCCATCCGCGCCTTGGGGATCTTGTCAATGTCGCACACCACCTCCTTACCGGACTCATCGCGGAGAATACTGGTCTCCTCGATGTACAACGCACAGCGCCGGTGAGCGTGGGACTCTCCATTCTCGGTCGGCAGAAGATCCTCGTAATCGAGATTGTTGGGGCACAAGACGCAGGGGGTCTTTCTCGGGAGCTCCACATTGACCCGCATGCGCTTGGCCTTGGTGGTTTCACCGTCGTGCTTTCGCTTCCGACCACGGGTTTTCTCCGGGACACTGCGTGGTGGAGTCAAGAGATCCGAAGCTCCCTCCATTCCGTCCAGGTCACTTTCGAAATCGCCATAGTAGTAGTCTGGGGTTGCTTCGCCTCGCAGTTTGCGTTCGATCTCGTCGACGTCGATCCAGACGCTGTCGGCTTCACAGTGGCATTTCTTAGCGACGCGACCGTAGTCCAGCCACTTCTCCGTAGCGAAGTTGACGGATTCGGCACAGTTGTATCCCACATTGTATCCGGAGTGATATCCATATGGGTAGGTAATGACGAACTCGCCCTCGTAATGGACCAGCCGGTTCACGGTGATGCCGTACTGGGACTTGAGGAGACTAGGAGAAACAAGGTAGGTCTTGTGTCGAAGGAACTGGTCGCAGTTCTTTGCATCGCTGGTCCAAATACCTAGGGTAAGAAAGAATCAGTATCGAGTCGCTAAATATTCGGAAATGGGCTAGTCTGGTAATGAACTTACTCTTCATGGCCTGTTCAAAGCGAGGGGCATCCTCCTGCGAGATGCTGTACCACTGTTTCGGGGCACCGAAGTGGATGTAGTTGATACTGTAGAGATCCACATCTTCCAAATGCCAGGCAAAGGTGGCCTTCCACATCCCCAGGTAGAGGTATGCGGTGTTGACACCAGGTACTTTCTGTCCCAGAACATCCAGGAGATTGGGCAGCTTGGCCACGTTCCACGACGTCGTGATATTCTCGTCGAAGAGCGATCCGGGCATATCCGCACCGTACATGGGGTTGTTGAACATCAGGGACTTCCAGTAGGCGGTTTCGAGCTCCTCGCATCGTTCCTGCGTGTAGTCTTCATGGTCATGGATGCGGTAGTCGAAATTTCGGAAGGTTTCCTCGTCGACGTGGTCGATCGCATCACCCTTGTTGTGTTTCCTCCGCGAGGTCACGGACTTGGGCTGTCGTCCCTTAGGCTTGGGCGCGGGCAGAGACTCTCCGTCACTCAATTCCTCCGTCTTCGCTTCGACCGGATTCGATTCCGGGGACACCGGAGTCGGCGGGCCTTCGGGTTTGATCTTTTCAAGTCCTTCCTCAATCGGTTCTTCTTTCACCTTGACCTGGTTCGATCGTTTTGGGGGGCGTCCGGGGCCTGGGCGACGTTTCTGAGAATCGGACCGCGCGGTCTGTGACTTGGGAGCCGGCGGAGCACGGTTGACTCGCTCCTGGTTGCGGCGCCTCTCGCCTCTGCGGGCAGGCGGCTGGTGACTGCTTTCCTCGCACAGCCCCTTCCACTGAGGCAGATTGTAAGACCTTTGTCGCTCGATATTGGCCTGGGTGTAGGTTCCGTGCGAGCCGTGGAATTCCTGCATGATCGGATTCTTCACGCGAATCTTCTTGACAGCTTCATCGAGGGGAGGAAGGGAGTCGGTCCTGAAAGAAAGCGACAATCAGCGGCTATCTTCGGATTCCATGACGCCAGATCAGACTTACCACTCCTTCGGAGGTATGACCTTGATGATGCCTGACCGCATACCGTAGCTTTCCACCTTGTTGATAAAATGCTGGAAGTCGCGGAACTGATCCATTGTCTTTGACATCGCAAGTCAGCGGATGTTGTCCGAAGACATTTCGAGACTCTGACCGGACCAGGTCACTTACTGGCTTGAACACGGGGATTTTGCCGCCGCCATAATAATGGTCCGGTTCAATCTCCTCCTCCTCTTCCTCTACCGACGGCATATCCGGCACTCCGGCGGCATTCGGGTCCAGCTCAAGATCCGACAGCTCCGATGGGACGCCATCGGGGACCTCCTTCTTGCCGTTGGCGCTATGGGGAGGAGTGATCGAAGCCGCGTCGGTGGCCGGAGGGCCCGCAATTGATTCGAACAGGGGTTGATCAAGCGCTGCCGCCATCATCTCAAGTAAGATGGGAGGGATGAAAAGAAGACTTTTCGGATATCGACAAGGGTGCCGTCGTCGGAAAATGCGACCGCTGATCGACGGCGAGACAGGTTTTCCCAGCGGTCGGGGGAGAGAGCGTTAAGAGGCAAAAGCGCGATATGTCCTGTACAGCGGCAAAGGTGACGTGAGCTTTTTCGATTCTTTCGTTGTTTCCTTTCGGTTCAGTTTTTTTCCGGAGTGACTGTAGAGAATGAAACGCCGAAGGCAAGCGTCAAGGAATTCAAGAAAGGGGGGAGGCAAGTGAAGTCTCCAAGTAGATGGAACGCAAAGCAAGTTGTGAAGGCGTGCGTAAGAAGTTGGATGATCTAAGCTTTTGCTCGGGACGAATTGCAAAGGGGAAAGACAATCGACGGTTGCGAAAGCATCAACAGCGTCACAAAGCACGAGATAGAAGAGATAGGGTCAATGGAGGATCGAGCGCAAGCAGATAGATAGACAAGGCAATCGATATCACTAGTCTTTGCGGTCGGCGTCAATCAATAGACGACCAAGGGCCCCCTCCTCCAGTTTGAGCGATCGGAAAGCAAAGGATTTGCCGTATTGCAGGACCAAGCAGCAGCAGATGCTCAGCAACGAGGGCGCTAGTTCGCCAGCGGGTGCAGAGGCAGAAAAAACGATGGGACGCTAGAGGCAGGAGGAAGCAGAAAGGTAGGGGCGGCAGAACCAATCCTAGCGACACGGAAGATCCAAGGTGGATCCGACCAGAGCACGATGGCCTGACTGCGTGTTACAGTTGCGGATTGGAGATTGGGGAGAAGGACGGGAAAAAGGAACACCGGAGAGGGTATTTCGGTGACTGGAAAAAAGGGAATTGATGACAAGAGAGGGTCATGTAGGGGAATGCAGCGACCGAGAGAGCGAGAAGTGAAGAGGGAAGAGTGATTGGAGGATGACCGGATGGGTGAGCAGCCTGAGCGCCTGAAAAGTGCCTTAAGGCACCAAGCTAAGGTGGCCTGAGGTAATGATGTACAGACAGGACGCCGGTGTAGCAGCCAAGAAAAATTCAATTTTCTTTTTCCTTTTTTGGCCTGCTCCAGCCGCGAGCAGATCACAGCACGCCTCCGGTCCGGTCTCGGGAATAACAACAAGCTGGGAATGAAGGAAAGTATGGAGTAGAGTACCACCGTGTACTCAGAGCATGTCAACTTACCGAAGAGATATCACTTGGAGTTTGACCGTTGCAAGTCAATCCAGTGAAACAATGATATTTCTGAGAAATTCAAATGGCATGCAATGGTTCAGCCAGAGAGTGAAGGTGGACAAAAACAATGATGTACTGTACCTCGAGTATCTGCTCGTTGCTCGTTGCCCGGTTGGTCACGTGATGCACATGACTCCTGAAACCGGGTATCTTCCCGTGGTACAGCGGCGGTAAGATACAGAAGGACTGGGAATACTGCCGCGACTGTAGTTGCCAGCACGGGCATCAGGCGGTGCCGGATTGATACCGTCCTGGTAAGGCCAATACAGCTAGGCCTTATCAGGGGAGGCTCGGATACCGGCGGACCAGCAACTACCAGATGACGTGATTGGCGATAATAGCGGCAAGCGCTTTTTATCTTGCCATACTCGGTGAACATCACAGTAGAGGAGACTGTTTTGTTAATGATAACCGTTATTGTGGTCCTAGGCCTGCTCTATGGACGGAGTACTGTACAGAGTAGTGGTTCGAAACAAAGTTATGATTCGAATCTGACATTTCAGCTCCAATGATACTGCACCGGTGAATAACTTCGTGGTAAACCGGCTAAATGCGAGACTGCGAGACAGCCTGAGGCCGCAAGATCTACAATCAGATACGTCAATGCCAACCGACCACCAAAAGGCAGAAATCCAACGGAGCACATCCATCCCCTACCGACCACGCCCGCTGTACTCCGTATGTGCACTCCATACATATGTGCCGCAGCTTGACTTGCATATTCCGCCAACATATGACCTACCTAGTCTAGAGTAGTCTGACATTAGTGTCGACGACCAGGTTGGATTCTTATTTGCTGTCGGTTGTTTCTTTTGTACTCGTACACAGTGTACACACTACACAGTGTACGGAGTAGGTTTTATCTCGGCAAGTCAGCATCTCTGTATCAGCCTAGCAGATTAACTATTACTCTGTCAGTGACTCAGTCGTAGGGCCAAAAGGATTCCAGGTTTGTAGTTGTTTATTAAATTTGCAGATCGCAGGAAATTATTTCCAACCATTATCCATCGGATGGAATAATATCTTTCTCAACATTCCTGTCACTTACATTGTACGAAGTAGGTGTCTACTATAGATATAGGCGACTATAAAATCGATAGCATCAACTCTCCAATAGATACACCTAAATCAGTGATATCAGTGCAAGCCAAGCACATCCCTGCAACAAACAACATACATCCCAATGTATCACAAACAGACAAGCACGCAGGCCCATATCCGATATAAGTAAACCACCCTAAAAAAGAAGAAAAGAACCTCCCTCGCCCTGTCTAGCGCACGCGAGCAATGTCGTGCACGGGGTAACCATCACCATCACCAGCACCAGCACTAGTCTTAGGGATGTACCAGGTTAGTGTTACCAGGTAGGTAGCAGTACCACCAACCCCGGCCCCGACCGTGGAAGACCACCTAGAAGCCCTTCATGTCTAGGTACACAGTGCGCAGTACGACCTCACCATGCCACTGCATATCTTACCCAAACCCCATTGGCGCGATTCTGCGGTACATGCGCCAAATCCATGTCGATGATTGCCCGGATCGAGCAGCCTGCATGGATGGGCCATGGTCCCTGCACCTCTCTCTCCCCCTCTGTGTCTGATGTGGATTACTTATCTCGGTCGGGTCTGGATGGACTATGTTTGTGACTCTCTGCATGTATGTACAGTTACAGTATGTGCCTGGGACGTGTCAGATTCGGGGCTGCAGGATGGACTCCATGCTTGAATGTCAACTGTTTCTGGTTTAATTGCTGAGGGCTACTGCGTAAATATCTACAGTACTGTTGTACTCCGTGGCTAGTCAAAGAAAGTGGACCACAATAATCAATAGAAAAAATAAATATAACAAGAAACCCGATAAAAACGGAGTAGTTCATCAATAAACCCATCCAGATGATCGGTTGGGCATCCATCCCAGTGGCGTGAACGTTAAGTCAGAAATAAAAAAACCCTCAGACTAGGGCGGAAAATGCAATGCAATGCATTGCATGATTATTCGATAGGCGTTGCTCTGTGTTGCCAGCCACCTCGGATCCCTCGACCGTCCTCCAATCCTACGGAGAACGGTCCCAGACACCCAGTCCCAGTCTTACCGCCCGTGCATGCAAACAGAGTTAATAATCATCCTTTAATCGGCGGATGACTCAAGGGCTTTTTGGACTGGACTCGACTCGATTCGAGCTTGGGCATGGTGTGATCGTGCGGCCGCTAAATCGACGGCCAAGTGGTTTCACAACTCACGTACGGAATACCTAGTGTCTCGGAAGTAAGTCATCCTTCCTGCAGAGTGCAGATTTTGCGTCCTACAGAGTAGCTCTTATTGAATTGTCATGCCATAATAATCGGTTGTCATTGGTATCGATTCTACTGAATGGAATACACTGGTAAATAGATATACGTGCCAACTGCTAAACAAGGCGAAGCTCCAAAACATATACTGATATCGCACCATCTCTCTCACCTCAATCCATCGTAGTTCAATATTCATTCAATCGGAGTTTCTTTCCGACGAACCGACGTTTCTCAGGCTTATCCCCGATCCGCTCCCGGTCTGCATTCAGCCCTTTCAGTGCATGGAGCAGCATCCCTGCATCGAAGAATCCGTCTGATTCGTGCGTCAGTAGCTGTCAGGGGAGGGAGCGAAATAAAGGAATAAACTTACATCCACCCATGCCGTCGTCCTCCAGTTCTCCGCTGTCCGTGGTGGGCGTCTCGGTACCCCGGGTTGCCTGGAGCGGGTCGCCCCGGACAATCCGTCCCCGGCGGTGCTCGCCCGGCGATCGCTCGGTGATCATCTCCATCTCTCGAGCCCGACTCGTGCGCGGGCTCATGGTCTTGTGGGTGGTCATCCGCAGTAGCTTGCGGATTTCGAACAGGTACGTCTCCAGGGTGTGCATCAAGCGGGCCGTCTGTCGGTGTTTAGACGACGCGCAGAACGAGATCGAGTCGTCCTTGATTATGTATCCGATCCCGAAGCCGTCGGCAGACGTCGGCCCGAAGCCAAAGTGACGCAGACAGGGGTTGCCGCAGTTTGAAGTCGATAGGATCGTGTTGTTGATCTTGTCCCAACCCGGGTCGCTGAAGAGTGCCGGCGTGGGGGGCGCCGGGCGGATCGCGCGCAGTCCGTAGCTGCCCGAGGACATTCCATCTTCAGATAGCGACGCAGATAGTTTCGGAGAGTCAATAGCGGACCCGTTTTCGACGGGACTAGAATAGCCGTTGGAGCTACCATCCACGCTGTTGCCCGCCGATGAACCCTCGTCGAAAGACCGTTGCCAGAGGCAATACATAGCGTAGAGATGGCGATCCTGGCCTTGACCCTTGGAACACTCCTTGGTAATCGCCGTATGCTTCTCCGTCGCTTTCCGGAGCGCGTTCACCTTCTGCTCTGGGGGATTGTCGCCCCAGAATGTCTTGACGAAATCGACGCACTCGTTCGTAACAGTACGAACGGCCTCCGTCCGGCCGTGCAGAAAGACCTTGGTCATAGCTGGCTCATAAGTGTTCTCGATACGACCGTAGAGCCCGTAGTAGGCGGCTTGGAAGGCCATCTGCACAAACGCGTCGGGCGAGAACCCTGCCGATGTGATGAAGTTCTTCCCGAAGCCGGCAAAGTCTAGGACTTGGAACTCATGCTGCTGGAGTAGATCGGAGAGATGGGACTCGGCAAATCGCAGCGCAATGCTAACCTCCGGGACCATGTCCCACTCCAATTTCCGAGGAGTGGTACTGACATTGCCAAAGCTTCGGGGATCGCGTTTGGTCGGGTCGGGGCTAGTGGTGGCCCATAGGCTCGGAGCCTGGCCGTTGATGGTTCTAGCAAAGCGGAGTATCGTATCCGTGTAAACGTCACTGGCGAATCGTAACACCGTATGACCATCCACGCCGGTGTGCTCGAAGTTGATACCTGCACTTCCGTTCTGGCACACGATGATCTGAAGCTTATCGTACCACCGGTTGGTACAGGTGCCAACCTGCACGCCCTTCACGACCTCGCTTGTGCCGCAGAGCATGTTGGCACACAGCTCAGAAGTACTGTGAGGCTCGGTGTAATCTAGACAAAGCACGAACAGAGCAGTGTCGACAATGTTCAAGCATTCCGCATTGTTGGAACCCTCATCCTTGGTCATGATATCTCTCAATCCAGACCACACCTTGCGGTTCTCCGTGCTGAGCACACCCAAGGCCCCCTTGGCGGCGTCTTGAATAGGAGTTTGCTCTGCATCCCCAATAATGACTTGTAGGTTCACCGCAATATCCTTCTCGTTCATGATCAGATCGTTGTTGTCGTCGAGGACATCGAACCAATAGAATTGGCCCCGACACAGCACGACAACGTGTTTCGCGTTCGGGTCTTGGCTGATAACACATCCATTGTCCGTAGGCAAACGGGCCGTTCCAAACAGTCTTGAGTACTGGTACATGCACAGTGGTGTGCCGCGAGCCGTATCAGGCGGTAGTTCCTCCCGTCTCACGGCCCTGACAAAAGACAGCGCCGAAACGACCAACGATGCCGCTCTGGTGACTTGGTGATTCCGCGCGGGCGTAGGATCATCTTCCAGTAAGAAGAAGGGGTTGAGGTTCAGAACCACCGCTGCGGTCGAGAATCAGTACATGAAGTGTGACCGGGGACTTGACGCTGCGGAAGAAAGCACTCACGACTATCGTAGTTGAGGTAAGAGTCGTACCCTAGAAGAACACGTCATTAGCCACCGTCCGGTAAGGCCCCACATCTCTTCTAACGAATAACATACAGAACTGCTCGATATAACTCGTCTTGGATGACGCATAATTCTTCAGCTTTTCTTGAAGAACGGGGCCATCTGACTTGAGGAAATCCTGCACGGCTGCTCTCGTCTCTTCCTGTTCCCTTGGGGTTTGCAAAGCGGACAATGCCTCAAGATATTTCTTGCAGGTGCTCTCAAGGTCGGGGACCGGTAGTTTGGGGAGCGAGTCTTGATTAGCAAACGTCAGGCCCTGCTTCTTGGGGGGCAGGTCGGCATTTGGCATAACATCCACCGAGGTAGGCTTAATCTTAGGCTCGAGAGACGGCTGAGATCGTGGAGAAGTCATAGCGTTCCCCAACGGCTTTGGAGCCGTGAAGTGGCGAACTGCCATGGTCGAGTAAGACATGTTAGTGAAGAGGTTCCCGAGATCCAAGTCGATGTCAATTAGGCGTAGCGACAAGAGAGAAAGGTGGGGATGGAGAGGAGGCGTAGAGCGCTACGGTAGAAATAGTGACAATCTTGTAGGCAGTATGAGGGCATGGAGATTTTATCTCATGACCAATCCAAATCACGAGACAGTGACCAAGTAGAAAGTCCACGCGGGCAAGGTAAAAAGTAATAGAAGGTGAGCGGGTATAGATGAAAGGAAGAGAACCAGAAACAGGAAGACGAGTTATTTATTTAGAGACCGGGGAGAATGTATAAGGATACCCCTCCACTGTCCGGGGAGCGACTTGGAGAGCGCGGGGTGGAGCATCGTGGTAGAAAGTAGAAGGCAGGCCACGGGACGAAGGGAAGAACAGCATTGGCAGAACGGAGGAAGGGGACGCTTACAGGGAGTGAAACAGTAGAATAGAGGGAAGGTCTGCAGCAACTCCTAGGACCACGGTCGATCGCTTGGACGGGGAAAATTGCCCGAGGGCCTGGGGGTGTGCAGGGAGTATCGGGGGAACGGATGAAGTTTGCTGGCTAGTAGTAGGTAGGTATAATATCGGACTAGAGAGCTCTGCGTCTGCCAAGAGATGCGACGTTCCCAGGATCACAAGCACTATGCGAGCAGATCGCACAGATAAGAGCCGAGGAGTTCAGAAATAATGATATATCGCTGAGAACTGAAGTATCCCAAAGAAAGTCAAGAGTCAGAATCCAAGGACTTTTGAATTAAAATAACCGTGTCTATTCAATGCGGTTTGCCGCTTGCTTCTTTCTGGGGAAGGCGGGGAAAGCAGAGCCAGAGCCACAGGATCGAACGCCGTTATCCAGATGATGACCGGAGAAATGATTGGAACCCGGCGGGGTGGGACATACATGCAATTGAGACGAGCTGAAGAGGAGGTGACTGTGTAGTGTAGAAAGAAAGCAGAAAGTGGCTTGATCGCAATCGAGCTGTACCCTGCAAAGTGGAAGTGTAAGTGCAAGTGAGACAGATCGGAGACCAGGTAGTAGATGACAAATGGAGGCCGAAATGCTTAATGTCGTATTACAAGTGCCCAAGTGGCAACGCAGAGTGAGATCGAAGATGGAGACCGCCTGAATGGCCCAGATTAGGCTCGGTGTCACTAGTTCGAAAGCGACCAACGCCAGAGGAGATGACGTTTCGGGCGAAGGGAAAAAGCGACTTTTGGCGATGATTTTGGTTCGTCTCGACGTTTAATTCCGTGAGACGCGCGGGGAAGGCTCGCGGCCGGTCACGTGGTCCTGCGCCGCATGCAGTCGCAGGAGTGTTACAAATCTACATTTTACTGTGTACATCGTCAATCCGTATACAAGATACATTTATTGCTCAAAAGATATTGGAAAATACTGGGATCAGAGCAGACTCCACGTCTCATGGATTTCATGTTCATCATTTGGCCGGTCGACCATCTCATAGGTACTCTTTTCCAGGACGCCGATTTTCATGCACCAAAGCACCAGAACGAAACCAATCAAAAGGAACAATGAGAAAAGCACAATCCAGATAGATGGGTCGCTGTCATTGATGTACCGTGACCAATGTTCAAAATGTAAAATATTCACAAGAGAAGCAGAATAAGATAGCGTCGGGGTGGGAGATCTCGGACGAGCCCGTCTTCGAGCCTGGGCATGAACCCAAGCTTCGAGACAGAATATCAAATCGCACGACGCAGAGAAGAGATCAAAAGTAACAAACAATCAAAGAAGATTTAGATGACACTGACAATTGCCAGACTTTCTCCATTTTTCTTTTTTTCCATTGGCAATGGTTCCAGAGTATGACTGACAACAGGGATATCATCCCACATATGAAACTGAACTGTGTTGGAATCCGAGCGAATAGCATGGAGGGTATCCCGGAAACCATCAACCCTTCGCCCACCCTTCTCCAGTAGCAGTTAGGGATCAAGCGAAGGGGGCAGGTGTACGTGAGAAGAGTCCCCTGTTAAGGTCACGTTGAAAACATCTTCAGGCTTAGACAGTCACCATGCTTTGTCCAAGAGGACGCTTGACGTTGTCGGCATATTCACCAGCATAGTTGCCTAGAAATGGTGCGTTAGAATCAATGTTCAACCCCCAGATTCAAGACTATTGTGACTTACCAGGAGGACCGTAGTTGCAGACGGTGAACGGCACCGAGGTGGCCGCGTCGACGTTGCCAAGGGTAGGGCAGGTCACGGTGGCGCAACCGACTTCGGTGGTGCCCTTCCAGACGATCTGACTGAAGTGACCCCAGCTCTCGAAGAGGGACATGTCGGGGTCGGCCTTGCCGTACAGGTCATACTGATCCCAGAAGCCCATCTCGTCGTTGTACATCAGGTTGGTAATCATCGCTCCAATTTCGCTCTCGGCAACTCCGTAACCAATGTTCTGGCCGTAGTTACCACCGTTGATGCTCCTGTGAGAGATGTTAGTTTGGCTGTTCCTTTTTCGGCATATGTTCAAAGGGGGAGGGGATCTTACGTGTCATGCTCATAGACGCAGCGAGAGGCAAGAACCTGGGCGCTGGCCGTCAGGTCGGCGGACCAGGTGAGGTCGCTGGCAGAGTGGTTGCTACGGTGGATGTTGTGGTTGTGCAGGATGGTCTTCTGGTAGGAACCGGTGGCAGCGGCGCCCGCGGCGGTGGAGCTCGAGCTGGAGGAGGTCGAGCTGGTGGTGGGTTCGGCGGCAGGAACGGTCCAGGCGGAGGTCCAGGCAGAGGTGAAGGCACCCTCGATGTTCTCAACCACGCCACCCTGGGAGGTCGTGGGCTGGGCGGTGGTGGTGGGCTCGGGAGCGGGAGCTTCGGTCGAGGGCTCGACGGGGGCGGCGGCCGGGGTGGTGGTCGGGACCGGGGCGGGCTCCGAAGTGGTAGGCTCAACCTCGGGGGCGGGAGCGCTGGAGATGGACTCGGAGACCTTCACCTTCTGCGCGGGAGCCGAGGTCGGGTCCGCGGGAGGCAGGGGAGCGGTGATGGTGGTGGTCACGGTGACGATGGTCCAGTCGGTCTCGTAGGAGCGCTTTTCCATGGGGGAGGCCATGGCACCGGCGGCGCAGAGAGCACCCAGAAGCATAGAAGTACGCATGATTGCTGACGTTGGTATTTTTCCTGATGTGGTTTTCTTTTCACGAGAGATGTCTTCACAGGTCAACTGTGGGTTGATGGATCAAATGACTTCGCCGGGAAGCTTGAAAAAGGGCCTTGGTGACAAAGAATGTATAAAGAATGGAGTTTCTGGTATTGAGCAGATCGACTGCGACAGGACTAGCCGGTCAAGGGGGAGATAGAGAGAGATAAGATGGTAAGGTGGTATGTAGGTGGGAGGTGGGTTTCCAATATCAACAATAAAGAGTGACAGCCGTTGGAGACACTTTTTGAAAGAGTGAAAAAAGCGTGCCAATGGCGATGATAACCAGATGGAAACTGAGGCCGGAAAGGAAGAGAGCGGGAACAGGAAGATGAGGGAGAAATAAGTGATAATATAGTCTGGAGCGACCGGATCCTTCTAATCACGGGAAAGGAGAGGGCGGCGTAAACGCAGTGGGGCCATGCGATCTGGTAGTAATTAAAGGCAAATTAATTTATGATTTAGTTTTGGACTTTCTGGATATGGTTCCAGTTCCAAATGACGGGGTCGATCTCGGTTCCGTCCTCGAATTTATGCGCCCTCAGCCGGCCGCCGTTTCTTTGACAAACAATAACAATGCTGTCTGCATTCAAAGAGAGTGCCGTGAAAGAGAAACGGTCAAGCGCCGTGGCACTGGAGCGGCGTTCTTTCAGTCTTTTGTTCCTCCCCCCTGGATTGCGGCCCGGGGTGCTTTCCCAACCACAAGCGCACATACCGGAGATCGTCTGGCATAGTCTATCTAGTTCATAACCTAAGGAGCCCGTCCCTCCACTCCGTTGGTCGCACGGCAAGAGGCAGCATTCCAGAGGGGAACCCCAGCGTATCGGCCTCACCCAGGAATCCTCCAGCCCTGACATTTTGATAAACCGCCGAGCGCCCGTCAGCCAAGGAAGCCAAAATGGTGAATGAATCATGGATAATTCGCTCACCGAATGTAGTGTAAACAGGAAAGTCAGCAATGAGGATGTGCCGTACTGTTGTACCCCTGGACCCGCTAAACCCCCTCGGGACAAATGACCTGCCCACCGTTTCAGGCACCGGCAGCCACGGGGCCAATCAGAGGGCCAACCCCACTCAGGGGACAAGGTTTGATGATGTTTACTCCGTCGCCTTTGAGCTACGGTCGCTGCTCGATTTAATCTATTTCGTCGGATCGGATCACACCTTGGAGTGTGATCCCAATTATCATTTATATTAATCCTAATTACCAACCTGCAGCCTTGACAATCCACCCGGCCATCGCGTTCTGGGCGACGTTGCGAGATTAACCAGAGGAACGTGGCGCTCTACGGAGGGGAGACGGGAGTACCTGCTGTGCCACCACGTAGGTGCATGTAATTCTCCTATCTCCGGCTGCTTGTGACGTACCCTCGTCTCGGGACCGCAGAACCATGGGTGAGACAGGCAGTGTTGATCGGAGTGATCAAAATAAGGGACAAAACAAAGCCCCAAAAACAGAAACAGTAAACATCACTCCGTACTGTACCAGGTACTCTGTAGGAGTCTGCCTCACTCCCGTCAGCCATCCTGAAGGCGTCAAGTCGACCGCCACCATCCGTTCTGGATTGTATTGGATTTGTTTCCTGTGCTATTTCTCTCACAAATAAAAAAAAAAAAAAAAAAAAATTCCAAAAATCCCTCCCACCCTCAAATTTACCCAGCAAACCAATCACGGGCACGCCAGACGGAGGGGCGCAGGGGTCGCGAAATGATTAACCGCCAAAACTTGGCAACTTTGAACTCGGCAGCGAATTCTGGAGTCAAAATGGCGCCCGCTAACGTTTCACCTTCCGATGCCTCGTTGCCTCCTTTGTTAAATTGTTACCCTCGGAGATTTGCCCACCGCTGGATGATGGATCCTTCCTAAGCGATCTTTACTCTGTCTTTCACCTTCGATGGCTATCTTCCCTTAATTTTCTGAATTTTCCTCGGTTTCTGAATCTTAGCTGTCCAGCCTATCCACCCTCCTCTGCGATGCTAAGCCTTCTAGGCTCGGTTTGTTCGTCCCTCCACTCCCCAACCCACACGGACGACTCCATTCGACGCATTCCTCGGCGGTCCAGACTCCTAGGCAGTCGTCTGCCGTGCTCCATCAACTTGGGCAACGAGTCGTGTGGGCTTCGTGTCATTGCCGAGTCTTGGCCCTTTTCCTTGGCTGTTCGGTTGACAGGTCGGTCTCCCGACGCTATCTGATTCTTTGATTTTCGACAGGGATTCTCATTCTGGCTCAAAGGGAATTCTGAATGCCTGAAAGCTACGGACAGTCGGACACGTCAAGCTGTCACCGACCGTCAGTATTCGGTCGCCATGGACCTGAGTCTCTCTACGGAGTACACCTCGGAGGCTCACAGTCACATGCCTGTTTAAAAATCGCTAACGGACAGGCACCCCCAACAACTATTTCTTGGACGAAGTTTCTTATATTACTTGTTAATATAAGGCTGTCTCCATTGCTCCAACGCCCTGCCAAAATGCCTCAGGCATTAGGCAATCTGTGAAAAATTTCCGGTCCTCTCAGAGCGGCCCACAGTAGAGCTCATGGACACGGTCACTACCAATCAATTTAACATTTAATAACGACTCTCAACACAAAGTAACACAGACACAAACAAATACTTAGTGATGAAACGTTATACGGAGCATGATCTATCTGATTCCGGCCAGCCAGCCAGCCAGAACCCTACCGCCCACCAACAGAAAATGAGGTCATTTACTCCGTAAGATGTGTCGCGTTTCAGATCAATATCCCGGGCGCTTGCTCCAACATCGGGATTGGGGGCAGGAAGCCTATCGGCCATTCGATCAATCAGCTCATTAATTTGTGGTTGTGCCAACAAGAAAAGAAAAAGGAGGCCTGCCTCGTACGGGCGGGGATCCCCCCAGTAGCTAAAGTAGATAACCTCAAGGACCAGACCACTAGATTCTAGACTCTCTACCTCTGGCCTCTACTCTGTACACCGACAGACACCTTGGTCTAGATTGTTGGTGGATAATCCTGCTACCTCGATCTACCTTTTTAATTTCTTCATCTCCAGCGACCGCCTGAACAAACACTAAAATGTGCTAGAAACGTCTACGGGGCACGGGAGCACTGGTGGGTTTAGCTAGCTAGTTTAGACTCGACCCGTCGTCTTTCTCCTGAACACAAAATACTACCCTGTACGGCGTAGATCATCCAAGAGGATATGTCCACGAGCTGCCGTAGGTCTGGACCTGAGGTGCCAGGCAACCATTCGGGATTGGGAGCTCGAGGGCATGACTGTCTAGCACAAGCAAAACTTATTACTCCCTGATATCCTTTGCGCAGGTTTCTCGAACCCAGGAGCTATAAGACAGGGCGCCGTAGGAGCGAGAAAACTAGTTCTAGCTGAAAGAAAGTGAAAAAGAGAGGCTGGACAAGGGATGTCGACAGGATGCTCTCCCTGCTTCGGAGTTTGTTCTCTTGGCGCTGGAAGGCATATCACAGACAATCTAGATAGACGTGGTTGAAGGGCGTTGAAAGCAGTGGGATCAGGCTGGATTACACGAAAGAAAATAACCCACAGCGATGTCATCTGAATAACGACTTACATTTTAAGTCTGACAGCTGGACATATTGAGAACTTCTAAGCTAAATCATAGAATGGAAGGTATTCAAGATATTCAAGATGGGGAGTGCTAATGATGAAGCGCCCCCCAATGTGACATGGAGAGCTCGCTAGCCCCATCCCTTGCATTGGAGAACTCGATATGGAGGGAGCAGATCTATTCATTGACCTTCATCTTCAACAAATGTCTCGCTTGTCATCATCTGAGGTGTTTGAATCACCTATACCTTTATCCCTGACTATAGAGGAGATTGCTTCCTGGCTTCGATGGACCCTAGACATGAATTTGCCACCGAGGGAATATGAGCAATACTTATGAGATGTTTTGCTATTTTCATTTAATCCACACACACACACACACACACACACAGAGAGAGAGAGAGAGAGAGAGAGAGAGAGAAATCAACGAGTGTGCCCTCTCGAAGATTTCCGCTTTGGGAAGACTCGATGTTCTGCCTCAGGCTTTCAGTGCATTGGAACGGTGAGATTCGACACATTCCAGGAACGTCACTCTTGTCGGAACCCCTGCGAGGGCCACTTGTTCCTGTTGATTGTTTTACAGCCCTGACTCAATGTGACGGCCCTGGATCAATATGTTTAGACCGATATCAACAGTGGCACATCCCTCTTACCCTCTATCCCTACTTTATAGATATTCTGGACCGTCGGACCAAATTAGCCAATTATCGGTTTGATAATTGAGCGGTCGGCGCAAGGGGTTTGATATGATCTCAGTGCGATTGTCCACGGGTTTTAACCCCTTTGGCTCGCAGCGAGGGATTCTGCCGGATTCGTAGGGTGGGTGGGCTCGGTCAATGTAACCCCCAGCTGTTGATGCAAAGCTGGATGAAATAAAGGCAACGCTGTCGGACCAGATACTGGGTGATTCTACTCCATCAATCGGACACTCAAGATTGTCGTTCACTCACAGAAGCGAAAGATGCTCGTCAGCTCGTTTCTTCTGCTGACTTCAGCAGTCGGCACATATAGCTCGTACCTTACTCCTAAGACGGAAGGTGAGGAGGCATAATGTTGGGATTAGCGAGAGATCGTCAAGGCTAACAAACCTAGAATATGCGGTAAACGGGACGAGCCTACCAGATGTCGACTTCGACATCGGTGAATCGTATGCCGGATATCTGTCTAACAGACCGTCGGGTGACTCGAATCTATACTTTTGGTTCTTTCCTTCCACGAATCCTGATGCTTCTGAGGAGGTAAATTGCCACCGTCAATCCTGCCATAGACATATATGACAGTATACTGACCTTGGGAGATCACTATCTGGTTAAATGGCGGCCCGGGATGTACCTCTCTTGCCGGATTACTTCAAGAGCACGGTCCATTCCTCTGGCAGCCCGGCACTTCAGTCCCTTTCCAGAACCCATATTCCTGGAACAACCTAACCAACATAGTCTACGTGGATCAACCCGCAGGTACGGGCTTATCGTTAGGGCCCGCAACTGTATGGAATGAAAACGATGTGGCGAATCAGTTCATCGACTTCTGGAAACGTTTCGTGGATACATTTGACCTAAAGAACCGCAAGGTTTACATCACTGGCGAGAGCTACGCCGGAATGTATATCCCGTACCTTGCCTCTGCCATGCTTGACAAAGAGGACTCGGAGTATTTTGATGTCTCCGGGGTCCTGCTTTATGACCCACTCTTCAACGAACGAAACTCGCAGGTCAATCGTAAGACACAGCCCAGAATATTGTTGCAGTGTTCCGATTCTAACTTCTATGACAGCTCCTGCGGTACCCATGGTGAACTACTTCAAGCCGGTCCTAGGTCTGAACAACACCTTCATGGATCAGATCAACAGCCGTCATAAGGACTGTGGCTACGCCGATTTCATGGACCAGGCTCTCCAATTCCCTCCAACGGGCACTCTTCCGCCTGCCCCCAGCGCTGACCGACCCGGATGTGACATCTGGACCGACATCCTCGACGCAGCCACTTACGTGAACCCCTGCTTCAATATCTACCACATCACGGACTACTGCCCTGTGCTTTGGAATGTACTGGGCTTTCCCTCCACAGATGCCGGCCCCAGCAACTACTTCAACCGCAGCGACGTCCAGAAAGCCATCAACTCCCAGCCCATCGACTTCCACGCCTGCTCGTTGGGTAATATCTTCCAAGGTCAGGATAACCTGGACCAGTCCATCCCCAGTGCTCTCGGACCCTTGCCGAGCGTGATCGAACGCACCAACAATACCATCATCGGACACGGACTGCTCGACTTCGTCTTGATCGCCAACGGCTCACTAGCAGCGATCCAGAACATGACCTGGAACGGGCTGCAAGGATTCCAAGAGCCCCCGACGGAATCGTTGTTTGCCCCCTACCATCCATTCTATGGCAAGGCGTCACGAATGGATCTCGACGAGGACCAGCCCCTGACTCACGACGCCGGTGCCGGATTCCTGGGTACCGCTCACACTGAGCGTGGTTTGACCTACACCACGGTGGATCTTGCCGGACATCGTAAGTATAGCACTGTTCTTTTTCTTATCCTGCCAGAGTCCCGCCGCTTTTCTATGACAATCAACAGCTACTGACTCGTGACGTTCAAATTACAGAGGTCCCTCAATATTCCCCTGGCACCGCGTTCCGACATCTTGAATTCCTTCTAGGGCGGATTGATAGTCTGTCTGAGATCACGAAGACATTCTCTTCTGGACTTGGATAAATGTTGATTTCGTGGATATGAGACTGGGTGGTGTTTTTTATGGCATGTGCTGAAAGTATGATCTTCATGTATATAATATGTTAATTTCTTTCTGGATGTAACTTTACTTTATGGAATAGATAGAAGAATTTGATAGTATGGAACTTTTTAAGCTGGCAAGAACCCAACACCTATCTTAATCAATATAGCCATTGAAAATATAGACCTATGTATGTAGCACCAACATGAATGTATGGACCTGTTCAGAATGATCATGCAAAAGGTGATTGGCCAGACAAAGAAAAAGCGCCCACTCGACCCAAACTATGTAATATCCTATTTGGGACTAGCGGGAGATGGAAAGAACCCGGGCATTTCCCTTTTGGGCCACGGCTGCAACTTTAAAAGATCGCAATGAGGGATCAATGAATACCGCATCGATAACTCTACTCGACATTTCAGATTTGATAGAACTTGCATGCGGAGAACCTGCCACTCTATACATACAGTCAAGATAGACTTGCTCCTTGTCGATTGAAACGTATCTAAATGCCGACAGTATTACCTAGTTACTCAAAGCCCTTGGAGGAATCAAAATTTGGATCGCAAGCAATGGAACCAAAGCTAAGCATCACTTGCTGGGCCCCGGTAGATCCACATAAACCCTAATCCGGCGATCACATCCCCTTGATTCATCTTTTACCATGTCTCTTTTCTCATCTTTCCCCTCGCTTATTACTGGGTGTCTCTAGTGTGTCGAGTCGCACTTTGCGTCTGCGTCTGCGTCTGTATATTCTTGAAAATGTCAGGTGTATCAGGTATCGACGTGCAGCCAAATCCACGGTATCTCTTCCGCCAACCCGTGGCGCTGCAATGGTTCGAGAATGGGAAGCTCGTGAAGCGGCAGGAAGAGGAGCGTCAGGCTGGTGAGTGTGTGTATTCGGCACTTCCTTGCTAGATATCAAACGATAAATTGCAGAAGCTAATGCGAGCTTGGGATTTTCCCGCGCAGGACGCTTCGAACTCTTCCTGGACCTTCTGTATGTTGCTATACTGGCCAATTTCGCCGAGTCGCTGGCTGAGCATATCACGGGTGCGCGTCTAGCGATGTATATTGTAAGAGAACCCAATGCGCAACGAGATTGGCGAGGTCTGAACTTACGCTCCGCTGTCAAATATAGTTGATCTTTGCTCCCTCCTGGCATGTATGGAGCGACCTGCGCGAACTGATGAATTCGTTCTACAACGACGACCTGCTGCAGCGGGTGCTCATCCTTTGGGTCATGGCCGTGCTGGTCGTGTACGGCAACAACGCAACCCTCGTGGACGAGGACCTCGGTGCCATGCGCGCCACCGTCGCCGCTTACATGATTGCGCGACTATCCTGCAACGCAGCACACCTCTTCTATTCGTTCGCCAGTTACCATCACCGGGCCCAGCAGCGACTCTGGTGTCTTCTCGCCATGCTAGCCCTCTGCATATACATCCCGTTGTACGTGGAGTCCGTGCCGATTCGTGGAAAGATCGCCGCCGCGGCCGTGGGCATCGTGGTCGAGCAATGCGTCTGGATATTTTGCTACTCGCCTGCTGCGAAGAGCGTGTTGAAGGCTCGCTATACCACGGCCGTGGATATTGCACATGAGATCGACCGCTTCGCGGCGTTCTATATCATCGTGCTGGGCGAGTTCCTGTATCAGATCGTCGTGGGATCACCGGCGGCCATCGGTCTGAATCTGGGTCTGCTGCGCGCCGTTTGGACACTCGTTATCGCATTCTGCCTAAACTGGTTGTATGTGCACAATGACGGAGCTTTGAATGGTACTCACCCCATGCGATACTCGGTGTATACAGCGTTCACGTGGATCTCGTTACATCTGCCGCTGAGTGCGAGTCTGCTGGCGAGCGGACATGTGGCGGCTGCCAGCGCGGCCGAGAACCGGTTCGGCGATGCAGAGCGGTGGTTGCTCTGCGGAAGCTTGGGTACTGGCATGCTCTGTCTGTATGGGCTGGCGCTGTTGTTCGAATGCAAAGATGAACCGGGCACGTTGATATTGGGCAAGGTAAGCACTGCTTCACAATGGCAACTCATAAGCTACCCAAAGGTTGCTGACCAAACCTGAACTATAGCATCTTCGAGTCATCATGCGTCCGATTACCGGCTTGATTATTGTACTTCTCGGCCTCTCCGACTCCCTCGATGTCACTTCCATGATGTCGATCCTCATGGCCCTAGTCGCATTGTGTTTGGTCTGGGAGAACGTTACATCGCTGCGTCGCGATGCTCGGATCTGGGAACGATGGGAGAACACCGAGTATCCGGAAGACAGGGACGATATCGTGCCCGTCGTCAGAAGGGGTTCTGGAAGCTCAGGGAATGCATGAGCTTTAGGGCCTCAACAGATAGAGGATGTTCCGGGTAGGGTTAGTAGATGTATAGGTGTTGATTGCCCGATGAATGATATGACGTGAAGTACCAATGAGGGATACTATAAGGCCATAGAATGGGATCATCGGAGAGTTGAATGACGGTAGAGTAAAAAGGTTGTAGGAAGAATGAAGCGTACGAGAAAGGGAAAAGCCCGTCATGTGCGCAACGGCACGTGAGCCCATATCTTTCTTCCTATTGTAATTTGTTCAGTGTTCTCATTCCTCAAAGTAAGAAACCAGATCAAATCAAGTCAGATCATGTACAACTAATTCGGGTCTTCCCTCCCCCTGATGATGATGTCCAATCGGCAGTCCCAACTCCGAATCTAACGTTCCATTCTTGAACTGCAGCATCGGATTCGGCCACAGATACGCATCCTTGGGCTGCGGCGCCACGGCCTCCAATTCTCCCTGTCGATCTCCCTGCTCTTCGCCCATTCCATCAGGGTCCCGTAATCCCGACACTGGCGGTTGATGTTGAAGTCCGGCCAGGGGGCCTCCTGGTGCTCCACGTACGACATGGTAAGTATCGCCGGGTCCGCGTTACAGAGGATAAACTGGACCAGCATATCGGCGCAATGGCCGAGGTGAATCCATTGTTTCGGGCCTTCGCTGTGTCGGTGCTCCTCCATGGGCGTGTAGCCGGGGTACTCGGCGAAGGCTTTCTCGCGGAGCACGGCAACGCAATGAATCCCCTGCATTTGAGTCGTCGGTGAGCGCAAGTCAAGATATAGATGACACTGGCTTGCGTATGTGACTGCCTAAAGAAAAGTTAGGGTTGGAAATTTGCCCGGATACACGTCCTCCGAGAGGCCCCAGTACTCAGAAGTAAGGCGTCCTCAATTGGGTTTCGACGTAGGCTCCTCCTAGCCATTGACAGTCCTGACATTGATTTCCAGCTGGAGGGTGTTCTTGAAAGGCGAGGGATGAAGGGATGAAATTCTGTCTTCCGGAACAAAGTGATATCATTGCGCTGCTGGTGGTCTCAGATAGGGATGGTATGCACGAGCAACGCAAGGAGGGTCGGAACGACAGATGAGAAATATACAACCCGAGCACAAAAGAGTATCTCATACTACACAGTTCGATCAATTGAATCAGTCATTGCCATATAACTAGCAGAATATAGCTCAAAAATTACATCCAAAATTTTAGATATCCACCGTCCTGCACGTTCCCCCTTCGCAAATGAGCAAGTAATTCTTGGCTGGGTCCGACGGTTTGAGATCCTTGAACAGGGGATTTCGGCTCCTCAGCCAGAAAGAGGGATTGCCGACAAAATCGCCCACACGTGACGGGCGGATATCAACGAGAGAAGCAGTGGTGGTTGACGTAGATAACGCGGGCCCGGCTTCTGACCGGATCTTTTGCACAAGCAAATCTCGTACCGAGGTCGGCTCCTCTGATTTGCTGAGAAGACTAGATGATGATTGAGGGGCAGTAGTGATGACAGCGGTGCTGAACACGCCTGTGATGTTGCGTGACCCGGCTTCTAGGCCGACGATTGCGTCTAGTAAGCCGACGAAAAGGAATGGGTGCTGAAGAATTTCAACGGCAAATGAATGGCACGTTTGGCGCGAGAGTGTGCGATATCCCTCGTCTTCGAGTAAATTTGCGAGGCGAAGTAAATTGCGAGCAATGACGCCGTTCACTGACGGCGTGGCCGACTCGGTCCCCGTCTTTAATCGGAGTAGAGGGCCAGGCATGCCTGGTGTTGGCGTGGAAGGTGTACTGTAGTATCCCGCTGGCGTCGATCCAGCATACGCCATAAATTCTTGATTCAGATATTCTACGCTAACAGTTAGCAATGACGGCTTTCAATAATACGGCAAGGGTATAGTAGGGCATACTTTGTAATTGCTCGGCAAACTGCAGGTAGCTGTCATCGAAAGTGGTCTCGTACAGGTCCAACAGGCCAGAAATAAGATAGGCGTAGTCGTCAGCAAATCCGGGGGTGTCGCCCCTCGCCCCATCGCGGTAGACACGCCAAAGTTTTCCGGTGGGTTTGTCGAAAAGAGTGTTCTTGATGAAGTTCGCCGCCTTGACTGCAGCATCCCGGCATTGGAGCGCTTTGGAGCTTTCGATTTGTTCAAAAAGTGCACTGCACTTGGCGAGTGCTCCAATGGCCAAGCCATTCCACGCAACAATGACTTTGTCGTCCAAGTCCGGTCGCACTCGGGTTCTCTCCCGGTATTCGCAAAGCTTCTGCTTAGCAGATCGAATGATTTTCACCACTTCGTCCTCCCCGAGACCAAAGTCTCGAGCCAACTTGCTAGGCGTGACTTTGACCGATAATACATTCTGGTTCATGAATTCGTCGTGCGGGTCATTTTCCGGGGCAATATTCCCGTCAGAGAGAACACCCCAATGGCGAGCACATACTTGCGCATCTCGCTGGCCAAGCACCTGTGTGAGTTCCTTCAAGGTCCAGACATAGAACGCGCCTTCTCGCTTCTCCGTGTCATTCGGTGTTGGAAGACTGTCGGCGTCTTCGGAGGAGTGAAATGCACCCGCTGGCGATTGGATAGGACTACTTGTCAAGTACGTAGCCAAGTCATAGACAGCACCTAGCAGTTCGGGGTTATGCGTAACTTTGAATGCATCGACATAGACGTCCAAGAGCTGGGCTTGGTCATAAAGCATTTTTTCAAAGTGAGGCAACAGCCAGTTCGACGTGACACTGTACCGTGCAAAACCGTGGCCTATGTGGTCTCGGATCCCCCCGCGCGCCATGTTGATAAGCGTATTGACTGCCATCGCGGTAGCCCTCTCGCATTCCTCTTGCCCAACAACATCCGATACGGCGGCTGGATAAGTTCCCAGACGGAGCAAGAAGCTCAAGTTCGTAGGTGTCGGAAATTTTGGGGACCGGGAGAATCCTCCATGTACGGGATCGTATCGCGAAACAAAGTGTTGATAAGCCTCCTCTAAAAGCTCAATATCCAAGTCCTCGTCCGACGGTCGGTCCCCCTGGTACGTATGCGTTCCTTCTTCGGCAAACTCCCGAAGCTGTTTCGTGATTTCTTTCGCGCTCTCGCGACACCGTAGCTGTTGGGTTTCCCAGACCTCTCGGAGCTTATCCAGGATATCAATAAATCCAATAGTCTCATTCCCGGGTAAGCTAGAGGAGCTGGGACCCGGCCAGTAGGTGCCGCCAAACACCGGCTCAAGGTCTGGAGTGAGAAAGACATTCAGCGGCCAGCCGCCCGAGCCGGTGGTTGCTTGGACGTAATTCATGTAAACATCATCGATATCCGGTCGCTCCTCACGGTCAACCTTGATGGGAATGAAAGATTCGTTTAAAATCGACGCCACTTCTGGCGACATGAACGATTCCTTTTCCATAACATGACACCCTATCGAACATTAGTTGGATAATCCACCAAGGTTGACTGCTTGTGACCGAGGGGAGAAAATAAAAATCAAATAGTGCATACAGTGACATGCCGAGTATCCGATGCTCAGAAAGATGAGTCGATTATGTCGCCGGGCCAAATCAATCGACTCGGCATCCCATAACTGCCAAGCGACAGGATTATCCATGTGGCCCCTAACCTTTCGATCAATCAGTGTCATTAATCTTCAAATTACGACGGAACGATTGCTCACATATGGGGATCGACTATGGTGCAGTCGATTGACCAGCTTGGGCTCCGCGTCGGTTCCACCGGCATGCAAGTGCACGTCCATCGGGGCGGCCATCCTGCAAGAGGAACAAGCTAGGATCTCAGTTGCTGGGAGACGATGAATGACAAGATCGCTCGGTCGCGATCCGAGGGCCACCGAAGAGGGGCTAAGAGGGGTGTGAATGTGATGAGTTGAGAAGAGATGCAGCCGACCAGTGGGAAAGGGTCCGAGAATAGGGAGAAGTGAGGGACCACGAGGCAGGCAGCTAGTGGCAGTTGGAGAAGAACAAGTGGGATGGAAGGATCGGGGCTGGACGGAGTGGAAAGTAGAGACGGTTGGACTGTTAACTGTTAACTGTTAAGGCCCGCATCCGGGAGATCGGCGCCTGCTGCGTCATCGATGCCTGAGAGGTCACGTGTTGTATAAATACGTAAGCGTGTATATCTCTATGTTTGTGCATCTACTTATACTACATCCAATATTATCCCCTTAGACTTTCTCCATCTTCACCATCGAACGTAATATATCCCCTCGACGGTCCTTGTCCGATATCTTCCATCCCCGCAGCAGCAGTGTGCACAGTGATGCTGCAATATACATGAACCCCGTGAACAGCTGCGTGTGGAGATACTCGTGCTCTCCGGTCGTCCGAAGCTCAAGTCCGATAGCCGCTCCGACTTCGAGATAATCAGTAACACAAACATCTACCAGATTGCAAGCCGTATGACTTACAAGTTGCAGGTACAGAACAGACGAGCCAGGCAATGGTCAAGCATGACTGCAGCTCTTCTAGTCCGACAACCTCGGCGGCCAAAGGGCCAATAGCCTTCAATACCGTTAGCTAATGGGTGAAATGGGCGAAGGTCTCATCTCACCGCCCAGAAGGTGCCAAACAAGATCCCAGCAAACAATGCAAAGCAAGTGAGGGCTGCATATGTCTTCGCAAAAACCCACAGCAGCAGACATAATACGCCGCTGACAAACGAGGCAAAAGTGGTAACATTCAATCTGCCAATCTTGTCACTGAAAAAACCTACCGCAGGGCGTCCGAACATCTGTCCTATATTCATTACGGCGGTGATAGTGGACCCTTGGCTGGCAGTCAGGCCGATGCTTCGAGCGTATGTTGCCAGCGAAAACCAAATCACCATGAAACCCATCACGCTGAAAAAGCCCCAAGCGATAAATAGCCATGTCTCATATCTCTTTCCGAGCTTGAAATTGATCGATAACCCCGGTCTCCCGGTTGCATGCGCTGAGCTTCGGTCACGCAGAAGCAGTAGGCAAATGGAGTTCACAACGAGCTGTACGATCGCTAGGATTCGATATGACCAGCCCCTGCCGACATTATCTAGCATGGCGTGAGCTGCAAGCGAATATATTAGTCCGCCAGTGCCGGTTCCAGCTGTTGTAATGCCTGCCGCGAGACTTCGCCTTTTGCTGAACCACTGCGGAATGATGGCGGTTGTCGAAAGATACTGCAGACCGAGACCCCATCCAAAGCAGACACCTTGGCTCAGATACAGTTGCCAAATCGCTGTGCTCCAGGACGCTCCCAGCAGAGCTGCGGTCTCAAACAGGACACCGAGGGCTATGGTAGCCCTGAGGCCAAAGCGACGGTGAATGGTTGTGATTAAGGGCGATATCACGAGAGCCTGTGAAGCCGATAGACCTCCAATCAGGGCAAAGTCGAGAGCTCGACTGTGCGGGAATATGGAATGGGAGGTGAAGTATTCCAGGAAGACACCATAGCTCTAGACCTGGTCAGTTGACGGGCTGTCATTTCAATTGGACGATAGTCACGTACGGACAGTATTCCCCAGACGTGAGCATTGTTCCAGAAGACTGCAAACACGATGACCCATCCGTAACCTCCGTCAGTAGCATCGGGGGACGTCATGATCAGGGGGCTTTCGCAGTTATCTGAATACTATACCAATGACAGGGACCGGATGCAAATGAGAACGAGATAATTGCTTAATTACAGTGAAAAAATTTACCGGATAAAGAGCCTCCAGAGCAAGGGAATTTGATTTAATAGGATCGATACGGACTAACCTTGTACAGACCCGATTCTTCCTAAGCCTATTTATTCGATTAATAAGGCAATCGAACCCCTTGTTTTTCTATCCCACATTCTACCGTCCATCTCCCACCGGAACCCCAGGAGCCGTATCCACCAAAGCTCCAAGGGTAATCCTAAAATTCTTTCTAATTCCGAACAACCTCTTCTGAAACATGGCCCTGCTCTTTGTCAAAAGCTGATCAATGATTACGCTACCTCGATTTCTATATCAATTTATTCATCAATTTTATTAATGGCCCGGTGGGAGATGTCCACCAGAACCCACCAAGGCCGAAATTGCGCCTATCGAGAAACCATATAAACTGTCCATCTTCTCAATGACTGTCCCAACATCATCATCAACACTGAAAACATCTTAAGTTATCATTCTCTTCATCATCCATACCCACCATGTCTTCGTTCCAAGGCACCATCTCCATCACCCACATCACCACCGCCACGGCGATCATCAACATCGACGGCATCCGATTCCTCACCGACCCTGTCTTCTGCCCCGGCGGATCCCAATACATCTACGACGGGTGGTCCAAGGCTCCCAACCTGAAGGACTTTGGATTCGAGGGCCGTCCTCCGGCAGGTGTTCTGACCAGCACCGAAGACCCTGCCCTCCGGCTCCACGACCTCCCTCCCATCGACGCTGTGCTACTCAGCCACGAAGACCACGTCGATAACCTCGACCCCCTCGGCCGCCAACTCCTCGACGGCCGCCGCGTCTTCACGACCCCCGACGGTGCCAAGAACCTGCAACCTCGCCCGGGCGTCGTCGGCCTGCAACCGTGGCAAACCGTCACCGCGAAGATCGGCGGCAAGGAGTTCCGTATCACCGGCACCCCCTGCAAGCACTTCCCCGGCGGCGAAGTCACCGGGTTCATCCTGGAGGCGGAATCTTTCGGGAAGGGTGCGAATGGCTTGCCGAATGCGGTGTACTTCTCGGGCGACACGGTCTGGATTGACGAGTTGGCGAACATGAAAGATAAGTGGAACATCTGCGTGGCGGTGCTGAATCTGGGAAATGCGCTGTTCTCGCACCCGAACGGTATCTTGCAGATTACGTTCGATGGGAAGCAGGCGGCGCATTTGATGAGGGTGACGGGGGCGGAGATCATGGTGCCGATCCATTTCGAGTCGTGGGAGCATTTCACGGAGCATAAGGGGGAGTTGCTGGCTGTTTTTGAGCAGGAAGGCGTGCAGGAGAAGGTGCGATGGTTGGCGCCAGGGGTTGAGACTTCGGTTGTTTAATTTGCCTGTGCTTTTGTTAAATACAGCAAATAGACATAAAAGTTTTAGATATCGTTTAAATGGACAAATTGTGTCGTATCGAACCTTGTATTAGAGTCGCCAGATGTTTCAAGTGAATTTCAAAAGATGCCAAAATCACTCTAACCCACAACATCCAAGCAGCTCCTCACACTCAGATATCCACCTCCCAGATTGACTCTTCCCCGAATCTACATCCCTCCTAATCCCCTCCAGCAAGTACGCAAGCTCTGGATTTGACCTCGCCTCCCATAGATGATTACTATTCGGCTCCGGAAATTGCAAATCAGATAGCCGTAGCAGCTTAGCATGATCCTCCCCTATCTGAGAAGCGCAGCAGCATAGCCTAGAGACCTTGTACAGTGCCAGTCCGAACCGCTTGATCTCTTCCACTCCTACCCAAATACATGTCACGGATTCGATTGAACGGTATCGGCCGAGCATCGCTGGGTAGGAGAATACGTGATATCTGCGGCATGTGTTTACGAGGGCGGTAAGAATCTGATAATCGGGTGTAGCTAGTGGGACTTTAAGGCTGAGTGGGCGGGATTGCTGGGGGGCTATTAGGAGGGAGAAGATGATGTAGAGGAGAATGCCCTGGTATGTGGCTATCGGCCAGGCTGAGGAAAGTGTGTCGGATTGGTCGGGGAGGTCTTCCCATGTTGTCTATCGACTCTGTTAGTCAATAATTGATTTGATGCGATTTAAAATCTTGGTCATAAGTTGATGAGGGTCGTCTACTGACCTGTTGTTCCCTTATACACGTCCCCAACCATCGATGCAAATCCAGCGCCATCTGCTGATTGGAATTATCGCCACTAGCCCACAGTCCAATCATAACGACCGAGTACAAAAGCAAGGCAGGCTCATGGTCCACGCTGAACGTCGCCCGATGCAGAAATGGCCATTCGGAGTGGAAAATCGCAAAATAGATGCGCACATGTCGTTCAATATCTTCCGGGCCGCCGAGTCGGTCGAGAATCGATGACTGGGCTGACTCCATCCTCGGCTGCGATTCATCGTCTCCGTCCCTATCTTTTAAACTAGAGCCATTACCATCGAACGAACAATCTAGGTGTTTTAGTTCGCAATTCTGACATGGAAATCCGCCGCGACAGCGCACTTTCGCCCCCCGACACGGTCGACAGGCTTGCGCGGAGCGGATGATGTGGGATTGTTCCTGCTCCTCGTGGTCTTGTCGAATGTGGCGGCGCAGAGTGTCGCTGCGTTGTGTCAGCTCTTGCCACTAAGTTCAAACACACTCGTCTCAGAGACATAAGATGTGATACCTTCGAGAAAACACGCGGTCGCAGACTGGACATGAGGACCGTTCGCCTCGATGCTGCGCTTCATGCCGGCGAAGGTGCTCCTTGCGTAGATAGCTGCATTTGCAGGCAGGATGGCGACAGTAGAATCTCATGTTGTATATCTCAGGGATGCCAATCCAGTTCCGACTGAAGGAGTAGAATATCTAGAGAAGTAGAGAAGTAGAAGGGGAGAATATCCCACCGCTATCCCACCGCTATCCCATCGCTATCCCACCGGCTCCCACCGGTATCCCACGGTGGAGACGATTAGATAACCTTCTTTCTCTTTCTCTCTCTATACATCCCCGCATTGCATCATAAATACTCCTCTTTCCCCCTCATTTTGTATTATCCTTCTTGTCCTAATCCTCATTCTCAAATCCATCTCTCATTCACCCCTAACAGAAAATCCAAAATGTCCCCCCTCTCCTTCCGCCAAACCATCGGCCTCCCCCGCTCCACCGCCACCACCCAAGACTCAACCCTGATCATCATCGACGCGCAGAACGAATACGCGCAAGGAAGACTCGCCGTCGAGCACGTCTCCGCCAGCCGCAAGGTCATCTCTGACCTGCTGAACCGATACCGTCGCGGCGGGCACAATGGCAAGAACATCGTGCACGTGGTGCACGAGACGCCCGCGGGAGCACCAGTGTTCACGAGCGGCACCGAGCTGGCGCGGGAATTCGAGGAGCTGACGCCCGCGGCGGGCGAGAAGGTCGTGACGAAGAACTTCCCGAGCTCGTTTGCCCAGACGGATTTGCATGCGTATCTGAGCGGGTTGGGGCCTGTCGGGAAGAAGATCGTGTTGGTGGGATATATGGCGCATGTGTGTGTGTCGACGACGGCGAGGGCGGGGAGTGAGTTGGGGTATGAGGTTTTGGTGGCTGGTGAGGGCGTTGGGGATCGCGATATTCCTGGTGTGAAGGCGGAGGAACTGGTGTCGACTGTGCTGAGCGAGTTGGATGATGCGTTTGGGACGGTCGTGTCGGCGACGGAGATTCAGGGGTGAGGGATTAGTTCGTGAGATTTTACTTGTGTGTGGCTGAAGGGAAGGGTTTTGTTGGCCTGAGAGTCGAATTTGAATTATTTACAATTTCATACATATCATGTCATGCAATCTAACAGAGCAGCATCGTCTTCAATAAGATTCGCAAAGCATCCGCCGGCAAGCACATCCTCCACTTCCTGCGTTACGCTTTGTATCCGCTCTATGGATACGGCTGCAATAGCCCATAGATTCCCCATGGCTTTCAATGTCCCGATATTCAGTCCCAGGTAGGGACGCACCGCACTGGTCGTCTGCGTAACCTCGATCGACAGCACCGCCAGTTGTATCACTGAACTGAGAACCAGCGTGCACACGAAGAACGGGGTATGTCCAACAACCGAGGGGGACAGCGAAGCCAGCTTCGACAGGCCGGTCGCCGCAGCGACAACCTTGGCCGTGTGGACCTGCGGGTTAAGGGCAAGTGATGAGAAACTCGGCGGACTCGCACAGAAGATTCGGCCTGTAATGGGTAAAAACGCCAGGAGCGAGGATCTAGGGAAATGCAGATAGACAGCAGCGCAATGCATGATCATCATGGCTTGGAAAGTCATTTGGTCCAATTCGCCAGTGTGTCGCAGGAGTGGACGATGGTAGCACCGTGACTGCACGCGGTGGAGCCACGAGGTGATTGTCGCGTCGAGGACGTCCGTCGACTCTTGCGGGGCGTGAGTGGTGCCGACGAGAAGGCATTTGTGCAGGATGACAGCTGCTTCGACGCGGTACGCCGAGGAGGACAAGTCCGCGTCGTTGTGAAGTAAGGCTTGACGGTCCAAGTCGCTGATCGTGGTCAGCCCACCGCCCGAGAAAGACCCCGTGTAGTTCTCCGGCTCGCAAGGCAGCGGCACGTCGGGAATCTCGAGAGTAAATTGCAGCGAGCCTTCAACTTGCACAGCGGCCATGAGGGTATCGAGGATAAATATTTCCCACCACGTGCGTCGCGCGCTCTCTGCGTGCACGGGATCATGCGTCTCCAGGGAATCCGAGAACCCGCGACAATGGAGACCGAGTTCGAGGCTGCATTGGATGGCCTGAGCCATGCAAATTTTGGCTTCGATAGGGTGTAGGCGCGCGTGTAGAATGATGGAAAGAAGGAGCAGGGCTTGGACCTTGACCATGTCGAGATCCGCCTCCTCGACGTTTGCTCGTAGAGAGGCCGTTCGATCTGGTACCAGATTGACCAGATAGTGCAGACCGATGTATTCGACCAGGTTGACGAGGTATGCCGGCGGGGCAGACTGGATGAACACATCATGAGGCGGCAGAAATGGATGTGCTTGATGGAAATGTAGGTAGTAAACGCCGACGAGATGCTTGCTGTCCACTCCAAGATCAGTCTCAACAGCACCGAGTGGCTCGACAGGCAGCGACGAGTCGCTGGGGATCGGACCCGGTCGGCATTTGCGTCCGCGGCGAGAAGGCACAAAATAGCAGGAGAGATTCAGCGTTCTGCATCGACCACAGCCGGACACGTTGCCGTCACATTTGAGGTGTTTCTCGCGACAGTTCAGGCAGGCCACCGCAGTCGACGAAATCGCCGTCGGACTAGATTGACCAAATTCCATATTGGACATGAGCTCCAGCTAATTTTGGACGGAGTAGTTATCGCAATCAGTCGAGGGAATGGAACCATTACATGTTCGGCGACTTCCCCGGTCAAGTCGCCGAATTGGTGGGTCTGCCAGTTGCTAGTTAGGGCTTCCCCGGTTGGAAAGGCTGGAAGGGCAACGCCTCCTCGCATTTACATTTAAGACAGTCTTGGGACTCTTGTCAGACTCACAGGACATCGGGTAAGGGGACATAACCTACGGAGTACACTGTCTATGTAGTGTGTCGGGCAAGTGGCCCGTTGACTTTACCATTGCGCTACAGGCCAAAAAAGCACAATGAATAACCAACAGGTCGTTCAGTCAACGCAGTATATAACAGCCAGTCAGGGATTCGGCGTGCCATGGTAAGCTACGGACCAACTCCCTGACATAAGTGTCTTCTGGCGCTTATATATCTGAGCCGGAACTACAGTACACGGAGTAGACTGGGTATGGGGTAAAAAGTGCTATACTAAATCTGGTAGGCCATCTAACAAGTCCCCTCTGTCACCCAAGCTGGTTGATCTGGAGACCCCAGGATCAAGTTATCGTGCTAAAGGCACCTGGAAACAAAATCCGTGTCGAGGGAGTTGCATTGATTGACATTGCGAGGATCGAGCCCCCACCGAGTGACGTCAACAGCCATCCGACCCGACAAAAACATCACTATGAACTCAGTGCCTTTTGGCACGGGAATAACGGCATCCCGCTCGCTCTTTGGCCCGTTGATTCGACAAGTGAGCCGTTTCGAGTCGATCACAATCTGCAAGGCTGAAGATATTTGATCCCCCCGTTGTTCGACCCCAATGATGTGGCGGTGCTGTTAGTGTTGGACCGTTAGATCCGATCTAACAGATAAGAAGCTCCTGGTCCGCCTCCTGTTTTGTCATTCCATCTTTTCAACTCTCATCTTCGAGCCCTAGTATATAATAGAGAAACCGAACACGATGTCTCGTCTCCTCTCTGAACCTATCATCTCAGATCCGGGCAGTACAGCCCTCGTAACGGACCTATCGGTCTCCCCAACCCACATCATCGTCTCGCTAGATAATTCGGAAATCTACGTCTACGATACCCAAGGCAACAAGCAGCACGTTCTCACAGGCTCTGAAGGCGCCGTCTGGGCAACCGCGGTGCAGGGCGATCTACTCGCCAGCGGAGGGACTGAATCCGATATCCGAACATGGAACTTATCAACGGGGTAAATAGAACTTCACGTCCATGCCGTGCCCGTATAGATATACTGGAAACTGATCAATGTTATTGGGATCAATCTTCAGGGAGCCCGGTCCCATTCTGAAAGGCCATACGTCCACTGTGCGCGTACTTCGCTTCCTCGACGACGCACAGACCCTGTTATCAGCGTCCCGGGACGCGACGATTCGGGTCTGGGATACCCAGAGTGGAGAGTGCAAGAAGGTCTTGGACGGTCACTCCGGCACCATTCGCTGTCTCGAGGCCTTCCCGCTAGGAAACGTCTTCCTGTCCGCCGGGGGTGACGGTGTCGCGTATCTCTGGAGCGCCAGGGATTTCTCGCCTCTGCACAAATTGGAAGGACACGAGGGGGCCATCTACTGCGCGGCAGTCGATGCTCAGGGTGACATGCTCGTCACCGGAGGGCAGGATGAAACTGTCCGCATCTGGCGGGCTGATAGCGGGTAAGTCTAGCAGACCTGTAGCCTCGTTGCGATTCGGGTAGTTAATATTGTGTTGGCAGGGAATGTCTCGAAGTCCTGCATGAGCCGGACGGTGTCGTTGGGAGAGCCCAGATCCTGGAGAATTCGACCTTGATCACAGCGGATTCGGCAGGCTTCGTGCACGTTTGGTCGCTGTATACTCCTGCGCGTCTGATCTCCAAATTCAGGGCTCACGAGGACCCCGTATCAGCATTTGACGTTCGCGGATCCAGCCTAGTGAGTGCCGGCGGTTCAATTCTGCTGAGTGACATTGAGAGCGGCAAAACTATCGCCACAATTGATGATACCGCGCACTCGGTGTGGAAGCTGGGTTTCATCGAGGAGAATAAAATCGTGGCCTTGGTGGCTCGGGATTCGAAGCCGATGATCGAGGTATGTACAACAGCTTGGATTGTCAGTTGAACTAGAAAGTGATGCTAACTGGAAGAGCAGATATGGGATGTCAGTCAGGAGGCAAAGAGCAGTGAAGGCTCATAAATTGGTTGAGTCGTGATATTTATTAGCAAGCCTTGATGGAATTCGAAGATAACCCCTGTTCTGTTTATAGACAAATATAATTCTACATTAAATCTCTTTATTGTAATTACAAGAACACCGACGACCCTCATTTCTTGATCCGCTGTACTAACGCGTCCAGCCCATGTCCATGACATACCAACCTATCCTGAGCACAAACAAAAATCGTCAGCAACGCCCTCTAGGCAGCAGTAAGAGCAGTCAGTATGACCAGGACAAGAGCTCACCGACATCCATCTCGGCACCACTGCCGAAATAATCCTCACCACTAAACATCCAGGTCCCCTCCACAGGACTGCTCCTCTCGAATGTTCGTTCCCAAGCACGTCGTCCACAATCGATTCGGCGAACGTTCCTATCGAACATCCCTTCGGTCCTGCCAGCCCGGCTGCCCAGCGCGCAATGATATCCTTAATCGCGAAGTAGCGCGAGGGACCCGGCAGGTTGAACTCCGGTTCGTTGCCGTGAAACGAGGTTAGCACGACTCCAACCATCAAGGTAGCCACCGTGACTCCGAGCGGCGCGAGCTCGAGTCGTAAGGTTTCGGAGAGGGCGGCCAGGGCGGATTTCGAGGAGTTATAGATCCCTACATACACGATTGAAATGAGATCGGTTGATGAACAAAAGACAAAACACAGCTTAACATACAGACTGAACAAGACCAAGCCTCATCGGATTTCAGACAAGAATATAATCAAAGAAAAACTCACCAACCCAAGGCGCATTCATCACCGCACCGGCACTACACACATTCACCACCCGCCCTTGCCTCTCGATCAACAGGCCCGAGAACGCCTGGACAATACGAACCGCGCCCCAAACATTTGTCTCGTACACCTGCTGCGCCGTCTCCAGGTCCGCGTCCAGCAGTGGCATCGTATATCCCGACCCGGCATTGTTCACCAGGATATCCAGCCCGGCACCGTGATCCTCGACTGCCTTGGCGGCTTCCGAAGCAGACGTGGTCGACGTCACGTCCAGCTGCAGCGTGGTCACGTTTGGGAGAGAGGAAAGCGATACGGGAATCTTGGACGGATGGCGCGCGGTGGCGAAGACGTGGTGGCCTTTTTGCGCCAGAGCGAGAGCCAGAGCAGAGCCGATGCCGTGGGCGGAACAGCCGGTGATGAGGATGGTTTTGGTCGGGGACATGACCGGGCAGGACAGGGTAGGGTAGGGGCGAGATAGGATTGGATCGCTGAAATTCAGGGAGGTCCGTTGGTCAGGTCTGTTGGTCAATTGATAAAGAACTAGTTATAGGGGAGCCAGTTGGTTCCTTGTCCGACGTGTGATGGCTCTCTACGGGTATGGCTTGACTGCTGTGTCACTATGTTGGATGTTAACCTGTACGACCCTTCAGCTGCGAGGGCTGGTTGATATTACAACTGCGTATTGCACTACAGTCGAGATTCACTGCGTTGCATGAGGGGATCGGAGTTTCGATGCGCCCTGGAACAGCGGTTCTTGTTACGCCCAAGGTAAGACGACAGCTTAAGCCTGGACGACCTGCATGATCCTAATCTCTTGTTTGCTCTGGAATTTCAGTCTGTACGTAGGGATCCCAGTCTCTTGCCTGTCACAACATATTCTATTACTGTAGCTAGAGCCGTTGGGAAAGGGAGAGATTCATTAGTCCTCTTCCATCAGTTCGGCCAATTCTCGCTCTTCTTCCTCCGTCAGCATTGACCCCGAATTCTGTGGTTGTTCTTCTTCCTCGGTCGCGGGCTTCTTAGCCCTTTCCACCGCAGCCTCAAGATCCCGGGGTTCCAGAGACCACTGTCGAATGGTGGCATCGATACTGACGCTGACCACCGTCGACCCCACAAGCGCAAGCCCAGTGACTTCCTCGAAATGGCCCGAAAAGGTGTGGTGAAGATTTCCGGTCTAACCCCCGGTCATGTTAGCAAGATCATGAGATAAGGTTGAGGATTAGGGAGCAATTGATCACCCACCGATCGATTCCACACTCGGACCTCCTCGTCCCTGCACGCAGTGACGATCCACCCGCCCTGTTCGTAAACAACCACATCTCGCACAAAGTCGGGGTGGGTGAGTGTGAGATTGGGCTTCCATCCATCTTCTCTCACGAGGCATTTGGTGGTCTTATCCGCCGACGCAGTCCATAGATCGCCATCACGGTCAAAGAAGAGTTTGTAGACGTTGGTATCGTGAGCCAGCAGAGCATCGGTGCCGGTGAGATCTTTACTTCCGGTAGAAATATCGAATTGACGGATTTCACGGTCACTGCCGGCGCTGAAAACGATCAATTCCTGGCCATCCGCCTCCAGCGAGACGGGATCCACCTGGAGGTCCTGGATTCCCTTGACGTGGCCTTTCAGGACCGAAATGCGCTTCCCCGTGGCGATATCGAAGACCAGCATTTGAGCATCGGTTCCTCCGGAAATGAGAACGGCTTGACCGTTGAGTCGGGCGCTGGCGACTGATTTTACGAAATCGGTATGGCCCTCATATTTTAACTTAGGCTCCCTCGAAGCCACATCCCAGCTCCAAATCAATTTATCCCAGCAGCCAGCAAACAAAGTCCGACCGTCGGGACTGAAGCAGAGACTCGTGATGGGCGCCGAGGGTCCTTTGTAAATGGCAGTCGTTTCACCTGTCTACAGAAAAACACACAAGCACCAAAGGCACTTTAGCTACAAGTACCCCGCGGAGGCATCCAGAGATCAAGCCAGGACACCGGGCACACCTACTTCAAGTATAACCTTCCTCACGGTGCCACCACTCTGGGCCACGAACACGGCGTCGGGATTCACGGGGTCAGGCTGAACGGCCAGGATTTTACTCTGTAGCTTGATAGGGGATCCATTTGTGTTTTGAGACTTGGCGTCCCTTCGCTTCTGCTCGTCGAGGGCCGCCCTGAAATCCGGGGAGAGGAGGGGCAAGATCAGCGACGCGAAACGGAGGAAGAGAGGAATCGGTAGCAATCAGACGAACGTGGTTTGGAAGAAGTCATCGGCATTGGAGGACTGCGGCATGGTGACAGGAATTGGGCTGAAGTGAATTGGACAGAATTGAATTGAATCTAGCAAGACTATGGGAGTTAATACTCAATAGTGAAGGGTGATGGAAGAAGGGAAGAAAGCCAAGTGGAGCCATGACGACGGAAATTTCAGGCAACCTGCGTGGGGAGCTCCTGCAGTCCGCCGTATCCCGCAAGCTTTTCCACCACAAAATCCTCGCTTCGTCTTCTCTCTTCTTCTCTCCCTTTCTCACTTCCTCCCCTTCCTATTTATTCTCTCCCTCTTCCCCCTCTCGCTCCTCGCTTTTTCTTTCTCTTTTTTCTTCTTCTTTTCTTCCCTCCCACATTGTTTCCTCCTCCCTCTCTCAGCGCGATTGACGCGCAGCACTCCCTGTCAGCATGGATATGAACCATTTAATAGGGTCAGTCTTCTGCCTACTGGTCTGAACCAGGGATTGTGCGGCTCGGCTGGAGTTAACACCTGGCAGTCAGCGGTTCAACCTGATCTCCAAGAGTGACATTCGGTAAGTTCAATTTCCTTTCCATGTCTGCTTGACTTGGATCACTCTCTTCAAGCTGCCTTTCCCCTCTTGCTGACCTGACTGGCCTAGCTATGTTGGTACTTTACACGAGATCAACCCCGAGGCTTCAACAATAGCCCTCGAGAATGTTGTTTCTTTCGGTACCGAAGGCCGACGCGGTAACCCCGCCGAGGAAATTCCCCCTTCGTCCAGCATCTACGAATACATTGTGTTCCGTGGTAGCGATGTGAAGGACATCAGTGTGGCCGAGGAGAAGGAAGCCCCACAGCCTGAGCCTCCTCAGGTGCCAGACGATCCTGCTATTCTCGGAGTAAGTGATATCTTGTTAGCGAATCTATCGCTTCCACCCTTCCCTCCATTACAGGTTGCCCGAGTCCACAGACCGACCCCGGTCGGTCACCAAATGATCTGATGATGAAATATTTCGGATGTAAATACACAGACCTGTTCCGAGAGCGCAAAACCATGTGGATATTTCCGTTGCCTTCCTTCTGATATGATCATGGACTCGGCACCTTGCTTAATACCTGTTGAAAAAGCGAAACCAATTGTCAGGATGTTTTGCTAACAGTTCATGAATAGAGCATGTCGCGACCGGGACCAGGACCAGGACAAGGACCACCAGGTCCGGCTCCTCAGGGACTTCCTCACTCTCAACCTTCTCAGCAGCCTCAAGCATCTCGTCCGGCCCCTCCTGGCTATCCTCAACCTCCCCAGTTCCAAGGATTCTATCCTCCCTATGGACAACGGTTTGGAGCGCCTGGATTTCCCCCCGGACCGGGATTCCCCAACATGCCATACGGTGCCCCACCGGGATGGTTCCCCCCTCCAGGCCAAGGCTTTCCTCAAGGTCCTGGCCAGTTCCCGCCCCCTCAGATGCCTATCGGTCCTCCTGGCCAGCACGGGACGCCTCCACCTCAGCGTCCAGGACCTGTCCCCGGTGGCCCTATGAACGTGCCCAAGACAACTTCTGAGCTGCCGGTCGGAGACAAACCCGTGAGCAAGCCAGCGAGCCGTGACGGCACACCTGGACCAGGCGCGCCGGCGCAGGTTGCTCCTACTCCCCCCGTGGAATCTAAGCCTTCGGTGGCCGAGGCTGTGCAGGCATCCGCCGCTCCTGTTCAGGGCCCGCCCGCCGGGCTGAGCAAGGTCCCTCCTACTGGCCCACGGAACGGTCGCGTGCCTCCGGCCATCCCCATTGCAGCCCCCATCAAGGCACCTGTCCCCAATGCTCCGGCAGCCCCAGGCAATAACGCGCCTCAGGGTTCGGCACAGGCGGCTATCACTGAAGCCACTCGGGCGGCCACTGCCGCGGTGGCAGCCGCCATGGCAAAGCTGCCTCAACCTGGTCTCCAGCAGAAGCCTGGAACTGCCCCCGTCGATAACTTGACGCGGCAGATGGCTGAAATGAAGCCTTACGATGGCTCTCGTCAGCGCGGTGGTCATCAGCACCCTCGCGGCGGACGCGGCGGTCATCGTACCCAATACCAGGGACAGAACAAGAAGGTCGAAGTCCCCGACACGGACTACGATTTCCAGACGGCCAACGCCAGGTTCAATAAACAGGACTTGCTCAAGGAGGCCATTGCCACTGGCTCCCCAGTTCACGAGGCCGAGCCTCATGTTCCTGACGGCGACACATCCGAAGCAGCCAGCGCCAGTGGTGACGTCACTCCCTACAACAAGTCCAGCTCTTTCTTTGACAATATCTCGAGCGAGGCTCGCGACCGCGAAGAAGGAGCCGGTGGCCGTGTCGGTGGCCGTGAATGGCGCGGCGAAGAAGAGAAGCGTAACATCGAAACCTTTGGCCAAGGTAGCGTCGATGGCTATCGCGGTGGTTACCGTGGCCGTGGTCGTGGCCGAGGCTATGGTCGTGGTCGTGGCGGTTACAATCGCGGCTACGGTGGTCGGGGCCGCGGTGGTGTCCGAGGTGGCCGCAGCGTCTCTCAGTCCACCGGCGTTCCCACGCAGATCTAATGTCCATGGGATGCTGTTTCCCTCCCTTCCTACAACCTCTTTTGTTTTCTTATGATGCACTTAGCGATGAATGTCCCCGCTCCGGAAGTGAATGGATCCTTCCGCGTTACCGATTTCTCTTTTATTTGATTTGTGATACTCTCTGGCGTCTGGTGGTAGCCTGTCACGGATACTTCTTGGCATATTCCCCCTTGTCAAGCTTTTTTGCCTTTTTTTTTTCTGCTTGTTTTTCGGAGCAACAACATAGTATCTGGGTCATGGCGGGCATGGGGAAGGTTCATGCGGTGTCGACTTCGTGGCGTTATTTTTGATTTCTGAGTATGGGCAGGTTGCGGCCTCAATAGCGTCGCTCATATATCCCTCCACCTGGACGATGATCATGTTTTGTCATTTAACATCCGGTGCGTTCGAAACAACATCAGCACAAGGGCGACCTTGGAGGCGTTCGTCGATTGACAGACTGCCTTCCGTTCTTGATCTTTCTGATCTTTCCTATTTCTCTCTACTTGCAAGTCATGTACAATTTCTCTTGGGACCTTGGACTCGATGTACAGGCCGCATAGGACCGGAGGGCAGGCGGACTTATTCTGTTCTGTATCATATTGTAAGAGATTCTACTCAAGGTTCGACCATGAATGATATCCGGAGACAAAAAAAGAAAAATCAAACAAAAACTGAAGACCAGATTGGTCTATGCACGTTGTTCCACCGAATCTGCTGTCCTCTGTAGTGCGTAATGCGTGTAGCCGATCGTCGCCTCAGACACGCTGGAGACAGTGTTGGACCACGGATGGGTGACTTTACTTGCCTGGGATGACTCCGAACAGACCCATTGATCCCCCAGCTGGAGTTTCGCACTTCTGTCATTTATCTTGCATTCATTCCCTCCCCGGCATCTTCGCCAGAAATACGAAAGTACACATACACCGGTGTAAGTAGTCGACTAAACAACGAAAAAAGTTGCTTAGCAATCGAAGCGGAGAACGAGTCCTTTCGCCCCCCGGCCGAAAGCACCTGATTGGCAGTCACGGGGTTGGAGTATCTCCCGCGTCATCGGCTTTGCCTCCTCCCTCGTCCCTCGTCCGTCATAACCCCTGCTTGCCTGGGGTGGACCGAGGATATGAGAATGCGTCCATTGACTGTCGGTCATCATGCTCCTCCGCGCGAGAGTATCCTGTCTCCCTCCACTCGACCCAAATTTCCTCATCCTCCCTTCTCCATCCCTAACTGTGCTCCAAAAATCTACTACCCCAAGAAAGTATATAAAACTCGCATGCTGAACGTTCCCTGTCGAAAATGGCTCGCATGACAGAACGACTCAGTAACCTGGCTGGAACCTTGTCTTCTTTCTCTTCATTGCCTTCCTCTTCTTCGAATTCCTCTAAGATGTCCGTCCAAGAGCCTGATAACCTGCCCTGGGACCCCAACTGTACGCGGTTTCCCTCGCGCAAGGAATTACCCAAGCTGCCAGGTGCTCCGAAAGATGCAGCCTGGGTTTGGGGCAAAGATGATGCGGTGAGTGAGCTATAGATCTGTTCTCTCTGTGCCTACTACTTTCTTTTGTATCTTCCCAGTGCGGGATTACAAATCACCTATTCTAGTCAACTATAGTCACATACCTGTATGATGTCACATAACTTGTCATGTATGTTAAGCTGACTCAGGTCTAGCTCGGCCGATTGAATCTCCTGACTCCTCAGCGAGTCAAGGCTGCGGCGGGTGACATTCAGACCGGAGAAATGGTTCGATTGGAGTGAGTCTCTCAGCAGCATATACATACATCTCCCGATCCCGTCCATACAAGATGGGTGGTTAACCGTTCGGAATTGGTAGCCTTCCTTTGAACGTCCCAGAGAACCCGGCATTTGGACGTGAGCAGTTTCAACACCATATCAAATGTCTCATCCCCGGCGTCGCCTATGACGATACCTACACGCTGAACACGCAAAGCGGGACTCAATGGGATGGTTTCCGACATGTATGTATTCGACGACATTGCACGGATGTGGCTACCTAGGGCTATCGTAATATCTAACAACACCACTCCAGTTCGCCCATTTTGACACTCAGACCTTCTACAACGGGGTATGGCGCTCTCGAACCCACCACATCACCTAACATCATTCATTCCCTCCTAACTCTCATCAGATCACAGCCGCCGACATAGTCGGCGACGATGCCAACCACCGCTGCGGCATCCAGGACTGGGCCAACCACGGCATCGCCGGCCGCGGCATCCTCCTCGACTACCGGCACTACGCGGAGACCCAGAACAACCACTACGACCCGTACACCGCGCACGCCATCCCGTTCTCCGAACTACAAGCCTGTGCCGCCTCACAAGGCCTCGACCTCCGCCCAGAGTCACAAGGCGGCGACATCAAAGTCGGCGACATCCTCATGATCCGCTCCGGGTTCGTGCAGCGCTACCACGAGCTCAGTCCCGCTGCACGCAAGGCCGGCGCCGAGCGCCCCCCGGAGGACCTGCACTGGGCCGGTCTCAAGCAAGAGGACGCCACGCTGGACTGGCTGCACGATTGCTACTTTGCCGCGCTGTGCGGCGACTCGCCGACCTTCGAGTGCTGGCCGCCTATCCAGGAGAACGGGTACATGCATCAACAGATCCTGGCGCTTTGGGGCATGCCGCTGGGCGAGATGTGGGATTTGGAGACCCTGGCGAGGAAATGTCGGGCTGCGGGCAAGTGGACGTTTTTCGTTACGAGTGCGCCGGCGAATGTTGCGGGTAAGTTTCTCTCTCTCTCTCTTTCTCTCTCTGTCCTTCCTTTCCATTCTTTCTATCGTTTCCATCATTCGATCTATGGAAGGTCATTGGCTAATGATAATTAATCAATCAACTAGGTGGTGTTGGCTCTCATGCGAATGCAACTGCAATTCTGTAGATGTGGGGGTGCGTGCGGGTCCGATATACCTATGTAGGCTGTGGTGAGCATCTCAATTTCAGTATACATCGTTGTTTATATTTTTCTTCTGAGGCATGCGAAATACTATCCTTCCTATATCAAATCTACCTTCCATAAGAAATATACCATCACAGCAGTCTTAGTATCTCGACACCTTCGACACCTTCAACTAAAATCAAAGCCCCATGTTTCGTGGATATCAATCTAATCGCCGCAAATATACATCGACTCCGTATAAACCAAATCAAATCAATCTTCTACCCTACCTAAGGTGCTCTACGCTCAGCCCCACAACACCCTGTTCATTAGACTATAGGTAACCAGTTATATTCAGAAACAAAAAGATCTGGTATTGATTGCAGTATTCATCACATCGTTAAATTCGTTACATGACATAAGAAAATCATTAAAATCGATTGTCCGTCTATCCTCCCGGGGGATCGTGTTCGTCAACCCAATTGCCTATCGTTTCTGGCTGGATTCAGAAATGGTATCGTATCAGATAGGCGTCGGAGAGGAAAGTCAGACAATCTTCCTTCTTTTTTTTTTGGTTTTTGTTTTTGTGTTTTCGGGTTTGAACAGTTCATGTTCGTTTCTTCTTGCGTTTCCTCCTGGTCGGGTCATTTCATTTCTCATGCCCATCCATGTTCATTGTTTACCGTTCAAAAGCCATGATAGATTCATTCTCATTGATCGTAATCTCGTCCCTGTCCAAACTAGACAAGATAGATGTCGATATTCAAAATTCATAACCAACCCTCATGCAAGAGAAGTGGATGACTTCAAAAGATATCATCCGGCCACCGGAACGCTTCATCCGTGGAGATAACGTTCTCCTGGCCCTGCCCATGATACTTCTTCGTCCGTGCCTCGCGCTTCTTGCCCATCTCATTGGCTAATCGACGGTCGACTTTCGCCGCCGTGGCGGCTAGGTCCTTGGGGATTGGAGGCACGGGCGGGATATAGCTGTAGCTTTGGTTGTAGCGTGATTGGTCTCTTCGCTTGGTGGGACTGGGGCTCGGACTCGGGGTGATCTGGTCGGGGTCAAGAAGAGGTTCCTCGTTCTCTTGATTGTAAAACTTGGTGACGGTGGTGGTGTCTAGCTGGGGTTGTTGCGCCTGGGTCTGAGCTTGGTCCTGGTTTTCTTTGTCTTCGGGATCGGTGTGGCGGAGGATGAATTCGTCGGTGATGGTGTTGGAGTCGCAGCGGAGGTTGGCGCGGCCTTTCTTCATGCGCAGAGAGGGCGTTCGCGTGTCATTCGCGGTTACACCAGTGCCGCGGTTTCGGGAGTTGGATGCTCGTCTGCGCTGCGAGGGTGATCGCTTGCTGTGGGATCGGAGCGGCTGGACGGATCGTCGTCCTCGGTCTTCTCCCGGTGAGCGGCCGCCGTTGGCATCTTGATGCTCGTGATCGCGGGTTTGTTTGCGTTCGACAGAGCCGGGACTGTCCTGTCGGACCATCTTGGGTAGTTTGGGCTTTCGAGACGGGGTGAGGTCGGTGTCGTAGTAAGACACGTTGGCCGCGGGACTCCTTTTCGAGTTCGACGCATCGGCATTGTTTTTCTGGGACATCTTCTCTGCCCTTGCAGATTGAGGGTCAGGAGATTTGCGCTTGCGAGAGGAACTGTCCACGGTTAAGGATTGCGCCTTGGACGCGCTCGCCGGCCTAGGGGTCGTTTGGTTGATAAACGGCTTCTCATTCGTGGACGGAAGCTCTACAATTTCCTGGTCTTCGTCCTGCGGAGGCGAGGCCAATGCGGCTACTGCGGATGTAGGTAATGATGCAGCCCGGTGCTGTAGAATCCTCTCGGACGGAAGCGAAGGCAGCGTTCCGGGAACAAACTTCCGCGAATACGGCTTTTCCGCGCAGTAACTCTGTGACGGCAGATCCTCCTCGCTCATGAGTTCCTGGAGCTCCCGACGCGCGCGTTCGAGTTTCTCCTCGAGATCACTGACTCGCTTCAGTAGTTTGGCTTGCCGCTGGAGCTCCTTGCGCGACTTCTGTCGCCGCATTTCGGGGAAATCAGCATCATCCGATCGCCGCCCGGGGATCAGAGACATGGCTGGAATACCCAGAGATGACCTGGCCTTTCGCAACTCCTGGAATGAGCTCCGAATCGAGCCGCCAGCTTCACCCGAACTCTGGCGTGAATGACGGCCCGCAGGCTTGTAGTCCATCTTCTCCTGTATCGACTTCCACGTCTGATCCGGCAAGTCATGAGATGATGCTCCCTGCGCGCTTTGCATGTAACTCCCCTTCACTGTGCCCTTGTATCCCGCCTTCTTCAACTCTGCGTATGCCTTCTCCGCGCGCGCCAGCGTATCATCCGCCGGCTTCTGCGTCTCCGAGGGACCCTTCCAGATGTCGGAGACATTATGCAGCACGCCGAAGGGATTGAACGCCGACGCAATGGCCTTCCCAAATCGAAAGATGCCAGACGATTTGTGGCTGGGCTGGCGCCCCTCGCGAGCCGACTTGCTATTGGCATCCCGGAGGAAGATACTCGGCGGTTTCTCGCTCACGCTGTCGTTCATATGTCCCTCCACGAAACGCGACCGACGCCCGCGGTTCCCGGATCGCCGGCCGGTCGTTCGCGGAGATCCGCTGTTCGAACCGGGGTTCTTGCCGCCGTGCCCGTGAAATGTCCAACGATGGCCGGTGGAGGACGGCGCGGTCGCGGCAGTGGTTGTCTCCTCGCCGTGATCGAAGGGCCAGTCGTTCGACCGGCGACGCTTGGTCGAGTGGGTGGACGGCGAACGGGTTGTGGTCGGATGCGGTGTGGAGACGATTTCTTCTTCGGCGTCGTCGAATTGGCCGGACTCATCGGACGAGAAGTCCAGCTCATCGTCGTCGTTCTCGTCCTCGTCGTCGTAGTAATCGCCGCTGCTGCCGCGCGAGTGTTTCCGGGAGTGAGTGAGCGGGGACGCATCGCGACTGCACGTCAATTGAAGGGAGTGCTGCAGCTGATGGCCCGGGTCGACGTCCATGTCCGGTGACATCTGCATTAGAGAAGGGACGGCCAAATGGTAAGCCGATGTGTTTGAAACTGTGACAGCGGCGACGCGCAAGGGAGAGAGAAACAAGTGGTAATTGCAGAGGGAGAGGGAGGGAGAAGGAAACGAAAAAGGAAAAAAAATAAAACAAGATGGAAGGGCGATTTCGAACGTACCTCGGTAACGGCCCTGCGCTCCATCATCCCTTCGCTCGCAGGGTTGGTGTAACCCGCTATGTCGTGTTCAGTCGTACCTTGTTTGTTGTCCCCTCTCTTTCTTTTTCTTCTTCTATCTTTTTGATGGGACCTCCACTCTCCACATGTCAATAGATCGATATGAGAGAGATAGATCGATCGTGGCAGTGGTCGGGAGAACGGAGGAGGAAGCGGTGTAGAAGAAGAAGAAGAAGAAGAAGAAGAAAGAGAAGAAGAGGAAGACGAAGAGGGAAAATTGATTGTTGATTGTTGATTGTTTACATTGTTGGTTGCCCCTTTGGGCCTCGCCGACATGCGCCAAGACAACGGTCTCGGCTTTACTTTTGAGTCAGTCATTAACACTACTTACTACTCTGTCAATTGTCAATTGTCTCACTGACCCTCGGTTGCTCGCATTCTCCGCGTGCGTTCCTCCAGCCGATCCTCATCTTACGAGATCGTCTGCGCCACGTGAGTCGGCTTGTCTCACTCGCCAGTCTACATTGTCTACGTGGCTTATCCTGATACATGATGCGCCATCATTCTGTCCGGCGCGCTGCCGGTGTCTTATTGCACGGAAGCATGCCACTTTTCTGAACACACTGGCCGTTTCATGATTCGAAGGCCTCGAGGAACAGGCTAGAAGATATAAAAAGAGCAGGTAAAAGAAAGAAGACCAAAGGAACGGACCAGCGATTCGAACATAAAGCTGTCTAGCTGTCGAAAATTGCTTGTTCAATGCGTCCAGGTGGCACGGCTCAATGACCCTGGAACCATCCATGCCCGACTTCTATCGGTGTAGAACACAAGAAACCCATTCAATGTAATTCAATGCAAATCCAAACTGTAGGTCACTGGCGAACTAATGAAGTCGAAGACAGCCGCTTAGGCTGGAAACTGCAAGCGAAAATATAATGCCATTGTGGCATGGGCCAGGGACTGAAACAACCCGGGGATATTTAGCCAAGCACATGGGGGGAAAATTATGGAAAAGAAAAAAAGGCTCTCATATACAAAGAATGATAACAGAAGAAAGTGGTATAAACGTCAAGTCTGGTATCGTCAAAGGATGCTCTCAAGACCAGAGTACTGTATAGGTAGAAAAAAAAATCCAACAAGAAGAAAAAAAAGATCAGCCGACGACCATTTTCGCCAAGACGCCGTCCTATATGAAGAAAGCGAGTTTACCGATGCAAATGCAAATGCAATTGAACACATGAATGCAACCTTTATTGAAGTGCGGGAGAAATCTTGGTAGCCATCCTGCCGTTGGCTCGCTTATATGCCATCTCGTCTCGCGGATCGTGATAGAACGATACCCGACTTGCGTCAGACGAGCTGCGACTGGGAGCGTAATTCTCCGTGTCTGGCCGCATACCGTTGAAGAGGGGACGCTCTTCGTGTCCAAATGTGTCTCCGTAGCTCCGCTTGGATACGTTCTGGTTGGTTTCCCACAGGAGCTTCTTGGTCGCCAGATCCGGGCCAGGGCTCTGAACCACCCCATTTTGGGGTTGTGTCGGATTGTGCGGGTATTCTCCGGAAAGAGACCGGAGTGGCGGCAGCGACGGAGCGAGAGGGGTCTGGGATCGAGGAGCCGGGGGTTGTATGATGGATTGGTATGCGTTGGGATCAGACGAGCGGGTCTCAGAAGACCGTTGCGCATTGAGAGGCTTGGGAGGTTCCGGGCAAGGAGGCAGTTCGAGGCGAAGAGGAGGGAGAGCAGTTTTGGGATACGCGGAGCGCTCGTTCGGCACCCGCGGCTGGGGATATGAATACCCATTGGAGGCACCGTCGTATTCCGTACCGATCGATGGGTTTCTGGCATGCGAAATCGAGGGACGAGGGGAATACACATTCGTGGGAGTCGTTACGGGTTGGTTTCGAGGTAGATGAGGCGCCGGATATTGGGTCTGCGTAGAACCAAACGCCAGATGCGACGGATACGTTGGGGTGTGAGAGGGAGGTGGAGGCCCGACGGGCGTGGGGGTAGAAGCTTGCGTCGGGGCAGGGGCCATGGGACGTGGGTACGACTGAGCCGGTTGGAAGCCATACTCCGTTGCCGACGGGCGTCGTTGAATCCCAGGACCGTAGGAGAATGCCGGATCAACGGTGCTGATACTGGTTGATCGAGGACGCTCCACCGGGTTGGCGGTGTACGAGTCAGGCGTGGAAAACCGGTCAGACGATCGATACATTCTCTCCTCGTCGTAGTCATAATCCCCGGGACGCTTGTCGCCCCTGCGTCTCATGCGCACGTCACGTCTAATCCGAACGCGACAGCCTTGTTCCGCAATGACACGGCTGATGTTGGTGCTCGTTGCCAGCCCGGGGAACTTCTTGGCGCTGTAAACCTGGAATTGTTTCGAGACAACGTCGAGCCGGAAATCCAGGGATGACTTGGGTGCCGCCGGTTTCACCGGGTTCGCGTTGGGCGTCGATTGCGGTATCGAGGTCCCTTGCGTCATATCCTTGCTGTCCTTGGTCTCCTCGTATAGATGAAAATTCAATCGATAGAAGCCCTCGTGGCGCACCGAGAGGTCCGGGAAGATGAAGTAGCCGGCTTGTTGGGGACGATCCAAATAGGCGATGCCGGCGACCGGCACTCCCGTTAAGACAGGACAGCTCGGAGGCGGGGCATGTCTACCCTGGGCAATGGGACGAGATGCTTCTAGCGTGGCGAAGAGGAAGAAATTGGCGTTGTAGGCAAACGTGATATCGGTCTTGTGGTGTTCATCATTGGGGTCGGATTCGAATATCCGCAGTTCAACCACCGGGGGAGGATCCACGGGACGACGGTCGGCCGAAGCTGGTTCACAGTTAGTCGTTTATCCGTTTGAGTCCATCGAGGTGCTTGTTGCGTACATTTGGCGCCTGCACCGCAAGCTCTGGCGCGCTCAGGGTCTTGGATGATACTCAGCCGGTACGTAATCGTCTTGCCCTCGCGCGTGGTCCGACTGGTGGACGACACTTTCTCATTTGCCGGCGGCGTTAGGGGAGCTCTGGTCGCCATTTTGAACGGTTGCTGGTGATAATCAGCAAATGGAAAGCATAGATGCCGTCATTGGAGATCGAATGCGGGAGACGGGTGTACAGGAATGGCAGGGAACAAACTTACTGGACAAGTTTATATGAATACTAAACGAGCGTTCGAATGGCGGCAATTATATCCCGCTGGGTCCAGGGAGGGCCCTTCCTTTTACTTTCGAACTCTACTTGTTAGAGTTCCTACACGAATGACCGATTAAACCCAGAAGTCAACCATCCAGGGTTTCACGGGGCGTAAGAAGATGGAGAACTGTAGCGTGACTTGTCTGGTAGGCGACAAGCGCGAGAGCTTTGGGGGGGGGGGGGGTCGCCGAGACCGCGAACAAAGAAAATAATAATTAGAGTAAAGAGGGAGAGGAGAGGAACAGCCGAAGAAAAGGTGAAAATCAACTGGATCTGTTGCCGAGAGACACAACAACAGAGATCCCAGTGAATTGACCCGTTCGGGTTACGAAGAGAAAATGGGAAAAAAGAAAGGTGGATGGAGCGAGAGAGGAGAAGAGAGAAGAAGAGAGAGCGAAAGGATGGAGAAGAAGCGGGAGGGGGCAAAAGCGAGGAATCAGCCGTAACCGCTCCCAGTATGGCGGATTACCTTTTTGGCTGCGGCCCAGTCCCACTCCCGGTTCCTGTCCCGCGGGTTGGAATCCTATGCTTGGGACTACGGAGGAATCGTAAGAGTTTCTCGTACACCAGGACGAAGAGTACTCAGTAAGAACTAAGAAGTGGCAGGTACCTGCGGTATGTACGAAGATACGTCTACACGCTAAGACTGCACTACTGAGCCAAAGGGGTGGGTATTGGGTCAGCACGGATACGAACAGACGTGATAACGGGACTCGGGGAGGGGGAGATTTCAAATTCATCGGCAAAAAGCTAAAAAGAACAAAGCCCTAAAAGGGCAGGTCCTGAAGCCAACGGGACTGGCTTGTCGTCTTCCCCACTCCTGGAAGTCTTGCCGGTCTCCACTCTGGATTTTATGAGGTTGGTCGTCAAGGATCATGCAATTGTAACCTTCTCCAAGCGCCGTGACTGAAGAAGTACGCAGTAATTTTCTATATATAGTGGTCATGCTTCGGAGTAAAGGCAAAGTCCCGTGAAACAGGTGTTCACCGAAAGGCAACCAGCGTGTGTGTCCGTTTCATTCGAAATTAATCTCCGGGTGTTTGCCCGGGAGAAGCAGCTGGCAGTTCCCATACCCAGCCTGACGGAACACCCAACGCCAGAGGCCTGGAAAAGGCGGATGGCTGAAGGATCCTGGCCCATGCAGAATTCCTTTCTGCACCCAGACTAATAATAATATTAATATCGTGGATCTTTAATTTGTATCCGTCTGCGTTCTCTAGACAATCCCCTATTGATCCTTTGGCTCTATCGTCTTATTGTTTTGTAACGATACCTCCGCCAGGAAAGCCTGCGCCCTCGAGAGACGTGGTACCTGATAAATGATTCAATCTCCATTCGGCGGAGTACTCGAGACCGAGGGGAGGTACTTTTGTTCCTTTCTCAGGAATTGAACTGGAATCTGCTCAGCACCTACTCCGTACACTGTAACGAGGCGGAGATCTCAATAATCGAAAGACTATCGATATACACCGTAGACGGATAGACAAAGACGATCCAGACCCCCCGGACGATCCCTGCCCAAGTCAGAAGGACCCCGGGATTTGAACTTGAAAGCAAATCCCCCCCAGGAGAGTGGGGCCCCTCCCCTTTCCAGTCCGTCCGTCAGTCAGGCGCCGCTGTCAACTACTCTCGAATGTCGACTGCGAGTTGGCGAGGTTTCAAAGCTCGCCCCCACATCGGTCCGCACCGGATGGACTGAGCGGCCCCATTCGTGCCTTCTTGCCTTTTTGCCTTTTGTCTTTGACTTCTTTGGTCTTGGTCTCGACAGGGTTTACACTGACAACGTGAGCACGGTTGACATTGTAATTTCCTTTCTTTCGGCCGGCACTAGGACAGGCTCGGTGTCCTGAGTCCTGACTAACTCGCTGTTGGTCACGAATGACTTCGGATTCATTAGTGGTTACTGGTTCAGTGGTTACAGCTACCTAACGGCGACAAGGGCTCTCGTGTGGTACGGTGGTACCGAGCCAGATGCTAGGCCCACCAGGTAAGCAGCGACCATCTGCGCATCTGCACATCTGCAGCAGGCCAGCAGGCGACGACGGGCCCACTGACCTGGTGTGACCCCGAGTCACTTCGCTTAGCACGAATGATCACTGACAAGACGGCCAGAGGGCCGTCCTTCTGTTCCAGAAGATCGTCGTCCTAGATCGGATGGTCGGAAGGGTCGATTTGGGGTTGGACACGACCACAGCTTACGGTTTGTCTAGTGACTTTTTGCTGTTTGATGAAAAGAAGAAGGGCAGAAGGGAGGAGGGTGGGAAGAACATGGGGGATCCCGTTAGGGTAGTATTCTGATTTGGGGGTGTTGCTTCCTTTTCTCTGGATTCATCCTTTCGTCGGGCTAATACCGTCACAAAGACTCGTACTATTACAGGACCGACTGCATAGTGCATCGTCCTACAGGATTAGAGGCCCTAGCAATGCTGGGCGCATGTCCCTCGCAGCTTTCTCTACCCTCCCAGGATGGCCGACCTCGCCTATCCAGACTGTCGGATCTACCCGCATGGATCTTCGTGTCGGGTCGCACGGGTCATGTGTCGGTCCCATTTTGAAGTCCCGGTCGTAGGAGAGGCAAGAAGAATGAGATCATTCTTTCATTTGCATCAGACAGATCCATCACCTGGACATGACTGCCCCTGGTATGGAGGTTTACCAGACCTACGCTCGCTTGTGGAATGCATCGAATGGCCGATACCACCCAGTACCACCCAACAAGGTAGTATGACTTCGCCAGTCCGATGGTTTCTCGTGCTACGAAGCTTTCCGTCTGCCGTTGCACATACCGGCGTCGGTTTCTCGCCCATCGAGCAGAGACGCGGCTTGCAGCTGTCAATTTAGATAGGGTTTTGTGTGTCTACTGCGTTCTTGGGCTCTTGGGCTCTCTCCGAAGGTGGTTGATATAACCAATATTTGTCAGCTCACATTCTCGACAGTCTGTCATTTAGGCGCGGCATTCTGGTTGGACTGCGAGCCGTCTCATGAAAAAGTCCGCTTATTTAGCGAGGACAGAGGTTGTTGCACCAGCCTCCAAATGGCGTCAAAAGAACGCGAATGAGCGTGACCGGAAGTACAGCTGTCCTACGCGAATCGGGATGTTATTGATCATATCCCAGTAGAATGGTCAACAAATAATCGATTCGGGCGCCTCTATCTATCCCATGCAGAACAGACCCCGAAACCGTCTATCAAGTCACTAGGCTGCATGGGTTCTAGCAGACCGTTATTTGTCCGGGGTATCCAGTGTCTAGTATTTACGGTAGCGACTACGGAACACGGAGTAGGATATTGGCGCGACTCTTTTGTGATACATCAACTCACCCACGACCCCTTTGTCCACAAAAAAATAATAATAAACGAGAGGGGAGGTGGACTCATGGAGTCTGGCCTCCAACCTGGAGACCCACATTCGCAGGGAGTGCAAGTACCAAACTGGTCAATTGGGTCTTATGAATGATCCCATTGTGCGAGGGCCACGCTATTCATTCATTATTCCCAGCAATGGGGGCTGTATTCGGTGGTCATTCTTGGCCTCTCCCTTCTGGGCCACGGTCTTTACTCTCCCTGATTGTCGCTTCGAAAATGACTCATTCCAAGTCGAGACATGCAAGGTGTTCACCGATCACGGGATCTGCCATCATATCTATCTATCTATCCTCATGGATCATGATTCGATTCATACAGTCCTTTCTTCACCGCTTTCTTTCAGTCTACCTTGTGTCCATCGCTTGTAGTCTGTACTGCACACCTACACAGTATGCTATACAGTATGCATCGGAGGGTTCTCGCGGTCAGGCCTCCTGAAGCAGGCAGACGAGCGAAAAGAATGCACGTAAATATGGATAAGTAGGCTTATGTGCACAAATATTGTGCATCTGCACATACCACTTCCCTGCCCTAACATACTCGTGGAGTGCTAAACCGTAAGTCCTTGCTTGGAGGGTTCGCGTGGGCTCCGTCACCTCCTTGCGACTGAAGATCCGAAGATACATACTCGATCGAGCAGATTTTGCGAGTTGATGCAGGAGATGAAACTCTAATGGCTGCCATTCGATAGCGCAGATCGAAAGGAGATCGGATCTCAATCGGTCGAGCTAAACGGCGTTTATCGGGGAGACAGTCGGAGCGATCATTGGACAGATAATAAATTATTCACTTTTATAGCAATCAAGTAGATTTCAGACCGGATGATGTTAGAATGGACCGTTCTGCTAGAACGGTCAGTAGTGCTGGAGTCAGTATGGCACATAATGCGTGACCGTATTGCCATTGCGCCCGATGGCGACAGATATACAGAGAACGATGATCTCGACAATCCCCAACACGACCAGGCACCGATCGTGTTGAGAACCAAACCTGCAATGCGGTATCCGTAAGTTAGTTCCCCCCGGAAGCGCCGTCGTTTCAGCCCCAGCCCCTCAACAAATGAATCCATCCCCGTCGTCAGCAGAATCCTCGCGATCGATTATCGTTTCATCATGGTCGCACCGCATCGCAGCCATGTCGTCTTTCGAACCTCTGCGACCCCTAGCGACCAATGTCTTCCTGTACGAGCCCCGGCTCGCAGATGAGGGCCGTCGGCCTCGCGATGATCCGCCGCTGATCATCCTGTGTACTTGGGTTGGCGGCGCTAGTCCTCGACATATCAATAAATATGTCGCGACTTATATGGGCCTTTATCCGGGTTCGTGTCTGCTGCTCGTTACCACGCATTTTCTTGATATTAGCGTGCGCTCGTTCAGCGCTGTGCGAGCGCGTCTGAAACCTGCGAGAGATGCTATCCGTCGGATCTTGGGGGGTGTCGGTGTCGGTGTCGGTGATGGCGACAGCGCCAATGCCGAGCCCAGCCAGAAGGCATTACTTCACGTCTTCTCGCACGGCGGATGCAACACAGCTGTCCAGCTCGCTCTATCCATGAACGACAACAACGACCAAGAGATCAAGAACGGCGAGGTACGCCATCTCCCACTCCAAGCCGTCATCTTCGACAGCTGCCCCGGGGACGACTCTTTCCTGCGCATGTACAACGCCGCGGCAGTCTCGTTCCCCCAGATATTTCCGCTCGGGTTCTTGGAAAGCACGCTGCTCTACCCGTCCATGGCGGCGGTCTTTGCGCTGCAGAGGGCCGGGCTCATGAATTCCGTGAGGCAGTTACGGCAGGAGATGAATGATCGGACGGTGTTCGGGTCCGCCAGGCGGTTGTATCTGTATTCGAAGGCGGATGACATGGTGCCGTGGGATGCTGTTCAGAGGCACGTGGAGGAGGCCAGGAAGCTGGGTTATTGGGTGCATGGGGAGTTGTTTCGGTATAGTTCGCATTGCGCGCTGGTTCAGGAGGATGCTGCACGGTATTGGGGGGCGATTCAGGCGGTTTGGCGGGGAGGTGTTGTTGGTGGGGGGGAGAGGGAGGAAGGTCGTCTGAAGAGTAAATTATAACTATAATCCCAATATAATGTATTGTATTAATGGACACCGTAAATAAAAGTGTCAGTTGATCGGCTCCGGCAGCCGACCGAAGCCGCCGACGGGAATGACCTCACAACTTCGGCCTTGTCCTTTTTCCCTTCTTCCATGGATCTTCTATCAGTCCTCCCGGACTTCCCCACCAAACCCTACGCCCATATCCTTCCTCCGCTTGAGCGAGCGAGTCTCAACACGGTCGACTTGATCACCCTCGATGCTCTGGAAATCGCCAAGCGCGCCCACGTGCCGCCAGCCGACGTGCGCCGGTTGTCGTCGCATGTCGTGAAGGCCCTTCATCAGGATGTTGGCTTCGAGGAATCGGCCGGTCCGGACACCGCAGAGCCCAGTTCCAGCATCAATTTTGACGCGCCCCTGACCCCTGGGTTCTCCAATAAACTCGATCTCTCGCAATGGAGCGCCATCAGCACTCTCGACCCCGCGCTGGACGCGCTGTTGGCTGGCGGCGGAATCCCCACGGGATACGTGACAGAAGTGACCGGCGAGAGGTGCGTTGTCTCCTGTGGTCTCTGCCAATGGATTTATTCCAGAGCATCAGCTAATCGAGATCAACAGTGCCAGCGGCAAAACGCAATTCCTCCTAACCCTCCTCCTATCCGTCCAACTCCCTTCTCCTCGGGGCCTAGGGAAATCCGCCATCTACATCTCGACCGAAGCACCGCTATCAACGCCGCGACTCTCGCAGCTACTCGATTGCCATCCGTACCTCTCCACCCTACCGCGCGACGAGGCCCCCTCGTTACAGAATGTGCTGTCCATCAATGCAATGGACCTCGAGACCCAGGATCACATCCTGAACTACCAACTCCCCGTCGCCATCGGCCGATACAACGTCGGCCTCGTGGTCATCGACTCGATCACATCTAACTATCGCGCCGAGCACACCTCCACCAGCATGCAGGGTCTCACGACGCGGTCGTGGGAACTCGCCCGACTGGGCCAATTGCTGCGCAATCTCGCCGCGAAGGAGGGTATTGCGATCGTGGTGGCGAATCAGGTTTCGGATCGGTTTGAAGGCCCGGAAGGGCTTTCAAATCCTTTCTTCAGGAACGCTATGGCCGGTGCGAATGCGAACTCGTTGCCCTCGACGCCGCATCCCCATTCGCATTCGCAGCAGCAACATCTTCGACCGCCGCCGTCGTCGAACCGCGATGTCGTCGCATCCCCTCTGCCTTTGCCTCGACATCAACCCCCGGAATCGGGGAATATCGAACTCGCCCAGCATAACGTCATCTTTCCTTCTTCTTCGTCGCCTGCGTTTCCGTCATCACCGTATACCAACGACGACGATTGGCCACCGCCGCAGACGCAACATCAGCAACAGCAGCAGCAAAACTTCGACGGGTCCTATCTCGTCGGAAACCCCGTGCGCAACGAAATCCTCAGTCTTGTGCACCAGCAGCGTTTCTTCACCGGATGGGGCGATGATCTTCCGCAGTCTTTGACCGGGGGGATTTTTCCCGGCTATCAAAAACCGGCGTTCAAGACGCCGGCGCTGGGAATGGTCTGGTTAACGCAGATCGCGTGCCGGATTACTTTGAAGAAAGAGGAGTTGCCGGTCATGATGGATCCTGCGTTTGATCTTCCCACTCCGCATCTCAATGTGAATCAGAACCTTCCTGCATCGATCCCAGATGTATCCGCGCATCCGGCTGAGACGGAGACGATGAAGGGGAATGGGGATGGGGATGAGACTGAGAATAAGAAGCTCGACGACGATGAGAACAAGACCGCCCACGAGGCAACACCTTCTAACAACACCGCCGACCAACCCGAGCTACCCTCCAACACCGTTCCTCTTCCCACCGAACCCGAATCTACGACCAATCCAGAACCTGTCGCTGGCCCTGTCCCTCCTCCCCCTCCTCCCTCCGCGCCGAAACCTCCCACTTCAAGCTCTCAGTACCAAAACCTATTCCCGCCATCATCTCCATTACCACCGCCAGATCGTCCGATCCGCCGCACCATGAAACTGGTCTTTGCGCCGTGGACTGCCGGCAAGATCGTAAGAACGGGCGACATCCAGGACGAGGTCGAGTTCACGATCGAGAAGGGAGGGATGCGAGGAGTCCTGTAGGATGGAAGGGGGTGGGAGGATGTAGATATAAACTCATGAGATAATAGATATACCTATTTCAAGATCTCCAAGAATTGACATCCTCCGTATGCACTCCGTATAAACTGGAATTTGACATGACATAATTCTCTGAATTCAAGACTTAAGTGGATATAGTATAGAACCTTTTCATCCTTTTTATCACTTGTACTTCTTTTCTTTTTCAAACACAGCTCCCTCGTCTTCTTTGTTCCTCTAACCCCACACTTATATTTTATTTCCACCCCCCCCCCCCCCCCCCCATTCTATCCTCTCCTATTACTCATCACTCATCGTGTAACTAGTTAATAAGAACCTACCTACCTACTCATTCGTGTAACGCCAGTTACCACGTAGATCCTATCTTCCTTATCCGATGCCCATGACGTCGTCTCGGATTCGGCGGGTCGCGCGGAAGCCCGGGGGGAGGAAGTACGATGGATGGCTGTTAGTGTCCCCGCATTTTTCGACCCGGTTTTCGCTTCTTTTCCCTTTCTTTCGTTCTTTCTGTTTCCCTTTCCTTTCTCTTCTGCTTGGTTTGGCCTGTCCGTTTGACTGGATGACTGACTGACACTGACTGACTGATTGATTTGGATGGGTTGAGGTCGCATTATCTATTCTATCCTATTCGACTGTTTCTCTCTCAAGGCTTTCGTCTGCTGGTGTTTAAATCCAACGAGATCGACTCGTGTCGGCTCGTACGATGAGAAACAGAGAATGCGTGAGGAAATGAATTCTAATTCTCGCTGCTAAAACAGAAAACCACATGACGAATATATGCTATGAATTATGATTCTTCAAAGTTCATGGCCGACAGCCATACCACCAGACAAATACTCCCCCATAAATTAACGATCATTAAAACATGTGAGACACATGGACAATTCTTTCCGCCCCATATACGCCTTCGAAGCTCGGAATCAACTCGCGATGATATAAGTTTGGTTTCGTCTTTTTTTTTTAAGTCAGGTTCGTCGTTGCTCTATGAGATGACAAATCGAGTGTCGTAATCCGTGGTCCTGTTTCGATCCTGCGACAGCACCGCGAAGTGGGTGACAGAAGAATTTCTTTTCACTCGTCTATGGGTAAACAGACCCAGAAGGCAGCTCGTCTAGTTGGCAGGAAGCTTGGCGGGAGGCACGCCGACACCGTTGGTGTTGCGGTAGAACAGCACGCCCTCGGCCTCGCCCTTGGCACCCTCAGTGGGTTCGACCCACTGGCAGACGCGAGCGCTGCTCCACAAGGCCTTGAAAAATCCAGTCCAGCCGGTGTGGGCCTCGGTGCGGTAGTGCTGGCCCATGACCTTCTTGATGGCATCGCTGGCCTCGTCGGCGTTATAGAAGGGGATGTTGCTGACATAGTGGTGGAGGACGTGAGTCTCGATGATACCGTGGAAGATGTGGCGACCGACGAAACCGAAGTCACGGTCAATGGTGGCAGCGGCACCACGGGCGAAGTTCCACACCTCGGGCTTGTAGTGGGGGAGACTGGGGTCGGTGTGTTGAAGGTAGGTGATGGCAACTACGGGAAATCATTAGTATCGTGTTCCAAGTTCCAGATTGATGAGTTTCGTTCAAGGGCTAACGAGACAGAACTTACCGAGCCAGTGGTTCACCCAGAGGTAGGGGATTCCATACCACACGAGCAGGTTGAGCCAGCCATAGGTCGAACCGATGTAGTAGAGAACGCTGCCAACGATGGCGAGACCCAGGTCACTCAGGACGATCAGCTTGGCGTCCTTGGCCTCGTACAGGGGGCTGGAGGGGTTGAAGTGGTTGACGCCGCCAAAGTAGCCGTTCTTCTTGCCCTTGCCACGGCCCTCGGGTTGACGCTCGTGGTTGTTGTGACCGGTGACGTTGGTGATCAGGTACATGGGCCATCCAAACAGCTGCTGCAGCAGGAGGGTGCTGGCGGTGGCCAGAGGGGTCTCCTCCATCAGTTCGTTCAACTCGTGCAGGGTCTTGCCGACACGAGAGGCATACTCGTCACGGGTCTTGGGCACGAACACCATGTCACGGGCCAGGTTACCGGTGGCCTTGTGGTGCTTGCCGTGGGAGATCTTCCAGGAGAAGTAGGGCACGAGCAGAGCCGAGTGGCAGATCCACCCGACGGTATCGTTGAGCACCTTGGAGGGGGAGAAGGCCTGGTGTCCACACTCGTGGGCCAGCACCCACACGCCGGTGGCAATCATGCCCTGCACGACGGTGTACAGAGTCCAGAGAGCCACACGCAGCGGCATGGAGGGGACAGTCTCGGGGGTCACATAGTTGTGGAAGACATAGAAGATGGATCCCAGCATGGCCACGTCGCGGAAGACATAGTACAGACTGGTGGCGGCGGACCGTTCGAAGCAGTGAGCGGGGATGGCGTCACGAATCTGCTTGATGGTGAAATCGGGGATCTTGAACTCGTTGCCATAGGTGTCCAACATCTTGCCGTTGGTGTTCTCCATCTCGGAGGCCATGGAGGACAGCGAGGTGGACGAGGGCGAGTGACGAGGACTCGCCAGAGGAGAGACGGAGACCGAGCTCGGCACGGAAGAGTCCGTAGTCGGGTTACGGTGCAGCGCCACGCGCTTGGGGAGAGCAGTGGAAGACATCTTGGGAGGACGTCGAGGGCAAGGGACTAAGAGTCTCTGAACAGGGTTGTCAGCAAAAGGTGTCGTGGTCAAGGATCCATGTGATCGAGCAAGCAAGCTGACGGCGGGACACAAGGAAGGAAGAAGAAAGTCAGAGGGAGCAGTCCAGCACTCAGAGGTATTTTTAAGAGCAACGAGTGGAGACCAGCGGAGGTTAAAGCTGAGCAAGCTTACCAATGGATCAAGGATGATAGGAGAAGGTTTCAAGACCAAGCTTCGTGAGCGTCCGGGCGTGGAGGGGGTTGGAGAGATAAGATGAGGGCGAGAGAGCAGCTGCGAGGGATAGGAACGAATGCCCTTGTCCGAGCCACAAGGGGAGAGGGCAGCTGAGGAAAAAGAAAGAATGCAGCTGAAGGATGAAGAGGGAGAAGGAGGAGGAGGAGAGAGGGAAGGAAGAAAAGAAGACGACTGACGATCAGCAAACGACCTCGAGAAAGAAATGAAATTGAAATTGAAATTGAAATTCTAAAGGGCAAAGCAAAATAATCAAAGACAAAAAAAAAAAAAAAAAAAAAAAAAAACTCAAAGAGGCAATCGGCCAGAACAGGCAGGGCCCCGGGAAGGAAGGCACGACGGAGCGGGTAATTTTCGTTCTCGCCAGGGGAAACGACGGCATTCCGTTGGGGCAGCCGCCATTTCCATTATTATTATTTGCCTCCCTCAGTTCAGCCCTTCAGCCGAGGTTTTTGTTTTCTCTTTCTAAGGTTTGCGACCTGCAGAATCACGGCGGGTTCCTCTGCAATTGCCGCCACACGCCACTCGCCAGGTGGACACTCTCGATGCTCTAGTTTACCCACGGTTCTTCTTTTGTCTTGTATACTGAGTAATAGTATACTGTGTAGACCACAAATCATGGAAATCTAACGAATGATTACTCGGAATTAGGCTGATTGCGTACGATGGACTCGGAACCCAACTCTCCCCCGTCAGTCCACCCTACAGAGTACCTGGAGTAATCAGCAATCGATAGGGATCGAACCCTCGACTTCTTGAGTCAAATAAGGACCCGAGACTGGGGAACGCCCCCCCGGCGTCCAGGCACCAATGGACGGTCCTCCAGGCGCCAAGGGGCTCCACCTCGGGCGATCTTGGCTTCTCAACAATTCTTTTCTTTTTTAGTGTTTAGTTTACTTTGTTAGCGTTACTGGGGATGACCCTTTCCTGTTGGACTTACGTGCGGTGCTCACTCCCTACGATTTGCTTGCTCACTGCTCACGCTCATTCCTCCCGAGGTATCATATGCTTTTGGGTTTGGGGTCAGATGCTCGGAGATCGTTCGGGTTGCATCGTGCCATTTCACATGTCTGTCCTCTGTGTCATTACGACAGATCGATGAGAGAGATTGGGATACTTTCCGGTTGAACTCTCTATCTCATAGGTAGTCTCTACGTGTATCAATGTAAAACCAAAGATATAAATAAGAATAAAGAACAGTCAACAAATGTAGAGTAGATTCACAACTTAAAGTATTAAAGTAGAAACACCATGTACATACTGTAGACACCTCGAAGCAGTAACAGCGGGGGACAACCTCCAAAAAAGACGATGCCAATCTTGTTGGGGAAAGCAACCGCCATTTTGTTGAGATTGGGACGGCTCGGTGGGGCACAAACCATCATTTTTTTTTCTATTTCTTTTTCCCTTTGAAATGATTTCCTGTCAGCCGGGCGCTAAAGCCGTCGGGTAACTTGTTGTCCGCTTTTTCTTTTTGCAGTTTTGCATTGTTTGTTTTCTTTGCTTCATATACTTCTTACTACAGTACAGTATGCAGTACTTGACTCGTAAACATCGTAGTTACATCTGGTATGTATGTATGTATATCATAATATATCAAATCTATCTCGCTCGCTCTATCCACAACACAGTCATCTATACATGCACTCGTCGCTCCGAATCAATCAGCCACGCCCCCCCGTGACTGCCTCCCGACAGACTCAGGCTCACCGTCGTCGCTCGCAGATCTGGTAACACCTGTACCGTCTCGCCGTGGTTGCGATAGTCCACCTCGCATGCGATCGGCCGTCGCTGCAAGCCCGCCGGTCCGCTGATTCCTGCTGCGGTTGCTGCGGTTGCTGCGCCGCCACCACTGCCTGGTTGATTAGTAGTGGTGGTGGCTGTCGCGCTCGTACTCGCGGCCGGGACGTACGTGCGGATCTCCACGCCCGGAAGAAGCAAGTGCCCCGGTTTCTGAGGCAGGAGCATCACCGCGAACGTCGTGATCTCGCCCTCGTCGGCCGTGAAGTTGCCGCGTCGTCGTCCGCCCACGAGCCACAGCTCCGGGTTGGCGTGGATCTCGTACGAGAATTCCAGCGGACCGCCCTCGTTCTCGCGATGTTGCGGGGAACACCATCGTCGCGTATGTCGCAGGCTAAGCTCCGCGGCGATCATCTGCCCCACGGCCGCGTGCGGTGGCTGATCGACTAGGTTCGTGAGTCGTAGCTCCGCCGTGTGCACGACCTGGATCTCGGGGATGTCGACGGGGATGACAATATGACGACGCGGAATGGAAGCTTGGTCCGGAAGGCTGATTGTGGGGTGGCTCTGGTGGCGCCCAATGTAATTAGTATTCGAAATCGTACATGTAAACAAAAGCATGGAGAGACGAATGGTGGGGACGTAGGTTCACGCGAGTAGGGCAAATCACTCACCTGGTGCCATTCTCGGAGCCATGCTTTCAGTTCCTCCATCGGCTCCTTCAGCGTATCCAGCAACCCTTCCCATCGCACGCTACCGTAAGGCAACGTTTCCACCTCGCGCACCAGTCCGACCACTTCCATCTCTGACGTCGTCACCTGCGTGCGGAACGCCTCCAGCAGATGCGTCGTCAGCAGCGCCGTGTACGGTCGGAACTTGGTCTCCGTAATACTCCCCCGGAAGGTTTCCTCAATGGCGGTCAGACACTCGTCGTCTACGCAGGTGAAATCCACGCTGAGCCGGAGGGACTTTCGCGACCCCGGCGACTGCACGCTGTCCTCCCGCTGCTGGATCTTGTACAGCAGCGAGGCGGGCTGTTTGGGGAACACGCTGAGCGCCGTCGAATCACCAATGTTGGACTGCACCTGATAGATGTCCGAGCTGGGGATGTCGCACTTCAGGATCCGCAGCGGGATCATCATGGCCGGGCTGATGGTGAAGCGAGAGAATAGCACCCGGTCTTTGAATGTGTCCTGCACGTTGACGCTGATCGGGAGGCCCGAGTTGACGTTGTGGGTCGAGCAGTAGGAGAATCGCCCGTGGGCAGTCTCGTAGCCCACTTCGGCACGAGCGGAGAGTATCGGGTGATGCTCCTCAACGGTGTACGGAATCCGGAACCGAACGAACGAGTCCGGCGCCAGATTGGTGAACTCAATACTGCCGCCTTCGCTGTTGGCCATGATCTTGATTTCTCCTTCCACCACTTGGGCTTCGGTGATGCGCAATCGCAAGCCGGCCGTGGCAGGCCGCACGCGAATGTTACCCGTCTTGATGTCGTTCCATCCGCTGTTCAGTACCAGCTCGAGCGTTCGCATTTCCTCCAGATTGATCAGATGAGGCGACTCGATCTTGGCCTGGAGGCCCCGGGGTGGTGGGTAGCAGAAGATGGAAGGCCGGTCTTCTTCGGCGTCGACAGCTTCCCTGAATCCGATGGGAAGAGCCGCGTGCTTCCCTCCTCCCCAGGTGAACAGAATGTTGCCCGCTCGCACCTCGACCCGGTCAACAAAGTACTTCCCTTGTAACGTAGTCTAAATCCAAAGTTAGTGGATATGAAGCAAATGAGGTTCGGCTGGCGAACGTACCGCGGAGTCGACTAGGATCTTTGTCGGGGACGATTTGATGGTGGTTTTAGTCGGTGCCTCGATCCAATGCTCGCTGGTTTGGCCACTACCGCCACTGACCAGTCGAATTTTCATTGAATCGATGTTGATCCGTTTGCCTAACATAAATCGTATACTGAGCTGCAATCGGAACCCATCTTTGTTTTCATAATGTAGGATAGCCGAGTTCACCTCTAAATCCGCAAAGAAATCCGTCAGTGGTGCGGGAACCTCCTTCTGTAGCGTGCTAGCCACCTCGAACAGCTCGTCAACGTACTGCGACGCCAGCGTCTTCTCGGCAAATATCGCCGAGGCATCCAGTGTCTTCTGCCGGGGACTTAAGTACGACTGTGTATAGATCCCGAATTTCGCAAGCAGACGAAGAATCACCCGGGTATACTCCTCCGTCCGTTTCAGCTCGCGGAGGCATCGTGCATAAAGCTCCAACATGACCCCCTCCAAGACGATCCAGCGTTTGCTGCCATAGAATGGGGTAATCTGATGGAAATAAGAGGCCGCAACGCCGTAATCACTCTGGCGGAATCGTAAGAGAGCCATGTCGGCAAGGGCCATCTGTGCCGAGTAGGTGCGGTTCGCCGTGATATGATGTCGATACATGGAATCAGTGAGGGTCTCGTAGTGGTGGCGGAATGATTTTCTCGACCGAAGAGCGGCAGTCAGGCTGGGTAGCTCGATGCCGGAAAGCGTGCGAGCAGGTTGCGATTCTTCAGCCGGCTTCGGAGTCTCGTCATTTAGTGACACCTCGTCCATACCCGTATCCGCGTCTTTATCGTCGAAAAGAAGGTCGAGATTGTTCCATTTTTCCTCCCACCCGCATCGCGTGGCAATCTCCTCCAACTCACGCCGAGCCATCAAGCACAGCTCCCCTCGTCCGGATGCCAGCTGCTCGGATCCTGTTTTAGGGGTTATCGGCGGTGCGAGTTTCGGTGCATCGTTACTAGAGCGCGAGTGGACAGACGTTATCGCATCTGGCGGGCCACTTTCGGTGTTCGACCGAGCAGGGCGTGTGGCATTTGGCGTCACTAGAGAGCTCGACCGTCTAGGGAGGTCGGACTTGGTCTCCGCAGATGCGCTGCCGTCCACCGCTTTGCTGATGGTTTGCAACGAGGATTCGGGAAGCACGAGAGCTGCAGTGTATGTCTGGGATAGAATTTGCCGCGCAGCAGCATAGGCCCAGGATGATACCAGGTTGTTGATTACATCCACTTTGGCGACGTTGTCCACATCAGCGAGCCCCGTCTCCAGGTCGTACCGAAGGGTTCGCGCCGCGAGACTGATAAATTCCGTAGATCGCTCGCAGATCTCGGATAGGAGCAGCATGTCCTCTGGCTTCTTCGGTGCCTTGGTCGGCTTTTCGCTAACATCTGTCTCGCTGTTGACCAGAGAAGGAGCCCTGGCCGCCCTCAGAAGCAGTGTCACCTGCCTGGAGTAGAGGTATGTGCGGAAATCGAAAATGGAGATATCGCTGGCTAGGATCATCTCTCGGTATGACTTCTTCGTGGAGTCGATGGGAAAATCCTGGGCGTCGAGGTCGGGAATGGGGACCGGCTCGTCTTCATTCTCATCTTGATGGAATGACTCCTTCGACTCCAGGGCTGCTTTGGCCTTCTCCTGCCAATCCTTGCTACATGTCAAGAAAGCGCTTCCATGTTGTTCACTGCTACCCTCGAGCTGCTCATTGATTGCGGTATCCAGACCGACCGCCAGTTCGTCGTATCCGAGTAACGCATCCTCGAACAATCCGACATTCTCAAAGCCCCTGGCCAGGCCTTCCTTCAGTATGAAGAACGTACAGAAGTTCCACCCCGGCAAGCTCCGCTGCGAGTCTTTCTCCTTGATGTCCTCCTCATATTGTGCCACTCGAAGATCGAAAGACGTCAAGATCGCAGTCTTGGTCTTGTCCACGAAGTCCTCGATCTGATCAGCAAGCTCGGGCGGCTTCTGCGTACTTCCGGCCTTGGGTAAACGCAGCTGGGCCACACGATCCACCGCCGTCTTCGAGGCGCCGTTGAAATCCGCCTTGATCTTCTCGAGTACCGTTGTCGTGGTGCGGCCCCATTTCGAGGACGAGGCTGCCTTCTCCGTGCCGTCGCCGTCCTGGACAACATGCAGAATCAGCCATTCGAAGGCATCGTGTTTCTCCTGACTGCTGGACGGAACGGAGGAATGCGACATCGAGGCATGGTTCTTGATCCATTCGCGCAGGGCCTTTCTCGCGGAGCTCTTATAGGTGTCATTATCGTCGCAGCGAAGGAGGAAGATCTTCAGGTAGGGCGTTTGGCGGAGGCCAGGAATTTGATGTCGCCGGTGCGTTACGGCACCTCTTGTGGTATCACTGGAGGACTTGCGCTCATCGGCTTCATTGGCGGCCGGGACGAAGCCAATGCGAAGGGATTCGATCGACCGGACGGGACGCGTGGGGGATTTCCAGTGGAGGTTCTTGAGCGGGAACTTGTCGGCGATGACAGGTTGGACGAGCGAGAACAGTCCAGAGGGATCGGTATATTCGACTGGAGCATTGCAAGCGAGTGTAAGCGACCCTGCATTCCATCTTATCCTCCGGGGCGGTCATTTTCTACCTACCAGTGACACTGCTTGAGCCCGCCTGTGGTGATGGGTCCATTTTCCCCGAGCACTATCCGGGATAAATTGAGCAACTCCCAGAAATCATTCCGTTTTGGCGATTCAATAAAGGAAGGGTCTTGGGGGTGGGAAGGACTCGAGAGAATGTCAGGGGTTGGGGGGTTGTTGACGAACGGCCAGAGGGTCTTCTCCGCGTTGCGGCTCCCACGCCTCCATGTGCCTGGTCTTGGCACCATCAACACCTGCAGTGTACATACAATGCGATCTACATTCAAAGTACTGGAGAAACTCTGGCTATAATAGGAATAGGGAGCTATATACACACGCGCCCATTCGGTGTATACACATCAATACATTCACCTAGTAATCAAGTCCTTCATATCACAAAAACAGCCTTCTGAAAATCCAATGAACGACTTTGTACAGCACGTCAAATCAATAGTGCAATCCAATCAAGATCAAAGTGTCATATCCCATCATTATGCAAGTATTCGGTAAAACAAAAGAAAACAGGCCCATTTGTATCGCCCACTCTGGGGACATGAACGCCCTGGCTGAAAACAACATTCCAATAAAAAGAAAAGTGTCGGGTGCACGGAAAGGAAATATGGTGAAAGGGGAAAGGTGGAAGGGGAAGAGGAGGAAATGGGGAAAGAAAAGGAAAGGATAGGATAGGGGGTCAGTGGAGGACGAGAGGGAGTTAGAGATAAGAGATAATGTAAGAGAGAAAAAGGATTAGACCCCAACATCCAAGGCCTGCTGCGCGTAGCGGGACTTGACAAACTCGATACCGCTCGAGAACCCCTGCCAAATACCTGGAACGTAGCTTCGAATCCATGCGCCGATGACCAGGATCAAAAGAGGAATCTGTGACAAAGATTAGTGACTGGAAGGAAATCGAACGGGACGTTCAAGGACTTACCCAAATAAAGTAGAGGTTCCGGTCGTTGCCAAGTCCCTTCATTCTCTGAGCCTGCTGCTCTCGAAGGTGCTTTTGCTGTTCACGAGAGATCACTTTACGGCCAATGCGGATGTCCTTGAGGTCATCCTTGTCATGTTTGGCCGCGGGGGTCTGGGACGAGCTGGCTTGTTCGGTGACCTGGGCTTCGAAATGCTGGTCCAACGCAGCCTCCGTCGCCGCTTGCAGCATGCTCGTTTTCTTCAGTTGCGCCGCTTCTTCCTCGTCCTCCTCTTTACGTGGATAGAGATCCTCGTAAGAGGGTAACTCAGTGGTGCTAGGCGCAGAGTTGCCCGTCAACATATCCCACCAGCCGTCCTTCGCCGACCTCGCGGTCGTTGGCCGGTGTGGGACGAGGTTGGTAATGCGTCGCATCATCGGGTGGGCTTGGTAGTCGGGCAAAGCTGGCATTGGCGGCAAAGCAGGCAGGTTAGGGAATGCATTGGCAACGCTCTGCTGGAATTGGTTGATCTGGGCTTGAAGCTGGTTTCGCCAAGCAACCAGAGCCGCCGGAGGGGAGAACGGTCGTGCATCTCCGTCGGGCCCGGATTGCTCGGGAGGCGAGATCGGAGGGGGCGCATCTTGATGAACGCTGGCTCGTCGAGATACTGTGAAGCTGACAACATCCTCCTCGTCGGTCTCTTCCTCGTCCTCCGAATCGTCGACGGCATTATCGAAGGAGCCTGAAGAAGACTCCCACATGGAATGGAGCGAGGCCGAGCTGCTATGTCTGCGTCGTGACGAACCCAAGGATCCAACACTGCGCGAGCGGTAGTGACGCGCAGGGATTAGAGCAGCCTGGTGCGCCGGCAACGTCGTGGCCAAGTCGGCCGGAGTGAATCCTCGAACGCTACGAGCGTTGACATTAGCGCCGGCCAGTCGCAGTCGGTGAACGATGTGCGCATGGCCGTTCAGAGCCGCCAAATGCATGGGCGTGTTGCCAGTGCTATCCTGCACGTCCGGATTTGCGCCTCTAGCCAGAAGCCCGGCAACAAATCGGGTAAGTCCCAGAGAAGACGCGAAGTGAAGAAGGGTTTGACCAGTTCCGCCGCGGCTGTTGTACTTGGGTGGGCGTGGGTTGTCATCAAGATCAATAAACTCAAGGTAAGTGAGCATCTTCGAGTCTAGGTCACTCAATTTACCCTGCGATTCCAACCCAGGGACTTGGCGCTGATGACCGCCAGAGCTGCCCTGGAAATCCTTCGGCAGATTGAACATGGACTTCGTGTCGCTACCCATGATCTGCTGTGCCGTCTGGAACGCATCTGCTTGGCTTCCAAGTTTCTGTCCAAGGATACCCAGGGCAAGACGGTACATTTGCAACTCGCGGTCATCTACATAGCGGAAGAATTGCTGTTGCTTAGGCATCAGGGGCTGAGCTGGCTGCAGTTGACCGAAAGTAGGATGCTCATGCTTGAAAACGACCGCCACCATTCCGGGGTGAAGCGAGGGCGGAGTTAGGCAATTGAGACATTTATCGCCCCAGAACGTGGTCGTTGTGGCCAACGTATCACCGAAAACAACTTCCATTCCAGGATAGAATCCACTTCCTAAGAGCGTTACTTCCGTCCCTCCCGTGATAGAGCCCTCGGCGGGGACCAGCTTGTGGATGACAGAAGGTAGTCGGTTGCCGGCGTTAGTTATAGGCGGCCACATGGGAGTCGAAGGACTAGGGCCCAATGAAATGTTAAGACTTTGGTCTTGGAATGTGTTGCGAGAAGACACCCCGGGTGTTCCAGGGCGGCTCGGCTGAGCCGAGTTCGGGGCGGACATCAGCTGCTGCTGAATGAAACTATCCAGGCTTTGTTGCGCGGCGGGGTTGAAAAATGGATTATTCTCGCCGCTCCCGGGTGTCGGCGGGCCGTTCGCATATTGATTTGACATGCCATTCGAGGTCACAAAAGGTCGTTCGACGGGGGAGGCAAATGCACGGGGCGCCGAAAACTGCGTGTCGTTACCAAGACCGGATGCATTGGAGACGCCGGCAGAGGGCTGAACGCCCTCAAGCTTGGTCATGGTCAATTCCGACGGGACCCTTCCGGAGTTGCTATGTTTGCGCCGCTTGCTCATCGGTCCCGGGAAATCATTCGGTGATGTCTGGCGGGAAAGGCTTCGAGAGGGCTGCGAGTTGGAGGGGCCAGTGCCGTTGGCCTGGTTTTGTGGCAAGGGAAAAGAGCCACCATTGAGCTGATACTGGGAATTGAACCTTTGCTGCAAGCCTTGGAGATCCGTTGCTGATGGTGACGGTGCCTGCTGGGGCGTCTTCCCTTGGTCAACGCTAGGGCCTGAGGGGAATACACCAACGCCGGGGAGTTGTGTCCCATCTGGCAAAGCAGGCGAAGGACCAGGGGCAGGAGCCGCCGGCGGCGCATGAGTCTTGTGGTCATCGGTGATCATGATGGAATTAGTTATTGCCTGGGCAATAACATTGTCCTTGTAGTCCTTCACCGTAAAGATGACCCTGTACAGAAATATGTCAGTCAAAGAGAAACAGAGAGGAGGGGGGCCTGACGATGACGTACTGGAATCCAAGTTTCTCATTCTGGTGCCTGCAATAGCACGCTATGCGCATAGGCAATTCGACCTGCATGGCACCGGCAGGAATGATCGGCCCTGGGGTGTCACCATATCCCGGCATGGCGTTCTTGGAAGGCTCGGTCCACTCTTTAATCTCATTTGTGTTGAAAACAATGACTCTTTTCTCTTCGTCTTTCTGGAACAATTCGTCTTCTTCTGGCTTTCTCTGCTTCTTTCGGAAAGCCCGCTTCCGCTCACGCTGGATACAGCCAGTGCAGATCTTCACTTCGCCGCCATCCAGTGGCTTTTCGTCTTCCGGCAGGTCACTATATGTTTGAGGGCTCGAACTAGACGCGCGGTAGCGATCCTCGCCTCTCGCTCGAGCGAACGCCTTCCTGAGTTTTGTTTGGTCCTGCATCGCACTGGTACAAACAAGGCTGGTGTGCAATTCGACGACTTCGGCGGACCGTTCGGCGGACGCAGGTGCAAGGAATTTCGGTTTCGAAATCGTATGGCTAGGTAGCCTTACTTTCTTGACGCCGGTGGGCAACGGGAAGAGGGTCAGTCGGATGGGAATTTGAGTTTCCACGCGCGACTTGAGGGACGTCGGATGAACGGTCAACATGTGACGCTGAGGGGATTCCGGTTTGACGGTGCTTGGTGCGGGGGACGGCGCAAAGTTGAGACCGAAATTGAATGTGTTGGGCGTGAAGGTCAAACCATGACTCATCGGAGAACTGCCGTTCATGTTGATTCCTCCAAAGCTTTCCTCTAGAAGTGAGGAGGGAGAGTGGCCGCCCCATTGATTCGACGGTGACTTTCCTTTGACGGGGAATTTGGAGGCCGAAAATGGAGACTGTTCTTTGGTGCCGATGTTGAAGTAAGAAGATCCCGTTGGAAAATTCTTTGACAACAATCAAGGTTAGCGAGGGGGGTTTTGAGTCAGCGCGATTATGGGAAGCCTTACCGGGGATGAAGACTGCCTAGCGGTGATATTAGACGTGCTGCGAAAATGGCCCCTAGAGCCCCTTTGCGACATTGGTTGCGGAGGAGGATCGGTCTTCAACGGACTCGGGCTACTGGCAGCACTTTCGAAATCGAAGGCGGAGTTCATCATGACGTTCTCGGTGGGATCCGGCTCCGCGCCAAATTGGCCATCGATGAGCGACACGGACGGATCGAACGAGAACGTATCATCTTCTTTGACCGGCATCAAATCGGGATTAACCCACTCCTCCGTGGTGTAGCCGAAAGGCATGTTTGGATTCTCGCTGTACACGGCGGACGAGGCGAGCGAGGCGGCTCGAATATGGTTCCGCGGCGACTCTGACGAAGAACTGCGACTGGAATCGTCGGGGGATTCTGCGGGGGAATCTGATTTCACGATGCTAGGCTGCTTCAGCACATCGGCTTCTGGGTATGGTCGCTTCACAGACAACTCTGCCGGCGACAAACACGTCGAGTCTGAGTCGGTGACGGTGCGGGAAGAAGTGGAATGGGCAAAAAGGTCGTCGAAGTCGCGGCCAGCACTCTCGGTCGTCCCGGACAGGCCCGATGGGTCAAGAAAGTCGAGATTGGTGTCCTGGTAGACCGCCTCCATATCGTCGTCGACAACAATCGGGTCCAAGACGGGGAACACGGGCGAAGAGGCAGCCTCAGCCGGTCCCATCCTTGAATGTCCAGAGAAACGCGCAGGACCAAGGGGGGATGAGGAGGCCTACAACGCCAACCAACTTCCTCCTAATGGCGTCCCAGATCCAAACAAATCACCGCGTTCCAACACCGATCGTACAACCAGGACAAAAGACGGTCGGCACAGAATTGGCCGGGTCAGGCGAAAGATGAAGGTCGCTCACGGCGCACAGGTCCAACCTTTCGGACTGACAGCACCCCTCATCGATCGAAATAAATCGCAGCGGAGGTCGGAAGCTCTGACGGATCGACGGATTGAGGGGGAGGGTGAGATTATGCTCTGGGGAAGAGAAGAGTAAGGTAAGGTGGGCGTAAGGGCGGAGACGGGGCGGCGCAGTCGTCCTGGAGAGGGAAAGGGGAGAAGAGGATGGGAAAAACTAGAGCGGCGAGGCGAGGGTCGGAGGCGGTGGGCGCCAAAAGAAAGGACTATTGATTGCGGTGTGGTGAAGCAAAGAATGGTGGGTCGTAGGGAAAAAAAGGTCGACCTGACTCCGTGAGAATGACAGCAGGAGTAGGAGTAGCAGTAGTAGGAGTAGCAGTGGTGACTCCTCTCTCCTCTCGCCTTCTCAGAGAGTCTTAGTGAGTAACTCAAAGAGTCGCAGAGGAAAAGGCCAAAAAAGAGTGCGATAAGCCGGCAGCCTGGAGAAAGGGGCATGGCCACTTACCGTACAGGTACAGTAAGGTAAGTTACATGGCAGGGGTCATCCCGTCTGGCGCTAAGCCTGTCTGGGCAACGGCCACACATGGCGGTTCGGAGGAACTCGGTGCCGAATGCCAATTCGTCCAATGCAGAGCCTATGATTGGGTACTGCCGTGACCTGATGACTCAGGAGGTGGCCCAATCCAGACTAGTGCGGACAGGGCGGCGGTAAGGCTGCGTATCGTTACAGGGCAGGTAAGATCGGTCACGCTGTGGTACGTACCGATGACTAAGATCTTGACGGGCGCTCCTTCGGGTCCTCAACACTTTTCTTCGACTCATCGTCTTCTGGCGTGGAATACGATGGTCACGGACGTCATCCTTTGGTTGCTCTACAACTGTTCACCTGCTGTTCACCGGCAGATGCCAACGGAACTCCGTCGTCATGCTATTACTACCTTATGTAGTACCTAGTACATTCTTCCCAGACGTCCGGGGTTACGCCATCCCGCCTATCGTTGACGCCCGTGCGGGCACGAGTCCGTCCGTCTACCTACGGAGCTGGTAGTCAGTACCCAGGCATCTGGGAGTCTTATTGGGTAGTACGGAGTACGAGGCAGGGGACAAGGCGCTGTAACGTGTTCTCCAGCTAAGTAGTCTGCTGTCGAGTACAGCGTCTGCTGTCCTTCCCGCTTTATCTTCGCCCGGTTTGGAATAATGATAAGCGCCGTACTAGATCTTTGTCTTGGATGGTGATGGACAGTCTGACAGCTTGCATGTACAGTACTCAAAGCGGAGAACAAATTATTGGTCCTTTTCGCCCTATCCTACCTACCTACCTAGTCACCTACAGACCTGACAGGCCTGGCTGCATGCCTTACAGGGCTAGCAACTCCGTCGTCGGCGATCACGTCTCTTTTTCGGTCGATGTCGGAGAGAGATACGAGCGCCGCTTCCTGGTTCGCTCGCTTCCAGAGTCCATAGTGATCGCTGCAGGATTCGTCTGTGATGGTTTGCGTTCGGTGGCTGGGCCGATCTTGGAAGGAGTCGTAGGTAGTTGTTACTCAGTATATTTCGATAGATCCGCTTGCTTCTACTTCGTACTTTGCAGTCGTTCGGTGTCGTCATCGTTGGTAACCATTAACTGATGTTGACATATCAGGTACTGCAAGGACTGACCATCGCCTAGCTGAGAATTCTGGTCTAATTGGAAGTACGTGACCTTTCAATGACTTATTCCGGATAGGGTTTCTGCAGTCCCCCAGCCTCTAGTATATGGGTGGCAGGCCGCTCATAGAAACCCTGATATCAGCTTACGTTTGACAATTAGAAACAGTAGATGAACGACTTCCATAGGTCGAAATCCAGCACATCTTCAGCAGTAAGGTTTAAAACTACAGAGTACGGAGTATCTAACAAAAGATAACATCTACGGCTACATAGTACTGAGTAGTGCCCGGTTCGACCTCACGTCTAGACCAGTGTCGACAAAATCCAGACGATTTCACAGTGTGTCTTGCATTACTGCTGCTGTAGTGCATCTGCACGGAGTCCTAACCAGTAAGGCCATTCAAAAGCAGGGCGGAGAAAGACTCCTAGTTGATCCGTCAATGGGATTTACGAGCACAATCATAGGTAAGTATATTTAAAGCTGGCTGTCCGAATGAGGCTTTAACTATCGGGAAACTATCCCTTCTAAGTGGCTATCTAAAAATATACTTTGATTACTTCTAGAAACTGATCTCTGTGAGACATGGAGCACACGAAGTCAATTTCGGGCCTTCTATCCGGCGCCATAAGTGACATTATTGGCGTTTACATTGATTTCGGGCCCGTCAAAGATACCTTAGAAAGAGTAACACGGGTAGGTGTGCCTCACATCCAGTCACCCACACAGATCCTGATATATGAAAATAAAAATAACTAATAAGGAGGGTCATTTAGTGAGTGGCTGAGTGGCCAATCCAAAGACGCTCCAGAGTCTCTATCTTGGGCACTGGTAGTTGCGGCGTTCGCTCGCGATAATCTTTCGCCCGAAAGGTCTTCTTCATTGGGTCTACACAACTGCGGTGCGGTGTTGTCGGATAAGCATGCCTGGCTTTCCCTGGAAATGACGGCCCCCATCTTACTCAATAATCTCGGAGCCCTGTAATACTTAGAAGATGCAACTTCGGCGTTACGGCAAAGAAGCCTAAACTACGGATAGGGTAAAAATCAGAAGACGACACTGCCCGCCGCGATTTAAGCATAAACCGCGTTGGTACTTGGTAGGACGTCCACAGTGGCACAGTCGTTTCATATGTCGGCGTGTATCCGGAAGCCCTACGAGCAAAAAGCTCGGACTAATCGCAGCGAGACGCCAAGCGGATTCGAACGGACGGGCCTGGGTCAGACATGGCGGCAACGCTAACCGTTGGATGTTTCAGTCTAAGGATGTGATTGACGATAGTTGCAGGCAGCCCGGATCACAGTCCCACTCATAGATTAATTTAATATACGGTGTACACCACATAGGCCAAGTCGCCACCTTGTTGGCGGCTTCTCCTGTCTTAGATAAAGCCGAGCGCTTCGTTAGGGGGCGTGTCAGGCATACGAAAGAGGGGATCCCTTGGCCCTGAGAAATAAATGAAAGCAATCAAGTCAATCAACCAGGATGGCAGCTAATGTCGTCATTCTCGTACCTTTGGACATTTTCAATGGTCATCGACCGGATTAGCAATGAAAGTTAGACGCCCCGGGTAAATAAGCTGGACGCTAATGGGGCCTAAATCGTAGGCAGGCCACCGTTAGATATTATTCCCAGAGAGGGTCTCGATAGGGGCTCCTGCAATTAAACGGTTTAACCCCTAATCTCCATCGACGGGATGGAATCATGGCGCCATGGCTAGGGAGGCAGGGGGAATTTGCCAGGCCCGTCGATGGAGCCCGCTTTATATTGTATCCACGATGCATTTAGCGGTTTCACGGGCAACGATGCCGCAAGAGGGAGCAGACTGACATTATCATGGAGGAAATAGCCTAACTGGCCGCTTTGTTTAGATGAACACCTCGAAGTAAATTACCTCGCTCCTATAGGCAGGCAGTAGTAAAGAAAGAAATACTCCGTAAAGAGTCGTAGCATGGTCAAGTTTGTATACTCCGTAGTCAATGAAAGCAGTCAGGATCGGCATCAGGGCAAGGCAAGGCACGTGGAGCAAATCCGATTTGGCCGAGCGCCCGACTTGCGCTCATCCAGTTTCTAATTTCTCTTTCACGAACAACCAAGAATTTGGCTTCGCTGCTCAAATTTCCGAGTGATTAATTGTTACTGGGACCTATCGTCATCCAGGCGCGAATGAAAGGGTAATTGCTCCGAACCACGAGGAAGAAGTTTTCATGTTGACCCTTGGCAGGCTGGAGAATAGCTCACATGTTGAAACCTAGACTGTCGCAGGCAAGCGCCAGGAACGGGGCTCCACCCCTGACTCGCTATGGTCACAAAGAAACCCTGCTTTAGTGAGCCTTCCGTCTTAGGGCCATGGATGCGGTCTTCGTTCTGGACAGCGCTAGCTCCCAAATAGTCCCCCGTTCCTGGTGGAGTGGACTCGTTCTTCAACGCTGGAACTTACCGGCGCGTCCTTGGACAAGGCCCCGGTGCTTGTCTTTCATCAATCTCAGACTCCGTGGCCTTCACTCGACCAATCTCCACCTATCAGAGGGGCTCCGAACCAGTCAGATCGGAGAAGAGCTGTCAGACAATCTATCAAAGTGCCGCATTAACGCCTGCGACGAACCTTTCATTAATCGTTCGAAGCACACCGTCTTGGTCTGAGCGCCGGCGGGGGGAGTTTAGACGGACAGATGGGCAACAGCCATAATCATATAAAAAGCTGGTCCTTCACGATGCTGAATCGTCTTCTCTTTCTTCTTTCTCATCACCACCGCATTCATTTCTTTCCAGGGTCTCAGAACCTTCCGTTCTCTCATTTTTTCTCTTTTCGGCTTCATTGATTGAAGACCATTCTTTTCGTCATTCTTTATTATCCCACCCATTCGGTCTCTTAACTCGATTACGCTGTGCGTTAATCACTTTCACATACAACATGTCTATCGCTAAGATCGCTGGTGTTGTTCTCGGATCGGCCGCTCTGGTCGCCGGTCACGGTTACGTCTCGGGTGCCGTTGTCGACGGCAAGTACTACGGAGGATACATCGTTACCTCCTACGCCTACACCGACAGCCCCCCCGACACCATCGGATGGTCCACCGAGGCCACCGACCTGGGCTTCGTTGACGGCAGCGACTACTCCAACGCCGACATCATCTGCCACAAGAGCGCTAAACCCGGTGCCATCTCCGCTGAGATCGCTGCCGGTGGCAAGGTCGAGCTGCAGTGGACCGAGTGGCCCGAGTCTCACCACGGCCCCGTCATCACCTACCTGGCCAACTGCAACGGTGACTGCTCTAAGGTCGACAAGACCTCCCTCGAGTTCTTCAAGATCGACGAGAAGGGTCTGGTTGACGGCAGCGAGGCCCCCGGAACCTGGGCCTCCGACGAGCTGATCAGCAACAACAACAGCTGGACCGTCACCGTCCCCGACAGCATTGCTGCCGGCAACTACGTTCTCCGTCACGAAATCATCGGTCTCCACTCCGCCGGCAACAAGGATGGCGCCCAGAACTACCCCCAGTGCTTCAACCTGAAGGTCACCGGTGGTGGCAGCGACAAGCCCGAGGGCACCCTTGGTACCAAGCTCTACACCGACTCCGACCCCGGCATCCTCGTCAGCATCTACTCCAGCCTTGACTCCTACGAGATCCCCGGTCCCGCTCTGTACTCTGGCGCCTCTTCCGGCTCCGGCTCCGGCTCCAGCGGCTCTGCCAGCTCCAGCGCTGCTCCCTCTGCCACTGCCGCTCCCTCTACCACCAAGGCTGCCGCCGGTGGTGCCCAGACCAGCACTGCTACTGCTTACCAGACCTCGACCGCTGTCGCCAGCGTGACCGTCACCGGCACCCCTGCCCAGCAGACCAAGGTCCAGGAAGCCGCTACCACCGCCGCCGCTGCCACCTCCACCGGCAGCTCTGACTCCACCGCCCCTGCTCCCTCCGGCACCAGCAGCGGCAGCCTGACCGAGTACTTCAACTCGCTCTCTGCCGACCAGTTCCTCAGCCTCCTCAGCGAGACCTTCTCGTGGCTGGTCACCGACAAGAAGCACGCTCGTGACACTTCTGCTTAAATCAATCGATAGGTCACAGGAAACCGGGTTTTGAACCGAATCGACGTTCTTTTCCTACAATCTTCAACCTGAAGGGTTGGACCTACTTTCTACCTTTTAAATAATGGATCCGAGATCATTACGTGTGTAACTAGAAAAATTCATTTTTGGAACTTCAAGCCTCCATTTTGTTTCTTCTCTAAACTCTGAAAAGTAGTATATTATATGGCAAATATCTTGAGTAGAATGCATGGAGTAAGAGGACGAAGCGAAATGACGGGAGGCGGGGAAATGCGGCCGATTGTTGTTGCGGCGCCTTTCTGAGTCGAGCATTGCATTACTTTCTCCCTTCTCAAGTTCTCAACCCTTCTACTCTCACCAAGACTCCTCGGTTCACGGGTGCCGGATCACCTGTGTCTTGCTGTACAGTTCGCTTCCTACACTCTTGTCTATCCTTGATCCACTGCCATCCTTCGCCATGTTCAAGAAGAAGCCCACGGTTTGCTACCCCTCCCCCGCACTGCTTCTCCGACGGAAAACAGAGAAAGAAAAAGGGTTTGCTCAACAACAAGAGCTAACACCGTCCGTCATAGATCAAAAACCTTTCTCCTCTGCGATCTTCCGACCGTCGGAAAATTGCCGACCAGATCATCAGCGATTACAAGATCGAGGTTCCCTCCAATACGTCGACTGAAGACGCGAGCGCATCGAACCCCGCCGCGCCCAATCTCACCACCATCCGAAATGCGCTTCTACCCGATAATTCGTTGTCAGCGCGCTTCACGACGACAGCGGGGCCTCAGCTGAAAGCGGTGCAAGGCACCGTGTACGTCGGCTCACATGGGGGCAGCGAGGAACGAATTCTGTGGTTCAGGCTGGACCACGGCCCCGGTGCCGACGGACGCCTGTACCCCACCGTCTATACCCTGTGGAATAACCCCAACATCGTTCCACTGGTGCATACTCCGGACTTCGTGATGCAGAAGCTGCGGGGGGGTGCGGACTTGATGACGCCGGGTCTGGCGAATGAACCGCCATTCCCTGAGCGTGCAGTCAAGGGAGCGGTGGTTGCGGTGGCGGGTCTGGACCGACATACAGTGCCATTGTTCGTTGGGATCTGCGAGATTGATATCTCGGCTCTTGGAGAAGTCCAGGGCACAAAGGGACATGCGGTACGGGGCTTGCATTGGGAAGGAGATGAGTTGTGGGCGTGGAGTTCATCTTCCCGGCCGGGACAACCGTCTCCGGAGTATATCGAGGGCTGGGACGAGGATCTGGAGAGTGAGGAGGAGGGTGCTGAGGAGATTCAGGAGGGTGTCGATGATATGAAGTTGGCTGAGAAAGACGCCAGCGAAACTGAGGGCCAAGAAGAGCCTCTAGGTGAAACTCCTGAGGATCAGCCCGAGGCAGAAGAAGCAGCTCCGGTGGGAAAGGAGCCTTCTATGAAAGGTAATCTCAACATGCAATTTTCGTTAGTACTCTGCAGCTGCTGACTATGCGCAGAGATCGACGAGGCCTTTGAAAAGGCATTCCTCTATTCCCTACACAAGCTCAAGCAGGACAATCCCTCATCCCCAAACCACGGTCTTTCCCTTCCTGTCCAACCTTCCGCTCTCATCTCGAATATGATTACGCCGTATCTTCCCATATACACGGCACAGCAGGCGCAATTCTACCTCATCAAAAAGACGAGCTGGAAGAACGTCAAGAAGTTCATCAAGTATCTGGACAAGCAGCGATTGGTTAAGTCCAAGGACCGCAATGGCCAAGAGACCGTTATATTGGATGTGGACTTCAATGACCGCCGCGTGGAGCAGTTTGTTCCCTACAAACTTCCCAACAAGGATGCCCTCGAGAGCGCTGGAAAGACTGGCGCCGGTGGAAACAAGAAAACGGTGGCGAATGATGGAGGAGACCCTGCCGTCGGTCAGACGCTCAACGTTCAAGCGCTCTACCGGCCAACGCCCAAGCTCATACCGACCATCTTCGCACCGCTATCCACCTCCGATCCCAGGAACTTCTACAAGTACCCCGACGTCTCCAACGCACTGGACCAATACCTTCAAGCCCAGAGCCCCCCAATCGTCAGCAAGGAGAACCGCCGCATTATCAATCTTAACCCCTTCCTCGCCAACACCATCTTCACATCCTCATCCGCCGAAGACAAGAGCACCATTGCCCGCGGCAAGACCACTCGTGACGGTCTCCTGAAGCGAATTGTGGAAGATAACAGCCTGATGACCAGGCATTATGTGATCCTCCGAACCGGGCAGACGCTGGCGGACGTGAAGCCCCGACCCGGGACAGCCCCCAAAGCCAACGTGATTCTTGAGCGCCGAACGGGCTCGAAGACCGTCACCAAGGTTTCCAACCTGGAGGTGTTCGGGATCATCCCTGGCTTGCTGGCCGAGGAACTGCAGAAGAAGTGTGCCAGCAGCACCAGCGTGACCCAGGCGAACGGCGCGCCCAAGGGGGTCATGGAGGTTCTCATACAGGGTGACCAGCGACGTGCATTGGAGACGGCACTATTACGACGGGGATTGAAGGCGCAATGGATTGACACGGTGGATAAGACTAAGAAGAAGAAATGAACTTGATGCTGTAGAGTCATCGGCACCTATCGGCTTTAGATATCCCGAGTTGGTTTAGGAATATTTACAATTTCTGCTCATTTCAGTAAGCTAATCCTGATGAACATCACTGTATAGAGAGTAATCCAAGCATATTCTCATCGATCGGTCTCTATATCTCTTGGATCAAATAGAATGATCACCATCGACCACTTTACCCGATCTCTCCAAAGGATTGGACTCGGAGACACCCCGATTTCTTCCCCTCCGCAAATACTCCGCAATACTAAATAAATCCTTCTCCATCTCCCCTCATCGATTGACTCACTCTCAATCTACAACCATCCATTGTTTATAATCCTCCATACACCTTCATACATCTCTATACACCTCATCTTAAAGCCACAGCAAACCAGAAAAATAAAAATGCCTGTCTACCACATCGGTCCGTCCCTTCCCCTCCGTCCTCTCTCTCTCCCTCCCCTCCACCCACCTACCAAACCCACATAATCATACCAAACTAACCCAAAACCACCGAATAGTCCTCTTCCGCCTCAAACAAGGCGTCACCCCCTCTCAACTAGAAAACTGGTCCCGCGTCTCGCAAGCCATGGTCGGCAAGATCCCAGGCCTCGTGTCCCTGAAGACGAACCAGCCACTGCCCATCTCCGTGCCTCGCGCCAAGGGCTTCGATATGGGTCTTGTGGCGGTTTTGGAAACACCGGCTCATGTTGAGGGGTATGCGGTGCATCCGGCGCATTTGGAGTACGTGTTTCCTTTTGTCTTTTCTCTCTGGTTACCCCCTCGTGCTGGTTTCTGGTTTGGTTGTTGGGTTGGGGCTAATTGGTTGAATCGTGATGGGTAGGGTTCATAAGTTGAGGGAGGAGTTGTGTGAGGATACGTTGGCTTATGATTTGGAGTTTTGATTTTGTTTGGGTTGGTTGGTGTATAGGATGGAGGTGGATAGAAGATGTAAAGGGTAAGGAGACATCGTCTTAGCAATGACTTTTGGTCTAGCAAATGAAGTAAAAAATTCAATAGATGACACAGGTTTTTTTGAAAACGCCATTTCAAATTCCAGCAAAAGATTCCTTTTTCTTTGAGATCGCAAGCAATCAAACCATGCTTTACATTCATTCCCTTCTTTCTCTTCCTTTTCCATTCATGGGCGAGAAAGTGAGGGTCTGGTCCGTCGAAGGGGGAAATACGATAATAGAATCACAGCAAAAAGTAGGAGAGAAAAGAAATGTATCTGGATATCATTACTCCTTCGCGTCAACCTTCTTGGCAGGGTGATCGCCGTTCGCGGACTCTTCCTCGCGACCACGCTTCTGGCCCGACTCGGTCGAGGTGCTCTGGATCACGGGGACACCACTAATTTTTACATGTTAGTATGCATCATTGAGAAAGAGAATATGCACTGAGAGACAGTGAGGGCCAGATCTTACCGAGAATCCTTCTGAACCTCCTTGCGCTCACCGAAGCCCTTCTTCTGGTCCTCGGAGCGACGCTCACGCCAGTCACGCTTGTCATCGCCACCGCCACCGCGACCCCGGCCACGACCACCACGGAATCCACCGCGCCCACGGCCACGGCCGTTGCTGGGCTTGATGCGGCCGGCCTCGATGTCGCGGACCTTCTCCTCGCAGTACTCCTTCTTGCTCTTAATCAACAGATCCTGGCCCTTCCACTGGGGCTTGGGGTCCAGGGCCAGGAAGGCCCTCTGCTTGTCCTCGTTCTCGAACTCGACGAAGACGCTGCCCTTGAAGGTCTTGTCATGCGCACGACGCAGACGGATGGCGTTCGTAGGGCCGTAGGGCGCGAAGAACGATTCGATCTCGAGCTGGGTGGTGGGGCCCTCCTCACCGAAGCCCTTGACGTAGATGCTGCGGTCCATGGCCTTGTCCTCGAACACCTTGACGACGCTGGGGTCGTGCGAGTCCTTCACCGACTCGGGCAGAGGGGTCTTCCGACGCACGGCGGTGTCCTTGTCGGTCAGCTCCAGGGTCTCGGACGTCTTGAGGGCCTCGACGATGGCGCTGAAGGGCTGGAAGCGGCGCATGCGCTTGAACGAGTGCAGGAGCTCCAGGGGCACGGCGTGGTTGCTGCTGCCGCCGACCTTGCCGAGCAGGAACTTGTCCATGGGCAGGTTGGAGTCGGAGAAGTAGAATTCGACCTGCTTGCGGATCTCGACGGGGTCGTCCGTGATCTGCTGCGAGCTGGGGTCGAACTTGGCGTTGTTGCGACGGTTGTTAAACCGGTCGTTGCGGCCCCTGTTGTTGTTTTTACGCGAATCGCGCTCCTGCGTCTTGTTTTCCTTCTTCTCTGTAGCCTCCGCCGACTCCTCGCCCAGCTTTGCGGCCGCGGCGACAATGCGAGCCTCCTCGGCATCCTCTGTAGGGGCCTGCTCCTCCTTCTTCTCGGTACCGTTGGCGGGGGCCTCGCCGTCGCCCTTCAGCTCAGCAAGAACGTTCTGGACATCCTGCGTCGCCTCGGCGTTGACGGTCTTCTGTTCGTCGGACATTATGTATGTGTGTGGCGGGTGACTCAAAGTCAAAGGATTAGGGAAGAGGTGAGTGAGATGATAAGGGGAATAGAATAAGATTGAAACACTAGAGTTTTCGAAAAGCGTTAACAAATGTGACTCATAATAGATCAGTTGTAAGCAAGCAACTGCGACGCGAGGACGAAAACAAGGTAAATGAATGCAAGCAACCGACGTAAAATTGTCGCAGGAAGCAAGCTTGCTCTACACGCGACTCACGGCCAATGCGGCCGCGCCTTCAAAGTGCGAGGATGGGGGAAGCGGGAGAACGCTGAGGAAATGCATACCTAAGGTGAGGAAGAGATGAATGGGGATAAGACACCTGCGAGCAAATGTCGTTCTTTTATTCCTCAGGAGCAGCAAGAGGGGAAAACAATTCAAAGAAAATTAATTCATGCGCGGCGGGGGAAATTTTCTTTTTCGATGCGGAGCTGCGGCCACGCTCGACACCTGAGGCAGTCAGGCAGATGCTGCTTAGGTAAGGGTCTGCCGCGTTGGGTTTAGCACGTCCCGTGTCTGCTCTCTCGTACTGTACACCGTAAACATCTCTTTCTCTGATCTTCAGCCGGTGTAGTATGGAGTAGATTTATCCACCATTGTACTGTCACTAGAGGACCTTCCGAATACTGGACCTTTTCAAGGAGAGCGGATGCTTCGCACCACTGCCACTGCTTCGACCGATCTTGAAACCGGCGGGGATATCCAAGCTTATGCTGTGCTTTAAAGAAACGGTATCCAACCACCGAGGGCTGCAATGTAAATTGAGTACCTTGGGTCTGAGTAACATTTCTAGCTCGCGAACTAAAGAAAGTTTATTTCTTTAAAATATTTCAGATCTGCCATTCCAGTCATTCCTATCTGATACCAGCCTTGCTCTTGTCCTTTGGTCATGTGGAGGGAGTATCTCTGTTAAGCTAGCACAAGTACCTATCTATATCTCCAACTTTTATCAAGCTGTTTCGGACTCCAGAGTCGATGATGGGCGAGCTAATCAATGCTACCTCCATTTTTCAATCAGGTCTCCGAAATCAATGTTGCGTAGACTTCGTTCTTTCCTGCGACTAGGTCCTTTCAACACTCGGTGCAACCAAACAGGATCCAGTATAACAGCGCATCGAAACTGATCTTGTCGATCAGGTTGATTGGGTTGTGTCTTCAGATCAGTCTTGACCCCTAGATATCTGGATAGATACAATTCGGATAGGAATCGAAATTTAGTTGGGTTTGATGTCTGCGTTGCCAGGAATACCCTACCGCCAGGGTTCATCTCGCGGATCCAACAAAAACAAAAGATATCGTGACTGTGAATTCTGCATTCCCTCACTCTGTCCTTCACCGGCACAGATTATTCCGGTGTCTGCTCGGGTGCGCCTCGCTCTGCTGCCCGGCAACACAGGGTACCTGCCTCTTTTGGGCCCGACCAACTGCCTTCTGGCTACTATGGCCCGTCCAAAAGGTCGCCCATTGTCTCCATCGCGTGGCTGGACCTGGCCTGTGTCTCGACTATGTCAAATATAGGTCTTATGTCTTAGTTTGCATCGGTCTCACGTCGTATAGCATACTGTGGATTCTCGGTGTCCGAAGTGAAAGGAGCTCTGATTCGAGTCAACAGGCTTTCAGGTATGTCTAGCCATGTCGTCGTCTATGCGCATCCAGGGTTCAGGAACTGACACACATTCTTTGAAGCACTGAATCATCTCCAAAAGGTTATCTGGTTCCTAAAATGACTACACTTGGGTTGTCCCTCCTACACAAGACTCCTGGGAAATAGCTAGCGAGTGTCCCAAATATCGGTCTGCCACCTATCGCATTTCGGTCAAGTGCTTTGTCTCGTCGTCGCTCGATCTTCGCGTATCGCCTTTCTTCTATATATTATATCTGTTCCACGCGGAATTATTTCGTTGGCCGTTATATTACAACCGCCATTTCACGAGACTGTCACGATGGCAGAACCATGGAGAACTCATGATGTAAGTTAGGCTTGGACCCACTCAGTCAATTGTCTGACGTTTCTAGATTGTATACTTATCGGTGGTTACGCCGGTGCTATTAGCCGCAGCCTTTGAGTTGGTACTTTTGCTTGCTGCGTTCTTATACTGCCTCGTCAAGGTTTATCAGAAAGCGGATCGCTGGAGCAGCCAGGTTCTTGCCGTTAGTATGATGGTTCTCATACTGTTGTTCAGGTAAGGCAAGCAAGGACCGAGAAGAAATTACCCAGAAATGAATGCGATGCTGATTGTAGTTTCGTCAAGGGGCATATTCCTGCCGGTTCTCCTCTTTACGATCCCCTTTCCACGGCAGGTTTCGCGGCATTGGCCTCCTAGCCTAGTCCCTCTCGTCCAATGGTTTGCCCTTGGGGCTTTCACGGTGTTGCTTGCTGTACCCTGGTCTGTTTGCGTTGGCAGGCTGATCATAACAACATCCTCGCGGCGGCCGGAGAAGATAAAGCAGGCTTTTGCCAACCACACCGCGCCTAAGGTTGTCATCGTCATGCCAGTATATCAGGAGCCTCCTTCGGAATTGATCAAAACCATTGATTCGGTGGTCAACAGTGAGTATCCAAAATGCCGTATCCATTTGTTTGTTTCATATGACGGAGTCTCCATGGACGAATCCTACCTCCAGGTCATCCACCATCTCGGGGTTCCGATAGCATTGGAGAGCTACCCGCAGAGTATCGATGTGACCTACAAGGGCGTTAAAATTACGATATCTCGCTTCAGGCATGGGGGCAAGCGACACTGTCAACAACAGACATTCAAACTTGTCGACAAGATGTACTTCGAATACAGCCAGCGGCATGATGATCTGTTTATGTTGTTAATTGATTCCGATTGCTTCCTGGACAAACGTTGTTTGCAGAACTTTGTGTACGACATGGAGCTCAAGCCGGGGCGCAAGCGCAAAATGCTAGCAATGACGGGCATCATCACATCGACCACGGAGAAAAACAAGCTGTTGACTTTGCTGCAAGACCTAGAGTACATCCATGGACAGTTTTTTGAACGGTCCGTGGAGTCGGGCTGCGGCGCCGTAACCTGTCTCCCCGGCGCACTGACAATCCTTCGATTCTCTGCGTTCCGCAAGATGTCCAAGTACTACTTTGCCGATAAAGCCGAGCGATGCGAGGATCTTTTCGATTATGGGAAGTGTTACTTGGGAGAAGATCGCTGGCTCACCCACCTCTTTATGATCGGCGCCAAAGAGCGCTACCAAATCCAGTTGTGCACGACTGCATTTTGTAAGACAACCGCAGTCCAAACATTCTCCGCTCTGATGAAGCAGCGACGACGATGGTTTCTCGGCTACATTACCAATGAAGTCTGTTTGTTGACCGACATCAGGCTGTGGAAGCGCTATCCTTTCTTGTGTCTCATCCGCTTCGTGAACGATATGATGCGTACAACCACGTTGCTCTTCCTCGTTCAAACAATATCCCTCATCCTGACATCGGGCCGACTTCACGGCTTACCTGTCATCATCATAAGCGTATCTTTGGTTCTCAACTATTCGCTCATGTTCTATCTGGCGATCAAACTGAGACGATTGAAGGCATTGCTCTATTTGCTCATGTTTATCCTCATGCCCCTGTTCAATTGGCTGTTCCTGGTGTACGGCATATTCACGTCGGGACAGCGTACCTGGGGAGGCCCCAGGGCCGACGCCGCCAAAGCCGATAAATACACGACTCCTGAGGAGGCAGTTGAGAGAGCCATGGCCCAAGGCGACGAGCTAAACGTAGTGGTCGACACCTTCCGGCGCAGTACTGAGAAGAAAACAGTGCCCCTTCACCCTTCGGAGAATCTCAGAGGACGATTTTCTGCTTCTCCGCGGCCAGGCAGTTATCCCATTACCGTTGTAGATGGCACCGGGATCCCTCTGGCTAATGCGATGACACCCCTTCCCAGTGTACCACGGATAGGTGTGCACCCAGACGGTTCTTCCGAGTCGGTATTCACGTCAGACTCGGATTCAAACTCCATGTCCCTACCACTCCCCGTGGAGGGCACCAGGGTGCTTCCCCAGAGCTCGATCGCAAGTCACCATACGGGCAGCGCAGACGAAACAAGTCTACAAGCCAGTGAATGCCGCGAAAGATCCCAATTGGGTCACCGGAGCGCTCATGAGCATTCTCTGTCTATATATTCCACTCGAGAACCGACGGATGGGACTCCTGGCACTGCGCCCACGCCACAAGAACCCGGGCATCCGCCCACCTCCAGTGTCGCGACTAGACTGTCGCAAATTTTGCAGCGGCCTCGGCCGGGACGTCGAGCAAACAAACCGACGCAGACCCAGATGCCAAGGGATCCGGAGCACATGGTCTAACACCACATGAGCAGGCCTTCAGGAAGGATTTGGAGGCTGCCACGTAACCAGACATCCCACTGCGTTGACAGGCCGAAACCTCGAATTATAGTCGGGATCGACAGGGTATGTCAGGTCAAGGTGGATCGATCATGGTTTATTTTCCCGCCGTGCTTCGCGATCATCCTCCCTTGTCTCTGTGAAAGAGTGTTGTGTTGTTGTTATCTCATTCATCCATTCTTGTTATTACCTTGGAACAGGTTGGTATATTTTGTTCTGGTTTTTCCCCTAAGCGGGGCCATGATAGTGGGACTTTTTTTTTTCTTTCTTAGTGGGGAAACAGGGGGAAAGGAAGACGGGTCTACCCCAAGACTGATGTAATTAGCAGTTTTCATAGCTTAGGAATTAGGAAATGGGAATGGTCGAGTGACTCGAGAACGGTTAGAACGCAGCAGGGGGATTGTACGGAGTGCTTCGTAGGCATCGCCGGGGCCATGGCATTAGGTAACAGGGCTGGAGCCCGGCGCGTCAGGCACCCAATGGGAGCAAGCGACGAGTTCAAATTCGTAAAAATCTGATGCTATCGATAAGCTGGCCTGAGGTTTTCCAACCCCGCCAAGGCGGTGAGACACTTTCTGCAGGGTCCACTGACCGGGCGGTGAACGACGGGAAGAATCCAGCAGCAGCCAGAAGGTTCTATCCATTCGTTGCAGTGCTACTTCTACTCTGCAAGAAATAAGAATCCTGCTTGCAAAAGAAAAACTCCATTGCGCATTTAAACCGTAACAATTCTGATCATCTTGATCTTTCCGAGTGATACCCTCACATCACGTTCACCCCCTCCAAACGTACAACTGTCGTGGTCCGGAGTATTGACACGTCGGGCCCTACTGAGCCACAACCGATTCGATCACCGCCCGATAGATTAGTGGCGTTTGGCCTGCTTGCAAATTATTCTCCCCTCCTTCTTCCGCCGCCGCTCGCTCTTTTCCTGGACTCGGGAACCTGCCCAACCTATTTTTTTTCCTTCCGTCTTTTCTTTTCTTGATACCATCTTCCTCCCTCCTCCCCTTCCTTACTACTTACCGCATTTCCTCCCCCTCCCTCCCCCTCCTACTCTCTCTCCTTCATATCACAGAAATCTTCACAGACAATGAGTGTTGTCGGAATAGATTTCGGTGCTCAGAGCACCAAGATTGGTGTTGCCCGCAACAAGGGTATCGATATTGTGCGTATCACTTCGTTCTTACTAGGTTTCCTCAACGTTCCACCGTTGGGCCTCTTTTTTTTTAGCATTCCCCCATGAATAGCAGCGCTGACTTCTCTTTGTCTTTTTTTTTTGGCTTAGATTACCAATGAGGTTTCGAACAGATCGACTCCGTATGTCCTTTCCTTCCCCTCCCCCACTTCTCCGTCATCTGCCAGATTCACAGACTGGGTGTGACACTTGGTGGAATAGATGAAGAAATAAAAAGAATCAAAGCTGACTGACATCCCCTGCAGTTCCCTTGTCGGGTTCAATGCCCGCAGCCGAGCCCTCGGTGAGGCCGCGAAGACGCAAGAGACTTCCAACCTCAAGAACACGGTCGGCAACATTAAGCGCTTGATTGGCCGCGCCTTCAACGACCCCGACGTTCAGCTCGAGCAGGAGTACAACACCGCTACCATCTGTGATGTCAATGGCCAGGCCGGTGTTGAGGTGAACTACCTTGGAAAGAAGGAGAAGTTCTCTGCCACTCAGCTCGTGGCCATGTACCTGACCAAGATCCGCGACACCGCCGCCAAGGAGCTGAAGCTCCCTGTCTCCGATGTCACCATCAGTGTGCCCGCTTGGTTCACTGATGTCCAGCGCCGGGCCATGCTTGATGCCGCTGAGATCGCCGGTCTCAAGGCCCTGCGCCTGGTGAACGACACGACGGCTACCGCCCTCGGATACGGTATCACCAAGCTAGATCTGCCCGGCCCCGAGGAGAAGCCCCGCCGCGTCATGTTCGTCGACATCGGTCACAGTGACTACACCGCTTCGATCGTCGAGTTCCGCAAGGGTGAGCTCAACGTCAAGTCGACCGCCTACGACCGTCACTTCGGTGGTCGTAACTTCGACCGCGCTCTGACCGAGCACTTCGCCGATGAGTTCAAGGAGAAGTTCAAGATCGACGTCCGCACTCACCCCAAGGCCTGGTCCCGTACCCTCGCCACCGCCGAGAAGATGAAGAAGGTCCTGTCGGCCAACCCCGCTGCTCCCATGAGCATCGAGTCCCTGATGGAGGACGTTGACGTCCGTGCCATCGTCAAGCGTGAGGAGCTGGAGGTCATGATCAAGCCCCTCCTTGACCGGGTCACGGTTCCTATTGAGGAGGCCCTCGCCGAGGCCAAGCTCAAGGTCGAGGACATCGACCACATCGAGATGGTCGGTGGCTGCACTCGTGTCCCCGCCATCAAGGACGCCATCGCCAAGTTCTTCGGCAAGCCTCTTTCCTTCACCCTCAACCAGGATGAGGCCATCGCCCGTGGTTGCGCTTTTAGCTGTGCCATCCTCTCCCCCGTTTTCCGTGTTCGTGACTTCTCCGTGCACGACATTGTGAACTACCCCATCGAGTTCACCTGGGAGCAGTCGGCAGACATTCCCGACGAGGACACCAGCCTAACCGTCTTCAACCGTGGCAACGTCATGCCTTCCACCAAGATCCTCACTTTCTACCGTAAGCAGCCCTTCGACCTCGAGGCTCGCTACGCCAAGCCCGAGATGCTGCCCGGCAAGATCAACCCTTGGGTTGGCCGTTTCTCCGTCAAGGGCGTCAAGGCCGATGCCAACGACGACTTCATGATCTGCAAGCTCAAGGCCAGACTCAACCTGCACGGTATCCTGAACGTCGAGTCCGGATACTATGTTGAAGATATGGAAGTCGAGGAGCCCGTTCCCGAGGAGGGCAAGGGTGATGTAAGTTAATCTTCTTCTTGGCGATCTCTCTCCCAAACAATTTGGCTGACTCTTTCCATCAGGCTATGGACACCGATGCTCCCAACGGCGAGGAGCAGCCCAAGAAGACCCGCAAGGTCAAGAAGCAGGTTCGCAAGGGCGACCTGCCTATCTCCACCGGAAGCTCTTCCATCGACCAGTCCGTCCGGGAGGCCTGGACTGAGCGGGAGAACTCCATGTACATGGAGGACAAGCTGATCGCCGAGACGGACGAGAAGAAGAACGAGCTCGAGGCCACCATCTATGAGCTGCGCGACAAGCTCGACGGAGTGTACTCTGAGTTCGCCAGCGACGAGGAGAAGGACAAGCTGCGCTCTAAGCTCACCGACCTCGAGGTAAGATAATTTCTTGTCCATAGCGGAGACCAGGATCATTGTACTAATCAAGTTATCTGCAGGATTGGCTGTACGAGGAGGGTGAGGACACCACCAAGTCCGTGTACGTTGCCAAGCTCGACGAGATCCGCTTCATCTCGGGTCCCATCGTCCAGCGCTACCGGGAGAAGGCCGATGCCGAGCGCGAGGCCGCCTTGAAGGCTCAGGAGGAGGCCGCTGCCAAGAAGCGCGCCGAGCAGGAGGCCCAGCGCAAGGCTGAGGAAGAGGCCAAGAAGGCCGAGGAGGCCTCGAAGAAGCCTGAGGAGGCTGACGCCGACATGAAGGATGCTCCCGCTAGCGGCGATGCCACTCCCTCTGGTGAGACCGAGGGGAAGCAGTAAACGAGTCTTCTTCTTCCCTTCCGTGATCACTAGATCTCGTTTCTTTCCTTTTCTCGTTTTTGTTCTTTTGACATGGAGGACGACGACTTGCATATGCAGCTGGATGACAATGGCCATGAACAATATCAAATTACGTTAAACAGCCTGATGTTTTCTTTTCATTTTTTTTTTTTTTTTTTCACTTATTCACTTATTTCCTTACCTTTCTTGCGTTTCTTTCCCCCTTTTTCTGTGGCCACGATGTGGCAATGCGATGTAGACGAAATGATCCCGGGTTTCTCATTTAATATTTCTGGCGTCTGGATGTACTTTGATTGACAAGGTCCCTTTCCTTCACACCGAACATCCGTCATCAGCATCGTTCGAGAGACCAACAAACCGCCAGGACGCAAGCGGAACGATCGAACGGGGGGAGAGAGACCTGTATGAACGACTTCGAAAGACTTAGATATGACATGCGGATAGACTGGCGAAACAAAAAGTACCTGGAAGTGAATATAAGGCGCGATATTTTTGTTTCATAACGTATCCCTGTGGGAGTAAGGATTTGTTTTGTAAACCGTAAATATCATTATGAGTCGTGGCAACTTGGATGGGGAGAAGAGAAAAGGCACGGAAGATGGCCTGAGCAAGGAGGTATCATCTGATCTGTCGCTCTGCTCCTTGCTGCAGGACTATGTAGCATTATATTGAAAGATTCAATATCTCCAATCCTCGATGGTCTAACGGTCATGATTTCCGCTTGTCACTCAATAGAGAACGAGCGCGGGAGACCTGGGTTCGACTCCCAGTCGGGGAGATTTCTTTTTTGCTTTTGTTTTTTGGGTCCTGTTCTATCTATGCTGCAGCTTTGCTACTTTGTGTTGTTTATCCCTTGTCAGGTATACATTGTCTACTCCGTACATGCCACTGTTCCTGTGTCTGTTCTGATATGGGATGATGCTTTAGTCCCCTTCTTCCCGCAGTCTAGGTAGTGCTATCGCACTATGGTATTAGGCTAGATAGCGGGAATGGACGTTGGTCTCTGGGTAACTATATAGTTAGGTGTTAGGTCCATCGCTCCTATGGATATGACAATGGGACTGTTCTTATTCAATTCAATTGAGGCCTCGGATTGTTTCCCTCGGAAGTTACTCGGGGCCTTCGTTCATTCCAGCACCTCGGGGTGTGTCTGAACTATGATACTGCGAGGCACTTGGGACATGTAGCAATGCAACCCACTGTTTTGCTATGACGGTCACAACGGCCTACACTTTGCCTGTTCCTCCGTTTTTCTCCTGGACGGTCGGTTTTCTGATCCGTGGCTATCTCTGTTCTTTCTATCGAAATTTATCAACGGGCATTGACACCATTGGCCCTTCATATATGACCCGGGTGTATATATAGCCAGGCAATTGCGGAAGAGAAAATGTATCAACATCACCATGAATGCTTACACCTACTATAAATAGTATTATATTCCAATATCCCCAAATCCCCACAGTCTCAAGGAGTGTCGAATACCTCCCAAAATCCACCAGAAAAGAATACCCATTTATCTTCAGCATCACCAGGTTCCTTGTAACACTAGTAATCCATTAGGGCTGTGTGGATCCATCCCACCCGGTACACATTCCACGCCCTTCGGCTAGCCCTCTGTGATAGCGTCAAAATTAGAGCACAATATTCATCAATTCCTCGATGGTCTAACGGTCATGATTTCCGCTTGTCACTCAGCAGAGAACGAGCGCGGGAGACCTGGGTTCGACTCCCAGTCGGGGAGGATTTCTTTTTTTGTGTTTTTGTTTTTCTTTTGGCTGTTCCCGGTCTGTTGGTTGGTATAATCAGGAGTAGTACTGGAATGGACGGGGAAGAGATGAGGTACTCTTGTTCCCTGGTATTCGTGTGAAGCAGAACTGAATATAGAGGGATTTGTAAACAAATGACGAACAACACAACACCTATCCATTGACATCTTCTATAGCTTCTTGCTGAACCGTCATTTACCTCCACAAGAAGGTAAATGAATGATGGAAGTTGTGACACGACAGTCGCAAATAGATACAGAAAATTGGAATGCATAGGAGTAGAATTGAAATAACTGCACCCACACACATCGGGTTATACATGCTAGGTCAGCACTGTAGATTGCACGGAGGCATCTGGTTCCGTAGACGAAAGTACCGTATATTCCGTGGTAGCATAAGAAACATAGCGTAAAGTCCACCTGGATGACACGGCGAGCATCAACCAGGCGGTAGAGGAAATGATGGTCAATGACAATAGCCCCAAGACTACCGGGCTATCATTAGTTCGTCTGATGACGAGCCCGAAACAAGACTGGAGGAATTGCCTATCAGGTTGTTGCACTGGCATTGTTTATAAGGAATTGATGCAGAGTGTCCATTGCCATGTTTCCTCGCCTTTTTGGCCCACCCCTTGACGATGCTCATTGTGACATAGCTAGAGACCATCGAGATGTTGGCTCTGTAGTCGAGGTTGGGACATACTGCAAGCACCAAAGTGGTTACAACATTGACGAAAAGCCGACAGATCGACACAAGAACAGGATGATCAAGAATGGGTGGAAACTGCATCCGTCAAGATAACATTGTGGCGAGGAGAAGCGCACCAAGTTTCACAGTGGATTCTGATACGATACAATGTTTCTGGTATAGTAGGTCAGGGTCCCACCTATGCTTTCCATTTCCCCTGGATAACGTCATGTTTACTGTGCCGTACACCGTAGTCCTGTAACGGATTCTAGTACATAGAGGAAAACCATGGAAACTCACCATTGCACACACAAATATACCCTATGATCCCTGTCGCCTTCATCGATCGATAAGAGGGAGGTTATGACCGACAATCGTCGGCTGGAGGCTGGGCTCTTTCCCCGGATGTTCTAGGATGGGCCTGATCTCGAGGCCGGCATGAAACCACAGGCATTTTTGATCTGGTTTGCTCTGGCGGGTCAAAAGTCAACACCACTGGCCACAAATTCTCCTGGTGTTAGACCTAAGCCCGCCATGCTAAAGAAGCCATACGACGCTCCATTCCGTGGTCCGCACGAAGAAATGCACCGCGATGTAGGGAAGGGCCGCTGTGTCAGACTGAATCGTATCAGGGACGGCAATAATGGAGGCCGAACGGTTACTGCTCCAAGGCTTCGAGACCAATATGGGCTTGTCCAGCAATTCCGGAGGTTAACTAGGACGTAACAGGAGATAACGACCGATTCCTGACAGAAACTGATACTTCCGGGCTGACAAGTACCATAAATATTTTGAAGAAGTAGATGTTACTATACCTGCAAACAGAATCAATACCCAGTTTGCCTTGTTGTCGGGTGCGTTATTTGTCAATGACAAACCGACATGTGCGCAAATAGCGGCGTGTTCGATCGTTCCCCTTTGAGTCTTTCCTTCACTCTAGTAAGGGTAATTCAGTCACAGAATTTACACCAGGATCTTGGGCTCAGATTCCACCGGAAACAGTCCGTTGAAGGATAGTTCTGCGGAAAGATATTGTCTGCCCAATGAAGACCAACTAGAAAGTAGAAATATCCTTTCATGTGAAATCCCTTGGTTCCAGCGAAGTGCGACCTAGATCACAAGAGACAGACATCATGTGGAGTGTCGCCGGATTTGTGATGGCTAAGTCGATGCAACAGAAGTGGCATGCGGAAGATATTCGGATGATCGAGCGAGTCTTGCGTGGGTTGCTGGTCGAATGCACAGTCGCCTGGAGGGTGTAGCTTTTCTCGCCGTGGTAAAACACACAGTGCCTTAACAGATCACGTAGAGAAAGGTTGACATTGTCATCCGAAGTATTGACTTCCTAGTAAGGAGATGGGTGTTAGCTTCTTCGTGTTGACGTATCAATGAAGGGGACTATCCAAGGACAATCCCATCGGAACTATATGAACTCCATGCCTGAGGGACGAGATGTATGGGGTTCCCGAGGAGCCCAACAACCATCGAATTCTGGTTACCTCATTGGCCCCCTCTGGTTCATTGCTTGAGTTCGTCCAAAGCGGCTGAATGAGAGGATAGGTCTTGTTCGGAAGGAAGGAGAGGACTGGAAGTCAAACGGCGATATCACGTGGCAGGATGTGGTTCTAACTCTGTCCGTAGACAAAGGCTCTACGGATAATTCGACAACTACGAGCAAATGACAAGTCAATGGTCCTCGAGCAAGAGCACGGCCCATGCGTCAACGGCTAAGACCATCGCAGACGGTTGAATTGGGCCTCGAACGTTGCATGATTGTTGGGGGAGATATCTGGGCATGCTTGAATGGTGGGCGAATTTGCACAAGCAGTCGATCGAAGATGGCCAGTGTCTCCGTTTCCGATTCTGATATCAAACTGAGGCGTGCCGTATGACAGGTTTGTCGTTGAAGTTGAATGATCCGCGGAAGTCGAGTGGTGTCCTTGGACAATGGTGGGTATGTGTGTTCTGGGATATCGTATGTTGGGTCTGCCTGATTGAATTGTCTTTGCCAGCTGCCACGTTCCAAACCAAATGACCAGACCGTGCCGTAGGCGTAGATACTACGAGGGGACAGAAGCCCTGGGTTAGCTCAAGTAGAGGACATTAAATTTTTTATTTTGTTTCATCACAATCCTGATCGTAGGTTGTATCTCGCATTTTTTTCGAGTCATCTAGAAACCCCTCTTTACAATCACCGCTATTGTAATGTGAACTTGAACCCCAAGAAAAAGAAAACCCTTAAGCAGACTTGCTCTTGACGGCCTCACGACCCTTGCCGATGCGCTCGAGGATCTGCTCACGGTCCTTGTCAAGCTTGAGCTTGGTGATGACGACGTTCGAGGCGGAGAGAGGAAGAGGAACGCTCTGGCCGTTGCTCTTTTCGCGAACAACACGCTCGACGTGGATAGCCCACTTCAGACGGTAAACGCTGGTGACCTTGCCCTCACGGCCCTTCTGGGAGCCCCGGACCACGGTGACCTCATCGTCGCGGCGGATGGGGATGGAGCGGACCTATCGAGAAAAACCGTGTTAAAATCCATGCGCTTCTGTGTGTTCCTCCATTTTGTATCTTCCTTCGTTCCCCGGGTGGATCGAGATTCGGTTTTCAGGTGATTTTCGAACGTACATTGTACTTGGCCTGCAGCTCCTTGGAGAGGTGAGCGCTCATGATAACGCGGCGCTGGCTCGAGGGAGCATTGAAGTGCGCGGCGCGCGACTTCCGGCGCGAAGAAGCAAGACCTGAAAAAAATCCATCAGCATGACATGCTCGGTCGAAATCGAAAAAAGCAGGCGTCGGGAAAGAGTCACGCACCGCGGTTCTGGATGGTCATCTTGATGGAGGCTCCTTGGGGGGGTCGTGAATGAACTCGAACGGTTGTCGTGAGGTCGGGAAGATTCTCAATGTTCATTTGGGGCCGGGAATGTGGATTGTGCGTCACATGACCGGCCGCTTCGTCTAGGGCTGCCTCCCGCCTTCTGATTGGCCGCAGTCAGTCCGTAGATTTGCAGGTCAGCTGACCATCGCACTAAAACCTCTGCAAACAAGTCAAACACCCGGCCAGGATGCGCCGATTCTCGAGCACAACCGCCACAACGCCGCGGCCATGTCTGTTCCTTGTGCCCGCCAACAATGAACGTACGGAGGATGTCAGAAGTTCCTGTTAGTCGTCAGTTCCTGGCCAACATGCTATTTTGGCAGTCCCATGAGTAGTTCTCAGCCACTGTCGGCCATCCTCGTTGGCAATTCACACTATGGACTGGAGGACTATCGACCAGAGCCCGCTGTTTTCAGTGCGAGTCATGATTCGCTGCAATTGCTTAAAGTTCAGATGAGGTCTATTTTAATTTTGCACAAGATCTAGTACTTTTTCACTTACCTTGTCACCCCACATCATTAGCACGGGTCGGCCTGGCCAGATTGTATTTGTGACCTTGCCAATGTATTAGATGGGACTCACTTATGAGACTATGGATGAACGTTATCTCGATGAGCTACACCACTAAGCTGAGGTCAACTTATATTGTCAAAAACATTGCAACGTCTCGCGCCTGCCTGATGCTGAGTAGTATTAAGCTGCGATCTAGATGCATGTACGGACTACGGAGTACCTTACAGAATGTGTGGGTCAATGAGCGAACTAAGCCAGAAGAGGAAAAGGAGGCGAGCTTGTATACTCTTCACCTTCGAGTCGCCTACCGTTTATCTTGTCCTCTGATATGCCCGATCCAGACCGTAGGTGTGGGGAAGCTAAGTAACACGTTCCTCTTCTACGGATGGCACCCGAGCTACTTCCGCCCAGTCACTTTGTTTCGACCCTTGATCAACCCCCTACTGTCTTCATCTCAACCTTATGACCAGGGCTCACACAACTGCGCTTTGATCTGCCGGCTCCACGTTCGGTGTTTCGAGATCCCAAAGACCACGCAATTGATCTCGTTCACATGATTCTATCTTGCCGCGTCCTAGAACCTAGTGGCAGCATGTGGATAAATGCTCTCCCTTCCACGGTAGTTTCAAAACAGCGCGAACTCGGCGCAGATTATCGGTTGCCAGCAAAGACAAACGACGATTTATCACAGAAACAATGTGTTGTACCGGCCTACATGCCAACCAGTGGCCAGTGAACGCCACTACATGTTGCCTATCCTGCGGGATCTGATATTCGGCAAATAGCGTTGGGTACTTGGGAACGACCTCAGTGCTTCCGATATACCCCAAATTGAGACAGTGGTGATGATTTGAAGGGCGAAAATTTGGATTGGAGAGTATCTGGTGTCAAAGCCTTCATTAGCGGCGATCCCGATACTCGGCACGGTAGCGAATGGTTCATCTTGAGGATGACACAAGGGGGAGATACACGCTCTGTCGCCACTCACCATAGACTACACTGGAGCCAATTGTATGGGCGCTGTTTGCGGTACAGGGACACCAGGGAAGGGTTCCCGCGCTCTATGAACCTGCTTTGACCGAGATCAAAAAGAGAAGCGCTATCCATTTATCGGTGGGGGGAGTGCAGCTATTGTGGTAGTGATCTTACACCCCAAGAAACAGAACGACTTTCAGTAGTGATGCTGCTGGCAATGGCACCCCAGAATGTCTGTAGAGGCAACGCCCAGGCATTCGATATACTAAAGTTCAAGTGCACCTAGATGTGAGGAACAGGGGAACGACCATATGCATCCTCTATGGAATCCCACGGCTGCTATGGTGTGAAAGACAAGCGGAACGGAGAGGACGTCTCTGGTTGCTCTTTCCGTGTTTGGTACTCATACGGGGATCCCGGTTTACGACCACTGCGAGCACTCCTTGGTAGGTAGAATAAGCCAGGAGATTATTCAATAAAGACCAAATATATCAATAATACGGTAGTCGGGCAATCTAGTACTTTCACATGTTCTACTACGTAGTGTAGGCAAGATATCGGAGGCCGGTGGGCCGAGGACAGACGGTGTCCCAGCGAGTAACATGCGCTTGAGAGCTTTCCGAGGCATGGAGCGGTCACACCCAGCATGGGCTTATCCTCCCCTCTCTAAATATTGCCGCAACGGAATGTACACCCAGTAGGTTATTAATTTGCAGGACCGTCACTGCTTTGGAATGATAATTTTGTGGGTCCAATTCCCCTTTGCTTTATCATGTCAAGACTCCAAGGATCCAACATCTCCAGTCCTCGATGGTCTAACGGTCATGATTTCCGCTTGTCACTCAACCGAGAACGAGCGCGGGAGACCTGGGTTCGACTCCCAGTCGGGGAGGATTTCTTTTTGGCTTTTGTTACTTGAATTAAGCTGCTGTAACTTTTTATTCCTCTCTATGTAAATTGAAATATAACAACAGTCTGGCTCGGTCGCTATCAATCGACAACTTTTCATCGCATGGGTACTTCACCCACATCGGGATATATAAAGGTCGACGGATCATGAAAAAACCACGATGCTCTTTTCAGTATCTACACACACCCCTAGTCAAGGTTTTCATGCAATACAATGACCAAAATAGTTTTCAAAGGGTACCCGAGCAGAAAGATCAACAAGAAAAAAGAGCAAAAAGATATCTCCCCGACTGGGAGTCGAACCCAGGTCTCCCGCGCTCGTTCTCGGTTGAGTGACAAGCGGAAATCATGACCGTTAGACCATCGAGGAATTGATGAAGTAACTGGGCAGCGTTTGACATCATGTTCACGCAGCATCAACTCTCCACAAATCCGGGTGGAGCGAACGGACGATCGGAAGACCCTGAGCCACCGGACAGGAACGATTTGAAATCAATCATGATCATGCTATTCAGAGTTCAGACCTACTGTAAGCTGATTACTCCGTAGGTGGCTGAGTCGACTTGCATCGGAAACACATCATGCAGATTAATGTCCTTAATTAAGGATGTCTCAGGCAACCATCGGAGACCGAAAGGGCCCCTGTCGACGGTCGCAGTTGAACTTGTCAATTCCAACGGTTCCAAGTGGACCCCCGGACGCCCCTTGGCAACCTGCCAGACTTGTCGGTAGAAAAGGGGTTCGTGCCAATAGTAACGGAGTAGTGGAAGGTAGGACCGTGGGAGTAGAACCTAGAGGTTATTGGTGATGATCATTGTGATTATGACAATGCTGATTATTCTTCATACGGCAGTCTAGGGTTGCTGACCATGAATGGAGAGCCCGAGGCCTGGTAGCGGTGACGGAGTCCTTATATCTTCTCCCCGGCGGACGAGAAAGCCGACATGTCGTTTGGTCAGCGATGCAGAGGGCGAAGGAATGACCGCAGGGCTGATCACTTCGAAAGTTCGAATCCCTCGTTTGCCCATCGCGGTGGAGCCCGTCGAGGCAAGTTGGCACGCGAGTCCATTCCGATGCGATGCTTGATGTATCCACGGATCTTGAACTCGGCTTTTCCTCTTATCATTCCTTGTTACTGCTTCAGTCTACGGTATTCTAGTCGGTGTCCTCAATCTAGGACCAAAATAACCATCTACTAAAATCCTACTGAGCACACCTGGTGGAGTCTCTGCTCTTTCCCGCCCCGCCCAACTTCTTTTCTTTTTTTCGCTTTACTATTTCAATTTTTTTCCCTTAACCTGTTCTTAGAATAAATCCCCCCTCTCTCGAACCTCCGATGCCAAGGCAGCTGGCCTGGCACAGAGCCGCGGATTGCCCGGATCGCTCGTAGGGCCTGACGCTGTTCTCGTTTTTCCTTCTTGGGGAGCTGATCTTGTGTCAATCCTTTCCTGCTTCCTTCCTCTTCCTCTTCCTCTCTCTCTCTTTTCCTCTGTCTCTTTATGGTGATTTCTTCCCTTCGGTTTCTGGATCTCATTCGGTCAATCATTCTTTCAATCTCTTTTGTATCTTTGTTTTCTATCTCATCTCGATCTGCTTCTCATTTTTATTTCTTTGCGGACCGGCACCCGAGAACCCTTCGCACTCGATCGATCACCTACCTGCATTAGACCTTGGCGCATCTCTCCATCCTGTTTCCAACCCTCCTTATCGCCTTCGTATTCTTCCCGGCTTTTTTATCCTCTCCTATATCTCGCCATCCCGCCCTCGACCCCTCCTGAAGTCTACTTCCCCTCTTCTGTCGATCCCAGAATGCGAGCCGAGGCATGATTCTGCCTGCCGTAAACTCTCCGACACATTGACTTGAAACGCCCACGACCCCTATTTAGCATCCAAGATGATCTCACGGGGGGTTTTTGCCTGCGTCTGTGCACTCTGGGCTGCGCTGGCCGTGGCCTACCCTGATCCGTTCGAAGGGATCGCAGAGCGTAGCACCGATAGCACTCTCAACCCCAGAGATCGGGATTTGCTATGGGAGAAGTACGGACTGAACAAGTCCGCCGAATTTAAATATTTCCATGAACCCGGCCGTGACGATATTCTCGGTCATTATGATACCCGATTTTTCACCGAACCCGTGCCCGACGAGGAGCGCTCGCAGACCTTGACGCACATGATTCGTGCCTATCTGAACTTTTTTGAAGATAACGGACTGGAGACCTGGATCGCACACGGCACCCTTTTGGGATGGTGGTGGAACGGCAAGGTAAGGGACATTCGGCCTCCCGATGCCGTGCTAGTGTCACCGGCCGTTCGTTGGCTAACCCCCCTCCTTTCTATTCTAGGTCATGCCCTGGGACTGGGATATTGATACACAGGTGACCGATACCACGTTGCTCCGTCTCGCCGATCGGTATAACCAGACAATTGTTCGATATAAACCGAGACGCCGCGACCCCGAACTTAGCTACCTTCTCGACATCAACCCGTGGGCCCGACAGCGCCAACGAGGCCAAGGATTGAACATCATCGACGCGCGGTGGATTGACATGCGGACGGGGCTATATATCGATATCACCGGCTTGAGTCATCTGGACCCCAACAACCCCGACATGTGGCAATGTAAGAACAACCACAAGTATCAGACGGATGATATATACCCCCTTCGGAGGACGACCTTCGAAGGAGTGTCGGCCAAAGTGCCTTTTCAGTATAAGGCGGTGTTGATTGATGAATACAATGACAAGGCCTTGACGTCCACGCATTTCCACAAGTAAGTCGCTCTGAGCGATAGTGGTGGTTTCTGCAGCTAAACCGTTTACCCTAGTCACACCTGGCGTCCGAACCTGGAGGAGTGGGTTCTCGACGAGCCCTCGAGTGAGAAAGACGGCAAAGACGATCGCCAGTATGAAAAGCGAGCCGTCTCATTCTTCTCAATGATCTTTGGTTGAGCGACAACAGAACCGTCTTTTTATATAAACATCTTGACCATTTCGAAATCTTGCTATATCCATTGCTTTGGGGCATTCATCTATTTTCGTGCCATCTACTGTGTTTCAGCTTGGAGTTTTGCACTTGAGGGTACCGGAACCCTCGTTGGATGGCGTCCACGGAGAAAGCATCTTTTTGGGGTTCTTTATATGCGATTTACTGTTTGGCAATTTTGGGGCTACATAGCCATGCAACTATCCGATACATTGAGAACATTTGATGTGCAACAATCGACTGAATACCTTCCGAGTGAGGATAGAGTTGTATACCGGGTGCCTCTGCCGTGCCCTTGTGTAACGCGCAGAGTCGTAAGATGCCGGCGTGACCATCTCCAGGCAACACTGGCCTGCCCTACCAGTTGTGGGGACTGAGTCGACAGAACCCTGCCTATTGCGATGCATCGTCTCCGCCACTGAGGGGCAACCTGTCGAGGAGTTCTCCGATCATCCTAATTTAAGGTGCGCTGATCGCCCGTGGGCGCGACGATCTTCCAGGGGGGGGGAAAGTCGGAGAAGCGCCACCCGATCGCTGCCTGACTGCCTGGGGCAGCAAGCTACACGTGACAGGGGCTTATCGTTATCTCCGGCTGACAAACAATCGCCGTGGAAATCAATCGAAGCTTGCCTCTTCACGGCTGTACATACATAGGACCTTCTTTCTGTCTTCAATCCATCTACATATCTCGTCTACATATCTCCGGTCCTTAGCCACAGTTTTTCAGTATACAGAATCTAACATAGCAAACCGCCAACATGAGCGAAGAAGAACCCTCCTTATCCCTAACCATCCACCATAGTGGCAAACCGCATCCCATCGCCCTCCCTTCCACCGCAACCCTCCAAGACCTCGCCTCCCTCCTCTCCTCCACCCTACACATTCCCATCGAAAACCAGAAACTCCTCATCTCCCCGAAACCGGGACTCCAGAAACCCCCGTTCGCCGCCACCCGCCTCGACGCGCTGATCCCGCTCGACTCGCCACGCCTCAAGATCACCCTCCTCGGCACCCCAGCGCAGGACATCGCCGAGCTGAACGCCCAAGGCGAAGCGACCCGTCGTCGCGACGAGGCGCGCACCGCCGCCCTCTCCGCCTCCCGCCAACAGCAACGCAAAGCCGCCGCCGCCAACGCATCCCGATCACGCAACGGCGGCATCCACACCCTTTCTGGCGGTGGCAGCGACTCATACACCTTCCACCGCCTCCTCCCCCTCTCCTACCTGCCCAACCCATCCCGCTCACAACAATTCCTCGCCCGCCTCCGCGACGACCCCGGCATCCGCGCCGCCATGACCAAACACCGCTTCTCCGTCCCTCTACTCACAGAAATGGACCCGATCGAGCACACGACGCGCGACTCGCGCACGCTAGGCCTCAACCGGAACAAAGGCGAGGTGATCGAGCTGCGGCTCCGCACGGACGCGTACGACGGGTATCGCGACTACCGGACGATTCGGAAGACGTTGTGCCACGAGCTGGCGCATTGCGTGTTCAGTGACCATGATCGGGATTTCTGGGATTTGACGGCGCAGATTGAGCGGGAGGTTGAGAGGGCGGATTGGAAGCATGGGGGGAGGAGGGTTACCGAGGAGGACTTTTATAATCCCGGTGATTGGCAGGATATGGAGGATCGGGGGGAGGTGGTGGACGAGTGTGGGTGGACTGGGGGGGAGTTTGTGTTGGGTGGTGAAGGAGGGGATAGTACTGCTGGTGGTGGCGGTAGTGGTAGTGCTGGGGGTGATGTTGGTGGGAGTCGCAGTCGCAGGGAGATGATGGCTAGAGCGGCGGAGGAGAGGATGAGAAAGGAGAGGGAGAAGGATGCATAGATCTCTCATCTTTTCCCGTTTACTTTGTACATTCAAGGGACGTTATTTACGAGGCATATGAAATTACATGATACAATAGGTACATACAATAATAATAACAGCATTCGACTATTTCTTCGCTGTTCTTATCGAATATCCATATACCAGCAGATACACAAGAAACTAAATCAAATTAAACCTGCTCATTGACAAACAACCCCGCCATACCTTGCCCCGTACCAATACACATACTCGTGACCAAGATCTTCTTCTTCGTGCGTCTCGCCTCGCTCAGAACCGTACAGATCTGGCGCGCACCCGTCGCTCCCAACGGATGGCCTAGGGCGATGGCGCCGCCGCGTGGGTTCACCTTGGCGTGCTCCAGCCCCAGGTTCTCCAGGCAGTAGACGGCCATGGAGGCGAACGCCTCGTTGATCTCGTAGATGTCGATGTCCTCCTTGCTCAGGTTGAACTTGGTCAGCAGCTTGGGGATCGCGGCCGTGGGTCCGATGCCCATGATCCGAGGCGGGACGCCGGCGACGGTGGCGCCGCAGAACTTGGCCAAGATGGGCTGGTTCAGTTCGATGGCCTTGGAGCGGCGCATGAGGAGGACGGCGGCGGCTTTATAACATGTCAGGGGTAGAAGTCAAGGAGGGGGAAGGGACAGGAAACATACCACCATCAGTAACCTGACTCGAATTACCACCAGTACTCCGATCCCCAAACTTCGGGAACGCCGGACGGATCTTACTCAACGACTCCGCCGTCGTCCCATACCGAATCCCCTCATCCTTGGCCACCACAATCTCCTTCTCCTCGCCCGTCTTCGGATCCTTCACCTTCGTCTTAATCGGCACGATCTCATCATCGAACCACCCCGCCTTCTGCGCCTCCTCGGCCCGTCGATACGACTCCGCCGCGTACTTATCCTGCACGTCTCGCGAGATATTGAAGTCCGCGCCCACGTTCTCGGACGTCTGGCCCATCGGCTGCATGCAGTCCGCGGCCTCCTGGTTCCGGAGCACCTCGTCGTTAAACGGCTTGGTGATGCGCTCGCCCGGCGCGGACATCATCTCCGCGCCAACCGCTACGCCGACGTCGATCGCGCCCAGGGAGATCTGGTTCGCGATGTCCTGCACCGCTTTCAGACCGGACGAGCAGAATCGGTTCACGGAGGAGCCGCCGGCCGTGTGGGGGATTCCGGCGGCTAGGGACGCTGCGCGGACGAGGTAGGCGGCTTTGCCGTCGTTGACCTGTCGTACGGGGGTTATATGTTAGTGACGTTGGAGTTTGTATGAGAAGCAAGGAGGGCGGGCGGGGGAGGCAATGTGAAGCAGGTAGTAGATAAGTGGCAAGAACGTACATTACCAAGACAAACATCCTCGATCAAAGCGGGATCGACCTTCGATTTGGACAACACCTCCTTCAACAGCGAGTAAACGAGGAAATCAAGCTCGGTGTCCTTGAAGCCACCCTTGCCAGCCTTGGCGAGGGGAGTACGCAGAGCAAGCGTAATGACAACGTCGTCGGGATTCTTCTGGGTGCTAGCAGGCGGGAGTTCACCAGGTCAGAACTGGAAATAATAGGAATAGTTTCGGTGCGCTTACATGGTCGAGAGCCCGTTTGCGCCTGACGGCTTGAGGTGGCTCAGAATAGAGCTCAAACGATCTGTGGCCATGGTGGAAGAATGGGGTGGAGAAACTGAAGCAACTAAATATATTTGACAGATAACGGTTAACAGGGAGTAGGTTGGGATGGGCGGGTTTCATGCAACAAGAGGCAATACAACAACTTACTCGGATCAAATATATGAGAGTAAAGACGAGGAAGTAAAAGGAGATGGGAGAAAGGAGAGCGAGAGAAATACGGCGTGGAGAAGCAGACATAATCAAGTCAAGTGATGTCAGGCAGAGCCGACAGCCGAGGCTCATCTGCTTCCCGACTGGGGTGGATGTACCCTGTACCTTGGCGCTGCTGCCCTTGCCCGTGCCAATTCATGTACTTGTGACTTGTTGTTCCCGCCGGCGCTGCAGGTTAATAATCGGCCGGGACTGAATTCATATTTTCGACCAGAAAGACAAAAAAAGTCAAGCCAGAAATTGAGGCTGTTGCTTATTCAACCCATGCACAATTCATGCGTGGATGCAGCTTAATAATGCACGTGCATACGGAGTAAACCATAACTACCCTGTCCTACAGCTTCATCTGTGGTGCCAAGTGTACACACCGTAGGTAGTACGAGCATTTTCGCGTCCAAGTTGATTTTCTGTAGGTAACCGATACCCGTGCTAGCAATAGTCTCTACAAATACCTAGTCAAAAAGGAGCGAAAAAAAAGGAACCAATGATAATCCAAGCAGAAAGAAAAAGCTCCGAGCAAGAAGACGGAACAAATGGAAACAAAGAAAAACGCCTCGTACTCCAAGTGAAATCCCCGTGGCGCCCGCCAAAGCAGTTGATTAGTCTATACATGTTTCACTCCGCACGATTACAACCCGTGGTGGTTGGAATTGAAATCGTCGTCGCTGATGACACTGCCAACCTCCGACCAGCTGGCTGGAGTGGCTGCCCCAGTCGACCGTCCCAGATCACTCAAAGTGCCATCCGACGACGCGTCCTCCGCAGACGCATAGATCTGGCTGAAGCTGCTGGTCGAGGATGGTGTGGAGGGACGGTCGCGATGTTCGAAGCTGGCGGGGTCGAGATCGGAAAGATCTGCGAAGGGGGAACGGGTGTCTCCATTGGTGTCATTGGCTGCAAGACCTGGATGATCAAAGAGGACTTGAGATTGCTCCTCGGTGCGACTGGATGAGGATGATCGCGAACGAGATTGTCCCGCGTCGTTCATGTTATCCAAAGTCGACATCGAAAAGTCCATCCCTGATGTCTCTGAAGTAGGTGTGTAGTTAATCAGTGTGGCGGATTGAGCACTGGGCGGCGGAATAGCAACATGCAATTTATCATTACCGGCGGAAGCGCTCGCGTTCGCGTTTGACGGCTCCTCCTCGCCGACCAAGGGTGCCGGCGAATCGGCCTGCTGCTTGCCACCGCGTTGAACGACCTGCGATGTCCCCAGTTCCACGGCGGTTGAGTTCGCCAACGACCCGTTGTTCGCATCCGAAGCCTCCGACCTCAACAGCCGACCTTCATCGTCAACCAGTGCGTCGAACGACCCTGGTCCCGCACTCCGTCGTCTTTTACGATGTTCCTCAAGCATGGAGCGTCGGTTCTGGATTTCCTCTCGAACTAATCGCCGTCGCTCTTCGGCTTCGGGGCCCAGTTCCTCGGTCATGGAGATATCCTGACTAGGGGATGACGTAGCGTTTCGCGGTTGGATCTCATCGCCAAGATGGTGCAGAGCCACTGCGATTTTCCGTCGCGAATTATCGACCCATTGTCGAAACTGAGGGGACTCGTAGACAGCTATGCCCGCCGCCACGAGGGCTGATACGGTAATAATAACTCCTTGGTTGATGTTAGCACATGCTAGTCAAGGCGGAAATGCGAAGCGCTCCACCCTTACTCCAACTACTACCACTGATAAGCACACCGCCTGGGTTGGGGCGGGCGTAGTTAGTAGTAGTAGATAGGAGTTGTGGTGATGAGAACGGCAAGGAGCTTGATGGAAAGCAGCTCGAGATCACAGCAGACTGCACTCACCTTTTGCAACGGGCGACATAACGAACCGCTGGTGTAGGCAGCAGGAGATGGACGAGTGTCAGCGTCATGTTGCAAGTCCCGTTCAGTCAAGTCACGCCGTTCCCCGCTGCGCCTCCACGTGACCGGCGGGCCCTTATCCACCAGCCCTACATCGCATCCGCTTTGGGTAGTCCGTTGTTTCCCCCTCCGCGTCTCGTCCATCTCTCTTCCTCTTTCTCCCTCTTCTAACTTCATCCACCTTCCTCTGGGATCTCACCATCTCGACTGCCTGACCATGTCTCGTCCGTCTTCGATTGCGCAGCGTCCCCTGACGCTCACCGAGGAATTGGAAAAACTCGAACAATCCATCACGCTCACGTTGCAGGGTATGATAAACAATCGGGCATCCGATGCCGACCCGTTACTAACCACCATGTCTTTATAGAGATCGACCACAACTTCAGCCAGGCCCACCGCATTGTCACCACTAGCATTCTCCCTCTGGTAGAGCAATATGCAGATCACTCGAAAGATGTTTGGGAAGGCGCAAAAGTTCGTTTCTAAGCCTACCTACCCAGCTCCCGCACGCTTCCAACTAACCTAACCATCGCAGTTTTGGAAACAATTTTTCGAAGCAAGCGCCAATGTCTCCCTCTCCGGCTACGAAGAGAAGCCCGAAGAATCCACGATGCAAGAACAAACCATGACGGAAGAGGAGGTCACGCAGAGCGACCTCAACGAAAGCGCTTCCTACGAGACCCCGTCCTCGGAACGCCACCGACCCGATGATCTCGAACTCACCGAGCTCAATGCATCCTCTCACAGCACACCCCGCGCCCAGCTTGACCGACACGCCCACACCGACAACGACACTACCGTGACTTCCTCTATCGCCCACCCCTCCCCATACCACGAGCCCGAGCCGCAGTTCGAAGGCGAAGACTCCATGCTCCCCTCGACGCCGGGCAGGACGCCATCCCGACCCCAGGATCACACATACCAGTCAAGCCAAGCATTCGACGACCCCATGTCCTCCTCTCCGTTTATCGAGCGCGGAGCTTACATGCCCGATGACCCGATGAGCCACCAGAAAGACTCCGACCCGGTTATGCATCGCCTCCAAGACAGAACGTATCGCGTCCAAGCGACACCTCTTGGAAAGGGCTACGGCGGTGGAGCCAGCAGCCGCCCCAAATTCACCGTTACGCCGAAACCATCGACATCCAAGTCCAAGTACGGGTACGATGATTCTCCGCTTTCGAGTCCCGAGATGGAAGCTCCCCAACTCCACGCCGAGATATTTTCCTCGCCGCTCAAGGCCAGAACACCCGGTACGGGCCGGAAGAGGCGCACCAGCAGTAACCATATGCGTGTCACGCCGCAGCCTGGATTGAGCGTTTTGACTCCTGCCAAGGGCGGCGGGAAATATCGGACTGGGTTTGACAGCGATGACGACATGGTCGACGATGACGATGAGGACTTTGGACCTAGTCCGCCGAAGACGATGCAGTTCCATATTCCGCAGAGTCGATTGATGAAAACGCCTGGTTAGTTTTTGTAACCAGATTCATAACACCGCGTTCGAGACTATTGCTAACTCCACTATCTGTTCTAGCGAAAGAAGCATCCAAGCGTATCGTCGAGGACCTCCTCTTCACTGCAGGTGCAAACGACACCACGGACGACGTACCCGACGAACAAAGTCCTAGCGTCATCCGACGAGTCGAGCGTTTGGAGGATGAAACCTTCTAGGTGGCTCATATATACTTGTATGTTACTGTCATGTAGTTTACGAGCCTTGTCTATTCCAAATATATCCTTCGTCTTCCTTGTCCTGCCTTTTAGAGGTCGTTTTCACTCGTATAGCTGTGCTAGTCATCTATAAAACCACCACTTGTTATACGGACAACCCTAAACCAAATAACTTATTGCCAGTCAGAAAGATCAGATAGAAAAGAATTGTTATAAGGTTTCCTCGCATTGCTGCGTCTAGCACTTAACTCCCCACCTTCTCCCACGCCACCTCTTTCCCAGATGAACCCATGCGAAAGCCAGGGCTACAGTATCATCCTGGCAAACCCCTTAAACAAACCCCTTCGCCCTCATTGATCAGAATACGCCGGGGACAATAAAAAAGACCCGCGCCGATAAACAAAGCACTGAGCTATAAACCAGAGAGGAGAAAATCAAAGAAACGCGAAGAAAGAGATCTTCAAACATCCGCACCATGGAAGTCCGGAAAGTAAGTGTCAGACAGAGAACTAATGAGAGAGAGAGAGAGAGAAAAAAAAAAAAAGTAACTAACTTCGAGCCTGCGGATTCGAGACCAAACGATATAAGTGAAGAAAGACGAGATTACATGAGCGTATTGGTATTGCAATGGACACGAAGAAAAAGGGTATCGAGCGTGAGGTGCAGATCATCAGGGGAGGAAGAGGAAGGGGCGAGAGAGAGAAATGTGACTCAGGGGCTGGAAAGACGGTGATAAAGATGACGATGCATGGAAAAAAGATTCCCAACAGGATATATGTATGTACAAGCTGTCGAAGAGGCCATGTTTAGAGGGGTATTTCTAACGCCGAACAGATCTGAGAAGCGCAATAATCCCCTTTTCTCCAAAACTTCGAAATGATGGAGAATGAAATCAAAGAAATGGAAAGACGAGAAAAAGTGGGAGAAAAAGGAACGCCTCGAGATCCCTGATTCCAGACCAGGTAAAGACCAGGCTTCTGCAAATGGCTCAAACACGGGACTATTTAGCCCTGCATACCCATGAATATCTCTTGACAGTTATCAACCAAGAATTTCAAGACCTCGTTCTTCTTCTGAACGTCCGTCATCTCACGGGCCAAGCTCTGCGGCCGCATGATCGTCGGAGCAAACACGACGGCGATGTTCTGGCTGGTCATCAAATTCTCCTTCTCACGCTCAACGACTCGTTTCAAGTGGAACACTAGGAACTCCAGCACATCTTGATGAACCCGAGGTAGCTCGCCAAGGCTCTTCTGCAGGTTCTCGATCCGTGCGGCCTGCGAGGTGATGTCACCCGAGTCGATCACCTTTTCATAGATTTCGTAAGTAATGAGAGGCGTGGGCAATTTCCGGAAGTACTGCTTCAGTGCCGACGTAACAGCATGAATGTCGAGGTCAGGGTCTGAGATGTCGTAATCCTGAGGAGACCTTTCAAAACCGTCGCGAATGGTTTGAATCGCCGAGCTAGCTCCCGATTTACGGTAGATACCTTCCATATCCATGCCTGTTCAGAATGACTTGGTTAGCTGATTGCAACCTCGGGAATAACTTAGGGAGGAACTGAGCTCACCTCGCAATTCAACCTCTTGTATACACCGTGTGATAATGGCAGGAATGATGCTCTTTTCATGCTCCATCCGCTGTTCCAGGTCGGTACCAAAGAGACCTATAGAATCATTAGAATACAAGGTCCGAGAAAGAATAGGATGGATCGGTGCGTTACAAGTCTTACCGTTCGGGGTGCTTTCTGCCAGGACCGGGACGCTGTCAGTTTGGGGCATTCGGGTGCCCGTCTGCTTGTTACGCTGGTTTCCAAAGAACCCGAACCCTTGGCGACTAGGGTCTTGGGTTTGAGAGCGAGGCAAGCTGGGGCTGGGTTCGGTTGGGGCCGCATTTTCACTCGACATGAAGGCGCCCTTGATGCCTTTGGTGACTCCTTTGGCCACATTCTGACCGCCCTTCTTCCAGTTAAACTTACGAGGCTGTCCCTTGCGGATGCTGACGACTTGAGGACCAGGAACAATCGTGGCGGGTTCGGCTTCTTCGGAGACATTGGCAGCTGACACCGACGAGACCAAGTCGCTGTTGGCTGCCTTCAGCGCATCGATGGAAGACAAGGACTTCTCCTTGCCGTGGGAGTAGATGCCAAGTCCGTTCGCGCCACGATTGCCGTCTGAGGAGTTGTTTGCCTTGTACAGTTCTTGAATCTGATGCACCAGTTGGTTGTTCAGCTCGGCCAGCTGCGCGTTCTTCGACGAGAGTTGCTCAAATTCCTGGAAGCTCTTGTCCTTCATGCGGTTCAAGTTGGCCAGTTCCTCCGCAGTATCATTCCGTTTCTGCACCAACTCTTCGATCTGGGGCGTGAAGGAATCCTTCAATTTCTGAATAGACTCGACGAACTCCCGGAGCACATGGTTCGTCAGCTTCCCAAGATCTAAGGGGCCACTGGCTCCGCGCCTCTCGGCCTCGAGGTGATCCGTCAGCACCGAGAGTTCTCGCATGACGATTTCCTTCTGAGCATCCAGGACCACCATAGTCGATCTTTTTTCACTGAGTTCTGTGTTGACTTGTTTGACATCGGCCGTCGCGTTCAACATTGCTTCCATTTCGGCGATCTTCTGCTCGCGTTCCAAGACGCGCTGACGCTCCTTGCGCAGCTCACTGCGCAACCACGCAACTTCTTCGGAACTGCCACTCTCCGGAGAGCCTGCAGAGGGGCTCTGAGCCTCCTGGAACGTGGTTCCGTTGACCGGCGATTTGGGCGACTTGAGATCCCGAGCCAGGCGAGCACCCTTGTCGCTGAAACTCCGGCCATGGCGTACTGAGTTTGACATGCGACGTAAGAAGGATTCGCTGGTCTGAGCTGCGTGGGCTTCATCCGAGCTCATGACCCGAGTTAGATCATCGTCTGTAGCGGCGTCACCGCTGCCGTAGCGCAGCAGAGACGGAGAACTCGCCCGGTCCAGTTGGTGAACGGTGTTGATCGAATTGGGCCGCGGGGGTTTGGAGTACTCTTGGGTGGCATCGCCACGCGGAGTGCGGGGGGATTCGCCAACCTTGGGCGTGCTTCGGCTTCGTTCATGCCATTGCTCGATTGGGCTGGTCGCCTGCGGGCGCGGCGAAGCCGCGGCATCCTTTTGAGGGAATTGATGCAACGAATCTCCTCGCTTGGGGAGATTTTGGATACTGGTGGAGGAAAGGAATGATCGTGCCGAGTCCAGCGATCCTCCGTTTTCGTGCAGTCGACGAAGTTCGTGCGATGGCCGGCTTGGGAGCGTGGTTGTGCTCTCTACGGCCGTCGATCGTTGCGAGTCCGCAGTCGAGCCATCTCTCTGGAGAGTGGTCGACGATTTGGTGCTTTCCGGGCTCGGGGTGGAGAAAGTGCTCGTCTCGTTGGCGCCTGAGGGCAGGTCAGACCGCGAGCTCCGCGAGGACCCATTCGCGCCCATCGTAGCCTCGTCCTGGCGCCAGCGGGTGTGGTCGATGTCGGGACGCTCGCGACCCTTTTCTTGGTACGCAATGTGAGGCGACGAGCTCTCCGAGTCGTATCCCTCCCGGGGGGATTTGTGTAAATGCTTGGTGGAGTCAGCGCTGGCATCGTGGGGTGGCGGCCCTTGGGAGCGTTGCTCCTCCGCAGGGTCAAAGGCAAGCGGTATGAGGAACTCTCCTCCGCCGTCTGCTTCAGCTTCTCGCGGAATCACGGAATGGCGGTTGCTGCGATACGTGCTCGAAGGGAGGATTAAGTTTTCTATTGACAAGGCGGTCTAGTCAGCCACGCTGCTCAGGGATCATTGCGGGGTGATGTTGATTTTGAAAGTTCTTACCCTGAGGATCATGCGGGCAAGAAGTCCTTCCAGCGTCCAGCGCAGGACCCGCCCCTCGAGAAGCCACCTCGGTAGTTGCGCCTGCATAGGCATCGGCCGCAGGATCCTCGGCGGATCGTGACAGCGATTCGGCCTCCTCGGGAGGCAATGACGGCAGTGACTTGTCTAGCTTCACGTTCGGGGCCTGTTTTTTGGCGGGGGGAGCAGCACGATTGCGTTTTCGGCGCCGCTGCATCAGCGACTCGTGGCAGTCCATGCAGAAGATACCCTGGGAGGTCCGCGCATAGCGCAGGTTTTCAATCTTCTTTTTACAGTTGCGGCATCGGAAACATTGGGAACAAAAGGCTTGTTCTCCGGTCAGGATGGCCAAGTCCTCGATTTTGTTGCCGCAGGAGCTGCAACTGTAGGTACAATTGCTGCAGATTAACGATCCATCTCCGAGAAGCAGAAGGTGGGCGTCCGAATCAAGAAGGGTGCCGCAAGTGCTGCAGCAAAAACATTCGATATGCCATCGGTTCCCGGCTAGAGAGGGGGGCTTGTCAGCAACTGTTATACCCAAACACACAAAATTTCCACGGCTCGCTTACCAAGTTCGAATGCTTTCCCCTCTTCCAAAATCTAAAAAGATGAAGCAAATGACTGTCAGCGATACTCTCCCAAGCTGTGGCCATCCCGTCCACTTCCAATCAATCAATCTAGCATACCTCACCACAACCCTTGCAAGGGACCGGTATTTCATCCTGCTCCATCGGAGATTCGGGATAGGCGGCGGGTGACTCCATTTCGACGACGGGAAGAAAAGATAGCGACAGAGGTGTCGTCAAGACACGGAAGGGCGAAGAGGTGAAAGTGACGACGCCCGGGGCGCGCCCGCGGAAGCTATAGCCAAGACGAGTTCGAGGTGGGAGGGGGAGGAAGAGAGAGGAAGGGAGGGAGAGAGAGAGGGGTGATGCTTCAGGTCAGAACTCGCATCCGACGGGAAAGGTGTATATTCCCGGAGACCAGTAAAGACGAGAGACACGAAACGACAAGGGGATGGACCGAGTCTAGGTCGAGATCAGGTTGGCGATGGGAAATGAAACAGGACCGCGCGCGGAAGGACGGAGGGCAATTTCCACAGGAGAAAGCCAGGTAACGAATCGACGACGACTATCGAGCCTGTTGCAAGCACCAAAG